ACGCCCCTGCATCACCGTGAGGTGTACGGCAACGCAGTACGGCATGGGTTTCGATACGCCCTCCCATCCCCCTCCATGCTCCCCACTCCCCTCAACTCCCCCTCGCCCCTCCAGCACCTCTGAACGCCCCTGCATCACCGTGAGGTGTACGGCAACGCAGTACGGCATGGGTTTCGACACGCCCTCCCACCCCCCTCCATGCTCCCCACTCCCCTCACCTCCCCCTCGCCCCTCCAGCACCTCTGAACGCCCCTGCATCACCGTGAGGTGTACGGCAACGCAGTACGGCACGGGTTTCGACACGCCCTCCCACCCCCCTCCATGCTCCCCACTTCCCTCACCTCCCCCTCGCCCCTCTAGCACCCCTGAACGCCCCTGCATCACCGTGAGGTGTACGGCAACGCAGTACGGCACGGGTTTCGACACGCCCTCCCACCCCCCTCCATGCTCACCACTCCCCTCACCTCCCCCTCGCCCCTCTAGCACCCCTGAACGCCCCTGCATCACCGTGAGGTGTTCGGCAACGCAGTACGGCATGGGTTTCGACACGCCCTCCCACCCCCCTCCATGCTCACCACTCCCCTCACCTCCCTCTCGCCCCTCTAGCACCCCTGAACGCCCCTGCATCACCGTGAGGTGTTCGGCAACGCAGTACGGCATGGGTTTCGACACGCCATCCCACCCCCCTCCATGCTCACCACTCCCCTCACCACCCCCTCGCCCCTCTAGCACCCCTGAACGCCCCTGCATCACCGTGAGGTGTACGGCAACGCAGCACGGCACGGGTTTCGACACGCCCTCCCACCCCCCCTCCATGCTCACCACTCCCCTCACCACCCCCTCGCCCCTCCAGCACCCCTGAACGCCCTGCATCACCGTGAGGTGTACGGCAACGCAGTGTGGCATGGGTTTCGACACGCCCTCCCACCCCCCTCCATGCTCCCCACTCCCCTCACCACCCCCTCGCCCCTCCAGCACCCCTGAACGCCCCTGCATCACCGTGAGGTGTACGGCAACGCAGCACGGCACGGGTTTCGACACGCCCTCCCACCCCCCTCCATGCTCACCACTCCCCTCACCACCCCCTCGCCCCTCCAGCACCCCTGAAAGCCCCTGCATCACCGTGAGGTGTACGGCAACGCAGTACGGCATGGGTTTCGACACGCCCTCCCACCCCCCTCCATGCTCCCCACTCCCCTCACCACCCCCTCGCCCCTCCAGCACCCCTGAACGCCCCTGCATCACCGTGAGGTGTACGGCAACGCAGTACGGCATGGGTTTCGACACGCCCTCCCACCCCCCTCCATGCTCCCCACTCCCCTCACCACCCCCTCGCCCCTCCAGCACCCCTGAACGCCCCTGCATCACCGTGAGGTGTACGGCAACGCAGTACGGCATGGGTTTCGACACGCCCTCCCACCCCCCTCCATGCTCCCCACTCCCCTCACCACCCCCTCGCCCCTCCAGCACCTCTGAACGCCCCTGCATCACCGTGAGGTGTACGGCAACACAGTACGGCATGGGTTTCGACACACCCTCCCACTCCCCTCCATGCTCCCCACTCCCCTCACCACCCCCTCGCCCCTCTAGCACCTCTGAACGCTCCTGCATCACCGTGAGGTGTACGGCAACGCAGTACGGCACGGGTTTCGACACGCTCTCCCACCCCCCTCCATGCTCCCCACTCCCCTCACCACCCCCTCGTCCCTCCAGCACCTCTGAACGCTCCTGCATCACCATGAGGTGTACGGCAACGCAGTATGGCATGGGTTTCGACACGCCCCCGCCCGCCCCCCTTCATGCTCCCCACTCCCCCCACCACCCCCTCGCCGCTCAAGCTCCTCTGACCACCCCTGTCGTACAGCGACTTTGTACGGCATGGCTTCAGGCACCGCGTATCACCAATCTTCTTGTTGCAATATCTTGCATTGTGATCTCGACTAAGCTATAACTGAATTAATGAGCCATTTGCAGTTTCTTGGTTACTTTCCTAAATCAGCGTCAAACTGTTTGGTGACCGTGACCACCCCCCTCCATGCTCCCCACTCCCCTCACCACCCCCTCGTCGCTCTGGCTCCTCTGACCACCCCTGTCGGATAGCGACACGGTACGGCATGGGTTCGGGCACCACGTATCACCAGTCTTCTTGTTGCAATATCTTGCATTGTGATGTCGACTGAGCTATAACTGAGTTAATGAGCCATTCGCAGTTTCTTGGTTACTTTCCAAAATCAGCGTAAAACGGTTCGGTGACTGTGACCACCCCTCTCCAAACTCCCTATTCCCCCCACCACCCCCTCGCCGCTCTAGCTCCTCTGACCACCCCTGTCGTACAGCGACTTTGTACGGCATGGCTTCGGGCACCGCGTATCACCAATCTTCTTGTTGCAATATCTTGCATTGTGATCTCGACTAAGCTATAACTGAATTAATGAGCCATTCGCAGTTTCTTGGTTACTTTCCAAAATCAGCGTAAAACTGTTTGGTGACCGTGACCACCCCCCTCCATGCTCCCCACCCCCCTCACCACCCCCTCGTCGCACTGGCTCCTTTGATCACCCCTGTCGTACAGCGACACGGTACGGCATGGCTTCGGGCACCGCGTACCACCAATCTTCTTGTTGCAATATCCTGCATTGTGATGTCGACTAAGCTATAACTGAATTAATGAGCCATTCGCAGTTTCTTGGTTACTTTCCAAAATCAGCGTAAAACTGTTTGGTGACCGTGACCACCCCCCTCCATGCTCCCCACCCCCCTCACCACCCCCTCGTCGCACTGGCTCCTTTGAACACCGTCGTGAAGTCGGCGCATCTCCTGAAAAGCGTCGATTACTGATCGCCGAAAACTGTAGTTGATCGGCGATTGCTGATCGGCGAATGCTGTCAGGGGAGATCGCCGTGAAAGCTCTTTAGATTTCGGCACAATTGGCCTGGCATCGGCAAAAATCTTTCGGCGCGATTTGCAAGCTGGTCTCGGCGAGAAGCACGGTCGTGAAGTCGGCGCATCTCCTGAAAAGCGCTGATTGCTGATCGCCGAAAATGATCGCTTTTTTGGTGATCACTGACCCACGGGTCATGAGACGTCGCCCTCATGCGCAGATGTGTGTGTGTGTGTGTGTGTGTGTGTGTGTGTGTGTCTGTGTGTGTGCATGTAGTGCGCAGGTAGCGAGGCTCTACCTGTATATGTTGGTACAGAACAAGGGCTTTTCGTGCCTTGGACACGCCAACATGCCGTAGGGCAGCCCCAAGAGGTCACCGATAGCGGAAAACGTCCGGAGGCGCCCCAAAATTTGAATTTGAAGCAGTTCGACGCCATGCCGTACATGTACGCCATGCCGACTATTGCTTTCGAACATGAGCCGCACGCTGACATCAGGTCCGCCGACCATGCTTGTCTGCAACACATGAGCAACCTCACAACACTGGTCGGCGCGCCAATGTTAGGTGTTAGGTCCGCAATGCTGAAGTCATGCCGGCACGCAAAGCTTGTTCGTTCGCGGATTCATCACCAATCAGGATTTACGGTACCCCCGGCCGCGGCGACCACGACGCGGCGCTATTTAAACACCGAAAAATGCAAAACGAAGCCGACAGGACTCGAACCTGCAACCCTCAGATCCGAAGTCTGATGCGCTATCCATTGCGCCACGGCTCCATGTTACAATTCCAAATTCCAGATATAATATAATAGTATGCCGTACATCACATAGCCCTAGCTAGCCCGCATGCTTGCCAGAGGCTTCATTCATGCGGACACATACGTGCACGCACACAACGCGCCGCACGTTGCCGCCCTACGTAAGGACCAGGTACGCAGCAGACAGGGGGGACCTAATCGCAGCTTCAACGCAATTCTGCAGCGCACGCACATTCTGTGTTGATTGAATGACAGGTCCTGACTGATTCGGAAGGTTACAGAGCAAGCAGGCGGCATGGCCGCACAACGCTGTAGGACGTGAAGGCAGTAGAGTACATACACTGGAGTGAAGGACAGAGATCCGCCGCACCACCGCGCCACAATTCCGCCAACCCTAAGCCCGATAAGCCCGATTGAGAACAAATCAGGGCGATACCGGCATTTCTGGAGGAGGACAACGAGCAACAGCAACAACCACCGAAGCCGCAGCAACCACCGAAGCCGCAGCAACCCGCCAGGTTCGTTGCATCCGTTCCCGTAACGTGTACGGCAAACCTTCATGTGTCAGACACTGCAAAACCATTTCCTGTTTCCTTCACATTTTTCAGCTTCCAAGCTAATATCCAAATCCCCATGGTCCAGAGAAAGCACACGCCCCTTGGCAAATCGCGATTGCAGCAGCAGCAGCCGTAACAGTAACAGCAGCAGTAGTAGTACATTGGTACGCGCTCGCACACATTGAAATCATAAAAAGACATTTTATGCTTGGGAACTAACTTGTGACTGGGGAAGCAGCAAAAACATGGACAGCCACCTGCAATCTGCAGGCGGGCGGTTTGGGTTCAAAGGGACAGCTTGCACCCCCGACGTGCATAAGTCCCATTTGCAACTCCGTCTGAATTGAACCCTCCCTTTTCAACAGGACCAGCCGGTCCATGTGCGCCCTACCTCCTGCTTAACTTCACCAGGTTCCGCCACCTCAACCTCAAGACATGCCACAACCCCTCCTTACAACCTCTCACATCCACACAACCCTCCACTCCCGCCCCCCCTCCCACACAACCCTCCCTCCTGCCAGCCTCTTTTCCGCCTCTCCCCACCTCTCCTCTACCGGCACACAGTCGCAGTGTCCCCTCTTCTCCTGCCACGACCCCTAATCATCATCCTCGTCCTCCTCCGCAGCAGCAGAGCCCTTGCCGCCCCCCTTCTTCCGCTTCTTCCCGCCCCCGGGGTCCGCGTCAAAGCTCACAAACCGGTTGGACGTCCTGGGCGCCCCTCCACCCGCGCCCGCACCCGACCCTCCATAGGCCCCACCACCACCATATCCGTACGCCCCGAAACCCGACCCCCCCACCCCCGCGGTTGCCGCTCTACCGTTGTTGCGCCCCTCCCTCTCGTCCTGCTGCTGCTCCTCCCGCTCGTCCTCCTCCTCCTCCTCGACGGGCGCCCAGAGGTACAGCGAGCGACTGCTGCCCGTGACGATGAGCGGTCTGAGGGGCCGGGGGGGTGGGAGCGAGCAAGCAGCAATGTGAACACCAGTGAACAAGCAAGCAAGCGGTCAGGGAGCAAGCGAGCGAGTACTGGTGATCGCACAGAGGAAGAGAGGGCGAGAGGAAAGGCAGCAACGTACGAGGTAAGTGGGTCGGAGCGGCAACCGGAAGTAGGGCAGGGAGAAGGGAGCAGGGAGCAGGGAGGACACATAAGGGCGCGCAACAACCAATCGTGCAACAACCAAGCCCCCCCACCCCCTATCCCCCACCTCCTGGGGTGTGGCTTGTTGACGGGTGAGATGGTGGTGAGGTTGGCGTCCGTGAGCTGCCGCAGCAGCCCCCCATCTGCAGCCGACAGGATGTCCACCGGGTGGAGCGCCACTCCGCCAAAGTCCTCGGAAATGTACCTGGAGGGGGGGAAGGGAGGGGAGGTAAAAGAGGGAAGGCGGAAGCGGCGGGCAGGGCGGGCGAGAAGGTAGGAAAGCGAGAGGGAGGTAGGGGGCGCTAGGGAGGTGGTGACTGGCTGGGAGTGGAAGGGCTTTACGCACTCGCACCATGTAGAGTAACACATGTTAGCACCCCCACCCTCGTCACCACCCCAACCCCCTCGCACCCCACCTGCCGATCACAAACACCGCCTCCGTGGGGTCCTTGGGGTCCCACTCCGCCTTGAAGGGCGTCAGGTAGCGGTTGAAGTCGTGGGAGTGTACGACCTCCCGGTCCGGCGGGCCGTTGCAGCCGTACGGCACGTAGTCCCACACGCGCAGGCGGTTGTCCTGGCAGGTGGTCAGGATGCGGCGACCCGTGTGGGGACTGGGGCGGGTGGGGGGGGGGGAGGGAGGGGAGGGGAGAGCGTATACCGATATGACGGAGGGAGGGGTTAGGTGTGCGGAGCAACGCACCCTTCGAACAGCCCATCCTTCTCATAACCCCTGTCGGCGCGCCATCCTCACCAGCACACCCTCTCCTCCTCCTCCTCCCCCTCCTCCTGCCCGCCCCCTCCACCTCCCCCACCTGAAGTACGCCGCGTTCACCACCCGCGGGTGCTGCATCACCGCCAACTCAGCACGCGCTGCAGGACCCGCCCCAGCACCCCGCCCGCCACCGCCCCGGCCGCCACCACCCTTGTCGCCACCCTCCCCACCGCCCCGGCCGCCACGCCTGCCGCCCCCTCCTCTGCCACCACCGCCAGCTCGAGTGGGAGTGCCCGCAGCCTCCGTCGGCCCTGCAGGAGCTGCCGCTGCTGCTGCGAGGATCGCTCCAGCACCCGAGGTTGCGGCGATTGCGGCTCTGGCGGAGGTAACGGCGGCGGCAGCAGCCGCCGCCGGCGCCGGCGCACTCGGTCCCGCCGCCGCCGTCACCGCATTCGCTGACGGCGCCGACGATAGCTCGCGTATGTCGAATATGCGCGCCGAGTGGTCGTTCCCCGCCGTCAGCACCAGGGAGGGGTGCAGCGGGTGCAGGTGCACCGACACCACCTTGTTGCCCCGACGGTGCAGCTGCAGCGAGGCGACCGACCCGCGGGTCCGTGGGTCCAGCAGGTGCACGCAGCCGTTGCTGTCGCCCACCAGGACGGTGCCCAGGGCGGGGGAGGCGTCGCAGCCGTAGATCATGTGCCAGGGGCCGCCCTGCGGGGTAGGGGGGGGATTAGCAGGGATACATCTAGGGAGAGAGGAGATGGGAGTGCGAAGAGCGGATGGTTGTGGAGAGGTGCGGCCCTGGGCAACTCCGCACTGTACGTCAGCACCCGTTCACCAAAATCAACACCCGCTCCCACTTCTCCACGCAGGAGCCCACCCCCTGCACCCCTGCCCCGCACTGCCCCCTCCCGCACCCCGCCACTTCACTATTGCCTTTCCCCACTATTACCCTTTCCCAACGTGCGGTTTCACCCCAACTGGCCCACTCTTGCCCCCTCAGCCCTCCCACTCCCCACCTGCACCCAGCCCCCCGGGTTGAGGTCCAGCAGCGGGCGCCAGTCCCCCGTCTCCAGGTCCACCAGCTTGGCGGTGCCGTCGGAGGAGGCGCTCACGGCGGTCAGGGAGTCCAGCCAGGGCAGGAAGCGTACGGCATTGGCCAGGCAGCTGTGTACGGTGTCGTACACGGTGCGGTCGTGTACGGCATCGAAGTTCCAGACCGCCAGCGCGCCCTTCTTGTCGCCGCTGACCACGATGCTGTCGTGGTGCGGGTGGAACTCCAGGGTGCAGCACCTTGGGGAGAGTGGGAGTGGGTGGTTGGAGAAACGAACAGGAATAAGAAGGAGACTGTTTACGGTGCATGGCACACGTGCGCGGGGAAGAGTATACAAACGAGCCCCCCAGGCATACCACCCCCACATGATGACGCCTTATCACACGGTCAGTTAGTTGTTCCCTCTTTACCCACCTCCTAGTGTGCAGCTTGAGTATGGCCGCGTCCACCTGGTACCGCGGCACGTGGGGGCGCCGGGGGGTCACCGGCTGGCGGGGGCTGCATGGGGGGGGGGAGGGGAGGGCGGAGGGGAGAGAGGAAGCTGATGGTACCGGCAGTCGCCTGGTAAAGGCTGTGCTGAGCCCTAAAAGCAGAGACAGCATCGCAGCGTACCTCGACACCAACCCAAGTACATTCAACACACAATCACCGTCAATTCCTGCAAACCCAGCACCCCCCTCCCCCCTCCCCCCTCTCCTCAACTCCCACCGCATTCCCGGTGGTGTATCGCCCTCAGCAGGCCGCCTCGGTCGGCCGCCCCATGGGTCGCTCCCCCTGCCGCTGCTGCCGAGGAGGAGGTGCCGCCATGCCCTGGCAGGATCCGGTGGGGGCAGGTGGCGGTGGTGTGGCCCACTTGCTTGCACAGGTAGCAGGGACCTGGGAGGGGGACGGAAGGGAAATGCGGAATGAGAGGCTGACCCGAGACAGCCCGAGACCGAGGAAAGCGAAATGTGGTTCGGAAAAGAGCACACCGGGAGTATATCGCACAGTTATGCACATAGCTGTCGCGTCCATAGTTTCGTAGCAACACAGCCATGGCAGTACAAGAGACGGACAGCCCCGCCTTACGGTTGGGGCAGTCCAGGTAGGTGGCGCCCACGAACCCCGCCTTGTGACCGCGCTTGCCGCACACCTTTGGGAGGGAGGGCGGGGAAGGCGGTTTGGGCAGCGGGTTGTAAGTAGGAAGGGATGTGCGTAGAAAGGGCGCGGGGGGCTCAGGCAGCGCGTTCAGGCAGGCAAGGTAAGCGGCGTAACGAGCTCGGCCCTTTGCTCCGTTATGTGACATGTTTAGACGTCATAACAAAGCATTGTGTGGTAAAAGGGGGTTGGCTGACAAGTATATTTTGGTAAGACCCAGGGGCCGCGGCTACCACTCGTTTACCTTGCAGACGTCATTCTTGCCACTAAGGGATAATGTTAAGCGGCCCGCCGCTGGCTTTTGACGAGAAGTTGTTGCTTGGCTTGAAGGAGCATGTTCCTTAGGCGCAGCGGCATCGGCTTCCTCCTCATCGTCGCTCGCGCCTTCTTCCTGATCATCCTCCTGATCAATTTGCTCCTCCTCCAACTCCTCGCTGCTGCTAGATTCTACATCCTCATCCTCCTCTTCATGCGCGATAACGCGGGCTGCGCGGGCTGGCATGCAGGAGTTGCAGAGCAAGCAGTGTTCAGCTCAGCAGCTCAAACAGGTGAGTGCTAGTTGTTAAACCTAACGAAACAGATGATTAGTTCAGGTTGGTGTAAAACCTGCATCTATTGCCGTATAAACCGGTACGTCACTCCCAAAAATGCAGAGGACGCGATGATCGCAAGCCTATGCTTCTGTATGTTTGCAAGGCTTTGTTAAGAGGAACGGATTTGCTTTAAGCGTAAGGAACCCGCTGACAAGACCCGCCTCAGGCATTGTTACCTCATACGCTTTCGTTGTTGTTCTGGCCTAGGAAGGTCTTTAATTATAAGCCATGGACGACATCTCAGCCCTTTTCAACCAGTATGAGAATGAGTACTGTAACAAGAGCACAGATATATCGCGAAAAATTAACATGGCAACCACCTTAAGTGGAGGTGCGGGTCTGCTGCGTAGCACTCTAATGGGCAAAACGCGTTCTGAGAACATGCTCTGAGACTGCTCTGTGACTAGGTAGCAGTTGAGCAGACGATGAGCAGACGTTGTTCTGCGCGGTTTGCAGAAAACAAGCGGAAAAAACTAGCGGAGGTGGATGCGGACATCAGGGAGGCTGATAACATTGTAAGGATTGCTGTTTACGCACGGCGTAAACCTCCCTTGACGTGTAACCCTATTCGGCTACCTCCAGCTGCGCCGTGCGTTTGACCCGGGGTGCGCGTGCCTTCCCACCCACCACACATCCACCACCTTTTCCCCTTGCCTCCCTCAGATTAAGAAGATGGACATGGAGGCTCGCTCCGTTGCTCCAGACCGGTCAAAGCAGCTCCAAAACAAGGTCAAGGAGTATAAGGCGGACCTTGCCTCGTTGAAGGAGCAGCTAGGCAAGGCCAGATCCAGCTCAAATGACTACGAAGCAGCACGTGCGGAGCTGGTGAGCACTGCTGGGGTCCTCAAAGGGGAGGCTGGTGGAGGTTAAGGGGCGGGGCGGGGCGGATCTGCTACTCCAGGGAACCGTTGGAACCCCGCCCTTGAACCTCTTCCCCGCCTGGCGACGCGTCCCAAAAAGAACTCGCATGTCGCCTCTGCATACTCATTCCCTTCTGCGCCAACCCCTGCCTATTGCCGCTTCACGCCCCCTCTTTGGTTTCCCTTCACCCCCCTAACGCTGCCCCCGCTTCCCCTGCTGCTGCCACTGCCGCTGCTGCTCAGGGTCTGGGTATGGACCACGCCTCCTCCTCCCAGGCGCAGCGCGACCGCATGCTGTCAGCCACCGCCCGCCTCGAGCAGTCCAGCGAGCGGTTGCAAGCGGGCAAGAAGATGCTGGCGGAGACGGAGGTGAGGGGCGGGAAGGGGGGCGGGAAGGGGACGCTGGTGACATGGGCAGGTAGGTGGGCAGTTCAAATCCAAAGCGGTTAAGGAGGGGCTGCGGAATGAGCTTGGGTGATCGTACTCGGGTTGCTATCATGCCATTTGTTGATGGTATTAGCGTTGATGTGGACTTAAGACACAGCAGAGGTGCAAAGGACGGCTATGGATGTATGATGCGTGAGCGCTAGCACAGCCACGGGTGCTGAGGAAAGGTACGGGAGCTTCGTTCGGGACTGGTACTTGTCTTGGCTGGTACTTGTTAGCTCTTCGGAGCTCTGCCCGTGCCGAGGCCAGTCCGGTCTCAGCACGCGGGCTGGATTCCGAACCCCACTAATGCCACTATGCACTCTCAGTAGTCCAACCGGAACTGCGTGTGTGCATCCTTAGCAAAGGAGGGCCGGTGCGCTCGTGCATGTCGTGAGCTGCTCGGTTGGCAAAAGGTGCACTTGCATGTGTGGGTCCGCGCGCGGTTCCCTTCTTGCGGCATGCGCGCATGGCATGTATATAGCGGCGTCGTCGCGCAATCAAAGGCATTCGATGTCCTCCGTTGCATACTACGGCGCGTACTGGTGCCGACGGCTTGTGACCCGTGGGTCGCGGTTGGCCCAACCCGCCTGTAGGCCCTGGGGGCGTCGGTGCTTGCGAGCCTGCAGGCGCAGCGGGAGACCATCTCACACGCCCATGATAAGCTACGGGACGCGAATGCCGACGTGCGGCAGGCTGACGGCACCCTAAAGTCCATGCAGCGGAGGTGGTTCTTTTTCTGAGGGTCATCCGTCTGCCTATGTCACCGCCCCCTAACCTCTCAGGAGCTGGGTAGCGGCATCCTGGCCAACCTGGCCTCCCAGCGCGAGACCATCCTGCACGCGCGCGACACGCTGCACGGCGCCGACGACAACATCAGCCGCGCGCGCAAGATCCTGTCGGGCATGTCTCGACGCATGCTGCAGAACAAGCTGATCATGTTTGGCATCATCGGCTTCTTGCTGACGGGCATCATCCTCATCATCTACTTCAAGGTCAAGTAGAGGAGGAGGCGGAGCAGGAGTGTTCGGGAACGAAGGAGGGGGAGAAGTGGAGGCAGGAGACGGAATAAGGGGAGATGGAAAAGGAGGGAGGGAGATACTAGCTTAAGAATGGGGAAGAGTGTTAGGTAACGGTGGGGACATGGGGAGCCTCGTCAAGGTGTTAGGGGGCCGCTTGCGGGTAGGAATGGCGTGTGGGAGCAGGTATTGCAGCTAGGCTGGGAGCTAGCGGTCAGGTGGGGGGGGCTTGCTTGCTGGCATTACCACCCGCCCCTCGGCAGCGCGTTGGCACATCAGGGGGCAAGCAAGAGGTATGTCTCCGCATGTGCGCGCCCCGTTAGGGAGCTGGGGAGGATGGTGGGTCGTATAGCAAAAGCCTAGTGAACATGCTACGAATGAGATTTTTGTCGTGTACGCTGCAACAAGAGGGGGTGGGTGAGAAGAGGGCTGCTGTCTTGGTTTCGTTTTTGCCACGGCTGACGATGTGTGCCTTTGGGCTGCGGCAACACTTAGCACTGGCTGGGTTTGCTGCTGCCGATACGCTCTACTGGGGTTGCTGGGTATCCCGCTTCTGTAAGGGCGTGACGGGGAAGCGTAGATGTCCCGGGGCTCTGCCAGCGCACTGAGGAGGCTGCGGAGGCTGTGACGCCGGGTGCAACACCCTGCCGGCATGCGGGTGTACCAGTGAGGGGATACTACCACACCTGGAAAGCGGGTTCAGCGGACAGTGTTTTGAGCGTAATTGTAGGGCATTGGAGGACGGGCGCGTGGACCAATGCGCTTTCCTGTGGCATGCTACTTCCATCCACACAGTTTGGTGGAGCGGGGTTCCGACCTCACGTGGCACGATACACCCGGGCGTGTGGAGTCTCATGCAAACCGCCTCGACACCTCGACACCAAGATTGGATGTGTCTGTCGACTACAGGAATACCAATTGTCTTGCCGCACTTCTTCGACCACCATGCAACCATGCGGCAACACAAGGAGTGCAGCAAGGCGAAGGCGCGCAACGTGTGACTACCCGCCAATACAACTCAAATACTGGCACGGCAACGTCCACGTTCGATGGTGGTGGTGGTAATGCTCTGAAGGAACACATCGCATAGCCAAAGCTCGCAAAAAGAAAGGAGGAAACAAAAGCAACAACGCGGAACGATACTAGCAACGCATATAGCCGGCTTCTCAATGCGACACACAGCCTCAGGCTAGTCCACATCGCCCTACCGCTGATTCTCTGACAAGCCCCTCTCCCAGTCAGACATCTCTGACTGCTACATGGGAGCCAGCTGGCCTCTGCATGCAAGGCTGCTGCTGCAGCGGTGGCCGCAGCAGCAGCAGTTGACGATAGCACATTAGCAACCAACCAACGCCAAGCCAACAGCACATCCTCCCCCTCCCCGACGCTATCCTCAGCCCGCATGCGCCACCTCGCCAGCTTCCTGCTTGGCTGCTGCTGCTGCCGGTGTGGGCGGCAGGTATGTGGCCAGGTAGTCCCGGGCGCTGGCGCTCATGGCGGCCCGCGTGGCTGCGTCCCAGCGGCACTCCGCACCCATCAGCTCAACCACCTGCAAGCCGGCGGCGGGCAGCAGCAGCAGTTGTAGGGGGGGGGGAGCCGGGGGAGGGCGGAGGGTGTGTAAGGGATTACCGGAATCCGGCTGCGAGGGCCGCAGGAGCAGCAGCAGAGGCAAGGACAAGGGTTGGGTACAGGGATCGCCGACAAGGTGGGCGCTCCTAGTATGCAGTTGATGTTGAGAAGGACTTCGGACTGCAACCCAACTACGATAGTAGTCCGGTGCGGCATGGACCCCTTTGCAGGCAGACTTCATCTTCCGACATCCCAGTACGTTCCTACTCGCGGCCAGGCTTCTTAACACACACTACTTGCGGCCAGCTTTCATAACACACCGCCGCCAGGGTCCCCCCCCCTCCCCCCCTTCCCCCGCACCCTGGGCAGCGCCCGCAGAGCCGCCCGTGCGTCCAAGAAGGCTAGGCGCGTGCGGCGAGCCAGGAAGTCGGCGGGCGTCTGGCAGTACTCGTGTCGCACGCAATACACAACCTGGAGCGGGGGAGGGGGGGGAGCGGGGGGGAGGGGGGAAGCGGGGAGCGGGTAGGGAAGCGGGAGGAGGGAGAGGGGCGGAGTATAGAGAGATATACCAGACGATATACCAGAGGGGTGGGATGGGGTGGGATAAAGTACCGAGGACATGAAAAGCCAGCGACTAATCGTCCCCTGCTCTCGCCCCTGCACCGTAGCCCCTCTCCATGCAGAGTCCCTGCCTCCCCCCCTCTCCCCCCTCCCACCCCTACCTCCGCCTCCAGGTAGGGGTGTCCCGCCACCAGCTGGCCGCCCAGGTGGTGGTCCTCAGCGGTCTGGAGGGCGGGGGGGGGGTAGGGGAGGAGGAACGTAAGGAGGAACGAGCAGGTCAGGCCAAAGTCAGGAAAACAAAACTCGCAGACCTCGATAGCCGACAACCCGCAAGAACCAAGCACCTCACACCATTCCCTCCTGACCCCCCTTCATCAGCCAACCGCTGTCCCGCTCCCATCCCATCCCAGCTCGCCTTCCCCCTGCCTACCTGCAGCACCCTGCCAGCCCGGCTGCCGTACGCCTGAGCCAGGTGCTGCGCAGTGGTGCCGTCAATGACCACATTCCGGGCCGGAGGGGAGGCCGGCGAGGCAGCGGCCGACCCACGGGTCACCTGGGCCGCCGCCGCCACCTCCTGCTGCTGCTGCGCCTGGGGCCCAAAGTCCTGAGCCAACTGAGGAATCACAAGGGACCCACACCCGCCCGGTTACAGACCTTACAATGCATGCATGCATGCATGTCCCTTGCCCATTGTTGTCCATTGTCCACATCTTCCATCCCCCCTCCATCTTCCATCTGACAACCCAAGCCATGCAACGCAGCCCCACCCAATCACCGGCTATCCGCACTTCACCCCATAGCCCACCTCCCCATCACCCAAGAGTAGGGATTTGGGATCGGGACTCCCTTGCTGCACTCATTTAGTTTCCCCCACCTCCCCCCCCCACACACACCCCCACCTTCGCCTCGCGGCCAGTTATTTTAACACACACACACACCTGCGCCGCCAGCGTGTGTCGGTACTCCGCCCCCGCCCCCAGCAGCGGCACCCGCTCCGTACGGCAGCCTCGTACATTGACCGGCATGCGCCCGGTGGCCACCGCCGCGTCGACCGCCTCCTGCGCCATGAGACGGTAGGTGGTCCACTTGCCGCCGCTGACGGTGATCATGCCGTCCGGCTCCTCCACGATGACTGGGAGGGTTGGGGAGAAGGGGAGGGAGGGAGGAGGTGTTGCATTGACAAGCGCAGGTACGAGCTTAAGGGAGGATGTAGCAAGGGGGTTCAGCAGGAGGGTTCAGCAGGTACCGGTACGGCACCCCTACGCGGACGCAACCCCCTGCCGGCACTCCCTTCTCCCCCCTCACCGTGGTCCCGCACTGTGTTTTGCGTGTCCTTGGCCCGCGGGTCGGCCGCCAGGGGCCTGATGCCCGACCAGGTGGACAGCACGTCGGCGGGGCGGACCTGGGGGGAGGGGGAGGGGGAGAGGACAGCGGTGGGGGTAAAGAGATGACAGCGGTGAGGGGACAGCAGCCGTATCAAGCAGCAGCAGCAGCAGTAGCGACCAACGCCGCCCGCTGTCGCCTCCATGCAGTGTACCCACCAAACTAGCCGAGGGCTTTCCTTGCCCTGCCCGCCATGCCCACCCCCAAACATGTGGTTTCCTACGGTTTGGTATGTGGTCTCTGACCCATTGCCTAACATGCCCTAACATGCAGTTTTCCTTACCTAGCAACGGACGTTTCTCGTTTCTCCCCCCCCGCCTCCCCACCCCCCGCCCCCTCCCTCCCACCTGAATGTCCAGGTAGTCCCGCAGCGCCCCCAGGATGAACTCCACCTCCTGCGGGCTGGCGGTGGGGTGCGGCGTGAGGGGGCAGCGCGCGTCCGTGGTGCCCGCGATGACGCCGTGAAGGAAAGGGAGCATGAACACAACACGACCGTCCTGGGGGGCGGGGGGGGGGGAAAATGGGGAGAAGGGGAGGGAGGGGGGCATGGGTGGGGTGAGTGGTTGGTTAGGGAGGGCAGGGACGGAGGTGGAGGTGGAGGTGGAGCGAAGTAGGATGATGGGTCGGGGCGCGGCGAGAACCGCCATGTATTGCTGTTGCTGCTGCTGCACCGCTCCGTTGCCGCCGTAATACACCGGTAGCCGCTGCAGCCCCCCCTCCAGCCCTCAACTTGGGCTTGGGCAGCATGATGCGTTGATGCCACCCCAGGCCCCACCCCCCCACCCCCCCTCCAGCCCCCCTTACCTTGGTCTTGGGTATGATGATGCCGCTGCGCGCCCCTCCCGCGTAGTATGCTGGCAGCGTCACGTGCGCTCCCGCGGAGGGCTGGATGATGTCCTGCGTGTCCGGGCCCTGAGACATGTGCCGCAACTGGGGTGGGGGGAGGGGAGGGGGGGGGGAAGCGGGGAAGGGAGTAGGTCAGGGGTAGGGAAGCGAGTCTGGCTCGGCTTGACTCCGCAGCGCCCACCCAGGGTGTTCCGCCCCTGGGCGGCGCCTCAGCTCCCTTGCTTACGCATCAATGTTTGTTGCCGGCTCACCTTCCCTTCCCCCCGCCCCCTCCCTCTCAACATTTCCCTCCCTGCCCCTCCCACCCCCCCCCCCCTCACCCTGTCCACGAACGCCCCAGTGGTGTTGAGCACCACCCGCGCATGCACCTCGAAGGGCGGCTCGGAGCCCAGTCGGTCCTGCACCACCGCACCCACCACCTTGCCGTCGGGGTTCTGATGGGGGGGGGAAGGGGCCGGGAGCAGGGAGGGGGCGGGGAGGGGGCGGGAGCAGGGAGGGGGCGGGAGCAGGATTACATGTTGCGCATTAGGCTGGATAGCTGGGTTAGCGTGTAGTAGTTGTCGTTGGGATATGGATGGAGGGGGAGGGGAGCAGGGCAGCGGAGGAGGAGTAGGAGGCAGCGGGCTTGCAAGGGAGCAGGGCAGGAGGGAGGTAAGATGGGAAAGCTGATCATGTGACGTGGCTCGACCATGGACAGAATCCATGCGTCAAAACCCCCCCGATGCGTCACCTTGATGAGGCTCTTGCACTCCACGTAATTCGCCACCACCCCGCCCGCAGCCGCAGCGGTGCAGGCGAGCCCCACGTTGTAGCGCGCATCGTCGAACTGGCCGTCGTAGTACAGGATCTGGTGAGGAAGGGGGGGGAGGTAGAGGGGGGCACCGAGGGGGGGGCATGGGGACCCGCAGGAGTGGAGGTGCAGGAGCAAGCAAGTCCCAGGTCGGTTGCAAGGCACTGGCATGCCCCCCCGCCAAGCCAAGCTATCCAGAACCCAAGCCTCCCCAATACACACACAAAACCCCCTCTTTACCCAGCTTCACCCCTCCCCTTATATTAAACTCCTCCCCTCTCACCGCCCCCTTGAGTCCGCCTCCCCCCTCCTGCTGCCGGGCCGCCAGGGTGGGCAGCATGTCCAGCGCCTCCGCGGGCGCCACGTAGCGGGACAGCACCAGGTTGCGGCGGCCGGCAACCAGGTCGTACGCCTGGGGGGTTAATATGGTTGAAGATTCCGCATTAAGCTGGAATTAAGGATTGCGCATAATCATATTCGTTGGGTTAGTAGCAACGCCTGGGGGGGAGGGAGGAGAGGAGGGAGGAGAGGAGGGAGGAGAGGAGGGAGGAGAGGAGGGAGGAGAGGAAGGAGGAGAGGAAGGAGGAGAGGAGGGAGGTAGCTCGCACGGGGGTTGGTGGTGTGCGTCCGGGTCCGATCCCCTCGTGCCTCTTTGACGCCCTCTTCAATGCCCGCTGTAGCGCCCTTTGCTCTAAGCGGTGATGGTGGCCGAGGGCGTCCAGCCAACCGCCGCTACCCCTCTCGAGCTAACCAACCAACCAACTCTATAGCCACACGGAGGAACCCGCCCGTACCTCCCACCCGTCACCAAACCCCGTCCTCCCACCCCCTAGCCCCCCTCCGCCCCTTCCTCCTTAGCCCCGCCCCTAGCCCCCCTATTCCCCACCTTGAGTCCGGCCCAGTAGTACGGCACCTCCCACCACTTGTAGCAGGGCTGCATGGGGGGGAGGGGGCCGAGGGGGAGGAGAGGTGCGAGAAAGGTGAAGAAAGGGATGAAGCTGAGAGACGATGCTGCTGAGATGACGGCACGCAGAGACCGGCAGGGTTTATGTCCCAGGCTCCTAGCCGACGGGCGACTGACACACTCCGCCCTACCGTGAGAATGGGCAGCGGTGTGGCTAGGTGCGGCGCCAGTGCCAGCATGGTGGAGCGCTCGTGCAGCGCCTCGTACACCAACCGCAGCTGCCGGATGTCAAGCTGGTGGGGGGGGGGGGAGGGGGGAAGGGAAGGATATCCAATGAGTGGTGGGGCGGGGTGGGGGAGGGAGGGAGGGAGGTAATACATGTGTACGAAGGGGTCATGCGGGCCTGGCTGTTGTTCCTTCACTCCCCCGCTCCCCATGTGGCCCCCTCCCCCCGTCACCTCCCTCTTGCCCCCCTCCCCCCTCCCCCTACCTGGAACACCGCCTTCTCCAGGTACCTCACGCCCCCGTGCACCAGCTTGGTGCTCTTGGAGGAGGTGCCGGAGGAGAAGTCCTCGCGCTCGATCAGGGCGGTGCGGAGACCCCTGGGGGGAATGGGAGGGGGTATGGGGGTGGGGTTAAGAGGGGTGCAAGAGGGGGTTAGGGGGGTGACACGCAGCAGGGGCATAGCGCCGGGTGGCTGAGCGCAGGCAGGGCTGGGGAAGCGGCGAGGAGCCAACGTACCGGTAGCGCCCGGGGAGCTGACAGCTGAGCCCCTTCCCAGCGTTAGCCCAGCCTGCCCGCATGGACCGTTGGACTCCCTCATTGCCCTGTTACTCTCCCCTCTCCCCTCTCCATGTCTGCTAAATCCTCTCGCCCTCCCCCTCCCCCCTGCCCCCCCACCTTGTCACCGCGTCCAGCGCGCACCCCGCCCCGGTGGCCCCCCCGCCCACCACCAGCACGTCGAAGGGGCGCTCCCGGGTGCCCCCCCGCAGCCTTTCCAGCTGGGTGCCGCGGGGGGGAGGCCGCTCCAGCAGCTCGATATCATCACCCTGGGGGGGGTGTTGCCAGAGGCGGGCGTTTATTACGGTAGTTTCCCTACGACCCCAAGACCCCCAACCACACCCTCCTGCCTCCCTGCCCGCCCGCCCCCCTCCCCTCTCCCTAGCTACCTCGGGTTGCGGCCCCCCTCGCAGCCACAGCGGCTGGTGCTGCTGCTGCTGAGCCAGCAGGTAGCCCGCACCGCCCACCGCTGCGAAGGCGCCCGCGGCGGCGGCAGCTGGGAGGTACTTCAGGAGCAGGAACGGCATGGTTGGTGTAGGAGCAGGAGGAAGGAGCGGTGGGGAGGGGAGGAAAGAGCTGGGAGGGGGAGGGGAGGGGCAGGAGGGGCAGGAAGGTTGGTGTGGTGAGGAGGGATGTGCGCGGAACGGGGAGCTGCGCTTTGGAGGGCATCCTTGGGTGGGGAGGGAAGGGGAAGAAGATAAATTTTTGGCTGTATAACGCCTTGGCGAATTTGCCCAAATGCTACCAGCCAAGATTATAAGAGCATATACTTAGAATGGCTCGTGGGGCAAGGATTGAGGAGCTAACAGGCCAGAGGCGGCATGGCAGCGGCGTAAAGTGCGCATAAGCAACATGCCAGGTAGTCAACGCTTGAATAGTTGTCCCTGTTTCTTTGTACTGGTAGTCGTCAAAATAAGAAGCACGCGCATCCCGTCGCTTACCGCCTGTTGCGTTCGGTGGTTGTTGCTGCTAGCTCAGCCGCTGCTTGCGCCTCTGGTACAACTCATGCGCTTCTGTCTGTTTTCAATCTAAGCCGAACAACTAACGCTGACTTATTCCAGTGAAACAGAGTTGGTCACTGTCGCCTGAAATGTTTGCTGCTAATGGACATTCAAGTGGGGCGACAGCTGCGTCACTCGCCCAATGCGTCAACAATGTTGTCTTCAACTATTAAACCTTTCTTAGTATGCAACAGCTGCAAGCGAATACTCTTCTGCGTTATGCGAGGTTCGGACAAAGATCGGCGATTCCTATTGCGTCACCTGCGGTTGCCACGTGGGCGTCCCAATGCATTCCTTAATTGAGACCGCATACTAAAGCAGTTATACGCTTCATGGTTTACTTGCAATGCACTTATTGCATTTACTTGTCCCACGGGCCAGGACCGTACGGCAGCGTTAAGGCTTAGCCATGTCAAGGCATGTCGCCTCCAGCAGCGCCTTCACGGGATTTGCTTTCTTATCGGGTGCGACCTGCCTTCATCAGAGGGGTCTTGTTGTCGTTATGGTGTTGCTTGCAATGCGGTTGCTCAGGTGCTCCGGGGGCTAGGGTTCAAATACAGCAGTATCCGTATACCGTACAATATGCTGTAGACCGTGTTTGAGAAAAAGCAATGAGAAGGGTCATGACGTTCCACGAACGCCGTTCCCTCTCTGTAACAGCGTTAACCCAGTCCTTCATGTCCCTTCCCACACCGCTACATCGTATTGCAGGAATGTCCATGTGTTTGATGCCTGATGCAAATCCACGTGTGTGCAATACGGTATGCAAGCGAGCTGTGATGCTGCCCCATGCAACTAGCGAACACGCTACTTGGTGCTGTGACGCTCGCAGCAACAACAACAAGGGTCCAGTCAGGTCACGCTAACGGTAGCTCCGGCTGCACGACACTCAACACACAACACACACGGGGCTCAAGGCCAGTCCTCATCATCCTCATCCTCATCGTCCTCCTCCTCCTCCTCGCTCACCTCCTCTTCCTCATCCTCGCTTTCCGCCACTCGCCGCCGCTTACCGGTAGCCTTCAATGCCCCTGCCGCGCTCGCTCCCCCGCCCCTGCCCCGCCCCCGCCCTCCCGCTGCCGCCCCACCACCTCCTCCACCACGCCCTGCCCCGCCCCTGCCGCCACCTTCCTCCCCCTCATCATCATCCTCAACGTCCTCGCCATCCCCATCCTCGTCTTCATCATCCTCATCCCCTGCCCGCTTCCTTGCTCCCTCAGTGTTACCCTGGCGGCCCCCGGCCCCTCGGCTGGCCCCAGCGCCCCCTGCCGCCTTCCGTTTCCGGGCAGGCGTTGCGTCTTCCTCCTCCTCGTCTTCCTCCTCCTCCTCTTCGTACTCTTCATCATCGCTGGCATCGTCACCGACAGAACCGTCCTGCATGTCGGCGTCGCTGCCACCCTCCTGAAGCAGTTAACAGGCGCAGCAGACAGGGAGATATTGTGAGGTAGTGCGCAGCTGGAGGCACAGCCATTAAGCAGCAGCTTCATCCCCTAGCACGACCATGCCCCATGTCCCATCACCTCCCCCCTACCTCGTCCCCTCCATCCTCCTCCGCCTCCTCCTCCTCAGGCTGCTCCTCCTCCTCTTCCTCCTCATCAAGCACAATCACAGGCGCCGCCGTCTGCCGCTTGCCTCCACGCGCCCCGCCCGGCGACTTGACGCCGGCAGCAGCCTTGCCCGCCTTCGCCTTCGCCGCACCATCTCCATCTTCATCGCTGTCGTCAATGGTAATCACACCGCCACCACCGCCACCGCCGACAGCAGCAGCAGCAGCCTTCTTGCCGCGACCTGTTGCAGGTGACTTGGCAGCGGTGGCTGCAGCAGCAGGCGTCTTGGTCTTCGCGGCAGCAGCGGGGGTGGTGGTGGTGGTCTGCTTCTACATGCAGTAATACATGCAGTAAGTTGTAAGGCGAGGGATCGGGACTCGGGAGGCATCATGCACATCATGCACGGCAAGATGCAGCCTCCATTACAATGCCAGATTTGCCACACCCGGCAGACCTTCCCAGTCCACTGCTAGCAGCCCCATGCATGCATGCATGCATGCGCCATGCTCGACACAAGTATTGTACCAACATGCATTGTTTTATGGGCCCAACGGTTCACCGGAGCCCTCCCCAGTCACACTAAGGTCTTGCTTTCAAGCCCAACGCTACCTTGGCAGGTCGCCTCCGGCCCTCCTCGCCATCCCCATCCTCTTCCTCCTCATCCTCTTCCGACACCTCCCGGTAACTCCGCTTGCCGGCAGCAGCCGCACGCACCGCCGTAGCACGCTGCGGCAGCGGAGCCGTTGCAGGCGCCGCTGCCGCCGTGCCCACCTTCCCCTTGCCGGCCCCTGGAGTGGCCGCTGCAGCAGCTGCTGCTGCTGAGGCCGTGCCGGTAGAGCGACGACCCAGCAAGAAGATGGGTGCAATGCGCCTGCCTGCCGCGTCCCTCGGCTCGCCGCCCCTCGCGTCTCCTCCCCCGCTGTCATCCTGGCTGCCCGACCCGGCCCCGCTGCTGCCGCCCTCCTCGGGTGACTCCCGGTAGGAGCGGCGAGCGGCGGTGCGCTGCGGCCGCTGGGATGAGGGCGGCGCCGCCACTGCTGGCGGCGGCTGTGCATCAGCCTGTGCAACAGGACAGAGGAGTGTTTACCCGAGCACAGTGAGACGAACGGTAGTACAAGGAAAAGGTGGAGGAGGTGGCGTTGATAACGAACACGCCATGTGCGCATGCGTGCGTGCTGTGGTAATCCACGTTGCCTCTCGCTCGTTCTCCTGAATGGTCGCACCTGGCCGTTTGCCTCCCGCACCGGCGCCGCCGGCGCAGCAGCAGCAGGAGCTGCCGCGTCCTTCCCAGCCGCCGCAGCCTCCTTAGCGGCGCCCTTGGAAGGTCCGCCGGCCTCACCTGCACAGCCCCCCCAACAGGACCGTCCTTAAGGATGCTAAGAATGCTAACCAGCGACGCGCCACCACCACAACATCACCATCAGCTCCCATCGGCTGCAGCACCGTGTATATGATGCTGCTGCCGCTGCCAAGAAACCCTACACTACTGCCGTACTACTTCTAAACTAGCAGGTTGCAAGCAACCTCTTCATACCCTCCCTCCCTCCCTCCGCTCACCCGGTTTCGGCCCGGCTCCATACGCAAAGTCGTAGCCGCTGTGCCTCACGGCGCCCTCCGCTGCTTGGGGAGCAGCCCCAGCAGCAGCCGCCCCTCCCTTGGCCGCCCCTGCCCCATCCGGTTTGAGGTGCGGCGGCCAGGGCAGCTGCCGCTCCTCGGGGTTCTCCTCCGCAGTGCCCACCCACCAGGCCTCGGAAAACACCAGCTGAGGGGGGAAGGGGGAAGCGGAGGGGCGGGTGGGAGGCTGGAAGGGCCATGCAGGCGCGATGGGAAACAGCCCTAGCAGGTGCGTTCCCGGGACGACCCAGGGGACGACCCGGAGTAGCACTGCCACGAGTAACTGCCCCAACCCACATCGCCGCCGGCCACCCCCGCACCTACCCCCAGCCCCCCAGCCCTCTTTGTGTGCTCCACCTACTCTGCTATACCCTTCAGCTGCCACCCACCCTGTCACAACCCCACTACCCGCCCTGCCACCCCCGCCCTCACCCCCACCCCGTCCTCACCCCCACCCCGTCCTCACCCCCACCCCGTCCTCACCCCCACCCCGTCCTCACCCCCACCCCGTCCTCACCCCCACCCCGTCCTCACCCCCACCCCGTCCTCACCCCCACCCCGTCCTCACCCCCACCCCGTCCTCACCCCCACCCCGTCCTCACCCCCACCCCGTCCTCACCCCCACCCCGTCCTCACCCCCACCCCGTCCTCACCCCCACCCCGTCCTCACCCCCACCCCGTCCTCACCCCCACCCCGTCCTCACCCCCACCCCGTCCTCACCCCCACCCCGTCCTCACCCCCACCCCGTCCTCACCCCCACCCCGTCCTCACCCCCACCCCGTCCTCACCATGTTCTCAAACACATCCTCCGCCAGCACCGCCGCGCCGCCCCCCACTCGCAGCGCCATGAACTTGGCCCGCGGGAACACCAGCGTGCCGAACAGCTTGACCCGCCCCTCGGGGAAGTCGAGGTACATGACGGGGTTGCGGCTGTCCAGCTGGGCTAGGGAGCCCTGCAGGGGCGGGACAGGGCGGGCAGAAGGGAGGAAGTCAGGTGGGTCGGCAGGTTGGGGTGGACGGCGCAGGCAGCGGGGACCACGGTGGTTCAAAGGGCAACGCTTCTGAACTTCTGATACATGGTCATAGTGAATGCCGCCGCAGCAGCAGCAGCATGGGGGCATGGCTCTTTATGGGTAAGCACAGCCGCAGCAGCACAGTACGGCACAGCGCGATTGTGAGATCTTGGGAACATGCAGGGAGTGGCTGACCACGTGATCAGGCTCTGGCTGGGTGTGGGATGGGTGTGGCGATCCCGGGTGCTCACCATCTTGCCGGCGGCTGCGGGCGCCAGCAGCGCCTTCACAATAACCAGGTACCTGGCCGGGGGGTTGGGATTATCGAGGAAGAACCCGGGTGAGACAGGCTGCTGGGCGAGGTGAGGTGCGGAGTGGGGGTGGAGAAGGAAAGGTCTCCGGTGCAGCGACGAGGCATCTCTCTAGTACATGTGTCACAGCGACTCGGTGTGTACCTGTTTTTGCGACTCGTGCTCTTCTTAACGATGTCCTTCCCGTTCGCCTTTACGAGGGCTGAGGCAGCAACATGAGGGGAGGGGCCGGCCATGGAAGGGTTACAACAACCGAGGAAAGGAGTGCATTCCAACCTAGGCCTGGATCGGACGTGCATGATAGGGTTGACATGTAATGCTGGCCTGGGCCTTGCAAGGCTTTATGGCAAGTATGTATCCTGGGTAGGTGTTCGCATGGCCATGTTGCATGTGTCAAGGGCCAGAGTGACCTGAGCATACCTTTAGAGAGAGGCAGCTGCGTCGTCACGCGACCAACCTCATCTCCGAGCAGCTGCAATGGGATGGACGGGGCCGCATGTACTCTTAAGCATAGGTCGGTTAGGATTGACGGAATGGATGGAACCGGGAGTACCCCAACTTGGGCTGGCAATAAAGCTCACCCCTGTGTCAAGAGCCAGCTCCTTCAGCCGCTCGCTTTCCTTCTGCTGAGCCTGCTGCTCAAGAGTTGCCTTGTCAAGGACCCCATCGTCATCGGCACGTTTCTGTGCCTTCTTCGGAGCCATGTCTAAGGCAGCTCTATGAGTTAATTTTTAATCGTTAATATCGCTCCATATCTTAGGCAACAAGGGAGCCGTTCGCCGTGGGATCGCGCCAAAACGGAAAGTGACAATTGGACTTTTGTAGTTTGTGTCAGCGTCATCAGAAACCAACCATAATACGGATTGCGACCACAGTCATGAACTAGGTACCAACTGTGAAAGGGGCCGCATGCCTGGTCGCTTTTGGGCACCGTATCGTGCTGCCGTGCTGTGCAACATTCCCGTGCATGTCATCAGCGGCACGACTGCGGTCCGGGGGCGAATCCTTCCCATTCAAGACGTCAATGTCTTTATTGCTGCGCGGCCTTACATCGTCTCCCAGCGTCGAATTCCTCTATCTGTATCCTGCCTGTGCATTGCAAGTACGACGCAACAAATGCACCCCGCCGCTGCTCAGTGTGGCAAATGGCGATCCGCTGTGGGGTTTCAGAGATCCAGGGAGCGACGGCAACGAATGACAGCAGGGGTCTTACATCGTACCCATCCATCCTCCCAGGCATAATGGTGCTGGGCAGAGGCCTCCAGACAGGCTGCATCCCAACTCCGGCCCAACCGGTTACCACCTTTCAAAACAAGCTACCCACCAAACGAACACGCAACAGCCAATGAGACACACGAGCGTTGTGTAAAGTCATGTACAGGGCGAAGAAACGCCGCAGAAATGCGCAAACCTGCACAAGTCAACGAGGGTCAACGAGTATACATAGCAAGGTTACACTTCCCCCCTCCCAGCTACCCTATACACATATGCTCCGTATGCTGCTGTTGCTGTGGTTGTTGCTGCACGGCTTGTGGTTGTTGTTGCTGCTGCTGCTGCTGACGAGGGTATTGTTGCTGCGGGTGCAGCTGTTGTTGCTGCATGTGCAGCTGCCGAGAGGGCCCCAGACCCGCAGCACCATGTCCCGCCCCTTGTGGCCCCGCTACCGCTGCTCCCAGTGCAGCCCCCGCGCCGCTGCCCATGCGTGCGGCCGCCTGATGCTGCTGCGGCGGCCCCTCCAGTTGCCGCAGCTGGTCCAGCACCTGGGGACGGGCGGGCCGGGTTGACAAGCAACATGGGGCACACAGCTACAGAAGGGAAGCTCCTGGCAATCCAAGGAATGATGCAAGGCTGCCAAGGGAAAGCACAGCACTCCCAAGTCCTGTCTATCTACTGCTCAATGTGGCTCGCCCTCCCCCACCCCTGCCCCATCGCGGCTCAGTTGCATGCTACCCATGCCCCCTCCCTCCTCCGCCCACGCCACCCTCTCTCCTCCCAACCCTCACCTCCGCCACCAGCTGCTGGAACGCACGGTTCTTCGCCACCTCCTTCAGCACCACCTCCCGCAACAGCCGCCGCTTGTCTAGACCCAGGAAGCAGGGAGACCAGCGACCCGGGCCCAGCAGCGAGCAGGCCAGCGCGGGCGGCTCACTGCCGAAGGGAGCGGCCCCCGCGGCGCCTGCACTGCCGCCACTCATACTGCGGCCCAGGCCTAGACCCAGGCCGGGGGCGCCTGGCAGGGTGGTTGTTGCAGACGCAGGCGGGTGGGATGCGGGCGACCAGCGCAGGGGGCCCATCAGCTCGGAGATGAGCTCCCGAAGGCGAGGCTGCGAGGAGGGCCGAGTGGGTGAGTGGGCGGCAGGAGGAGGGGTGAAGTGGCCAAGGTGAGAGGTGCCGCAACTTCGCTGCGAATGAAGTGAGTCGACCAGCGGTCATGAGTCAGCGCACCCATATCCACCACAGCCCCATACATGCCCACCACCCTCCTGCCCCGCCCCCGCCCCCATAATCGTACCCATAACCATTCCATATTCTTCTCCCCCCTCCCCTAACCGTACCTCATCCTCATCCGCCGCCAGTCGCCTCACGTACGTCACCAGCCACAGCCGCCACTCCGCGGCCGATTGCAGCGCCGCCGCGGCAGCCAGGTTGTGCTCCAGCAGCGCCTGCTCCGAGCGAGCGGCGGCGGCGGGGCGGCCCGCGTGCGCCGCCGCCGCCGCCAGCACGTCGTGCGGGTTGCGGCGCTGGGCGGCGGCGGACTGCAGCCGGCTGAGCTCCCCAGCTGGGCGGGGTAAGAATAAGGGCGGGGTGGGGGTGGTAAAAACAAGTGAGAAGTGCAGCAATTGGAGGGCGGGAGAGGACACAAGGGTGACGGGGCGGGTTAGAGAGAAAGCAGGTTACATGGGGACAACACAGGGGGGGGCGCAACATGGCAACAACGTGTTTGGTCGTGGTTCCTCTGTTGCCACCGGGCCCCGTTTGTTCGTTCACGCGCGCGCACTCTCACTTGACGCGGCGGTGAGGTTGGTGGCGTAGGCGGAGGCGGGGAATGCGTCGTCCGCCACGCGCACCCAGCTGCGCAGCCCCGCGTGGTGCACGTAGGCGTGCGCGTTGGAGAGCACCAGCACGGGGGAGCCGGAGGAGCTGATGCGGGCAGAGGTGACTGGGAGGGGGTGGGGCGGGGGGGTGGGGCGGGGGGCGGTAGGGAGAGGGAGGGAGCGTGAAGGAGAAAGCCAGGGTTGGTTGGGAGGTTGGGACCGATGAGGAGGGCCGCGCGCTGCATCCCTTCTCTCCTCACTCTTCGCCCCGCCCCCGCCAGCATCGCACCTCTGGGCGGCTGCCCTCCTCCCGCCAGCAGCAGCGGCGCCACACTGGTGTCCAGAAGCACCTCCCCCGCCGCAAAGTCCCACAGCCGCAGCTGTCCGTCCGACAGCAGCGCCAGCAGCAGCGAGCTGCCCGCGGCCACACTGAGGAAGGCGGCGGGGCCGCTCAGACGGATGGGCGGGAACAGCCGCCGACCCGCGGGACTGTACACCTGAGGAGGAGAGGGTGAAGGCGTGAGGAGGGTGTGGTACACTGATTACCGGTAATGGAAGAGGAAGGCGGCTGGGAGGCGCAGTGTGGTGGTGGTGGGGGGGGGGTATGCATGAGCAGGGGTGCTCAGAACTCTCCGGTTCCCACACGTCCCTGATCCCTTTCCCCTCCCCGCCGCCAGCCCCATCGTTGTGTTGTCACACAACACATGAAGTATTCTTCTCTTCCCCTCCCCTCCCCCCTCAGCCCCACCATGAGGTCCCCCTGCGATGTGGACACCGCCGCCAGCCGGCTGCTGCCCGCCATGGCCACGATGTGCCCCTGCACCGCGTCGCCCCACTGCCGCGACCCGCCCGCCAGACACACCAGCTCGGCGGTGGGGCGGTTGCGCGCGTCGTGGCCCGTGTTGAGCGCCTGCAGCTCCAGAGGGATCTGCGGCGCCGGGGGAAGATTGATAGGGGTACACGGTGGGAGGTGGGAAAACGAGGGGAATTGCCGGAAGGGTACGGTCAACATCGGGGCAGGTGGCAGGGAGGGAAGCGAGGTAACATGGCAAGGAGTAAAGTGCAAGCGTGGATGACGCTTCCTGTTGCCTCCAACGTACACACCAACAGCACCCGCCACATGCCCCCTCTGCCCCACCTGCGGCTCCCCCGGTTTGCCCGTCTGCGCGTGTATCAAGATGGCCATGTGCGGCTTCACTGGGTCCGGCGGGACCAGCACAGCTGGCGGCACAGGCACAGCAGCACCGCCTGCTCCCGGCCCAGCTGGCCCCACCCCTGGCGCCCCCGCCCCATCCGCGGCTGCACCCCCCAGATTGCCGCCAAGCGGCCGCCCCCCCAAGGAGGAGGGTGCTGCGGCCCCAGGCGCCATGCGCGCCCCCGCCGGCCCCCCCGCGCTGCCGGCCGGCTGCACTGCGACGCGCTTAGCGGGCGGCTGGTCTGGGTCCCGCCCGCTGGGGCCCGCACCGGCTGCCGCTGCACCCACACCCCTGGCAGCGGCCGCTGCAGCAGCGCCTGCCGTCTTGGCGGGGCTGGGCGGCCTGGGCCCTCCGACTTGAATGCGGGCGGGTCCCAGGGAAGAGGGTGCTGCACCAGGAGGGCGTGTGGCTGCCGCCGCAGCCGCCGCCGTTCCGGTCGCCGCAGCTGCGGGATTGGGGCCTCCGTTGACCTGGACCAGCGGTGGTCGTGCTAGAGGCCCGGCCGCCCCGCTAGAGGGCGGTGGCACTGGCCCTGGTCCCGCCCCTGCACCCGCACCCAACCTGCTGTTGAGCCGCTCCTCGCGCTCCACATCCGCTCGTGCACGCGCCTCCAACTGGAGCAGGTCGGGCGCCGCTGTGAGTGCGCTTTTCTGGTTGCGGAGCCGGGGGTCGCCGTACAACTGCGACAGCAGCTGCTGTACCTCCGCCTCCGGCACGCGGCGACCCAGGTCGCCCTCGTCAAACACGAGTGCCGCGATGCTGCCATCGTACGAAGCCGCCACAAGCACCCTACCATCGGGCGTCCATGCAAAGTCGTTAATGAGGCTCTTAAAGAACCTCTTGCATATCAGCGAGGGCTGATCCAACGCTTGGTGCCACAGCGAGAAGCGCTTATCCGTGGACCCCACGGTAACCACGCCGCCCACACTGTCCTCATCCACACCGGCATCGCCATCTGCGGGAGCTGCTGCTGCTGCTGCCGTCCCATCCGCTTGCTTCACGCGTGGCGGGTAGTACAGATGCGGGTTGTAGCGAACAGCCGTTACAGGGCCCGTGTGGCCCACCAGCGAAAAGTCGTACGTCGTCCAAACGTTTCGCCGCAGCAGCGACACAATGTGCATGCCCTTGTCAAGACCGTTGGGCAGCGCCAGCGTTTGGCCGTCGGGGCTCCAGGAGGGACGCAGCGCAAAGCTGACGATGGGTGCGTTTACAAAGGGCTCGGTGATGCGAGCTACCTGCTCTCCGTCCTCCAGCCGCCACACGATCACCTCGCGGTCGCCCTGGCTGGCTAGGAAGAAGTCAAAGGGGTCCCATGCGACACCCTTCACGTGGCCCATGTGCCCCTCCAGGGTACGAATGCAGTGCCCGCTGGAGACCTCCCATACCTAAGGGCGGGCGGGGGCCCGAGGGGAAGGCGAGCAGCAGACAAGCAGGGCAGCATATGTCGGCAAAGGGGCAGTGAGATGTAGAGGGTTTTGCATGCCGGTTTGTGGTAGGTAGCTGCATCGCTCAAGCTAGGCCAGGCTAGGCGCAGCGCAAGGCTCCATGCACGCCATGTTGGCATCCTGCCATGTCCATGCGAGAGAGCAAGGCAACCAGTCGTGAAAAAGGCGTGGAGGAAGAGGCGGAGGTGGTGCAAACTGCGGCAGCCCATCCCACCCTCCTACCTTAACCTTATTGTCCACAGAGCATGTGGCAAGGCGGCGGCTGTCGGGGGCCCACGCGATGTCGGCAACGTTTGTGACGTGGCCCCGCAACCGGGACTTCAACCGCCAGTTCTCAATGTTGGCCGCCTCGCCGCTGCCAAAGACCGCGGTACCTCGCCCCTCATGCATTTCGTAGATGTAGCAGTCCGCGTCATCTGAGCCCGACGCGAGCAGGCGTCCGGAGGGCGCGAAGCGCACGCAGTTGACTGGCGTCGTGGAGTCGCCTAGGAGAGCGAGCTGCTTTGGTACGGCAGGGTCTTGCTCCGCGGCTTCGGAGAGCACGGGCCGCATGGACCATATGCGGACTTTGTTGTCATTCCCACATGTAGCAATGCGTTGACCTGACGGGTCGATATCCACGCCTTGGATTGCGGCTCCTACGGGTTAGGGTTAGGGGCGTAAGCAGAGCGTGATGTGGGTGGAGAGGCCCATGGGGGATACGATTTCGCCTAGCGTGGAGGAATGTGCGAAATGGAGTTTGGTGACAAGGGGGACTTGTAGTTGCTTCTTACGCTTGGAAGGGCAAACCTATTGCGGTGGCGAGCAAAGTAAGGTGTGCTTAACTGCTTGAAAGCATACCCGAAAGCAAACTTCGCACACTTGGTCACAGTGCATGCATATTTTCTGATATGACCGGCATCTGGCCAACACAGGCTCGGCGAAGGTGTAGCGCTAAGCGCAACCTCTCCAATTGGCGCCAAGCACCGAAGTTCAGCCCAGCGCAAATGGCTAGAGTCTTACCCCCATGCTGTATCCACGTCGGTTTATCGCATATGGGCATAGTCGCGCTGAGAGGGGTATCCTGCTGCAATGACCTTAAACAACCGACAGTCAGGACCTATCAAGGGCTGGGCAAGCCAATTGGTTCATACATGTCAATGCATGGAAGGAATTTCGGCAGCATGGCGGCACGCGAAGCAAAGGTTACCGACATCCTAGATTAAACTTTTGTATGGGCTTGTAGTACCAGTACTACGCGGCCAGAGTAATTTATGAACATGAAGCCTCGTGCATCAGTTTTTCCATAGACTAATATTACGAGACACATCTTGCTTACTGCGTGCTTTCCTACTTTGCAAAGCCATTGTAACCTTTCAACCAACTGAGTTACGTGCCTTGTCCTGGTGCAAAGACTTAAGAAGTGGTCTTTTTTGCTGCTTAGCTCAATATGTATGGTCGTGAAAGAGGCCCGCCTCCGCCTCCCCCTCCGGGCGTGAGAGGCGGACCACCACCGGAGTACATGGACCGGGGACCGCGCGACTATCCTCCACGTGACATGGACCGGAGACGCGCACGTAGCCCTCCACCAATGATGCACGAGCGTGAGCGGTATGCCCGGGGCCGAAGCCCGCCGCCAGTGCCAAAGCGCTCGCGGCGAGATGGTCCCTACGATCGTGACTTTCACGAGCCACCCTTGTAAGTTTACACAGCTTAGATACAGAACTTACCTTTTGGTGGCATTAACTAGGCTATCTATGTGGGCATGGTATTCCTTGGAGCGATAGTCTTTTCTGAGTCGCTGTATACCTGCGCAGCCACGGGCGCGGCAGCCCTGATTATGACCGGAGACCTCCGTCTCCTAAAGGCGTATATGACGAGCGGGAGGCCTTCGAGCGCCGTGGCTCAGTTGGGCGCGAAAGGTGCGTTGAGGGCAATTTCTGCGCAACCCAGGGGTGTGAGGCACCATCTGGAAGATTGAAGTAGTGTTTCCATTCTTCAGGCCGGAGGACGAGAAGCGGCCGATGACCTTTAAGGAGTTCACGCTGCGCAAGGTGCCAGATGATGCCGCACCCGACGTGGCGCACCGCATGTACCAGGAGTACTTGGTGGAGTACTACGGCAGCGCCATTAAGGCGGAGTTCGAGCAGAACAAGGACAGCGACATGTAAGCACGGCACTGCGGCTTGGCTTGCTAGGAGGGTGTGCAGAACCCACAGCTGGTACCCAACTCGTTCACGGTATTCTCACCCCACAGGTTCAGGTACCAGTTCGACCCGCGGAACTTTGCCAAAATCGTGGCAAGCCGGGCGGAGGAGGCTCAGGACAGCGCGAAACACATAGGCGCGGATCTGGCTTCGGGCGCCTTGGACGCCAGCCACGAAAACTTCAGCCAGGGCATGTATGACCTGGCCCCCAAAGTTGAGAAGGATAAGCCCCCTGCAAGCGGGGAGGAGGGGCCCAAGTTCGCGCCTAACCTGTGCTGGCGACCAGCCCGCGTAGCGCACGACCTGGAGCTCAGCCGCCGCCTAATCCGCAAGTTGGATGCTGAGAAGAGCATTGAGGAGAACCCGCTGCTGCCGAAGCTGACAGGCACTGCTTCGGGGGCAGCGGCGCTATCGGAGGGTACACAGGAGGGGCAGCCAGCAGCCGCAGGTGGGCACCGGCCGTCCTTCGGTGCAATGCAGCTCCTGGTGTTACGCACACTCCTCCATGCGTGCATTAGTTGTCATTTCGTCTCTGACCTGCTATGAGTCCCTGCCGACCATGTTCTGCCCGATGTCGTGTCTTCCTCAGGTGAAGGAGCCCCGGCCGCAGCCGACGGCGCTCCGCCGAGCGAGCCGGGTTCTGACGGCACAGCAGCCGCTGCCAGCTCCGGGCCGGCAGCGGGGTCAGCGGATGAGGAGCCAGCGATCGTGGTCAACGACTCCAACTACGCTGAGAGCGTCGGGAAGCTGGATCTGCAGCTGCATTGGCTGTGGAAGGTGCACGGTGTGGACTACTATGCGGGTATCGAGCTGAACGAGCAGGACTGGCCGTACCGCCTCAACTGCTGCCGCCTGATTCGTGGGCCCCGCCCCGAGGAGGGCGAGCACGACGAGGCGGCAGAGAAGGCGGACAGGGAGAAGCTGGCACGCACGGTTGACGAGTGCTGGAACGGTCGCATAGCACACGGGGACCCCATTGAGGCCAAATGCCTAAAGGGCAGGGTAAGTTTGCATAGCACAGACGCATTTGATCTGGGTTCGGCCTTTCCAGTCCAACGTAAACGCACTTGAACTTATATCAATACTCTCGTGTATTTGGACGTCTAAAGCCCTGTGTGTCAAAGCGGTGTTGCCTGTCCTCCGATGCCTCCGCATGTGGATCGCCTCTCACAGCATGTGAATGCTCTGCGTGCGCAGATTGAGGAGGAGCTGGACAAGTGGATCGAGTCGCAGGTTACCATGGTGTCTGACAACAAGTAAGTCTTCGTCTGTGCGTACGGCAGTGCCCTGTGCTCTGTTAGTGTGGTGGGGTCGTGCTCTCGTGCAGTTGGGTAAGCGCCATGCGCGGTTTCCTTCCTACATGGCCTGGAAGGGGTAGATAACACTTGGGAAGGTCTGGACAGGTTGTGTCCTGCCAGTCGTTGAGTGCACGGGGTTCACTTCAGCACGAGCCCATTCTATGGACGGCGGCGAGGATGCCCTGCCCGGTAGCGGTACCCCGTAGTATATTATTGACGCAGGGCAGCAAGCACTTGTGCATTGGAGGCGCCGCCGCGAGAGTGTTTTGCCATGTGACTCTTCTTCGGGCGTCGCTACTGCTAATGGAGACCTGTCAACGATGGCGCATTTGGAGTGCAATTTCAAACCCGCAGCTAGCTCAGTTAAATTATTTCATATGACAAGCTGTCGTACATACATAGCCGATACACTCGTACATACATACCCAAGCCCTACTCGTTGATGATCTCGACTTGCTGTACCTCGAGACCAATCATACCTTAATCGTACCAGTTCATACTACAGACTTGACTTAGTAACATGTGACCTATTTACATGAAGATGCTGCTTATGCGATACCTAGTCCATAACAATTAGTAGGTAGACCGAACACTGTGAGCTGTGGGTTTGAAAAGGCCACGTCGAGCCGTCGCTATGGAGCACCTGTGTGCATCGCAAACGGTACTTGCGCGGCGTTTCGTGCGCGGTTACTTCAACTCGTTGCCGTAGCGCTTACAACGGTAGCTGTGCGCGACCTGTCTGCCTGTTGAACACCTGTACTGCCTACATCACCGCGGCTCTCGGTACGACAGGTTTTTAAGCAACATGCTGACGTTTGTCGTGCTGCAACGTGCAGATGGGGCTCGAAGCTGAGCAACAAGCTGTTTGTGGGCAAGAAGTACGTCATTAAACACATCAAGACTAAGCACCAAGACAAGCTGGCGACGGAGCGCGAGCGGGTAAGCCTTTGGGGTGCCCGAATCAGCATGTACTACGGCTCCCATTCGGCTCGGATGCCTCCATTCGTGTCACTCCTTTCCATTTAACAACGTGTTGCTTGTTACGCAGATTTTGGACATGCTCTACTTTGAGAACTTCCGCGCATGGAAGGAGGACGAGGAGCGGCGCCGCGCTGAGGAGGAGCAGCACGCGGGCGAGGCGATGGAGGGCGAAGGCGCGGGCATGGAGGGCGAGGGGTCGTACGGCGGTCGTGGCCGTGGCCGCGGTGGCATGATGCGCGGTCGTGGTCGCGGTCTGGGCCGGGGCATGATGGGGCGAGGACCCATGATGGGCATGGAGGGACCCATGATGATGCCCATGCCCATGGCGCCCATGTTCATGCCACCAGGTGAGATACATGAGCTGGGAAATGGCTTGTCCCGGGTTGTCCCCATGCCGCTTGACTTGCGACCTCAGTTCAGCTTATGAAATCGGATTAACTTATCTCTGACTTGGCTGTTTCCTGACCCTTCCCGCGAGCAGGCCCCATGGGACCTTTCATGCCCATCATCCCCGGGCCCGTCCCGATTATCCCGCCTGGCCCGATGCCCATGCGGGGGCGTGGGCGTGGACCCATCCGTGGCCGGGGCATGCCCGGTCGGGGCATGGGGCCGCCCAAGATCGACTCCCGTGGGATGCGCGAGTACTTTGACCTCGACCACCCAGCTAACAATCGGGCGGTGCTTGACTACGGTGACCTGTAAGGGTTGAAAGCTTGGCGTTTGGAGAGAGTTGATGATGGTTTGCGGTTCACGCTTGGTGCTGTGAACGCAACCTGCATAATGTTTTTGCTTTGCGTACGGGTCATGGTTTGTCCACAGCGTAAGCGCCTGCTAGAAAAATGTGACAATCGTGTGTTCAGTGTTAGTGACCCGTTTTGCGGCAATGCCCCGGGTCGCATCGCCATCATGGGTCTTCGAGGCTCCAAGGAAAGGGTGAATGACATTTAAGGCATGTTACATGGCACGGTTGGGCCCTGGGGTAAAATTAATGATTGGGCCCTGGGGTGGGTGCTGCTGCTGGAAAACCGCGGTGATGGGAAACGGTCTCGCTTGTTTTTTGGTCTCTTGTCCGGGCCTCCACGTAGGCTCTTACGTTGCTGAACATGACAAGGCGTTTGGCCCTCTCGTGTCGATAGGCTGCTCATTATGCGGGCAGGGTGAAGCGCAAAGGGCCGAAAACAAGACTCGGTTAGGCAAAGAACCGTAATTGTCGTCTCTGCATAGGGTTGCTATGGTGTAAGCAGCCTTACCGTAATCGCTTCAAGGGGTCGATTGCATAGCTGGTAAGGTACCCGGCCGTGGTACCTACGACAATAGTGCTTAACCATGAGGAGCAATTCTCGTGTGGCGCAAATCAGTGCGCTTGTGTGCTGTCGCCAGCAGCGGGCCTCTGGCCATGCATGATGGCAGGGCGGTAACGTCGTGTTTGCGGAGGCCATGTAACTTACCGGAAGAACTCCTGGCAGGTTATGGTGCTATACTCAACCAGCACGACGCTTGAAGTGGCGACAAAAGATACGCCTTCCCTGCAAGCCAGGTGCCTGACAGTGAGCTGAGCCCCGCGTTGTCCGGCCCTGGCCATGCGTTCGGCAGAGCATGCGACAAACCGTACTGCATTGTTAACCGCTTGTGTACCCATGCCTACGTCGTCATCGTTACGTCTTTTCCACCACTGATGATCTGCATGGAGTGGGTTTTGGGCGGTAAGGTGTAAGACGGTAAGATGAAAGGTTCCGTGGGGTTGGCGACCACGAATGGTGTCAGACATGCTCATACCATTGACACACGCTTCCGCCAAGAACATTTTGCCACCGATCGCAAAGAGCCCCGTTCTTACCTCGAACTGCTTGAAGAACCCAGTTGACCCAACCGCTAGGAAGTCAGTCGGCAGCCTGCACGGATCACCGCAGAGCACCTTAGCATGCAACGATGCATGGTAAGTGCATGCTGAGCCCAGGAGCCAGAAGCTTACTGGGCTGTTAGGTCTCGGAAGGAGTAGCAGGTGTTGGGGTAGCACTGCTCTATTGACACTCTGCACTTGGTCTCTGCATGCGCACAGGGGCAGCAAACACAGTGAGGCAACCAGGCATGGGGGTGCTCTTGTCACCAGCCCCTTGTGCCCCCGTCTTGCCTGTGCATGTCACGGGTATGCGCAAGGTTATCTGCCCATTCCCTTGCGCGTGGTATTGCTTTCTGCCATTGCCCCAACTCCTAACCGCCCACGAGTGAGATCTGAACGACCTCCTAACCTCCAAAGTTCATCAACAGGCCTTTGAAGCTCCCCGAGGTCGTGTTCTTCCCGTAGGTGCTTTTCACTTGGCAGTTCTGTTCGAGCTCCTTCTTGAGTGTGCAAGGGGACATGGCGTACCTTGCGCAAACGATTGTGGCGAAGCAACACGTTACGCGGTTTGCACCCTGCAGCTTTCGTACCCTGCGCCAGCGCTCCTTACCGGTTCGGGAACAGGCTTCCCTGCACTATTTGCAAAAGCGCAACCCACGCAACGCCCAAGGCAAAGAACCGTAGATACATCATTCCTGCTGAAAGCAAGTAGCCATCCGTCTAGAGGATAACAGCTGAATTACCAAACATATGCATGGACAGCTGCTGCTGGTTAGCACGAAGTTAAAGGCTAGGAGCTGATCAAGCAAATCCGGCAACACCTTTATTTAGTCAGGTGCGGCATGGGATTGGCAAGTTGCTTAGAACTTTTGAGCTGTCGCTGCTAAGATGTTTCACGTCGTCGTACGGTACCCTGCGCGTCGGTACATTGTGTCTCAAGAAACTGCTATTCTCCAGGAATAGACTATTATGATGTAGGACATGCTGGTACATCTTCGTTTTCCCTTTCCAATAACCTACAACACAGCTAAACATCATTCTGCGGCTCGCACTTACGGCTCGACACGACTCACTCCACAGGGCACCAAAGTTCTAACCCATTTCGGATCTTAGGAATGAAGCTTCAGATAGCAGCCGCGCGCAAAATGTCTATAGGGCAAGCCTTAATGCTCTTACTGGTACTGCGGTTTGCGCAAGGGTCGCGGCTTGTCGAGCAACTTGATGGGTGAGAGCTCACGCCATGCCACCTTTTACGGTGGAACGTAGCATGTTGCCTACTAGGGTTCTCGCTTGTACTGTTGCACTTCACTCCCAGTCCCTCGCAGGCCCACCGCCGCCGTCCTCGCACTCCCTTAACGTGAACCTTCTGGCCTTTCAGGCATTTTGGCCAGCACACGGTATCGAAAAACAACCCAAGCGCCCAAGGCGACCTTGCCAGCCTCGATGCAAAGACGCTTCTGGACCGTTGCCTGGTAAGTGCCTACCCCCAGGGAAAAGGGCAAATCCCTTTTGCCCTTCTACTAGACTCCTCCGTAGCAATCCCCATGCCATGTCTTGCCGCAGTAACCGCGCGCCTAGGCCAAGCCCCTACCCACGCAACTCCGCCTCCCTGTCCCACCCCCACCCCTGCTCCTCCTGGCCTGACACCCACAGGCCGACGCAGCCTGCAGCGCCTCCCTGACTGCTGCAGCCCGGCAATGGCTGCCCAGCCACCCGCTCAGACCCGCCGCCGGCGTTCAGCCCGCCGGTGATGACAGCACCAACACCGGCAGCAGCAGCAGCGCCAGCAGCATCCAGGCCACCGCCAACACCCCCACAGCGATCACCGGCGTCAGCTGGAGCAGCCGTACGGAGGGCCGCCAGCAGGGCGACGAGGGGGCGGACGGCGAGGAGACCAGCCTGACGCTCAAGGGCTGGGCGGCGGCGGCGCTGCTGGTGGAGGCGGTGGCGGGCATGTACCTGCCGCTGCTGCTGCAGCGCCTGCGCTCGCCGCAGTGGTGGCTGTCGCTGCTCAACTGCTTCAGCGGCGGCATCTTCCTGGCGGCGGGTGAGCACCTGGGGGGGGTGGGAGGTGCAGCCCGGAGGTGGAGGTGCAGTACGGACTGTACGGCAGTTCCCACGTCGCACTGTCGTAGACGCACGAACCGGTATAGCTCCACACAACATCAACGCAAGGCATATCGCAATCTACCCACCACCCTGCCAGCTCACCCCCAGCTAAGCGACGCGGCCACCGGCGGCCCACCCGCTCATCCCTTCACCCCGCACCCCCCTCCCCCGGCCGCCCGCCCCCGCAGGCATCATCCACCTGCTGCCGCACTGCGCTGAGGCCCAGGAGGCGCTCGGACCCATCGGCCCCAACGGCGGAGACTACCCGCTCTACCTGGTGGGGGAGTGGGAGGAAGGACGCGCGGGGGGGGGCGCCCGTGTAGTTATCTATCTATCTAGCTAGTTTACTGTCTAGGGGTGTCACGTTGGAGATGTGTGCCGCAGCACCCCCGGTGGTGACTGCGTGAAGCTAGGCGGGTACGGTAGCCACACGACTGACCCCTGTCCTTCCGACTTCTGCGCCCCCTCCCCACTGCCCCAACTTTTGCTTTCCTGCGGGTTGGTCTACCAATTTTACCAACTGCCACTTGCCTGCATGCGCCCCCCCCCCCTTCCCCTGTCCGACTCCGTTGCTTCAACTTTCATTCGTTCTTCCCCCTGTCCCCAGCTGTCCCTAACAAAAACATTATGTCAACGGTCGCTGCAGGTGCTGGTGGTGGTTGGCTACTGCCTGGTGTTCTACGTGGAGCGAGTGCTGTTCGACGTGCACGGCGAGGGACACACGCACTGCCAGCACTCCAACGTATTCAGCCACAGCTGCTACTACGAAGCCATCTCACACAGACCGCACAACCACCGCAGCTGCGGCCATGTGCACACCAACCACAACCATAACCACCAGGGCTGCTGCGGTGGCGGCGGCAGCGGCGGCGAAGGAGCCGTGGAGGGTTCCGTCCATCGCGGCCACGACCGCTCGCATTCGCGCTCGCATCGTCACAAGCCGCTGCAGGGCCCTCCTGCGCTGCTTATTGGGGCGCCTGAGGGTGCGTCCAGGGTGCGTTCAGAGGACTCCTCTGCTGGCGGCCGCTGTGTCGGGGGCGGCTTCCTGCTGACGCTGGGCGCCCAGGCCGGCGCCGCTGAGGGAACTGGCGCGGTGTGCACGGGGGTTGTTCCCTCGCTGGCGGATGTGCTGCTGGTGGGGGCGCAGCAGGGGCGGGGACAGCAGGAGCCGGAGGAGGAGGAGGATGCGGAGTCGTGCCACAGCCACCACACTCCGCGGGCGGTGTGCGTGTGCGTGGAGGGCGAGGAGGAGGAGGAGGAGGAGCAGGCCCCGGCTCACAACCACCACCGTCATCACGACCACCATAACCACCACCACAACCACCATCAGCAGCTTCACCAACACCACGGCTCGCTGCACGTACCGCTGCTGGCGGCTGAGGTCACCGCCGCTGCGCCCGCCGCCACACTGCCTGCTGTTGCCCCACCCGCTGCAAACGGCAGCGCTGGCGGCTGCTCAGGCGGCACCTCTGGTGACGCATGCAGCGTAGCCTCCTGGCAGCAGCAACAGCAACAGCAGCAAACGCACCCCCAGTTGCTGCTGCCCGAGCCCGCCAGCTGCCCCTACCACCTGCAACACCCGGCAACCCTCCACCACCAGCACCCCCACCAGCACCACCCCCACCACCGCCCCGGCGGCGCCCCCCACTCCAACGACTCCTCCCTCTCCTCCTCCTCCTCCTCCCACTACCACCTCAACCACCACCACAACCACCACCACCACCACAACCACAACCACCACAACCACCAGGGGAACAGCAACCACAGCGGCAGTGACCAGCTCCAGCCCCACTCCCACTCCCACCCGCTACTGCTCACGCACCAGCGGCACCACACCATCAAGCCGCGCTTCCGCTTCATGCACGGCGTGGTGCTGCTGCTGGCGTTGGCGCTGCACACCTCCCTGGAGTGCATCGCGCTGGGGCTGCTGCAGCAGCGGCGGCAGTTCCTGCTGCTGCTGGCCGCTATCGCCAGCCACAAGGCGGTGTCGGCGCTGGCGCTGAGCAGCAGGTTCCTCAAGGAGGGCGCAACCATGAAGCAGGTGGGACGGGTGACGGAGCGCCTGCTCTATAGTACGGTAGGGGGAGTTGTGGCGTTATTGTGCAGTACGGCACAATAACGCGCCCTCAAACCCCCCCCACCTCATTCACTCCCGCCCTCACCCCCTCCCCGCACCCCCAGGTGACCATCTACGTGGGTCCCTTCTGCCTGGTGGCCCCCCTCTCCATCCTGGCCGGCGTGTACGTGGGCCGTGTGGCGCCACTGGCCTCACTGGTCTTCAGCTGCTTCGCCACCGGCACCTTCCTGTACGTGGGCGCCTCCGAGGTCATCATGGAGGAGTTCGAGGGCGAGATGCGGGCGGATCGGCGCGACATCTCCACCGCCGCGGCGCGCTACATCAAGTTCGGTGCGGTGCTGGCGGCGGTGGCGCTGGTGGCGGCTAGCGGGCTGCTGCCGGAGCCGGAGGGACACCACTGAGGGGGAAAAATAATAATTAAGTGCAACAACGCAATCCCAATCCCGAATCACTGAGGGGGAGGGGGGCAGGGGGCTAAATGTGTACGGCGCTGCTGCTAGAAACAGCTGAGTTAAGAAAACTGGCCGCGAGTGTGTGTGTGTGTGTGTTATGTGGAGGTAGAAGAGGGGGCAGGCGATGGGGGGGAAACATAGTGGAAAGGCGCCATGTGACGAGGTACATGGGACGACGCCGTTGAGGATGGGGTGGAGAGGAAGAGCATGAGGAGGCGTGGAGCACGTGAACCCAGCCGGGAGGGTCCCTGTTGTTGGCGGTGGTAGTTGGGGGGTGGTGCGGGGTGCGGGTTTCGGGGTGTGAGAGGGGGCGCGTGTGTGTAGGGAGAGAAGAGGTGTAACAGGTAATGGGGGGGATCGGAGTGGGGATGTGTGTCGGGGGGTACGGGTATGAGCAGCGGTGAGGCGGGTGGAACGCGATGTGAGGGCAAACGCAGTTGCGGAGACACAGACAAGGAGTGAGCCTTGACGCAAGAATGGTGCTACTGGCAACAGACGGCAGGTCTAGACGGCCGAGTGGCGGCCTGGCAACATAGACCACGCAGACAATGCGACAACAATAATGCCCTTATTTAATGAGCCGTAGGGCTGTGTGTCTTTCTGTGGCTTGGCTGGTTACCGTATCTCCTGCTGCTGATGTCTGCGCTCAACGTCCAACGACACAAGCGGAATAGCACGTCAGCCGTGTGTTACTGTTCGCCTGAGATGTTTTGTGCGCACTGTTTGAAGGCAGTGCCCGTGCATGGAAGAGGATAACGCGGAACCGTGGGTCTGTACGGTAGAAGCCTGAACAGCATTGTCTTCCTGCAGTGCTCGTGTCGCGGCTTTGCCCACACACCGGTGTCAGCCGCACATTGCCATTGTAACCTATACTAACGCAAACACCCAAGGGTACTGAAGTATCGTACAAGCAACTTCCCTCCAACTTCCCTCGGTGTTGGCAGCGCAACCACACAAAGACGCATGTCCCGCACACCTACCGAAATGATGCAAAGTACCGTATCTCAGTATACGGTAGCATTTAGCAGCACCGTATATGTGCACGCCACGACCTAAGTGGTGGTCGTTCCTCTATTACCCTTTCACTTTCTCGGGGCATATATCACATGCAGCGACTCGCTATCACATCCATTACAAAAGTAAGCCACAACTCGGCTGTCTGCCCATCCACACCTATCCACGTTCACGTTAACTCATCCGCGTACCTCAATAGCCCCGACGGTGCATGACCCCACCGCTGCCTCACCACCACCCTCCCTCACCCCGCCGCAGCAGTCCTCCCAACCCAACCACCACCCCCAGCCCAATCACCAACGTCCTCACCGCCGCCGCCCGCAGCCCCCGGGCCGCCGACCCAGGGGTCACCTCCTCGATAAACACCAGGTCCACCACGTCACCGAACTTGCTGGCGTCCAGCGGCACCGGCCCGCCCGGGGGGCCCAGGCTGCCTGCTGCCATGCACGACTCCAGACTGGAGGAGGCGGCTGCGCACTCGGACATGGCCTGGGCTGTGGCGTTGAACAGGGCGCTATCCTGCAGGTGCAGGTGGGGGAAGCAGCAGAGCCGGAGCAGGGCAGGAGAGTAATGGGTATCAGTCCAGGTTAGCGGTAACTACCCGGCAGCCAATTAAACCACGGCGGTTGGCGAACAGGGAGTCAAGGAAAGAGGGCAGTGTCACCGGAAAGGAGCCCCAGAACGGTGCCGCTTCCTGGACCCTCTGCCCAGCCCCTCCCACCCCCGCCAACCCTCCCTCCCCTCCCACCGCCACCTTGGGAATCCTTCTTTTCCCCACCCCCGCCCTCCCACCCACCGCTCCGAACAGCTCCAACCACACCAGCTCGTCCCGCAGACGACACATGCCGTACTCGGCCGGTCGGTCGGGTGCCAGGCGGCACACGGGGTCGGCCGCGCAGTCCTCGGGGGTGGTGTAGTTGCAGGCGCTCTTGATGGTCCAAACGAGGTCGGAGGTGGGGCAGCTGCCGAACCACTCGCGCTGCCAGATGCCTGGTAGCAGGGCCAGGGGTGGGGGCGGGGTTAGACGGTGAAGGTTGGCAGGCAGGTTGCCGTAAGTAGAGCATTAGCATCCCACGCTCCAGCTATGTCGCCTCCCGCCACTTTGCCCCGCCCCCTCGCCCTTCACAGCCCCGCCGCTCCGCCACACCGCCCACGGCTCCTTAGTTGTTTCCTCTTTACCCACCACCCACCGCTCCGTATGCTGGACACCAGCTGATCGTATCTGTCCCGGTCCTTCACCCCGCCCGCCGGGCTGGGTCCGCAGGTGTCGGCCTCGCTGTCGTTGCGGGCGGGGAACCACCAGCAGCGGGCCAGGTTGCCGTCGCTCTGGCCGCACCAGTCGTTGTCTCCGCCGGTCAGCTGGGAGGCAGGGCGGGAGGCAGCGAGGGCGACAGAGCGAAGTCACAGCACAAAGCCAAACCTCACGAGGTGAGGGAGGTGTGGCGACCTGCCAGCCAACCACCCATGCCAAGCAACTTACCACGACGCCGACCTGGTAGCAGCGGTCCCAAAACGGCGTCATCTCCGTGTCTCCCGCGTCCTGGCAGTGCAGGTAGGTCAGCAGCCGCGGCAACAGGTAGTCGGAGGGTACGGCACAGCGCCCCTGATCCGCCTGCCACCTGCAGCCGTATGGACCGGTACGTGTGTTACCCGTACGTCCATGATGAGCTTCCTGAGTCCTGACGGCCTCGTCTCGTCTGGGCCTTACGAACCGAGACTCCTAGAGCGCGCGTACCAAATTCAGACAAGCAAGCAGTCATTCAATACCGGTACTCCCTCACTCACTCCCTTCCTCACCTGCAGTCGTAGGGTTCGTGGCGGTAGGTGCCGCAGCGGCCCTTCCGGTCCATGAAGCTGCACTGGTAGGCGGTCCAGGCGGACTTGAGCAGCATGATCTCGATGGGGGTCTCCGGGGCGGGGAAGTCGGGGTGCGCCAGCACAGCGGGGTTCAGATAGCAGGTGCCGGTGGTGCTGCTGGTGCTGGTTGCATCGCTGGTGGTGGGGGGGGTGGAGGGGGTTCCCGAGTCGCTGGTGGAGGCCTGCAGGGCCTGTCGGCGTCGGTGGCTAGCGGCGGTAGCGTCGCTGGATGGGGGCGGTGAAGGGGGTGAGGCAGAGGAATCGGGTGTGGATGGAGGTGAGGTGGGGGAAGGGGGCTCGTACAGGCACTGCGTGGCGTAGTAGGGCTCAGCAGCGCTGGCAAGCCGTCGACGACGACTGGCGCCCGTGCGGTGTTGTGGATAGGGTGTTAGGGTTGCTGGGGATTGGGAGAGCTGCTCTGACGCCAGAAATCGGAGCCTTGCAAGAGCTTCTCTGTTATAAGCTTGCAGGTGCCGGCGCCTCTGAGCGGTCTCGGGTTCTGCGTCAGCGTCATGGGCGTCGGTGCCGCTGACAAGCAGCGGTCCGAGGCAGACGCAGCCAAGAGCAAGTAGCAGTTTTAGTCGTGACATTAAGTGCGCTTTTCAGAGGAGTAACCGTTGCATCGTGTGGACGGGCCACATGCCCTTCGACATTTGTTAACGACTATATGACCAGGAGCGCATTTAACTACTGCATAAGCTTTACGAGAGTGTAACAGTGGTAGAAACGTTTAAGTAATGGTCAACTAAACAGTCCGAACGACGGCAACAAGGGTATTACAAAGCCACCGTATAAGGCAAAAGCCAAGTATTTGGCTGGGATCTTGTATCTACTACGAGTTTTCTTTAATTTGTGGAAATATGAACAGACTCTCTGAACTGCTATAATTAGTACTCAAATCTAGGGCATATTGAGTGTAGTACCCAGAGTAGTGAGACTACCCATGCCTGATATGACGGATTGAACCGACATAACGTCACAACTCTTAAATATGGAAGTAAACGTCACGATAAGCGCGTCTGGAGACGGCGTGGAGGCAGTCGTGCTGCTGCCGGGCATTGCATCAGCTAACGAGGTCGACGTCGAGGTCATCGGGAACGATGCACTGCTCATCCAGAGCACATGCGGCAAATCTGTTCAGGTGCCGCTGCCTTTACCAGTCGATCCTGACACAGCGCGGGTACGCTTCAGGCGGGCAACCGGCAAGCTGACGTTCACAGCCTCCGCAATAGCTCGAATCCACGATCCCGACACCGCCGCAAGCAGCCGTCAAAACCCAGCTGAAGCCTCAGCGGGTTGCAGCGCTTCCGCTCCGCCTCCTAGCGCAGCCGCTCTCACGGATGCAGGAGCCGGGTCGACACCAGGCACCATGCAGCAGCCCACGGAACCACCTGCGCCGAACGTACCAGCGGCGGCAGAAGCACCAAGCCTCACAGCCGACGAAGCCAGGTCCTCGCCAGCAGCGGCAGCTTGCCCTGCTGGCCCAGATCTAAGCCGGCATGAGCGTGAGCTGCCCTCTTCAGAGTCCTTGTTACCCTCGTGCGTTACGGAACCGAACTCGGCATGTGCTAGAGAGCAAGACCCGTCGGGTCCACCAGACGGCACCGCCGTTCCATCCAGCGTCGTTACCACTTGCAGTGGTGCACTGAACCCGACCCGCCCAGCCCCGTCTCCTGCCGTACCGCCAGCAACCGCCTCCGCCAGCGTCGCCGAGGCAGCCGCCAACACCGGTGGTGGGGCTCCAGTAGTACCACCATCGTCACCGCAACCGCCACTGCCACCGCCGACAGCCCCTCGGTCCCCCGGTTGTGAGTCCGTGTCCTCTTCCGTCGATGACGCTGCGCTGTACGCGGAGTTTTACGGCGAGGAGTCTCGGTTGCCGCCTCCACTGCCGCCGCCAACGAAACCTGTATCTACCACAGACGCATCTTTGTTAACATCCTCGTCGCCGTCCTCGCCACCGCTAGCAAGATCACCAACGGCATCAGCACCCTCCTCCTCCTCCGCCGCCGCCGCCGTCAATGCTCCCAAAGTCGACGCCGCCTTCGCCCCCACCGGCGGCACCGCCAGTCGCGAGGGCGGCTTCTCCTTCACCGCTCCCGACCTGCCGCCGCCGCCGCCCCTGCCGCCGGGGCTGCCGCCAGTGGCTGCGCCAATTGACTGTCGCTACCTCTCCGTCGCAAACCGACTGCGTGTGTCCGCGCATGCGACCACAGCCGCCATGGCTGAGCTCTTAGGGCTACGTCAGCGGCCCTCGCAGGCTGCGGAGCAGCGCAAGACGGATCGAGTGAACCAGATCCTGCAGAACGTGGCGGATACGCTGCAAGCGTACGGATATGCCGTACTGGATAACTACATCTCGGAAGGTATGTATACGCGCGCGCGAGGAAAGGGGTTACTTGCCTGCATGCCTTCCTGCCCGCTTCGCTCCTGCAGTCCTCCTGCTCTTTCCTGCCCATCCCGACAAGCTACCTTGCTACCTTGCAACCCATGCACACCCCTGGCATCACAGCCATTCACCGCATTGCCCATACATTACCCATGCATTACCTCCACCCAGAGGCCGTACAACTAGCTCGCAAGGAGCTGCGTGTCATGGAGCCGCACTACAGCCCCGGCATGATCTGGGTCGGCAAGGAGACCGAGGTGGGCGCGCAGATCTCCGTGTCCGCCGTACGAGGCGATGTCGTACTGTGGCTGGACGACACCGCACTGGGCGCCACCGCCTTTGTGAAGGACGGGGTGCGGCGCAAGTGCAGCTTCATCCAGCTGCAACAGGTGAGAGATGGAGGGACTGGGGGGCTGGGGGCCGACCACACAATATACACGAGGCCTGGAAGGGACCGCACAAGGACCTTCGTAAGGGCGCAAGCATGCAGCTGCGCTCATAAAAGCGGCGATGGATGGGATTCCAGAGGAGGCGCTGTCCAATTTTCCCTCCCGCCCCTCACCACTCTTCTTCTTCTCCCCTCCTCCACACCCCTCCCCCAGCTGCTTGCTGACGTGGACGAGCTGGTGTTTGAGGGGCTGCGGCCGCGGCTGCCGTACCTGGCGGGACTGCACCGCCGCAGCGACGCCATGATGGCGGTGTACCCGGTGGGTTGGGGTGGGGTGGGGGAGGCAGTGGGGGCTTGGTGGGCTTGGTGGGGGGTTGCAATGAGGGCGGGGTGATGGTGGGGGCGGAGACGGGGCCGGATGTGTATCCCAGTACCTTCCTCACCCCGCCTGCCTTCCTGCCTGCCTGTCTACAACCTCACCCCACCTCTCCCTCCCTCCCTCTCGACCCCCCTGCAGGGCAAGGGCGCCCGCTTCGCCCGCCACGTGGACAACACCACCGGGGACGGCCGCCGCCTCACCGTGGTGACCTACCTCAACCCCGGCTGGCGGGAGGAGCAGGGCGGCGCGCTGAGGCTCTTCCCCGTGCGGCAGGTGAGCAGCTGGCTGCAGGCGCATGGCGTGGGAGGGTGCGGCCTGCGGCGAGGCCATCGGATGTCATGTCTTCAAAAATGCCAATGCCTGGAGCTTCATTTGCGTTCTGTTTATGACACCCATATACGGCACCGCCTCCCACACCGCGTGTTGAACTCCCCACCCCCATCCGCTGCCGCCGCACACACCCCCTGCCACAAAACGCGCGCCCCCAGGGCTGCACAGGCGTGGTGGACGTGCTGCCGCTGGCCGGCCGGGTCGCCATGTTCCTCACCGCAGAGGTGTCGCACGAGGTCATGCCCGCCTTCGCGCCGCGCCACGCCGTCACCCTGTGGTATTTCGACGCGGGCGAGCACGCCGCCTCCCTCATGGCTGCCCGCGCGCTGCCGGGGACAGCCAGCAGCCGTCCCTCCGCGCAGGCAGCTGCCACGGAGGTGCTGCGGGACCTGTTGGCGGATGAGACGGCGGCATCGTCCTCGTCGGGCGGCATAGCGGCCACGTGGGAGGGCTGTGCGGCGCTGCGGGCGCGGGTGGGCGGGCTGGAGGTGGGGGCGCAGCAGCTGCTGGCGGCGGTGCTGGGGCTGCCGGGACCGGCGGCGCTGAAGGAGGCGATGCAGGTGCGGTGCGCTGGGGTTCGCGGGTTTGGGGTGCTTGGGTTCGCGGGTAATGGGTATGGATAGAGTAAAGCGATGGAGAGCAGATGGTGTTGTATGGTGGTGGTATGGAACCCGCAGGACCTGTGGTTGGGGTGGGGTTGCGGGTGGGCAATGTGGATGGAGGTGTGGGAGCGGGGCGCGGGTGAGGTGTGGGATTGTTCGTGGGGCAACTTGTGCCATGGCTTTGTTCTGAGACGGTTACCAAGTGTGTGCTTCCCGCCCTTCCCCTTGCTGGCTGCTGCTGTGTGACGACGTGTTGCAGAGCTTGACGCCCGAGTCGCTGAGGCAGCGGCGCGAGGAGCTGCGGAACATGGGTCTGGGCTCGCAGCACCACGCGCCCGACACCTCGGCGCATGTGTGAGGCTGAGCCCCTGCGGCGCATGTTTGGCTGCAAGGCCTGTAACGTACACGCATGAAGCTTATATGGATATGAATGTTGGAGCCCCTTGCTAGGTTCGCTCAGCGGAATACGGTACTCGTAAATACTCTATCAATACCCCCAGTGTATAGCAACACAAAACAAAGACATGCCTCATAACTCTATAGTTTGGTCAGGCAGAGTCCCAGGCAGCAACCACACCACTACTTCCACCAGTAGTGTAATCGGAATGGGCTGTGGGCTGCAATTACGACGTCTGGTCTGCCAGGGGTAGGAGTGGACGCCGTCTTGTGCAACCAGCACACAGGGCCTGCGGGGGAGCCAGATGGGCTCCTGGAAACCATATTACATTCTGTTGGGTGCGCGATAAACGCGCTCGAGATAAAGTAACATTTGGACTTAACCTTACAGTGGGGGGCGTCTTGAGCCTCTTCCAGGACCAACATACTGCCCCATTCATACTGACGATGGTGGGTTAGTAACCTAGGCGTCAGCCGACCCCAGGCTCAAGGCTACAGATGTCGTGCTATGAACGAGTTTAATAGGCATGTGTGGTGCTGGTAAGACACCCCAAACACAAAGGAAAGCCGGTTGGTTGGTAACCATAATTGCAAGTTCTGTTGGCCGTTGACTCTTCAGCACGAACCTGAGCAGCGGGCACGCCTCAAATGGCCGCATAAAGCCGGGTATTACGGTAACCCATCGATTGGCGACTGGTTGAGAACCATGTATCAACAAGCTGCATGCTGCCTGGTAGACAGGGCAGTGCAAAGCCAACCTTTCTCCTTCGTTCATGCCAAATCGCAAGCACCACAAGCCAATTGCCTGATATCTAGCGTTAGTAGGTGTGCTCGGAATATTGTTCATCTTCGTAGGATAGTACTTTATGGGTTGTATGTCGTAGGGCAGTGCTACCAGCTGGACGTGCACCGAGGGCTTTTCAGCCCATGTCCAGTCCCATCTTACCCCGTATGATGGGACTGGGTAAGGATCCCCGTACGATAAGGAAAGCCTTGCAAACCTTTGTGCGTGCTTTTTATTTCGCATGAAAGCGCGACCGGACTGATCCGCCTGGCAACAAAATTGGCTAGTGCAAGTCCCGCGGGTCATGCTAGTCTTGCGCGCCTGGTTTACGCGTTGGGGAAAATTATGGTATTAAGCAAGGAAAATAAAATGCTCGGTATCCGGCTTTCCGTTAATAATAGATGACTGCTTAATCTTGCGTACGAGTCCATGATCGGCCAACTCGAGGCACAAGGCACAACGGGGTAGAGTAGCAGTCTAGAACTACGCTTGGAGTCGTAACAGTGAAGCACTATACTTAACAACGAATCAATTTGCAAGTTCTGGTTCTGCGTGATTGAATCTCAAAGCTTTTCTGCAATGCTTTATAAAAGCTACGCCAACGGGCCTTCTTAGCTTGATAAACATACGGAAAAGGGTATACCAGCATGGGGAGTAGATGCCCCGTGCGCTTATTGGCCGCACGATAATGAGGTTGGGCGTCCTGCCGGGGATCGCAGATGAAACCGGCGGAGCCACAGGAAGACCTCAAGGTGAAAGTCGTTCGTTGGCTTGGCAAGGCGGTGCCATGGCCGCTTTGTTACGTCGGTTGAATATATCATGACTGCCAGTTCTGTATTACTGGCCGCGGCGCCAGCTTCTGTATATATGAAAGACTATAAAAGAATACAGGATACGTGCTTCACGCATCATAATCGTTGCGTTGTTTCATGCTTGCCACAAGCGACAGTCAGCACGCGCTTGCGCACCTATGGTTGCTGATGAAAGTCTGGTATTTCATTTCTTTCTTTATTGGCTATGTTGAATTGTTTGCGGGATATGCAACTCTCGACTGAGTCTTGACGGTCGCTCGCCTTGGCTCTGCGAACGGCTTCTTGCAGAAGGCCTCTTTCGATGAACCTGCCAAGTTCAGGAAGCATACAGCGCTGAGCGCAATGAAGGCGAGCGACTCTTCGTTACGGTCCCTTTTCAACCTCAGCAAACCGGACAAAGCCCTGTTCAATGGTGAGTAGCCGGAAAGGCACGTCGTGGCGCGTGCCCGGACACACCCTGCTGCGCGGCCTAGATAGAGAAGGGAGTTTAGCTGGTGCCCAATGGTGGGAGCATCGCTAGTGGCAGGTCCCCATCAGGTCGGGCGGGGGGGGCACCCAGTTGGTGCCTTATCCTTACTCAGGCCCATAACCGTCGCGCATGCCCACACACATGCGCCCCAGGTCTCTCCCTGCGGGAGGACGGCGCGCAGTACTACCTGCGGGAGGAGATCCGCGCGGCTCGCGACTCGGTGACCTCGCTGGATGGGGCGGTCTCGTGCGCACAGAGCTTCCGGGAGAAGGCCACGAAGCTGCTGGAGGAGGCTCACCGGGCGCTGGGCAGGCTGGAGCAGGTAGGGGAAGGAGGATGGGTGCCAAACCCGTCCGAAGTTGAAAGGGATTGATGTGAAGCCGATGGTTAATGGGTTGGGAGACCGGGCGGGGGGAGGTGGGATGAGGGCCGAAGCATGGTGGGTGTGCTACCGGTATGCGGTTGAATTGAGTGGATTACCTGCTCAACATGGTAAAAGACACAAAGGGTGTGTGATGGGAGCGCCGGGGGCTCAGGATCTGGAAGTCAATCGCAACCCTTACCTGCTGCTGTAAACCCAACGATGCCCCAGGCGTGGGCCTACGGGGACGATGCACGGGATCTGATCACGATCGCCTGCGAAATTAAATGCGCGGCGCGGCGGGGCATCACGCTGGTCGACGTGTACGGCAAGTACAGCACCATGGTCAAAATCATGACGCTGTTCATGCGCTCCTTCATCCACTCCAAATTCGACAAGCAAATCGAGCACCTCAAGACCCTGATCCCGCCCGCGGAGCTCATGCGTGGCGCCGCCAACGCCGGCCGCCCCACCGGCGTCAGCTCTCCTACCCATCCCGACGGCGCCGCTGCCGCCGCCAGTGCTGCAACCCTGCCCGCCAGCACCGGTCTCTCCCCACCCGCCACCAGCACAAGCAGCGCTGCATCCGCAGCCCCAGGTTCCCTCCCGCTGCCTCCCATGCCACCAGCCCAGCCGCAGCCCTCCATGCAGCCCCCCTCCTCCCAGGGCCTCAGTCGTACCTCCGCCTCGCACCAGCAGCAGCTCCAGCCGCTGCCTGCCACGCCGTACTCCACGGCGCACCACCTGCCGTCGGGGCCGCTGGTGGGCATGCTGCTGCGGCCCAGCAAGCACGACCGCGTGTATGCCATGGCCTACGTGCCGCCGGCGCAGGCACCGGGGGAGCATGTGTGCATTTGGTGGTCGGCGGGCCAGGCGCTGGAGTACTACTCGGAAGCCACGCAGTCCACGACGGGCTTTACGATTGAGAAGCCCGCACTGAACGTGACGGCGCTGGGGATCGATGACGACGGCAACGTGTGGACGGGGCATGCGAAGGGGCTGGTGCGCGTGCGGCCGAAGCAGCAGTGGGGGGTCATGGTGGAGGATAAGGCCTTCTCGTCGGCGGTTAAGGCCATCACATTTGACCGTGCGGGGCGCGCATGGATTGGGGATGATGACGGTCGTATCAAGGTACGTGGAGGATGGGCTACCGGAAGTAACGCCCTTGCGCAGTTGGATTTGGGGTACAATGCACGGTGCCATGCGGTGCACAGCGTAGCTAGGCCGTCACTAGTCTCGCTCACCTACCCCCACTCCCTGCCAGGTCCTCGCCTACGACTCCCGGGCCGGCCGGCTGGTAGCCGTTGCCTCGCTGCAGCGCTCCCCCGTGCTGTTCGCAAAGATGAAGGGCGCCCTGGCGGACACCACTCGCTTCTTCGGCAAGCGGCACGGCGGCTCCAGCAGCACCAGCACCGGCTCGCCCAGCTCCGCAGCTGGGTCCGCAGGCGCTGCTGCTGCGTGCAGTCCGCCGATTGAGGGCCCTGTGCGCTGCATCTTTGTGCGCGGCGGGCGCGCGTGGGCCAGCGGCGGGCGGTCCACTGGGTGGCTGCAGCTCTGGGACGCCATCTCCTTTGAGGTGGGGTGGGGGCGTGGGTCGGGCTGGCGGGGCTGGATGCTGGCTTGCTGGGGGTTTGAGGCAACCGTCCGGCCTGCATGCACACAAGTAATATCAAATGCGCGGATTCCGCGCGGGAGGTCCAGTGTGGGGTTGACACTCTTTTGTAGCTGTGCTTGGGAGCGGTCTTGGTGGGGAATCCGTTTCCGAGCATGCCTAATTTTTACGACGGTGGCAACTGCGTGGTCCCATTCCACCATGCCGGTAGCTCCTGATGGCCCCCCTTGAGTCCACCAAGCCCCGTTAGCTCTCCCCTGCCGCCACCTATACCCGCCCCTGCCTCCCCTACCGCCACCCCTCCTGCTCCCAACAGGGTGTGGACGTCTACGACTGCAACGGCTTCGGCCCCTGCAACGCAATGACCGCCCTGCGCTGGCCCTCCTCCGGCCGCTCCTCCGACGGCCCCTGCCTCCTCCGCTCCTCGGCCCAACGCTACCCGCCCAACAGCGATGACAGCACCCACCCGCAACCCGCCACTTCCTCCATCACCACGGCCCCCTCCTCCTCCTCCGGCTCCTGGCGCCTGCTGACCGGCCATGAAAACGGGCAGCTGCTGCTCTGGCACCCTGAGCACAACTCGCTGGCGCCGCTGCTGCGTATCGGGGAGCCGGGCAGCCCCTGTCGCGGCATCGCTACATTTGAGGCCTTCCATTTGGTCGCCACGGGCCATCAGAACGGCGACCTGCACCTGTTCGTGCAGCCTACGTTGGAAAGCGGGTTGCCGCCCGGCTCCAACTCGGCGTCACCGTCGTCGTTTGGCACGCTGCGGCCGCGGACGGTGAGAGGATGGCTCTGGGTTGGAGTGTGGTGGGCAGGGGCCTCGCAAATTTAAGGACTGTGACGCGACACAGGCTACTGTAAGCCCCGACAATCCCTCTTCCTAGCCCTTGATCTCTCAACTGCCATCACCGACCATGACCTCGCACCGTGTGTCCGGTATTCCCCCTTTTTCCCCCCTATCCTCCTGTCCCCGCTAGGTCACCGTCCATGCGCACAAGAGCCGTGTGGAGCGCATGATCCACTCCGCCAACTCCTGCGTCACCGGCTCCTGTCTGGGCACCATCCGCCTGTGGCACGCAGCCGACCTGGCGGCGGAGGCGCACCGGCAGGGGCTGCTGTCGCATGCAACGTCGTACTCCTCGCTGCAGGCCATAGCTGCTGTGGCGAGCGCGGGTGGTGTTGGCGGCGGCGGGGCCGGTGGGGGTATCAATCCGGTGACCAGCCTGCAGCCGCTGGGGTCGAGGTACACGGCGACGTCGAGTTTAGGTGGGTTTGGGGCGGAGGGTGGATGATTCGTGTTTCACAGGGGGGTTGGGAGCATGCGGAGAGATGAGCTCTGCCGGACTTGCATGGTGCCATGTGCTGGCACCGGCAGGTGAAAGGGATAACGTTAGGCCGTCCTAACGCACGGAATTATTAACACGCACCCTGATGCCCCCCGCCTTCATCCGCCCAGGTGATGTCCAGCTTACGCAACCGCAGTACGGAACATCCGCTCAGTTCCACCACGACTCCGTCAAGCGGCTGGGTTCGGTTTCGGAGCTCAGCCAGTGCACCACCACTGGCACCCCCACCACGGCAGGCGGGCAGGGCGGCAGCGCCAGCGGCTCCAACACCGCGCCCACCATGTCCGCAGCGCTGTCGGCGGCGCTGTCGCAATCCTCCATGCAGTTACAGCAGCTGCAGGCGGGGGGTGTCGGGGGTGGTGCGGCCACCCACGCTCTCATGGGGTTGGGGTTGGGGACGCGGCACACCAGGCAGCCTTCCAAGGACAGTGCGGATGCGGGCGGTGGAGGGGGCACGCTAACACACCAGGTTGGTTACAAAATTGGTTGCATGCCGCCATTACACACTCAGCACTGGGTAGCGCACGGTCGTGGGCGTTGAGAGCTGTTGCTTGAACAAGGGGAAAGAATGCAATAACGACTAACGGTCTGAGGGCGACAGAGATGGGTCGTCACTACTGCTTGTTAACTCCGTACAGGCTCCACGCACCCTGTCCATTCCCCAGCCCTTCACTGTCCCTCTCTCACATGTGAGCATGCCTCCCACCCTGCCACACCCGAAAGTTACACCCTAGCGTAAATGCAAGTGCTCCTTCCCCATGCCCATTTCACTCCTCCTGCCCCACAGAGCAGCGGCGTAACCGCCGACCCGGGCGGTCCCTCCCAGCCACTGCATCAGCAGCAGCAACCACTAGCCAGCCAGGCCGCCGCCGCCTTCCCGCACTTCCAAACCATCGACGCCTCGGAGCTCAGCTTGCAGAAGATCATCGGCAAGGGCGGGTACGGCACGGTGTGGCTGGCGGAGTGGACGGGCTGCCAGGTGGCTGTGAAGGAGCTCATCGGGCTGCAGGGGGGGCTGGGGGCGGACGACAAGGAGTACATCGCGCTGATCAACGAGGTGACGCTGCTGGGCAGCCTTAGCCACCCCAACATCATGCGATTCCTGGCGGTAGGGACGGGCGGGCGGGTCGTGGGTGGTGGCTGGGCTGCTGGGTGGGGTCAGTGGGAGCAGGAGAAGGAGGTGGGGTGCAGCAGGGGTGCTTTGATTTTGAAGCTGGGCGGGGCTTGGGGCAGGAGCCGGCGTGGGTTGGGATGGCCTTGCACGTTCCCGGACATCCGCCGTACATACTGGTTACGTTTGTGCTGTCTTAGGAATATGTCAGAGGCCTGAACTCTTCTCCGGCCTCCCGCTTCTGCCTCCTCCCTCCTTCCTTCCGTCGCAGATGTGCATGGACCCTCCCAAGATCGTGATGCAGTACTACCCGCACGGCAGCCTGTTCGACCTGCTGACCCGCGGGGCGCAGGGCAACCCGCGGGCCATCAAGGACCTGAGCTGGAGCAAGCGGCTGGACATGCTGCGTGACGTGGCGGCGGGCATGCAGTACCTGCACAGCCGCAAACCGCCCGTCATACACGGAGACCTGAGGTAAGGCACCCCCCTCCCTGCCGCTTCTATCCCCATTGTCTTGCCCCAACCTGTGGCTTCCTATGGTTCGGTATGATCTTTGACCCCCGCATACCGCTAGCTGCAAGGTGGAGGGTGATCATGCATGGGGGGTGGTTGCGGGGGAGCCGAGCCCATCATGGTCGCAGACGCCTAGGGAGAGTTGACATGACCTCGTACCTACCGTGCCGCCTTATGTAGTTATGATGTGACTGTGTTGGAGCTGCCGTACCTTCCCCTACTATAGTGGGTTCTTCGCTTGCTTCCCTTTCCTCTTACACGGCGCCGTCTTGCTGTGCAGGTCTCCCAACCTGCTGCTTGACCTGACCATTGACAAGGACCGGCCGCGCATGCACGTCAAGATTGCGGATTTCGGGCTGGCACGCATTGCCACCGGAGCCAGCGTCATGGTGTCCAAGACGACCAACCCGCGCTGGTTGGCACCGGAGGTGGGGACCAGGGGGCAGGGAATAGGGGCAGGCGCAGGGAGTCGCGGTTAGGTTCGCATGGGCTGGGCGGATATTCCTAAAAGAAGTTAGGTTGCGCAGCGGGCGGTTGGTGTCCTTTGTAATCCAGCGATCAAGAAGTACAGCAGAAGTACAGCAGAAGAAGTACAGCAGCCAACAACTGATCCTCTCCTGTTCCCGTTGGAAACGCCTGCAGGTCATCAAGAACAGCTCTGCGGGCAAGGCAGCAGACGGTAGGTGTCCGTGTAGCCCTGGCGGCTCTGCCTCGGGTACATGTTTCATGTTACTTCTGTTCAGCGTGCTCTCACACCTCACGAACGACTACACAAGACAGTAGTATCCAGCAGTCCTTCCTTTCTCACATCCTCCCCTTCCGCCCATTCCTCGCTTCACCCCGCCTCGCCTTGGTATTCCAATGCATCACTTCTATACTTTTACACGGCACCCCGTCCCGCCCCGCAGTCTACAGTTTCGCCATCATCATGTGGGAGATGCTGACGTGGCAGCGGCCGTACGAGGACATGCAGTCCTACCAGGTCATGTACTCCACCGTCACATGGAACTCGCGGCCCGAGGTGCCGCCAGAGTCGCAGCTGCCGGGCGGCCCGGGCGTGACGCTGCGGGCGTACCTGGAGCTCATGGAGCGCTGCTGGCACTCGGAGGCCGGCCAGCGGCCCTCGTTCAAGGAGATTGCGGAGCAGTTCCAGGTGCGGTGCGGGGCGAGGAGCCGGCCGGGTTGGGGAAGGGGGTAGTTTAACTGGAGGGGCTGCTGGATACCATATGTGGATAGGCGAAGAGCCGGTATATATACGATGCAGTGCGGAATTAGCGCATGGCGGTACCGGTGTCACAGCATGTGATGGTAAGGTGACCCGCGCTGCTGCTTTGCCACTCTCCCGCCCACCCGCAGGTCATGCAGCACGCGGAGGCGGAGGCGGCCAGGCAGTCCCGCCAGAACGCGTCTCTGACCGCCACTCCGCCCCCGCCTTACGGCCGGCGCTCCCGCGGCCCCAGCGAGACGGGGCAGCCCGCAGCGGCGCCAGGAGCTGGCGGCGGTGTTGCTGCTGCTGAGGGGTCGGGAGGGACGGAGGCTCCTGTCGCGGCGCCTGGTAGTGGAGGAAGCAGCGGCAGTGGCCCGACTGTGGCGGCAGCTGCTGGCGGCGCTGCTGTTGCGGTGCAGCGACGGGCCGCCGGCCCTGCCGTGGCCGCCTCACCGTTCGCGGGCGCAGCTACGGCTTCCGTAGTCGCAGCGGCAGTGGCGGATGGCGATCCTGGTGTCGTGTCTGCCGCGCCGCTAAACAATAACACTGGGGTCAGCTATGCGCAGCCGCAGCAGCCGCAGCAGCGGTGTGGCAGCATCCTGCCGCTTTACGCGATGAGCCCAATCCTGGAGGAGCAGATCTCCTCGGGGACGCAGGCGTCGGGTGCCGTTGCGGCCATGGCCTCCTTGGTCGCAGCTACAGGCAGCAGCTGCTTGGCCCCTTCAGGTGCCGCGAACGGGGCTGCTCTCAGCCCAGCTCCTCCTGCTACCGCAGCTCCTAGCTCGGCATCGGCGCCCTTCCTGCCGTTGGCTCCGCTGCAGCCACAGCCGCAGCCACAGCAGTGCCAGAGCCCCTTTACCATCGCTGCTGTCCACGCCCAACACCCTCCCCCTCACCCGCATGTGCACTTTGCGCCCAGCCCGTTCGCAGCGGCGGCGGAAGTCACCGCGCAGCCCTGCTCCTCGCCGTCCTCCCCCTCGGCTGCAGCGCGCCATCAGCATGCATCCGGCGCGGCCCGCACCTGCCCGCCCTCCTCGGCCTCATCCACCGACAGCGGTGCCTTGCACGCTGTCGGCGGCGGATGCAACCCCAACGGCGCGCCTAGTACGGCATCCTCCTCGCGCCAGTCGTCTACATCCACGTCTGGCAAAGCTGTGGGCGCCGCTGCCGCCGCTGCTGTGGCCGCAGCAGCTGCAGCTGCGAATGGCGGTGGCAGCTCTGGTGGCGGTGCGGGTGCGGTCCGTCGCATAGGTGCAGGGGCTCCGGGGGCGGCTTCCCCGCCGCCAAACCGTGCAGCTGCCTCCGGCGCCAGTACCCCTCGGGCTCAAGGCGGCGGCGGCAGTAACGGCGCAACACCGGCCTCGGCTAACGCTCGCAGCACAGCACCCCGCCGCGGCGGCGCGGCCATGGGGGCGGCGCACGCATCCCCTGCTGAGGAACCCCCAGCCGCCGCCAGCTCCTCCCCAGCGAATAACACGGTGTGGGAGTGTCAGTCCGTCCCGGCAGGCGGCATCACCGCCCTCAGCCCCTTTGCCGCCATGTCGGCCGCTCAATTGCATGAGCTAGGCGCGGCCGCACCCCCTCCGGAAGCCGTAGCTCGGCCGCCGGCCATGACCGTCTCCGCACCCGCGCCGCCCTTCAGCCCCTTCGCAGCTGCATCCCAGCTGCACCCTGGGGGCGCTGCCGCGGCGACGGCCACGGGCACCGCCCGCGGTGGCGCTGGTCCCTCGGCTGCTGGAAACGGCTCAGCACCTGCCAGTCGCGCCGGCTCCAGCCGGCCTGGCGCTGCTGGCATGAGTCATGCCGCCTCAGCCGCAAGCAACCTAAGAGGACGCATGCCCGGCCCGTCTTTCGGCCCGGCGCCCTCGTACCGTCCCAACACCGCGCATGCACAAGGCCCGACAGGGCGCAGCAGCACAGCTACGCCCGGCCATCATTCTCAGCCCGGAACGCCGCCCCACCGCGGTCTGACGCACTCCACGTCCAACGCTCGTAGCACCGGCGGCGGCACCCCGGCTGGCCGCACCACCGGCGCCGTCGGAACTGCTACACGGCACACGCACAATGGAGACGGGCTGGACAGCGCTGGCAGTCGCACACCTACCTTGGTCAGCCGTACGCCTAGCGTGTCTTCAACGGCTGCGGCAGCAGCAGCAGCGGCCGCAGCTGCGGCTGCTAGTGGCTACAACACGCCTTACTCCGCGGCTGGTAGCGGTGTGGAGTTCCCAGGGAGCCATACGGAGTCACCCGCCTCCCAGCCTCGCCAGGTGTACTCCGCGGCGCACCCGCATGTGGCCAGCACCGGCGGAGCGGCAGGTGGGATGGAAGTTCACGGCAGTGCCGGTAAGCTGGGCCACCGCCGTACACCCTCTGGCGGTAACTCGCCAGGATTCGGTTGCGGAGGCGGGTACGGCAGCGGAGGCGGCGGCGGTGCGACTGCGGCCGGCGTCTTTGCCCGTCGCAGCCGGGAGCCCCATCGCGACGTTCCGTCTCCCACAACCTACACGACTGTTTCTGGCACGCATCCTCGTACGCCGGTGGCGGCAGCCCGCTGCGGCCGGGCCTCCCCACGTGTGGCAGGTTCCAGTCCCAATGCCGCCGCCGCCGCCGCCGCCAGCACCACCACTGCTACAGAGCCGCGGGCAGCTGCAGCCCCACGCGACGCCCGAAGGAATCCTGCAACAGCAGCAGCAGCAGCCAGCGCGGGCGGGACGGCAGCCACCGGCAGCAGTCCCTCGGCGCCCTCCTCCTGCCACCTCAGTCGTCTGGGACACGGAGCCAGCGGCCGGGCACCCGCGTCGCCCCGTGTCGGCGCCCGTAGCGGGCCGAGTGCCTCCTCCTCGACGCATGGCAGCAGCGGCGGAGTCATCACCTCCACCACGGCAGGTGGCGGCATGCCCGTACCCTCACGTAACCCCTCCCTGGCGCATGGCGTGGCGCCTGGCCTGAGTCCGCTGCCGCCCGTACGAACCTCGACCTCCCGATCGCTGGATGAGGCGAACCTTCGCCGTCTGGGCCTCTGCAACGATGCCTCGGGCTCGTCGCCGGCTGTCTCGGTTGAGCATTCGCCGCGCGGCGCTACCTGCTCGGCAGCCGGCGGTGGCGGGGGCAACGGTACTGCGAGCCCTTTCGCTTTGGCAGCATGGGATGACGGCTTGGGCATGCGCATGAGCCCGGAGACGACGACCGAACTCCCGGACTGCTGCTTGCGTCATTTCGGGGAGCATAAATACATGCAACAGGAAGCGGGCAGGTCGGCGTCGGGAGCCGTGTCCCATGGGTCGCACAACGAGTCTGCAGGGCTCTTGCAAACTGGAAGCGGGCCAGATGCAAGTGCGCTTTCATCGCAGCGGCTGGGGGATGCTCTCAGTGGCAGGTCGGTAGCTGCAACCACCACCGTAGCAGCCGCTGCTGCTGCAGCGGCATGGCAGCCTCCGCCGCTGCTGACGGGCAGCCCGTTTGCAGCAGCGGCGTATGCTAGCCCCTTCGCCGCAGCTTCCACGGCTGCGGAGGACATGGGCGCAGACACGAGTGGGCTTGAGTGCAGGCAGTCGGACGATGTGACGGAGGCGCGCACGTCGCCAGTAGCACCCTCAGCGTTGCAGGCGGGTAACACCCTCGCAGGCGCATCCCCGAACCACTGGGCGGTGTCAGGCTTCGGCTCCTACGCGCCGCTTGACACCGTTTCGGGTTCGGGACAAGGCCAAACCAGCATTGCTGCCTTTGTTTCCTCGCCGCCGCGGCCGCAGCAGCAACGGGAGGCCTGGGGCGCCGCCTCCGGCACTGCTCAGCACGGGGGCCCTTCGCTTGCACACGGCGCCGCGCAACATGTAGCTGCCTCACCGGCACGCCTCGCAAGCCCCTTTGCGCAGCAGGCGGCAGACGATACGGCTTGGTAGGTTGCGGGGAACTAGGTAGAGGGGCGCTGTGCCTTGGGAGCATGTATGTAGGAGCAGGTCATTAGGGGGTTACGTAAACGGTTGCCAACAACGGTGTTTGGCAACGGCCCTTGTAGCAGGCTGCTGTAGAAGCTTTAGGTGAGCTGGTGTGGCGGCGTTACCCTGACAGACGTGCGCTGTCGTAGTGACAGTGATACCGACAGGTGGTTGAAACCAAACTGAGACGGTCCTGAAGGTCGAAGTTGTTGGGGTGCGAGTCTTGTGAACGTGCACGGGTGGGTTGTTAGGAGACACAGACTGACAGGCGGGGGCGGGGGCAGGGGTTGATTCGGGTTGCACTTGGGGAGCGTGTTTATGTCGTCTAAATAATGCACCAGAGCGCATTGCACCCTGGCTTTCTTACAGAACCCTAGGTCGGAGTAAAGATGCAGAGTGATCGTTGTTAATGAACAGCGGTGGTCTGTGTGAGTATATACGTGGACACTAGTACTGAGCGTGATTCAATGCTGCTGCAGCGTACACTCGAATGGGTTTATCTTTGCACGCATTCCGGCAACATGCCGAAGCGATACATGTTTGACACGTTTCGTTGCCGCAGGGGGCTTTGCTCCCTCTAGCCTGGCACCGCACTTCCCCAACAAGTGAAGAGCATTGGTCTGAGCTACGACTGTGGTCACAGATGCGTTGTGGGTCGATGTTCTTGTGGGTTATTTCTCAGTGGTTTTCGTATTATGGTAGGATCTACATGGCAGCGGCTTAAGAGTCTCGCCCGAGCCTTGCTTTCCACAAGGCAGTGCGCGACCTATGTGCGAGTTGCTTTGTCTCCACTGACGGTTTGTGGGCGTCTGCAGTGGAGGGGTGGGTTACCTTGGACCTTGGGACTGGTGTTGCCTCAAACAGTCAAACTGCTGCACGGTAAGCTGCCGGGAAAGGCAGCAGATCGCCAGGTCACTAGGAGAACAGGGGTCAATGGTCTGGGTTACGGAGCTGAAAGGAGGCCGTGCGCCGCCGGGGAACCGTCGTGAGGAAAAGAAGGGCCGTTAGGCTGGGTTATGCACGGCTGGTACAGACTACTGCATTGCTCTTCCGAAGTCATTCAAGGAAGAGGCCCCTGTGCTCCGCTATGCACGTGTGGGTGGCTCCTGTTTGGTGTCGCTGCACTGCTCAATGGCGCTAGGAGGTGTTGGGCAAGTTCTGCACCTGGACGGTTGCCGCAACAGGCTTGTCCTCGTTTGGCGCGGTATGCCTGGATATGATGTGGACCTTTAGGTCACCCTCAAAGCCTGCGGTAAGTTGTGTACATGGCGGCTTTGGAAGGGTTCGGTAGTCCTTGGGAGGCCTTCGGCTCATTGGCTGGCACTGGATGTTGCATACGGAGCTTGAGACATTTACGCTGTGACCATGCTTTCCCTAACGTTGTGTGCCAAAGGGTGCTGCGTGTGCGCTTTTTGACTAGGTCCTTCTGAAGCTGTTGACCCGAACCCTTGCTGAATGTGACTACGCGACATGACTAAAGGTACCGGTACCCTTTAGCCCAAATTTTGTTATGGGCGAGCGAACATGTGGAATGATGGCGATTGACGTCTAGCAAACGGGGCATGTGCAATGTAATTTCCCTGGGGCAGTAGTTCAATTGATGTCGTACATTTAATCGCTTTACAAGAGTAGCCAGCTCTTCCTCCCAGTAACAGTGCTTACGGTAGGAGAAATGTTGACCATCGAACTGCAGCGCACAGTAAGGCCTTCAGCCTTTGGCGCGGCTCGACCGCGCCTCATCATTCCTCGACGACTAAATGCTGTTGCGCGCCGTGTACCAACGATAGCTGTAAAGGCTTCTGTAGAACCGGCTGTTACTGTCCCGAAAACGGTTAAGCCCGAACAAGATGTGCCTGGCATGACGGCGTTTCTTGATGGCCTGAAATGGGACAAAAACAACCTAGTAGCAGTCATTGTACAGGTATTCAACTGCTGCAGTCATACGCAAAGTTATCTCAAGCGAGTTAAGGCTTGAGCATCAATGTTACAAGCGATGCCCGGCCGCTGATTCCTTGCAGCACGTCGACACGGGGGATGTGCTCATGCAAGCGTTTGCAGACAGGGCTGCGATCAGTGAAACCCTACAAACCGGGTAAGCCAAGCTAGGCCACCTTGGCGCCCACTTCCATGCACACTCCTCAGTGTCCCACTACCGCCTGTCCCCATTTTCCTAAAACACTACAATGCTTCTCGGAACCCCGCCACCCGTATTCCCTCTCTCCACAGCCTCGCCACCTTCTACAGCCGCTCCCGGGGCGGTCGCTGGTGCAAGGGCGAGACCAGCGGTCACTTCATCAACGTGCACAATGTCTTCACGGATTGCGACCGCGACTCGCTCATCTACCTGTCCGACCCCATCGGGCCCTCCTGCCACACCGGCGCCAGGTGCGTGCACGCCGCCGACAAGCGGGCGGGGAGGCAAAAGTAACGAAAGATACCATGCAGGAAGGGAAGGGGAGGGAGCGAGGCACAGCTCTGGGACTCCCTGTCATGTCCCCTTTCCTCACCCGCTCCTCTCCCCCTGCCCCGCCCCCTGGTACCATCCTGTCGTACCTCCTCCCCCCAGGAGTTGCTGGTTCCGCGAGGTCCAGCTGCCCTCCGAGAGCGCCTCCCAGCCCGCCCCCCAGGTGGCTCAGGCGGGCGCCCACGACGCCGCCGACCACGTGCCCCGCACCACCCTGCTGGCGCTGGAGCGGACCATAGCGCTGCGCCGGGCCGCACTGGCGCTGCCGTCGGGTGAGGGAGGTGTGTGTTAAAATAACTGGCCGTGAGGCAGAACGTGCTGTGGAGGCGTTTGTGTGTGCGTGTGTGGTGGGGCCGAGGGTACAGCGCAACAACGTTTGCAGGACAGCGTTTGCCTGTTTAGCGTTTGGGCCGTCTTCTTTCCGGTTTCCGGTTCCCTTCTTCAACCATCTCTCCCGTTGCGATGACCTCCCCGCTCCCCTCCACCAGACGGCTCCAAGCCCTCCTGGACTGCCCGCCTGCTCAGCAACCCAGAGCTCCTCTGCAAGAAGGTACGACAGACGCACGGATGGCGATTTACCGGTAGCCCAGTTCCCAGCCCGCTAGCTCCTCAGAAGGTTCACGTCTTGATGTTTTAATGTCCTGCACCCCTTCCCCGGCCCCCCTCTCTGCCCCCAGATCCGCGAGGAGGCTGGCGAGCTGTGTCAGACGCTGGAGGCCGACGAGGGGCGCGAGCGGGCCGCCAGCGAGATGGCCGACCTGCTCTACCACGCCATGGTGCTGCTCAACCTGCAGGTGGGTGGGTGGGGGGGCCGATGGGTAAAAGGATACTGACGAGGCTGACGAGGAAAGAGAGCTGGGTGTTAAAGAGCAACCGCAAGTGAGGGTGGGAATGCGGTGGGGGTGCGGGAGCTGGGTTTGGGCCGAGGTGGAGGTGTGTTGGGGGGTGTTGCCGGGAGGTTGCAGCCTCTGTTACCTGTGGTGGTACGTGTCGTCAGCATTGCGTGATGGTGGGTTGTTGATGGCTTCACAGCAGCTCCTTGTGTGTTCTCCGCCTCCAGCAGCTCTTTGTGTGTTCTCCGCCTCCAGCAGCTCTTTGTGTGTTCTCCGCCTCCAGCAGCTCTTTCCAGCTCTCCTTTGCGCCCCGCTCGTGGCTCTGGTGGCCGAGTAGCAGAGTCGTACTGCTATGACTCCTGTTGGACCTTTTCCTGATGTCCTGCCCGGCCCGTCCTCCGCTCCTCCACTGCGCAGGGTGTCGAGATGGAGGAGGTGCTTCGCGTGCTGCGGAAGCGCTTCACGCAGTCGGGCATTGAGGAGAAGGCGTCTCGGCCGCCCAAGCAGCACTAGAGCGGCAGTGCGAGCGTGTAGCAGTGACAGTGGCGGTCGCAGTGTGGCCGCAGCAATGGCAGGGGAATAACATGATGTAGAGGGTAATTGGTGCGGTTTGTGGGTGTATGGGTACGGATGTTCAGGAATGGCATATCGTGACTTGTGCGTGCGCTAGCGAGACATTCTCTGGTGTGGTAGCTGAATGTTACACACTTGAGAGGTTACACCTTCCCGGTACCTGTTTGCGTAGGCGTTGTTGGAAGGGATGGCTTTCTGAGGTTATGTATCAGCAGATATTTGAGGGTTGCTAGCAGAGGGCCTGACAAGGCAGGCTATTTGTTTACAAGGTTTTCGACGCTGACATACACAGTGTCCCAGTCACTTCAAGGCTTCATATACACCGAGTTAATGGCGGTCTGTGATGAAACACCTAATCCAGTCTTTACAGCAGTACGACGAAAGAGAATATGAAGAATCGGGCAATTGAGATGAACTTGCTAAGTAACACTCACGAGAGTCAAACGCGTACGACGAAGCTTCCTTCTCTGCAAGGACTACAACCTTTTACCCACTCTGCCGCTGCCGCTGCAAAAAACCACTTCTCAGGTGCACATCCGGGTACACTCTCAAACGCTATACCACACCAACACTCCTCTCGGAATACATATTCTACACACTCCGCTCACAACGCTCATTACTCAATGTGTTAGACTACAAAGGCGACCACTCACCTCCCCAACGACCAAACCCCTCTACACCCCTCACAATCACAACAAGGCCGACCCACGGGTCACCTCCACCGCCAGCAGCCCCACCAGCCCCAGCATGGCTAGCCGCCCGTTCACTCGCTCCGCTTGCGGCGTGAGCGGCCCGAACGCCTCCGTGGGTAGCGACCCGCGCATGATGGGCGCCAGGGAGGCTGCTGACAGCGCCGCCACCAGCAGCAGCACCTGCAGCGGGGCCTGCTGCAGCTGCGCTAGCACGCTCTTGCCGCTTGCGAGCTCTGCTGCCACGGCGCCAACGACCCCCAGCATGGCGAGTCTGGTTGGGTGTGTGGGAGGGAGGGAGGAGAGGGAGAGGGAGTGATGGAGGTATAGATGAGGTGGCATAGGAGTTGACGTAAGTCAAGGAGGAGATGTGTTGTTGGGTTGATGGGGCAATGTGGATAAATGGGAAGCTGCCCATTGTCCTGAAGCACGTGGAGAGACGGCATGGGTGCGGAGCCCCTCCTGATGATGCCTACAGCACAGCGCCGTTGTGAGAGACCATGCAGGTAAGACGTACCTGCCGTTAATCAGCTCCGGAGCCGGACCCGTGAACGCCATTGCCTCTGCAGTTGCACAGGGGAAGGGTAAGAGACTGAGAGTGTAGGCTGTGTTTCGGCAGTGTAGAGCGTGGGGTTATGCGGTTCGACGATGCGGTGCACTGATGACGTGATGAGTAATACCAGCATAGTACAGGTAAGAGCCGTGTGCGTGCGTGAATGAACATATGCATGTCTGCTCTTGTACGCGCTATCGGCCGATTCGGTTATATTCACACACCTCTAAGTGACATAGGTTTGGTTGCTGCTCCGGACGGCAGCACGATTGGGTTGGTAAGCTGCGTCTGTGGCTGATGGCCGCTAGCATCCACGCGCACGACGAGGACACGCGCTCCTCGTTGGCAGCGAGTCTTGACGAGTCCAGCCTTAAAAGGCGCCGGTGTGAATGCGCGTAGTGCCATTGTTTTAAGTTTACAACAAAGCGAGGCCGACCTTACTACAACTGCGGCAATTACTAAAGAAACAGTGGGTACAAAAAGTGTTGTATCGCTGCGACAGCTTGATGCGTACAAACGCTTGTAATGGTATTGACGAATTATAGAAGTGCCAATCGATACCCCTGGAACGTACGAGATTTGTACAACTTGAGGCTGCGGTTTGCGCTGACTTTCTGTGGTTGCCGACGCACCAAAGGCTGAGTCTCAAACCAGCATTGTACATGCATATTTTATATTGGCATTACGTTTGTATGTTTATATCTTCAGTTCTTATAATGCAGCTAGTAAAGCGCAGTGGCCTTAGTAAGGTGAGGGTGTTGTGTACTACTTATTCAAAGCGGAAGCAAAACCAAAAGTACAGAGTCACAAATGATACTCAATGCCGTTTCGTCTTCGCTTCTGCGTAATGGGGGAGCAAAGCGCGTAGAGGACCTGAGCGGAGCGGCTGACTTGCATCACCCATGGATTGGTGCAACACATGTACTACCGGTAACACCTAGCACCCGGGCATGTAATGAGCTCCCTTATATGCACATGGACGAGCTACTTATTTGCAGTGACTTGCAATAGAAGGTGGCATGGAGCCCTGGGGACATGTCCTCAGAACTTAACGGCTACTTATGTGTTCGCTCACACGCAAAGTTTGCCGTCAACCACCCTCGTGAGTGAAGCAAGTCTACGGAAGCAGCAAGCGTGCTCATGCAAATAACAAGTATACCCCCTCCAACTCCCCATACTCAGACAACCACGATAGGACGCCTCAATCCAGCCGCCCACAACCAGCACAACCCTTGTTGTTCACATACCGCCGAAACTCCCCTCCAGTACTACGCTCTTACCATAAGTCCAAAACCAATTAAACCATGTTCCCACGCACTCTTGGCAACACCGGGACAGTACCCGAGCAACACCAACACCAACGACTTCTCAACGGCCACCAGCACCAACATGACCCCCCCCCCAACCTGTGGCTTCCTATGGTTCGGTATGGTCTTTGAACCCCCCACCACCACCACACCCCACCTTCACCATGTTGCAAACCATGATGACGCCCTATCACACGGCTCGTTAGTCATCTCCTCTTTACCACCACACAACATCTCTACCACCCCATCCTCCTCATCCTCCTCGCAACCGCCTAGTACGTCCCATCCTGCTTCAGCCCCGCCCACATATTCCGCAGCTGCTGCTCGAACCCGCCCTCCGGCGCCCCCTCCGCGCCCTTCCTCGCCAGCACCTCCAACGTCACCCGACTGGCTGCTGGGTTGCACAGCGCCTCCACACACACCGCCGCCACGTCAGCGCGCTGGATGAGGCCGCCGCCCGACATGCTGTCACCCTGGCCTGCGCAGACGTGTTGGAATGTGTTGTGAATGCATGGATGGATGCATCCGTGCATGTAGGTGGGGGGTTGGGGACATGCGTGTAGCGGATGGGCGCATGCACGCATGCAGTGCTGTACCGGTAGGTACCCTGCAAAAAGGCGGTACATGGCACCAGGAGCGGCATGGTCTTACTGAGGAGCACACAACTGAGACGCACGCGGGATCCAGGGAGGGAACAGGGAAGGGGGGAGACGGCACGCGGGGGAGGCGGCACGCGGGGGAGGCGGCAGAGCGGCTCACCCGTAACGAGGGAGGCATGCCCCCCCGGCCCGCTGCCCAGTCCCCCGGGTCGCACGATGGTGTAGTCCACTCCGCTGGCCCGCAGCGCCTCCTCACCTGCAGGTGGGTGGGTAAGGGAGTCAAAGAACACACCGAACCATAGGAAACCACAGGTTGGGGCTAAGCAGGGGGGTGGGGTGAGGGGTGCGGGTTGTGTGCTGCGGCCCGGAGCGGGTTGTGTGCTGCATGCGTGGAGGCATGTACGGAGCATGCAGCAACTTGCAAGCGTGGTTCCGCCCGCTGGGAGCCCGCTCCACGGCCTCCCCTACTGCTCCTTCCCTGCCGCTCCCTACTGCTCCCACTGTCCCTCGCTGCCCCCCCCCCTCCCGCACCCTTGAGCTTGTTGTCCATCAGCCCCCAGCGCATGTTGTTCAGCAGCAGCCGGATGGGGTGCAGCCTGACGGGGGAAAAAAAGAAATTCCAAAGTGTGGTATGAAAATGGTACAAGTTGCTGCCTGGGGGGGGGGCCGGTGTGGTGGCAGCAGGGTGCAGGGGGGCCATGACGGGAAGAGCGGCGCGGCTACGGCAGGAGACCCGGATGCGTGGCCCATGCGGCCCATGGCATGCAACCGTCCTCCCAGCTCTAACCGCGCTTTCCAACCTACCTCCCTGGGGCTGTGCTTCAACTCTCATTCCTTTCTTCCCACCCTCCCTTGGTCTTCGCTATCTTCTTCTCCCTCCCCTCTAGCGCTCTTGTCTAGTTCTTCCCCCCCCACACCCACCCACCCACCCACCAGTGCTTGCGAGTGACCATCATGGAGGACACCAGCACCACCCGCTCCGCGCCCGCCTGCTGGGAGGCCTGGGCCACGTTGGCAACACCCTGGGGGGGAGTGGAGGGGAGGTGAGGGAGGGGGGAGGTGCAAAGGGGTAAGGTGAGGGGATGAGGCAAGTAATGACGGGTGAGGGCCGGGGAGGTGGGTGACCCACAGCGGACGGGGGAATGCAGCCGAACAGGAGGGGCAGGCGACCATGGGATGGAAGAAGGTAGGTGATAAGGGGCGGGTGTGGGAGAAGGGAGGGCGGATTGGCGGATTGGTGTATTGCCGGTGTGTGTTCTGGTAGTAAATCGAACCGCGGGTCAGTTACTCTGCGTTTACCAGTTACAACCATGTGCGTGTAGCGCTCCAGTAACCCATCGTAACAGCAGCAAAGCAGAGCTTATTTTGGAGCACAAGGTGCAGAAGAACGCACGGACCTTGAAGTCCACCTCGGCAGGTGACCAGTAGCCCTTGCCAGCCACCGCGAAGATGACTCCGCGAGCACCGCGCAGGGCCTCTTGCAGGCTAGCAGGGTCCGTAACATCGCCTTTTGCGATTTGGAGCTTGGCGCTGGGCTCCAGGATGCCTTGCATCTTCGATGGGTCGCGAACAACGGCCCGAGTTGGCAGGTCGGAGACTTCTAGCAGGCGCTTCACGCATTCTAGTCCAGTCCTGCCCGCAGCACCCAGAACAACGTTAACGGGTTGAGGAGAATCGGTCATCGTTGGAGCTGCAAAGATAAGGTCGCAGGTGCCGCACTCGGAATTGATTTTGATTGTTATACAATAATGCAACGGAGCAGCGATGGTAAAACATGCCGCCGTGAACTGATTGTAGGACTTTCGCTCTGGGATCGCCTTCTTACCGTACGCACATGTGTCATGCCTGTGACTGCTGCTCAGATCATGTACAAATCAATGCCCTTGACCTGACGTCATTAAGCGTGCACATAGACGTGCAGTCCTGGAGTTGAGCAGTTTCTCCTGATGCTAGCTTTGGGTGTTGCATCTCAGATGCAGCATCTGGCTATAGCCCCTGATTCCCCTTCCTATATTACTCCTACCAGAGCTTAATGTGGAGATCCATACGCTGTCAGCATTGCTTACATTTAACACATCTGATTGTTATGATGCATTGCCGCGTGGCATGTCTTGCTTTGCTGCTGCGACGCCTGCGAGGGACATTCATCACATGCGACGACGTGGCTCTTTAGCTAGCGGCAGCAGGATGCAAGCTAGGGGGCCTCTGAGCTGCGCAAGCAGGAAGGAAGGAGAACCGCTTGGGCCATGGGGACTTCATACATAGCTATGGGACAAACACAAGCTCAACGCTACTCCATGCGCACAACATAACAGAAGCGCGGTGGGCTAGTCGTGGATATGTTCTCTCAAGGTCGACACGGACAGGAAGCAATAAGTATGCTCGTCCAACCGCTGCACGAAGGCTGCGGGGCGAGCCTTCCTTAACATCGCACGGTCTAATACGTCACACAGCGGCTGCTAAGATCCAAATAGACTACGGTCAATCCAGGGCATGACTTTAGGCTGGTCTTAGGGTTCAAACCCTTGCTAAATTGTCGCCGAACTGCGCGACGCGCACATTTGCGCTGCGAGGATGTCAAATACAAGCGCTTGCACCCAGCATGATGCTAAAATGCAGTCTAGTGTACATTGCTCGGCGCATAACAGTTGCCCGAATTGCGCATCTAGAGATGCGCACAGCAAATCGGCAACCTTACGCTACGCTGCTGTATCCATATCCTGCTTCGCCACCTTCCTTATAACATGGATGCTGCTCACAGGTCCAATGCCTCGCGAGTAAGTTGCAACCGGCATTCTCCGACTCGCCATGCCACCATCCCGCGCTACCACAACAGCGCCCCGCCTCTACACAGCCCCACACCTCCCCGCCTCCTCTTCCCTTCCTCCCCTCCCTCCCCCACACCCCACCCCTGCAGCCCGCCCTCCACCTTCCACGTCCCCACCCAAATCGAGTACTGCCAGGCCTACCTCGGCGGCGACCTGCACCTCGACCCCCTCCCTCCCTCCTTCCCACCCGACACCACCACCAGCACAACCACCACCAGCAGTTCTAGCACTCCCCACAGCACCACCGGCGGTCTGAGTCTCATCCTGACAGCGGATCCGGGCGACTTCTCCGGCACCCCCGAGGCACAGCACATCATCTCCAACCTGCGGCACATGCGGCAGGTGGCGCGGACCCGCTCCGTGTGCGGCGGGCTGTACCTGGGGCGGCTGATGGGGCAGCAGGCGCTGGTGGTGACGACGGGTGAGAGGGGGGGAGGAGGTGGGGGAGGGAGGTGGGGGAGGGAGGGAGGTGGAGGAGGGGGCGGGGGGGGGAGGCGGGGTGCGGGGGGGTGCGGGTCTACGGTATACAGAGTGGAGGAGACTACCGGTACCGGTATAGGTTGGATTGTTGGATAGGTTGTGACCCACCATGCCCATATGTTGAGGGACGGGGAGGGGGGTAACTCGAGCCACCGTGTTACCCCGAGCGGAAGACCACTCCTCTCCCGTCTTCCCCCTCTCCTACCCGCCTCTGTGTCCGCGCCCCCCCCCCAGGCATCGGCCCCACCGCCGCGGGTCTGTGCCTGCAAGAGCTGCTCACCTCCTGCGGGGCCGCCGTACGCGAGGTGCTGTACTTCGGCACCTCGGGCTGGTCGCCGCAGCTGGGCGGGGTGCTCAACCCGCCGCACTGCGGGCAGGCCAATGACAATGGCAAGATCGTCAGGTACGTACGGGGCGGGTGGGAGAGGGAAATGGAGAGTGGGGAGTGCGGGAGAGATGGTAGTGGTGGTGTGGGGTTGTGATGGGGTTTGCATGTTTCCTGGGTGGGCGGTCATTTTACCGCAGTTACTCCCCCCCCTTCCCCCCCGCACCGCCCCCTAGGGTTGGCGACGTGTGTGTGAGCCCCGTGTCCGTCAACTGGGTGTGCAAGAAGGCCAGCTGGGGGCAGCAGGCGGCGGGATACCCAAACCAGTGCTTCCGGCCGGGCGAGGCGGCGGGGCCGGAGGCGGCGGCGCTGTACGGCGACTGCATCTTCGGGCCGGACAATGTGGGTGCGGTTGTGTGGGACAGTTTGGGGCGATCCGTGCGGTGTCTGGTCTTCCTGTGGGATGGGGGCAGGGAGGGATGCTGGAAGGGTGGATGGGAGGAGGGTTAAGCGGGCGGATGGGGCGGACCTGGGCGAGATGACACACATGGCCCTCTGTACCGCTTCCCTGCACCTACCTCGTCCCACACGCCATCGTTCCCACCTGCCTTCACGCCCCTCCAGCCTGCGCTTCCCCCCATGTACCCCTCCCCTCTCCCTCCTTGTGGCTAATTGTACCCTCCCCGCCTCCCCCCACTCCCCGCCTCTCCCCACTCCCCGCCTTCCCCCCACTCCCCGCCTCCCCCCACTCCCCGCCTCCCTCCCCCCAGCTGGATGCCAACCTCGCCCTCAGCGACGCCCTGCTCTCCGCCGCCGCCTCCCCCGCCGCCCGCTCCTCCACCCCCCGCCGCAGCCCGCTGGTGCTCGCCACCGAGCGCCGCTACTGGGAGCTCATGGCGCAGGGGACGGGGGCGACCTACCCGGCGGTGGAGGGCGGGGTGGCGCCGGCGCTGTGGGACTACTCGCAGTGTGCGGAGGTGGATGGGCAGGTGGGGAGAAGGGTAAAAAATATATATGATGAGACACTGACGAAGCAACTGGGGAGAAGGGGGGGGGAGGCAGGGCGGAGGGGGACGAGAGGAACAAAGAGGGGTAAAGAGGGAAGGCCGCCGTAGCTATGTGCCCCGCCGTGAATGTTTTTGGTCCTGCTCCTGGCTCCTCGCCCTCCTCGCTGTGTCCTACTTCCAACTCTCCCAACGTGTCTCCTTCGCGCCCTCTCCCTCTTCTCTCCCCGCGGTGTGCGCTCCAGTTCTTCTTCACCGGGGCCCCCTGGGAGATCAAGGCACGCGACTACGCCGCAGAGGCCATCTCAGCGGCCCTGGGCTTTGGGAGCAGGGGCAACAGCAACAGCAACAACAGCAGCAGCAGGGGGACGACCGCCGGTAGCAGGGGGCAGCAGCAGCAGCAGCTGGGTGCGGACCAGGTGATTGCGGTGTCCGCCATGGAGGGTGTGGGGGTGTCGGAGGCGCTGCTCAAGTACCACCGACTGGACTCCACCCCCCGCCGCATCCCCTACACCAGTGTGCGCACCGCCTCCAATTGGGTGCACCCGCCGCTGGGGAAGGTAGGAGGGGGGGAGGAGGGGAAAGGGGGAGGAAGGGGGAGGGGGAGGGGGAGGGGAAGGGGGAGGAAAGATGGATACCCATTGTGTTGGGTGACAGTGGTAAACCAGATGACAAGCCCTGGGGGGAAGGGGGGAGGGGGGGAAGAGGAAACTGACGAGCTGTATGACGAAGAGGTGGGAGGGGGAGGGAGCGGCAAAGGCGGAGAAAGCTACACGTTCCCAACGTCCGAAACCTTGCTGCCCCCCCTCCCAAACACACACACGCACAGGTTGGCGAGGGGGATGTGTGGGGTATCTTCGCCGAGTTGCCCGAGGACTACGTGAACGGCTACAAGTACGCCATTGCGACCGGGTCGGCCACCATACTGTCGCTGTTCCAGCAGCGGTGCCGCGGCAGGGGGGAGGAGCAGGGGCGCAGCGGGGTGGGGCCGGCAGGGGGGGAGGGAGGGCAAGGGCGACAAGGGCAGCAAGAAGAGGGGCTGCGACAGCAACAGGAACAGCAGGTGCAGCAGCAGCAGCGGCAACAGCGACGAAGGAGTTTATTGTCCGGGTTGTGGGATCAGGATAAAGAGGAGGAGGAGGTGGGAGGGAGCGAGCAGCAGGGTGCGGGGAGGATGGGCGGCTGGACGGGGATGTGGGGTCGGCTGGCGGGGTCGGCTGGGGGTGAGGGTGAGGGCCGGGGCTGGGGAGGCGGGTGGGGGTGGTGGAGGACGTCTGGGTCGGCAGGGGAGGGTCCAAGTGGTGTGTCAGCAGCGGCAGCAGGGGGGCTGCTGGGCGGCAGGCGTGCAGGGGCGGACTGGGCGGGTGGGGAGCAGCGGGTGGTGGGGGCGGAGGACGAGTGTGCCTTCCATATAGAGTATCCTTGAGGCTCGAAGAAGGAAGCCACCACCAAGACTTGCGATCACACGCCCGTCACAGCAGCGGGTGCATATGTACATTATACGACGTTCGGCGGGCAGTAGGGCATGTGTATGTCGTATCTCGTATGGATTGTATGGCTAGCCGTGGCTGCTACGGGGGTTACAGGGATGCCCCTTGGTCCAAGGGAACACATGTACAATACTGGAGGCTGTCGTTGCCGCGTGTGCTAAAAAGCAACTGAGCCGCGTAATCGTTTGCTGTGTTATTCAACTTGATGTGCCAGCGTTGTTGTAAGCAATTGTGGTTCCAAGAGCGCATGGCTTTGTTGTGACCTTCAGCTGTGGCGGTAGGAGACCTTAGCAAGTCATTCCAACCCAACGCACGTCATGTCAGAGTTTTCGACTGCCAGCATACCCACCAAACGCAGTCCTGTGTCTTGCTCAGCTCCTTAAGATCCAATTAGACCAGTGGCTGGAGAGTGTCCTGGAGTATCCTAATTAATACTCGTCGTCATCGCTGCCAAACATCCCACCCAGGTCGTCCTCATCATCGCCGTACACCTCACCGCTACCGCCACCGCCGCCGCCCACAGTTGGCGCCACATGCGCCGGACCCACACCGCCATCGTACGGCACATTTACCCTGCCGTACAATCCACCATCCCTGCCGTACATGCCAGCACTGCTCGGCCCCACCGCGCCGCCGCCTCCTCCACCACCACCGCTGCCACCAGCAACGCCACCATTCTCGTCCTCCTCCTCCTCGTCCTCCTCATCGTCATCGTCATCCATACCAACATCATATTCCGACTCGAATGCGCTCTCCTCGCCCTCCGACACCTCACTCACACGCCTGTTGCCCCCGCCCCCAGGCACACCACTCGATCCCCCGCCACCGCCTCCGTTCACCCCCGCCCCTCCGTCTCGCCGCATTCCCGCCGCCTCCGCTGCTGCCGCCGCCACCCCTCGGCTACCTCCCCTCTCATCCTCCTCCTCCTCGCCCGCTCCTTCCTGCCCTCGCCGCCGCCTTCCGCCCGCCTCGCCCTCCTCCTCGCCGTCACCCTCGCCGTCGTCCTCATCCAGCAGCCGAAACCCTTCGTCGTCGTCGTCGCTACCAAACAACCCCGCAACCAGGTCAACGTCACCACCGCCGACAGCAGCCCCGCTTCCTCCCCCCGCAGCCGCCGCCATGCCTCGAAGGTTCATTTGGGCCATCAGCGCACGCAACGCGTCGTCGGCGCCGTTTTGCCGTACCTGCTGCGCCGCATTCGCCGTCGCCGCCGCTGCGGCGTCGGTCATCTCCACGTCGCCGCCGTCAGCGGCGGCCGTGGTGGCGGAGCCAGGGGAGGCGCCGGCTGCGGCTGCGGCGGTGCCGTCGCTTGGCCTGACAGCGGCTGCGGCGACGGTGGCAGCGGCGACGGTGGAAGCAGAACCGCCGTCGCCGCCGCCGCTGCCGCCAGCCGCCGCCGCCACTCCCGGCGGCGCCAACCGCTCCATGAGTCGCGAGAAGCGCTGCTGTACGGCATTCTGCCATTGAGATCAGGGTTGCAAGAGGTTGGGGGGGGGGTGTTAGGCGGGGTTAGCGGGGTTAGGAAGGGTTAAGAAGGGTCCATGCGTGTGACAGGTGGTTCAGTGTGGCTTCCCGGGAGTACCCGCTGCAATGCCTCCGCACACACCCTCACATTCCTCATTCCCCTCCTCCCCAACCCCCACCCACACGCCCCCCACCCACCCACCCACCTGCATGGCCTGCAGGGTGGCGTTACTGAACCAGCCAGTCTTCTCGCTGCACCGCTGCACACCGTCCGAGGGGGAGGGGAGCGGCTCCTGCAGCAGGGGGGGGCGTACGGCACACGTGGGAGGGGCGTACGGCAATGCTGACATCCGTTCCGACGTGGCTCTATCCCTCTCTCTCTCTCTCTCTTTAAGCACCACCACGCTCCAATAAACACGGCCCCTCATCCTCCCATTCCGTCCCATTACCCAAGGCCAAGCCACCTGCGCCCCCCGCCCCCGCCCCCTGCGGCCCTACCTGCAGCACGCTCTGCACCTCCGGCAACTGCAGGTCACCCAGCTGCAGAGTGGTGGTCTGCGCGGTGGGAAGCGCGCGGAAGCTGTGGCGGGGAGGGGGGAGCGGGGGGCGGGGAATGGCAGGGAGAGGGAGCGAGGCAGCCCGGGCGGAGTGAGAGAGGGGCTGCTGAGGGGAATGAAAAGAGAGCAGCTGGAGACAGCGTGGGTGCGCAAACATGAACAACCTCCGCAGCGCCAGCAGCTCTTTCCCCACCCCACTACTCCTTCTTCCCCACCCATCACCCACTGGTGCAGGTCCTCCATGCTGTTAGGAATGAGCGGTGACAGCGGGGGGGCGGGGGACGCTGCAGGGGCGGCTCCTGCTCCCTGGCTGCCGCTGCCACCGGCACCGGTACCGCCCGCCTCGCCTCCTCCTGCGGGTGCGGCTGCTGCCGCTCCCGCTCCCGCCGCCTCCGCCCCCGCCTCCGCTCCCGCCGCGGCTCCTGAGGGCTGCTGCCGCGGCTGCCGTGCTGCCCCCGGGGGGCGCAACCCGGACTTGAGCATGTGGCGGTACCTGGGTGTGGGGGTGGGAGGGCGCCGACACACATGCAGTCGTCCATATCCATGTCCAGTTGGGCAGGGAGCGGGACTGAGGGAGACACACAGCCTCTGCTAGCACACTGCTTGCGCGCTGGGCGGTACCACCCGATTGGGCCAGTCGGATCTTCGCCTGCTCCCTCTATAGCCTGCGTACTGCCGCTCTTTACAGCACTTGATGACGCCGACCCCCTCCCACTCCCTCCTTCCCCCTCCGAAACCCCTCCCCCACCAGTTGTTGGGCAGGGAGTACACGATCGCCTGCCACCTGCGCGCCCCCACATCCGCTCGGGGGTCGTAACCCCGCCGGATGAACAACCCGCGCCAAGGACCTGCAGCGGGAGGGAGGGGGCGCACTCATGTTCTTAACACACATACACATGCACATGCACAATCACAGTACGTTTCGCCTCGCGGCCAGTTATTTTAACACATGCACGGCCATGATCTGCGGCGTGTCATGCATGCGGTGACCCATGGGCCACGGCAGACGGACCGAGGTGAGAGGGCAGCCAAACGACATGGCTTTCACCCTCTCTTTCCCACCGCTCTCCCACCCTCCCATCCCATTCCTCCTCCCACCTCCCTCCTCCCACTCCCACCCACCCGTCTTAAAGCGGTAGCACAGCCGCTGCACCGCCCGCTCCACCGCCACCCCGTCGCACCCGCCCGGCATGGCCGCAGCCACCGCGGGGCAGGCAGCGCACCGCTCCCGGATCACTTCCAGGCTCCAAATGGGCCGCTGAGACAGCAACCGGGACACCTCCGTCTCCAACACGCGGTACGCGCGAACGTCGGAGACGCCGGCGGCGGCGGCAGCCGCCGCCAACATTGGGTCCGATGAGGAGGACGGCGGCGGCGGAGCGGCAGCAGCGCCAGCAGCAGTACCCTCGGTTACGGTGGCGTTGGGAGTGCCGGCGGCGGCGGAGGTAGCGGCAGCGGCGGCAGCAGGTGCGCCGGTGGTGGTGGCGGCGGCGGCGGTGGACACCGGCGGCGGCACCCCCTCCGCGTAGAAGCTGATGACGGGGGCATCACCCCAGTTGGGCTCCACGCGACCCGCCACTGCGGCGACAAAGGGCGGGGGTAGGGGCTGCGGTTTCGTCCTAGCCATGCATGTACCCGTTTGCTTTTGTTTCCGTGCCTACCCACCCTCTTTCGCACTCTATGCACAGCATTACCCGCGTCTCCTTAGCCCCGAACCACCCCACAGGAGGACTATGGTCCTCCCGGCTGCTGACCCCACCGCTGACCCCACCGCTGACCCCGCTGCTGCCCCCGCTGCTGCCCTCCACTCCTGACGTCATGAACCACCCACCGGGCCTACACCCTCTTCGGACCTACACCTACCTCGAGGAGGGTGTTTGGACTGCAGCTGCTTAAACGCGTAATCCTGCGGCAGGTCCAGCCAGGAAAAGAGCTGCGGAATCAGCAGGAAGGGCTGCTGCGCACGCATGGGCTCCGCCTTGTCAGGCCGCTGATCGTACGGCAGCTGATCGCGTGTACGGCTGGATAAAAGTGGATCGTACGGCAGGAAGGCGAAATCCGCAAGGCCCGGGAAGCGGAAGGTGGGGCTGACGCGAGCGACCACGCTGGCTGTGACAGGAGCGGTGCTGACGTCATCGTCAGTTGCGGTTGCAGTACTTGCAGCTGCACCAGCTGCTGCTGAGTTTGAGGCTGGGGTTGTGGTAGCAGCAGCTGCTGCTGGGTGCGGCTGCTGCTGTTGCTGGGTTGTTTCTGGAGAAGGCGTCGCGGTTGGGACCGCATGTTGCTGTTGGGATGGTTGCCTCGGACGGGCAATCCTCAGCAGCAGCCGTGTATGGTCCGAGCGCTCGCCGTAAAGCGGGTGGCTGGTGCGGTCCTCAGGCCGATGCTTAAGCTTGAGGTATTGATGCTTCGAGCTGGCTGCGGCGGCAATGGCATCGAGTCCGCCGAGCGTGTAAAGAGCCTTGTCGGGGTTGCGGACGAAGCCTGGATACTCAACAGCAACGGCTTCCTCCTCTGGAACTACAACGTGAAGCTCTTTCAAGCTCATCGCGTCTACATAGAGGAGTTGCGTGAACAAGTAAGTCTACTTTCCGTCAAACTTTTACAAGATATTTCAGCTATAATACAGTGTGAAATTCGAGTATACAAGGAGGTGTTATGGAATGGAAAAGGGTTAGTGAGCATACGTCCAGGCTTGACGTTCGCCGTATATGCCAAGGCGGGAACGAATGATAAAAGCAGCCAGTCTACCATTGACAATAGACCGGAAGCTCGAAAATACTGTACGTCCATTATATGAGAGCTTATTAACAATACCCTGACACGGGTCCATCCGTTCCGTCTTGTCTACTCCGTGGGTCGGTCATATGCCATGCATGCGCAGGAACTATCTACCTGCACAGGACCACATGTAAAACTCACACCTACACATTAACGTCGCAGAAGAGAATCACAGTACGCCTTACTGACGTCCCTACGTTCCTCACAACCAAATCCAACACATCCTCTCCAACACCTAACCGCGCATCACCTCGCGCCCGTCTTCCAACATATCCCCACCGTGTACACCGTCATCAGCAGCCCCGCAGCAATTAGCACCGGCATGGCGACCACACAACCGCCCGAGCGGAAGTTCAGCAGCGTCTGCAAGCGGGAGCCGAGGGAACACACACGCACAGGGGGAATAGCAGTTAGAGCAGGTGTGTATGCTTAGCAGTTAGGTCAGTATGCTTAGCAGTGAGGTCAGTATGCCCACCAGGAAGAACTGCATTCTTTGCAAAGGTAATGCATGTGGCTGACACGCAACGAACAGCCCCCATAACCTCCGTGCCGCACGTACACTACGTCGACCTCACCTCACCAGCTCACCCCACCAACCACCAACACCCCCCCAGCACCCACCAGCAGCGCCGCCCCCAGGTGCAGCACCGCCGCCGCCCCCACGTGCGCGGGCTTGCGCCCCATGTAGCCGTCGAAGGCCACCACCATGAGGCACGTCAGCAGCATGCCGAACGCCAGGCAGTACAGCGCCCCCACCTGCGACAAAGGGGGGGGGCCAGGCATGACAAGGGAAAGACACAGCACTAAGATGTGAGCTCCAACCCGGAGCCTTTTCAAGTTCTCACCGTCATATAAACATAAAACACATGTCTCGCCTGTTTCCTCGCACAGGCTCCCCCGTGGCTATCATCGTGGCTCGCGGTTGCCATCGTGCACCCCAGCTCCCCCGACCCACCCACCCACCCACTGTTGCTGCACTTATGATTCATTTTCCCCACCCCCACTCACCAGGAAGATGGACATCTGCGGGCAGGCGTCGATGTAGTAGGTGCCGTCTCCCACCGTGAGTGGCAGCATGGACAGGAAGAAGAAAATGGCGTGGCAGGCGGCGTGGCCGTAGCCCCAGGCCATGGCCATGTACAGCCGGTCCAGCTGCGAGAAGCGGTGGCCCGAGCTGCGAGACATGGACTCCAGCGTCTCAACCGCCTTGCTGTGGGGGCAGGAGGAGAGGAGGAGGAGGGGAGGAGGGGAAAAGTAGAGGTAAAGCAACCTGACGAACTGTATGACGAGGCTTCGCACTATGGATTGAGGATGGGGAAGGGGAGGGGAAAGACCAATGCAAGACTGGTGAAGGACCAAGGAAGGGAAGAGGTAGCACCGTAGCAGGCCCCGTACACCCAAAAGAAAGCCACGCAGGCCCCACCCAAAGCCCCCACCCACCGGTTCATGCGCCACAAGCCGTACCGTACGGCTTCCTGGATGGCCACTGAGGCTATCAACATGCCCGCATAGGGCCCCTGGAGCACCTTGAGGGGGACGAAGCCTGTACGGCAGTGGCGGGTGATGAGGTGGAACCATGGGTCCAGGGTGACGAAGGTGTTGAGGAGGGAAAAGGAGGGAGACCGGAGCTATCAAGTGAATGGGGACAAGGAAATTGCAGCATCGGGTGAAACATAATGGCGTGGCGGTTCCACGATGCACGCTTGCACGGTGGCAGGAGTTGGAACTTGGAAGGGTATAGTATGGGGCGTTGGGATGGCTAGTCAGCAGCGCAAACCGCCGAATTTGTGGGACCTACGTACTTACCCCTAAAGATAGCTGATGTAATGAGGAGGACAACGAGCCATACGAAAGTGCTACGAATTCGCCACGTGTATTACAAGCCCATGAGGGAGAACACGTTTGGGTTAGCTAGGGGAAACGAAGGGAACAGTGTGCCCTTCAACGATGCCCAAAAAGTGCAAATGACTGGCACAATGGTGAAGTACGTGCTAGGTTTAGCGTGCCCACCTGAAAAGGGAGAGGAGAACTAAGAAGGACTTGCGTGCAATGACGACTAGGAAAAACGCTATTCCAGGCCCTAGGCCTAAGAAAAAGAGTCCGAAGAAGTCTATAGGCATTTCTCTAATGTCACAGCTAGCTAAAGAGCCGTTATACCCTGTTATCGCACGGTAGCCGTGGCCATGGGACTTGCAAGTTGCACACGTCAAACTTAAAGTCACAAAGGTCTAACAGGATAGCCCAAGTAGCTCTTTTCGAAGCCTTTAACCTTTGCTCTTTTCGCAACTTCACCCAGGGACTTCCACCTTTGGCTCCGAAGGCCCATGCATCTCCGAAGCCGGGCATCCAGCAAACGGTTTACTTCTTACACAACTCGAAGTCGTGCAAAACGACCTGCTTGACCATAGATCTGCACATCTAGGGATTGGTGCACGGGTCTGTGTTCCCTGCATTAATCACTACTACATAGCGCCGTCCTTCATCGCATCGGCTATTTCGCCAGAGGTCTCCCATATGATTTAATACATCAGATTCATCAGAGCAACGGTCAGCAAATTCCAATGGCGGATGAGCTTCAGGTGTACTTAACGGCCATGCAGGCCGCGGTTAGCCGCCAGGAAGCTGAAGTGGCCGCCATGCAAGCCAGCGTTGATGAGGTGGCACGGGTGCGAGAGCTTGTGACGCGGTTGCCGGAAAAGGTACGGTGCATTGCGCTGTGCTTCTAGAGACGAAGGGGAAAGTGGGCGAGTGTCTCCATAGCCCTGCGCCTCCCTGCTGCCCCGCGGCCAGCTCCCTCCCATCCAGCGGCCAGCTCCCTCCCACCCAGCCATCTCCAACTCCACACAGCCTACACTACAGCAGCTCCGCTGCCACTCCCAACCCTCCGTCCCCCAGCGACAGCCTCAACACCCCCACTCCCTAACCCACGCCCCAACCCACCTTTTCCCCACCCTCCTCCTCTGCACCCACTCTGCCTCCTCCGCTCCCAAGGTCCGCCACAAGGCCATGGTGCCGTACGGCAAGCACGCCTTCTTCCCGGGCGAGCTCATCCACACCAACGAGCTGCTGGTGGCGCTGGGCTGCGACCTGCAGCTGGAGGCCTCAGCCAGCCAGGCGGCGGAGCTGCTGGGCCGGCGGCAGGCGCGCGGCGCGGCGGCGCTGGCGGCGGCGGAGGCGCAGCTGGCGGAGGCGCGGGGGAAGCTGGCGGAGGTGGCGGCGGCGGCGACGCTGGCGAATGAGGAGGGCGAGGCGTTCATGGAGATCCGGCAGGAGTATGAGGAGTCGGAGGAGCTGTTGAGATCCGCCGCTGCTAAGGGCGGGCGGGTGGCAAACAGCAGGGGGAGTGCTGCGGCCTCGTCGTCCTCGTCGTCGTCATCGCGGCCTGTGGTGACGGCGGTGTCAGCGGGGTCAGCGGCGGGGCTGAGAGGTGCGGCAGGGAGAGGAGAGGGTGGAGAGGAGGGCCCGAGCAGCCAGCGGGCTGCCGGCGCTGCTGCTGGCGCTGCTGCCGGCAGCGGGAGCAGCAGCAGCAGCAGTAGCATCGGTAGAGGAGGAGCAGGCGATGCAGGAGGGGCCACTGCTGCGGTTGTCGCTGCAGCTGCCAAGGATGGGGCGGATGCGGATGGGGCGGATGATGACGCGCGCATCTTTGCTCGGCTGGCTGAACTAGAGCGGCTGGAGGCGGAGGCTGGGGAGGCTGGGGAGGCTGGGGAGGAGGAGGAGCAGGAGGAGGCAGGCGCCAACAGCAGCAGTGACAATGAGGACGGGGAAGCAAAGGGCGAGGGGCAGGAAGGTGGTGAGGGCGGAGGAGGCGCCGGCAGCAAGCAGAAGGCAGGGGTTCGCGAGTGGCAACGGGAGCAGCAGGTGGCAGCAGCAGCAGCAGCTGGCGGAACGGCCGCAACGGGTCGGACTGCAGTGCCTGAGGGGGACAGCGCTGTAGCAGCTGCGACCGCGCCAGCAGCGGCGGAGCCACCCCTGTCAGGGCAAGGCATGGCCGGGAATGGAGTGGGCGGCGGCGCGCCTGCTCGCAAGGCGGCCAAGGGAGCCGCGGCGCCCTTCAAGAAGGGTTTCCTGCTGGGAGCGGGAGCAGCCGGCGGGAGCAAGAAGGGGTGCAGCGCGCGGCAGCCCGCTGCCGCTGCTAAGACAGCACCGACTGCTGCGGGTGCTGACGAGGATGGCAGCAGGAGCAGCCCTCCTGCTGCTTTCGGAAGTGTTTCGGCTGGAAGCCAGGGTGCTGGAGCCGACAGGCACGAGCACATCCCACGGGTTGCCGCTGCCCCCATCCCGGAGCACCCCGGTGGTACGGCATCCTGCAGCGCAGGGAACGATGCCAGCTGCAGCAGCAGCGGCGGCGGCAGTAGCGGCAGTAGCGGCAGTAGCAGCGGCGGATGCGGTTCGCCCACCGCGCTAAGGCGTCGGGTGTCGTTTGCGGACGGCTCGTTTCCAGGTCAGGAGGGCGTTTGGGAGGCGTCGGGGTCCCTGGAAATGGGCCCGCATGACAGAGCCGGGAGCTCGGCGCCTGGAGTACGGTCCGTTTTGAAGCAGGGCGGCACTGCTCGCGAGACAGGACAGCAGCAACAAACAGCCGCGGGCAAGGAAGCTGTGGAGCCGGTTCGCGGCATGAGGGCAGTGGAACGCGTGGCAGCGCTGGAGGACAAGGGCGATGCAGCGATGGCTATGGCTAGAGCACGGGAAGCGGCGTTCACAGGAATGGTGCAAGAGCGTGTTGCAGAGGATGCGGGGAGGGGCTTGGGCGCTGGTAGTTCTGTGGCTGTCGATGCGCATGCGATGTCGGAGAGCTCAACTTCGGCCGGGACGACGATTGAGGATCCTGCACCGCCAAAGCGCATATCGAAGTTTAAGCAACAGCGCTTAGGATTTTCATGAATTCGGTGACAATTTAGCGCGATCTCGCGGTTGGTGCCGTACGTTGTCCGTCACCTCAATTGCCAGGCCTCGCTTCTATGTAAGCCTAACTTTCTGCAGTTTTGCATTTATCTCTGAGCTTCAAACCACGCTCTAGGAGGAGTTGTGGCCACATTTTGCCACAGTCCAGTTGGCGGCTGCCTCATGGAGGCGGCGTCCACCAGTAGCCGCTGCCAAGGCAGCGCGAAAACATGTAGGCTTGGTCAGCCTGGATGGAGGATGCCTCCGGCCCGTGTTCTCCAGCTGCGCGTGCAAGCAGCTGTACAAATCGGAAAGCTGCACCGGGAGCCGGTCCCTCCACTCAGAGAACCAGGGACGGTAGTCCCAGGTTCTAGGACCAAGCCAACACCCCTGCTGTCTGCATCTCAGGTTAGTTCTTGATTCCGGCGACTCGCTGGACACCAAGAGCTTTTGCGGCTTCCGAAGCTCACGGAATCCTCTTCTGTCCTACAGATGCTGCAGCGGATAGGAACCTCCTTGAGCCCATACATTATGGAACGTTTTGGAGCTTTCTACAGCAGCATGGCTGGCGGCATTGTAACGGACCCGACACTCATGCTCTTGCCGCTCGACGACCAATTCGTCGTCAAGGGCTACGGCGTCGCCGAGATCGTGGTCCTGAGGGACGGTCATCTATTCATGCTTGATGAACACATTACTCGGTTAAGGGCTGCCTGTGAGCACGTTGGGATAGAGCTGCCATTCACGGAGGCTGCTATCAAGCGGATCGTCCTTGACACAGCCGCAGCAAGCGGCAAAGTGAACGGTAAGCCTTGTTTTGGTTTGTACTCTGCTCCACAGTATCTTTGCAGGTTAATAATTTACTAACAGACAGACTTGTTCCTCACAGGCCGTGTGCGATTCTGGGTGACCCCTGGCCGCGGTGGCTTCACCCCCTTGGAGGTTGGGGGTCACCAGCCTGCCCTCTACGTGCTGTGCCTTTCCGACGTCCATGAGCTGGACCGCGTGGAGTCCTGGGATGCGATCGTTGCGGAGCAGCCCATCCTGCCCACCAGCACCAGCACCATCCTCGGCAACCAGCAGCTGCTAACATCCGTATCCCAGAAGGAGGCCGTCGGCAAGGATTGCCATGTGGTACGTGCGGCTGGAAAATGCTGCTCGGCGCTATCATTATCCCTGAAGTAGCGTGCTCGGCCCTCTTGCGAGCATGGGCAGGTTGCCATTCCATTAGCCTACGTAGCCACCGGCCCCAATGCTGACCTTACCAGTTACCCAACCCATCCCAACTCAACTCCTGCTGCTGCTCTCAACAACAGGCCATCTTCACGGATGCGGAGGGCTTCGTGCAGCACTGCGCCGGCTACACGGTGTGCATGATCACGCAGCAAGACATCCTCGTGTTCCCGCCATTTGAGAACTCGGTGCCCAGCATCACGCTGGCTCGCATGCTGGACCTGATCCCCGAGGTACGTTGCCGTACGATGCGGCTATGGAGGATTCGGAGAATGGGATACGGAGAATGGCATAACAGCTCCAAGTATGGAGCGAAAGAATGTTGCATGTAGCATCTTATGCCACGTGTGCATGCAACCCTAACGCATTGTGGTGCGGCTGGATTGATGAAAGTATACTAATAAACGTGAGAACATCAATGATGTTTGCAATAATCTATCCCCTGACCAGCCGCATTGCTCTGCCGTTACGCATGTTAATATTAGTACCATACGCAGTTCTTTCATTGTCGTGGTGTTGCTTGTTTGGCTGGGGATTGATGATTTTTACAGCACAAATCACCATCTTTCACCTGAATAAGATGATGACAACTGTCCACGTGCCTGACCCCAGTCAACAAGCAACGCCAGGACTTGCATGCATGCGATGTCTTACCGTGGCATCCGTGGTATCATGCATCCGTGGGGATTGACGATACAAAGCTACTAATCACCATCTTTCGCCTGAATAAGATGATGACAAACGTCCAAGGTTCTGACCCCATCCAATGAAACGGGTGCTTTTGCATATCCGACACGACCCTGACACCTCTGCGCATGTCACAAATCCGATACCCCTCCACATACGCCCTTCTTCATGCACGCTCTCCTGTTAGCACATACTAAGCCTGGGGGTTGATGATTCATATAGCACAATTCACCATCTTTCACCTGAATAAGATGATGACAACTGTCCACGTGCCTGACCCCAGGCGTTAAAGAGCCCATGCACGCACCACCTCACGCAGAAGCCCTCGTGCCCTCATGCTCTCCCACCTGCTGATGCCTCCTTGAGCAAACCTAATCCCCTCTTATTGCCCCCTGCAGGAACGCGAGCGCTCACCCAACGATGTGGTCATTTCGGACGTCCAGCAACGCAAGATGCACGTTTCCGAGATCCTGGCCGCCAAGGAGTGCTTCCTAGTGGGCACCACCTTCACCATCGCACCCGTGCGCAGCATCGACGGCAAGCCTGTCAACGACAACCGAACGGGCCTCGTCACACTCGCGCTGCACTACACCTTGGACAATGACATGCTGCCGCCGCCGCCCGGGACTATCAGTCCGTACCACATTCCTGTGCCGTACGGATTCATGACGGGCATGCGGAGCCAGCTGATGTAGAGCGGTGGCGTGTGCGATGCGAGGGTGATATGGGTGATGGTGAGGGAGAGTGTGTGAGGGACACATGTATATACACGCAGGATGCAGGGCTGGCTAGGGGCTGATACTCGGCTGTTGCTCTGGTGACACTGTTACGTTTTTGCAGATAGGACTTGGTGTGTCTGTGTTTTAGTGTCGAGGCGACTGACCAGTTGGACCGCGATGTCTGCAAGAGAGAGTGTTGTGTGAAGGGACATATGGAGGTGTAGGCTTTAGGCCAGGCTTCCATCAGTTTTGTAGTTGGACTCGTATTTGGCTTGATGCCATTAACTACACATGAGCATCCACTTGCACAAGAGATGCACAAGATGTGCTGTAGGAACCGCTGTTGCTGCGTCCTCCTGTGTGATGCCATGTCGGTCCCATGTTGGGATTTGCATGCAACGGAAGGACTGCATCTTAGCGTTGCCTTAATAACTAACAACGGGCGCTGTGTTTTTCCTTGTTATGTATTCATTCACGACTACAACCACCTTGCTATCTCACACCACCTGGCATTTGCGGCTGCTGCTTATATTGGGCGGGGCCGCAACCTGGGAGTGAGTCTAGGGGTATGCCCTTGGCTCGTGCAGTCAGGGCCCGATGTAACACCACGTGCCACGAGCAGCGACCGACGAGCAGCGTACATGAGAACTCTGATTTAAACAGGTTTAGGATCAACATAGTCCAGCAAAGGGCATAGCATGGGTGGCCTCTGCATCAGCGCTCCATCATTGCTCCAACATCACTGGCGCACTGCACAGCCATTCAACGCGCCCCCCTTCATGGCCGCTCTGCACTCACGTGCCCTCCTCTCCACTCCTCCGAGATAGAAGCCATATGACCACACTCGACACTCCTCCACGCTCTGCAACTCCTCCTTGCCTTACTAAAGCTCTCCCCACCGCCGCCCTCTTCCCCACCTCCTCTCCCCTGCGCTGCACCCTATGCCGCCACACTGGTCCACAGCACGGTATGTTCTCCTCCTTCCTCCCTTGCGCTGCACCCTGCTCCTCACACCTCCCCTCACAGCATGAGTCGGGATTTGGGATTGGGACTGCGTTGTTGCACTTGTCTACAATTTTCCCCCTCACAGCTCCCCCGCCAGCGGCATGCCCAGCGCCAGGTCCGGGTGCTTCAGGCAGAACATCAGCTTCACGGCGGCGCACTCGGGCGTCATGTGCGGCCCCGCGTCCACCCCCATCTGCGCCGCCAGCTGCCCCGCGCGGTACAGCGCCGGCTGCAGCGGACCCGAGGAGCACTGGCTGGTGAGGCACACCTGCAAGGGGTGGGTAGTGCGGGGGCGGTGGAGCAGTGGAGCAGCGCAGGAGGCGCAGCAGCGGGATGTGGCGAATGGCGCGTTGGGCGGAGGAGTTACCGAACCATGATACCGGTACGCGTTGTAGTACCGTAGCTGAGGAAAGGCTTCGGAAAAGCCATGCCGTAAGAACACGAGCCGTGTAAGTACAGGCGCTTCCAGGGCGCTTCCCTTTGAAAGCATGGCTTTATAAGCATGGTTCTATATACAGGTACACGACTTTTCCCTGTTGTTCCCTCCTCTCCATGCTGTTAAGTGCCGTACCTGCAGACCCTTGGCCGTCTGGTCCTTGAGCCACGGCAGCCAGCCGAACCCCGCCTGGTCGGGCAGGTTGCCCACACCGAACGCCTCCAGTACGACACCGCGCACACCGCGGCCGTACAGGTCCCCATAGGCGACCCGCGGGTCACTTCCGGGCACTACCGGAATGCGAATGACGCGAGGGTCGAGCTGCGGCATGTGTCGAGTAGGGGAGGAATTGGAAGGAGCGGGGATGTATGTAAGTGCGTTTGTCACGTCTCCTAACGATGTTACGGGGAGGCATGGCAGCGGGCAGCCTGCCACACCGTACATACATGGCAGGGGCCTGCCTGCGTGCCTGCCTGCCTGCCTACCTTGAACCGCGGCCTGTAGCTTCCCTCCACCCGCAGCAGCGCCTGCGTGTTCCAGTCCACCCCGATGCCCAGTGTGGCCAGGTAGGGGTAGGTCAGCGAGTCGAACGCCTGGTAGGCCGAGGAGTTGACCTGCGGGAACGATACGGTAGCAAGGCAACAGGCCACGGCAATCCTTCACAAAGCACGCACACGACCCACGGTTGCGGCATGTGAGCTACTCCTGCCCTGCTCCCTCCTCCACCTCCTCAGTTTACCTCCTCCACCTCCTCCTCATCTTGCTGCCCTGCTGCTGCCCCCACCCCATCCCACCTTCTGCGTGCGGTTGCCGCGCATGAGCTTGCCTCCGAAGCACACAGCCACCTCCTGAAGCGCCACGTGGGGCGGTGCGAAGGCGGAGGTGGCAACCTGGGTGGAAGAGTGGGGGAGGAGGAGTGGGGTGGGGTGGGGGCAAGCAACCAACACGGGGGGTGGAGTAAAGAAGGAAAACTAGTCATGTCTCATGCAACAAGGCTCCGCCATGCACTTGCGTCACCAAGGGGAGTGCTGGGGCATGCGACTCAGGGTAAAAACAGCAGGTTACGAGCGGCTGGATGGCTCCTTTCCAGCGTAGTTCCCCCTCCCCCTCCTTCCCCTCCCCCTCCCCGCACGCCTGGATGGAGTCCAGCAGGTTCTGCCGCGCGTCCGTGCGCGGCGCCCGCAGCGGCAGCTGACTGCCCGTCATCACAATGGGCTTGCGGAAGCCGCACAGCATCAGCGACAGCGCGGCGGCTGTGTAGGCAAGCGTGTCGGTGCCGTGGACCACCTGGTGGGAGCGGGTATGCATGTGCGGGGGCTGGTGGGGGATTTATGAGAAGTGCAGCAACTGGAGGGGGGTGAAGAAAGGTCGGTGTAAGGGCGTAAGGGAGACAAGCAACGAGGGAGGGGGGGTGAGAGCTGCTCTCCATGCAGCCTGAACATGCTGCAGGCATGTGCTGCTGCAGGAACAGCCAGCAGGGAACCCCCGCACGAAGAGGGGCGCCGCCGCACCACGAATGCGTCGTAGTGATTGCGGTTGTGGTGCAGCGCCCGCGCAATGGCGGTCCAGTCCTGCGGCCCCACCCTGCTGCTGTCCTTGTTGAACAACACCTGGTGACGTGAACATGGATGGGGCATTGGGAGGGAGGTGGGCAGGGGGGAGGGGGTTGAAGGGAAGAAATGAGAAGTGGGGGCGAGGAAGACGACGAGGGCGGAGGGAGCCTACTGCACTGCCCCCACTGCCCCTCACCACACAGCTCATCAGTTTCCTCATCTTACCCCCACGCTGCCCCCTCCTGCCCCCGCCCCCCCTTGCCGCACCTGCAGGTCTACGTTGGCGAACTTGTCCAGCTCCGGAACCATGGCTGCGTGCGGGGTGGTGGGGAGAGGGGGGTGGGTGGGACTTGAGGGGTTGATACATGTGGTTTTTGGAGAGAGAGAGCTACATCAGCACACCAGTAGTAGTACCGGTAGTAGGCAACAGTTGTGATAAGCTGATAACCCCTCCAGCGATAGCAGTACATAAACCCCACCCCACCCCCTGCCACGTAAGCAAGCCTTCGGTAAATTTATATTTCTTTGCGTGTTTCTAAAATAGCGTCTCCGAATGCACTCACTGCATGAGTCGGGATATGGGATTGGGACTCTAGTTGTTTGCACTTATTACATAATTTTACCCCCTGCCAGTGCACACCTGCCCCCCCCCCAGCCACCCCCACCCGACGACCCAACTGAGCAGGCCGGACAGCATCTCGCCCGGCCTCAGGCTGCCCTTGTAGGAGGACTCGGTGGCGCCCGCCCGCACGCGCAGGTTGTGGCCCTCGTCCTCCTCGAAAGCCTCCTGCACGGCGGGTGACGGGGCTGCTTGTGTGTTAAGAAAACTGGCCGCGAGGAAGTGGCTGCTTGTGTATGTGCGCCCGGCCCTCGCACCCCGCTCCATCATGCGGCCCAGGCGCACCAGGCCCCCCCCCCCTTACCTCCGCCTCGTCATACAGCTCGTCAGTTTCTTCTCTTTGCGCTCCTTGCCTCCTGCCCCTTATGTCCTGCCCTTGACCTCCTGCCCCTTACCCCCTGCCCCTTACCCCCCCCCCACCTCCTGCCCCCCACCTCCTGCCCCTTACCTCCGGATCCATGCCCAGCGTTCCGCCCGTGTGCAGGAACAGCACCCGCGGCAGCAGCCGGGTGACGGTGCGCAGCCGGCGCAGCGAGGGAGGGCGGGCTTTGGGGGCAGGAGGCACTGCGCCGTCGCTGGGGCCGAGACTGGGTGCAGGGCTGGAGCTGGGGTTGGGGTTGGGGTTGGGGTCTGAAGCGGGGTTGGTGCTGCCAGGCGCGGTGTGGGGTCCTGTCCCAGTGGGCGCAGGCGCGGGGTGGGGTCCTGTGGAAGGAGGGCTGCCCTTGCGCTTTGATTTGGGCGGTGGTGCAGGAGCAGGCGAGGGAGCAACAGCCGTGCTGCTGCCTCCGTTTGATGAAGCAGTGGGGCTGCTGCTGGGATTGCTTGTGGGAGCAGGCTGCTGGTCCTGACTGCGGGTGCTACTCGCAAGGGGTGTGGGGGCCGGTGATGTAGCGCCTTCGGCCGTGCCCATGCCGGCTGAAGCGGGTACGTTCGCTTCACCGGGAACAGGGACCATTGCTAGCGACATTCCGGATTGCATGTAACCTGTTGCCGAGCTCTCCTCAGAGGCGCGAGAAGAGATGCCTGGGGGCAAACTAGCCAACGGTTGGAGCTCCGCATCGATAGGCTGGCTCCGCGTCAGTGTTGCGTAACGTCCGGTTAGCTTTTGTTTCGTAAACGCAAATCGGAAGCAAGCGTGTTTATGTGGACCTATACAGGGTGCTCTCGCCAAGCGTGACACGCCAGAGTGAAATGCCATGGCGCGCATGTTCGGGCCCTGACGTTCTCCGCGCCCAACGACGAAGTACCAAGGTTACTCCATTCCGATAGTATATGTTGCTAGTCTCTTGCAGCTACGCCACGATGGGTTACTTTGCCAAGTCCAAAAAGGCAACAAACAAGCACAACTTAACGTGCCTTATAACAAAGCAATTGCATCATGTAAGCGAGCTTACAATGGTAGTTACGTGCATATGGTCACCGCGATCTTTGCGCTAACTAACTAATGACTAACTTTGTTTATCCAATTTCGCGCGCGAAGTCCGTTCGCAGTCAGTGTTTCGGGAATGCCAGTCAAATGCCAGCCATAAACACATACAAGTGGTTCTAGCAGCCGCCGACCCAACCGGCTCTTCGTGTCATGCATGCACATCCCATATTCGACCAATCTAAAAGGCAACACACAACTCAGCGGCATTCACAGTACTCAGCGGATCGTGCGCATTCCTCGGTAGCTAATGGGGCATCTCCGCTGCAAGTGAAAGCCCTCAGTAGTAGTCGTTCGGGTTTGCCGAGTCGTTCCCGGGCACCGGCTCATCTGCCTTGAAATCCGCTTCGGCCTCCCCAGTGGACGGCAAGTCGGCGCGCGGAGCCTCCTCCTCACGCTCTCCCCTAGGATGGGGAGGACCACATGGAAGGGCGGAACACCATGGCGTCATGTAAGGAACACATTTTTTCTTCTTTGGTACTGATCAAATACCAGTAACCCAGCAGCAAAGCAGGACGACAGCTGGGGCGCGTGCTTAACTTGGGCATGATCCATTGCCCCGAAGACATACTGACGTCTAATTCCGAGAGATAGCTTCTGCTCCCACCTCTCCCAAACCGCACCTGGGCGACGCCTCAGCGACTCGGCGCGGGCTGCGGCTTCGGCTGCCGCCACGTTGGTACTCCCGCTCTCCCCCCCGCTCGTAGTCCCGGTCCCGCTCGTCGCGTTCGGTATCCCTGCCCCGCTCATCGCGGCCATAGTCCCGGTCCCGATCACCGTCACGGTCATAGTCCCGCCCGCGACCTCCATCCCGGTCGTAGTCCCTGTCGCGTCCGCCGCGGTCGTAATCCCGGTCACGGTCATAATCGCGGCCCCGGTCGCGCCGGTCATAGTCTCTCCCGCGGGGGCTGCGGCTGCGGCTGTAGCGGCTGCCGCGGCGGGGGGAGCGTGAGCGGCTGTGGCGGCGGTCGCGGCGAGGAGAGCGGGAACGGGAGCGCCGGCGGTCGCGCCGGTCGTCACCGCCTGTGCAGAATGGGGAGGGAGGTTAAGCTTACTAAAATGGCATACTTGCATACGCAAGAAAGAAGTAACATAGCGCTTCATGCGTCCAGTGCCGTACACAGACCAGTTAATCAGATACCGGATACTAGGTGGGGTAAGAGCTTTAACTGCGGCCATGGGAGAGCCGGCTAAAACGTGATCAGGCTGCACCCTGTGTACAAGCGCGCCAGACAGTCCAATCATGCTGCGCCGCTGCTGTGGTAGCAAGCCCCCTCCCCGTACCTGAGCGCCCTCCTCCTCCTCCTCCTCCACTTCCACCCTGCTTGTTCTCAATGATCATCATCTCCCGCGGCGTCTTACGGCCTTCCTTCGATAGACACACCTGCGAGTTGGGAGCACATGGCAATGAATACCTGTTTAAGTCTATTGCGGCACAGCCACACTTGGCCATCCATTCATGTAGAAAACGGAAAGCACAGCTCGTTACAGCCTTCCTTTACCAGCATGTGTTCTTGGGCCATCTCTACATGTGTGCTGCTGCGGTCGCTGTGTCACCAACAACTCACGTTTATTTCTCGGCCCTCCAGCGTTGTGCGGTCCATGTGGTAGATGGCCTCGTCCGCGTCCCGTGCATCGCGGAACTCGATGAAGCCAAAGCCCCGCGACCGCCTGAAGCGCAAGTTGGGAGTTTGTGGTGTCAAGCAAGGGAGGGAAGCAGGGATCCGCGCGTGTGATGACGGGGCTGCAATGGGCACGGGCCACCGCTCCAAGCAGCCTGTTGACGCACGCAGCTACATGGCGGTTACGACACGGGGGTTGCTGTCTACAAGAATCAGCAGGGAGAGGCCATGTGCTGGTTCCAAAAGACTAGGGACGGCAGCCCCACCATTTAGCACGACGGTGGACGCAGGTACTGCGTAAATGGTGGCGACCTTGTATAGTACACGGGAGCCTAAGAGAGTCTAGAGGTTCCGGGTTCCCAACTACTGCGCTTGTGTTGCCTTCCCGGGTACCGTAACATGGATGCGGGGGTTGCCGGGGCCGCGCACACATCTTGCCTGCTACACGGCGTGCACGGTGGTGGTAGCAGGGGGCCATGCTTGGGGGCTTGGCTTGATCACTTGATCACTGCCGTGCCAAGATGCCATGACCAGTACAATAGCTGGGTGCTGGCCTTGCTTGAGGCGGCTTGCATCCCGAATGGCTCAAACGCCTCCTAACTTGATTGCTTGTACACTCGCTTGCTTGCTTCAGCCCTTGCTTGCTTGCTCGCAACCTCGTCTTGCTTGTGCGCAGCGTAGTGAGGCTCCTAGGCCGTTGTAACATTCCGGACTGCCCCTCCTTGACATGCTCGACTGAGTTCTCGTGCTTCCCTTGCTGTTGGTTGGCAAACCGGTTCACGTGACGCGCAACAGCCCCTACCGTCAATTGTAGTCTCCAGCTTTATGCTAATTAGATGCTAACATCCAGTCTAATATGGACTGCCGCTATTGCCAAACACAACCCATACACAACACATGCCGCCTCTAGCCTCACACGGCAACCCTCACCTGGGCCCCGTAGGTGCAAAGCTTCACACTTGCACCACCCATTTGCACTCACTGTGTGTAGTAGTCCCTTGGAATGTAGACATCGCGCAGGTCACCATACTTCTCAAATTTCGCCCGCAAGTCTTCAGCCCTGTCGAAGAGGACAAGAGGAAACCCGTCCGTCAGGCATTTCATGTTAAGTTCCAGGCAGGTATGAACGGGACCCCGTCAAGCGGAGCCAAAAGCGGTCAAAGCTCCAAAGCCAGGCGAGTGACCTCCGTATTGTGAGTGGAGTCATAACATCCCTAGAGTCCATAAGGTACAGTAAAAGCCAGAAGAAAGGCTCACGCAATTCTACACCCTACCGGTACTAAGGTGACAGACGCCGACTGCTTTCCACTAAATATGCAGGAAATGCGAAAGAGCTTCCAGGGTAATACTTACGTGTAATTTAACGGAATGTTGCGAACCAGAACGGAGACCTTGTTCTTCACACCAGCTGACGCTGGGCCGTAATCCTCCCGCTCCCTTCCACGCGACATTATAGCTTCAACTCCAGCTAAAGTTCAAATCCTATAACCTCCCCTTGAAATGTGCGCAAAGGTGAGCCTGTGAGGAGCCGCCAAAATATGCTCAAACAGATACCAACCAGGTGCAGATCAGTGGCACGTACGTTTGATAATCTATATAGCAGAACAAATACAAGAGCGCGTTTCAGCTACCCAACACCTGGGCAAATGGCAATCCGCCGTACTTGCATATCTGTCGTGCATGAGTAACGTGGCCAGAGTGCCGGAGAACGCGTTTCTGTTTTGCCACACACGCATGTGCATTTAGGGTCCCAGCACAATATCTGATAGCTGAGCAGGTATGTCGACATCCTGTACGTTGGCTTTCTTTCCAGACCTGGTATGATGTTGTACGATATCCGCTAGGTTAACCCTTTAGTGTTTCAACACTCTCCTGGTACCCAGCGTTGGGTATACTCTTGCTGTTGGGTAAAACACTAATATGAAGAAAAGCAGCATATGACAACCATGAACCCTCGTGTCCAATTGTTCTCAGGGGTAGCGGTGTGCTGTGGGTAGGCAATCGGCATCTGGGGTCAAAGCTAATGGGAGAGGTTAAGGCAGACCATGAAGAGTCTTTGGGGGGCTGCAGGGTTCCGGGAGGGTCCGGGAAGGACCGTTTCAGAGTGTTGGTATTTTAGGACAGAAGTCGGCATGCTACGGGGCCTGGAAAACATTGCAAGGGCCTTCGGTCTTAGGTGAATTAACGGTATGGTTCTTGGCTTTACCGGTACCTATCGCGTCACACCACCAATGGTTCTCGGCTGGTATTACGTCGTGCAGTACAATTTTCTGCAATTTTGCAGGATTTCCTTTACAGTTCCTATCATTTATCGCGGTTATTATCTTTTCACACTAGTCTGTGAAGTACACGAATACCCGGGACTAAGACGATGTCGACGGTGTAAGATGGATAGTTACCTGTACCCGGCATTGTATTATGGCCCTTATCATCTGCTCCGTTTTGTCGATTCATCTTCGCTGCTGGCGATGATTCCCTGGTGAGATTTGGACATGTTTACCGGTATCCTTGCATTCTGCCCGTGCACTGTGCCTGTACCTTCCGCCATGTTTGTTACTTGTTTATGGAAGGAACTATGTGATGCTTCCTGGGATGGGAATGGTTAGGGGATTCGGGGAAGTCGAGTGGAGTCGTGTGCCGTCTGTCTTCGTTTGCCCTGCTGATGTGTTCCCAACTACACGGGGGGCACGCCCTCAATACTTGCAAACTTTGCAATTTGTCTGACGGTTGTAGCTGGGGTGAGGTACTGGAACGGTACAGTACGCAATGAGGTGACTATCCCATCGTGGTTTCCGCAGGGCCTGAGGCCGTAACCGCGGTTATCAGCTACCGACACGTTGGAACAGCACAGACAAAACAGAGCCTGCTGTTACGGTGAGAAACGGCCCGACGGACATACTAACGCTGGCCTGTGCAATGCGTATCTTTGTTGGGTATATCCACAGTCATCGCGCGGCCCCTTCATTGCATATGTTAACACTGCTTTTACCAATAAATGCCTGCACAGCGAGTGTGTCCCTAACGGTTACTTCCGCCTACCTGTTACCATGTCTGGGATGTAAGAGCCCGGAAGTAGGCCATACTCGGCATTTTTTCCTTATTATGTATATGGCCTTCTTCCCGTCCAGGTCCGGTCACAAACGGACCACCTGGCGTCCCTCTTAGTAATTGGATAGGCGTGGCGGCTCAGCTAGGCGAGGCCCATCCATGGCGCCGGGGGTCTTCTCGCGGTGGCGCTCCTTCGGCAGCCAAAAGTCAAAGCGGGGACGTGCAAGCCCTGATGCGCCGCTCGGAGGTGCCTCAGAAACACAGCCTGCTGACCTCCCTGCTCTGCCCCCCGCACCCCAGCCTGCAGCCTCAGCCCAGGAAGGCCCAACCCAACAGGCCGACCCAGCGCATCACCCGGCCTCAACGGGGCCACAACTGGCAAGCGAGGAGGACTTAGAGGAGCATCAGCAGCAGCACGAACAGGGAACAGCGCACCAGGGCAGCTGGCCGCAAGGCCCCCCAGCTGCCCTTCTCCTTCCTAACGACATCATCTCCTTCCACCACAACGCCTTCCCGCAACCGCAGCCGCACCGCCACAGCCTGCCTAACCCAGGCTACGTCAGCGCCAGCGCCAGCGGCGGCATGGAGGGGCAGGCTGCGTGCGTCGGCGCCACCGCGCGCCGGCCCCTCGCTCGGCGCTCCACCTGCTCCTACGACGGCACCCTCTCCAGCAGCGGTGACCCGGACTGGGCCGCCGTGGCCGGCTCCGCCGCGGCTGCAGCTCAGCCCCAGGACGCGGTGTGGACGGCGGCGTCCGTTGGGGCGGTGCGCATGAGGCGTCACAGCGGGCTGTCTCTATCACAGGACGGCGGCAGCAGCTCCATCCTCAGCGCCTACTCCAGTCATGTGCCGTCGTCAACACCGGCTGCGCTGAGGGCTGCGGCTACCACCGGTAGCGGCAGCGGCCATGTGCTGACGCCGCCGTACGGTGATGCCGTACTGGGTCGGAAAAGTGGCGGGAGCGGTGGTTTCGGAGCCGCTGCCCCAGAAGGTCTCCAGCCGGCGGCTGTGTTGGCCGAGTCCTCCAGCGATGTGGTTGCGCCGGCGGCTGGAAGCAGTGGGCCTTGCATGGGCTGTAGGGCATCAGGTGACAGCGCCGGGCAGCTGACGGGGGACATGGACGTGAGTGCAGGCGGCGGCTCCCAGCAGGTGATGACGTCAGCACACGCGGCTGCCAAGTCGCTGTCGTCGCCGCCCCTGCCGCCGTCCCAAGAGGAGCGGCTTTTGCATGCTGCGCAGCATGCAGCTGAAAGTCACAGCTGCATTGAACACGAGCCGTTGATTGAGACGACGCCCTTCGTGCAAGCGCCTGCAGCGGTGCAGGGGGACCTAGGGCACTTCGCGTCTCGTAATGAAAACACGCCCTCCGCCTTGGAAGGAGGTAATCGTGATGGCAGCGGTGATGGGAGGGTGATGGGCGAGGTAGGACGCCCGGTACCTACTGGGCTGCTGCATTCGGCGTCGCCTCATGCGGACGTTGCTTGCGCCTCCGAGCAGATGGCCGACAGCGTGCATGGCCCGACAGCCACAACTGGTCGTGCGGCCGCACGCTTACGCATACCTCGGCTGCAGTTGCCGTCGTCATTCCCATTTGAAGCGCAGGACAGCGTGGGAGGTGCCCCCAGCTGCGAAAACATAAGCCCCGCAGGCGCCCCCACTTCTGCTGCAGTCCCGGCTCGCTTCAGCAGCGTGGCATTTGAGGACGAGGGGGTGCAGGGCGGTGAGGTTACCGCACGCACTTGGGCGTTCCGGTCCTACGGCGGCGATACCTTGGACAGGGCCCTCGGCGCCATTACGGATGGCACCCCGGGAACCGGCGGCGCCGGCAGCGTCTTCCGTAGCATGGCGCGCCAGATCAGCGCTGGCAACGCAGATGGCTTTCGCAGCGGCTCTGAGGAGGAGGACGAAGGGCTGGGGATTGCCTCTGGCCTCCTCCGCCACCGATCCAGCGTCGTTGCGGGCAGCGCCGCCGGTGGCGGCGGCGGCTCCGGAGCCACCGCGGCCGCATTCCTGCAGGCGGCTGCCGCTGCCGCCGTCACAGGCAGCCCCCAGGACTCGAGCTTCAGCCCCAGCTTCCCCTCCGCGACGCCCTTCGGCCCGCCGGCATCTGGGCTGGCTGCCATGCATCGCCGCGCGTTGCGTCAAGCGGTGGCCAGCCGCTGGCGCGCCGCGCTGCAGGACGCGCAACGCCAGGCCTCCCAACCCGCCTCGCCCATCTCGCAGCCCTTGCATGAAGAGTCGCTGCTAGCGAGGTCCCTGGGTCGCGACTCGCCCCCCTCCATGTCCATGCCAGGCAGCCCCTCCGGCGTCGGGGTCAAGCAAGGCAGCTTTCCCGGCTATTCCGTCGCCGGTGAGGAATCCGCATCGCCGGCCGGTTTGCCCACTGCCGGAAGCGAGGGCAGTCCTCGGCCCGCATCCCTGCCGCTGGTCGCCGCCTTGCGGGTGGCGGAAGGCGGCGCCGGCGTGCCGGGGGGTGTCGCGGGCCGAGCAGTGAGCCGCTCCATGTCGTTGTCACGCCACCGAACGCTAACAGTAACCGTTCCGTTGGGGAATGCATCTACAGCCGGCTCATGTGACAGCCCTGTAAGCCGCCCTGCAAGGTCTCCTTTCGGCCGCTCCATCTCGATCGGACCCAGATTGGCCGGGGGTGCGGCAGGCGGCGCGGCCGGCGCCCCTGCTCCCAGCATGCTGAGCCGCCTTCCTCCACACAGCCGGGGCAGCTTTTCAAGCGATGTCGCCACAGCGGCGGCTTCCATGCCCGACGCCGCTCTGCCTGCTGCTGCCAGTGAGAATGAGGCGGTCGCTGAGGCGCTCGCGAGCGCGGACCCGCCTTGCGAGGCGGTGGCGGTGATTGCGGATGGTGCAGGGTCGAGAGGCAAGCGCGCAGCGGAGGTGCATGGTGCGCGCGGTAACGCATATCCAAGCCTGCCCTTTGAGTTCGAGCGGGTATCGGAAGCAGCAGCGGAAATAGAAGCCGATGCACTGCCGGAGGCAGCTGCTGCGGCTACCTCGCTTCCTGCTTCCGAGGACGAGAGCAGCAGCTGCTGCCGCCAAGCAGCGCCCCGCGCCGAGCAGGAGCGGGAGGAGCCGGCAGGTGCCTCCCAGCTGCATTCAGCGACCCATGATGTCACCATGGGGGGAGCTGCCTCGCACGATTCCGCCTCTCCCGGGTTCCTCATGCCGCGGGGCCGGCGGTTCTCTAGCGCTGCGGGCTCGGAACGGGCTGACAGTGCTGGTGATGGGGTGACTGCCGCCTTGGGCACGCGACTGCCTGCAACCACCGCACGGATGCTGACGTTCGCTGGACTGGCGCTGGTGGTGGTGGTGGTGTTGGGCTGGCTGCTGGCGATGGTGGTTGCCTCGGTAGTTCGCAGCGCGCTGATCAGTGTCAGCATTACGGCTGCGGCTGCGGCAGCCGTTGCATGGGCAAGCACCAGGGCCGCTGCTACCACCGTGTACGACAGGCGTACTACGACGGGAGGTCTCCTCCGGGGCGGTTCGTACAGCGCCCGCGGGCTCTTGCGTTCTGTGCTGCTGGCGTTGGCGGATGCGGTGGAACAACCCCACATGGATGTTGCCACCGCCGGCAACAGCAGCAGCAGAGGCACCAGCAGGAGCAGCAGCAGGAGCAACAGCAGGAGCAACAGCGCCCTTGCCCTGGTGCCGGAACAGCAGGAGCAGGGGCAGGAGCAGCCGGCTGTGGTGATGGAGGCGGCCGAGGACCTGGGCGCGGAGCCAGCTCCCTGGACGGCTACCCCTCTGCTTATTCAGCAGCACGCGGCGTTATCTCAGATCAAACTGCAGCTGCTGGCTGCGGGTGACGTTGCGGGTGTCGTACGGCAGCTGTCACGGCACGCAGCCGGCCTGTACGAGGGTTTCGGCGTGTACCTACTCATGGCGTTACCCAGCGACGGCGACGAGCAGACGAGCAGCAACGGCTACATCTCTGCCAACGATGCCGCCGCTGCTGAGGGTGCTGCTGCTGCTGCTTCAGCTGCTGGCAGCTCGGCAATGGTAGTGGAGCTGGTAGCCAGCAGCCGGTTACGGCCATGGATTGCCAAGAAGGAGCGGAAGGAGCCATCAGCAGAGGGGCTCCTCACCATCAGTGTCGACGGTGGCAGTGAGTGTAGCGGGAACGGCAGCAGCGATGCCGGCAGGAACGCGGAAGCGCAAGGCGATGCACTGGTGGCGTTGCAGCAGCTGCCGTCGCTGCTGACCTGCTTGCAGGAGCGATCTGCGGCTTGCTTCGCGCACGATCCCTCGGCTGATGAGGACGCTGCTGCTGACACAGCGGCGGAGACAGTTGATGCCGAAGCGAAAGGCAGCAGCAGCAGCAGCCCCGTTCCTACTGAAGAGGTTGATGCTGTTACTGCTGTCGACAGCAGCGTTGCTGGTGGGGTCAGCCAGCCACCACCAGCAACAGCAGCAGCGGCCGCTCCCGGGGATGAGGCATCCTGGGCACCCGACGACGTGTTGCAGCTTGCCAGCCGGTTGGGCGCCTCTGGGGTGCTTGTGGCGCCGGTGGCGTGCATGGAGTACGGATTCGGGCTGCTGGTGGTGGCCCGGCCCGCTGGCGGCAGGGGCGGCGAGGGACAGGCGGAGGAGGGCGGCAGAAGCAGCAGGGACGCGGCAGGGGTGCCACCGCCTGCGCTGCCGCTGTTTGATGAGGAGTTGTTCGACCTGACATGCTGCCTGGCGGATGAGCTGGCGGCGGCGTTGTACCTGAAACACGTGCAGGTGTGTGTGTCGAGCTAGGGGTGGCCCTTGTGATAGGGGGGATGACACAGCGGGAAAAGGATCATCCGTTCTTCCTGCTTAGGTGTTCTAGCTGGCCCCGTGTCGTGTGTCACCACACCCACACATGTGCCCTTCCCTGTTCCTTAACCCAACGTAACTAACGCCCAACAACGCAACAACTCTTCCCTCTAACCTCTGTCCTTCTCTTTTCTCACCACCCTCCTCACCGCTCTCCTGACCGTTCCTCTCACTCCCTTACACAGGCCGAGCTGGCCGTCATGGAGGTCCTCATGACTGACATCATGCCGTACGAGGCTATCCAACTGCTCAAGCGCCGCTTCCAGCGCACCCTGGACGCCTCGCGCGCCACCTCGCTCACCGCCGCTATCATCGCGGGAGCCGGCGTCAGCGACGACAACAGCAGCGATGCATGCACGGCGTACGGCTCGCCGCCACAGCTGCCACAGCAGCAGCAGCACCCGCCGCTGTTGCGCACACGTATGAGCTCGTTTGGTGCTCCGGCGGCCATGCACAGCTGCCGCTCGCTGTTCCCCGCCGCGTCGGTTCAGGGCGCGGAGGTGGTGGTGGGAGGCGCGGCAGAAGAAGAAGAAGAAGAAGCTGTGGAGGGGCTGGAAGGCAGCGGAGCTTCTGTGGACTTGAGCGGCAAGCTGGCTGCGCATGCGGATGTGGGTGTGGATGTGAATGTGGATGTAAATGCTGAGGGCGCAGCACTAGCAGAGCTGCCAGATGGCGCAGCAAGGGTGTTATCGGCGGTGGTTGCAAGCGCCTCGAGCGGCCCTCACAGCAGCATGCAGCAGCCGGGAGAAGGGCTGTTCGATAGCTCCAGCATGAACCTTGCCAGCCTTCTGCTTGGAAATCACATTGAGGAGAAGAAGCCCCAAGGGTTCGGATCTAATGAGGGCGATGAGAGTGATGATGACGATGATGAGAGTGAGGGTGATGATGATGAGGCATTCCCGAAGGTAACGGTGGCAGTTGAAGTGGTGGACATGGGGAGCAGTCCCATGGGTCACCTTGCCTCGGCCACTGCGCCACCAGACGGCAGGCAGGGGCCGCTGCCAACCGCCGCGTCCCGTGCGAAGACGCTGGGCCCGCCTCGCCCGCCCTCGAGCTTCCGCTGGCACCGCAGCCCCTCACTCCAAGGGCTGGGAGGCGCCTCCTGCACATCCCCCTCCCCAGCAGCTGCCTCCGCCGCCTCTGCCGCCGCCACCGGCTCTTCAGCCGTTCCGTGGTTGCTCATGTCGTCCAGGAGTACCAGTGGGGAGCTGTACGGCAACACAGCAGCCGACTGGGCTACAAGCAGCGGCGTCGGCGTCGGCGGACCCGGCGGCGCCGGTGCCAAGACGTTGCGTCGGAACTCCCATTGCGGCGGCGGCGGAGGTGGCGGCGGGGCCGCCAGCGGGCCCTACGCCTCCGCCGCCGCCGCCGCTATCGCCTCAGCGGCATGCGGCTTGACCAGCGGCGGCATTGGCTTGTCGCTCCCAGGCATCGACGAGTCTCATCCTGGAGCTGAGGAGGCGGCTGCTGCTGCCGCCGGCGGCGGCGGCGGTCAGAGCGCCAACAGCAGCAGCGGCAGCAGGGCGGTGGGCAACCTGCTGTCGCCGCCGCTGACCAGCCGTACGGCACGACTGCCGCTTTGCTCACCCGGACACAGCAGGACTAGCTGCGGTGGCGTGTTGGGTCTGCCGTCGTCAGCATCCATGAGCCGTGTCTGTGGTAGTGCTAGCGGCTTTGGGGGCGGCGGTGGTGGTGGTGGTGGCGGTGGTGGTCAGCCTCCGTTGGATTCGCCGCTGCTGGGTTTGAGGCGCATGCGCAGTCGCAGTGGCAGCGGCGAGCAGCAAGCGGCGCTGGAGGTGCCGTACAAGCAGTGCCATGCCGCCGTCAGTGTGCTGTTCGCCGACATTGGTGAGTTGGGAGGCGCGGTGGGGGATCGTAAAAAGAGGAAACCAACGAGCTGTATGACGGGGCTGGGGGGCAGCAAGCCTTGACACTCTCCTAACCCCCTCCTTCGCCCCCTCCCTCCTTTCCGTCTTCACCGCCCAGTGGGGTACACGCACATGTCGGGCGCGCTGGAGCCGGAGCAGGTGATGGGACTGCTGCACTCGCTGTTCTGCCGCTACGACGAGATGCTGGGGCCGCTGGGAGTGTACAAGGTGGGGCGGGAGGGCGGGTGGGGTGATGGGGGGTGTGGGTAGCGTAGCGATGCAGAGGGCGGAAGGAGAAGGCGGCGACAGGGAAGGTGGCAGGGGAGGGGGTGTTGGTGGTGGGGCTGTCGGCTGCGGGCTGTGTAGCGGGCGCTGCATGTCCCCGTCCTCCTGCTGCATTGGGGGTGCGCGGTGGTGATGTGGTCTCGTGCCCCTTTTTGATGTGATCGGGGGGCTGCTAGGGAGTGCCTTTTACTTCTGGAATGAGCCTTCCCTGGCTTCGACTTACGTGTTTAGGACGCTTCGGTATGACAACATGTTTCTCGTGCCCATGTTTACCAAGCCGAGCTGCCCACATCTTGAGTCCCATTGCCGTGCCCGGGTCGTCTGCCCAAGTCGCCCAAGGGTGCTTGTTTGTTGGCCCCCAACCGACATATGCCGTTGCTGTGCTCAGGCCGGGACCGCTAGCGGCTGCCCCCCGTCTTAAACCAACACCCCTGATTGCCCTGATGTGCCCCTTTCGCTGCATCTGCAGGTCGAAACTATCGGGGATGCATGTGAGTTGTTGCAGGCCCAGTGGTTCGGGGGGAGAGTCGACACCGCAGGGAGCCCGCACGGGGCGGAGAGTGTGCTGGAGCCCGCTGCGTTGCCTGAGCTCTCTTTTGTAGGCGCACCCCGCAACGACAGGAGTCTGGACTCTTTGCAGGAAGATACAAGGCTTACATCTTACAAGTCCTCCTTGACTACTTCCTCTAAAGGATGCATCTTGCCTTCCCTGCTTCCCTTCCCCGATCGCAGCTTACCCCCACCAACTGCCACCGGTACTGGATTCACGGCGTTTCCGTTTGTTCCTCCACCCCTCCTGGCATGCACTCCGCCGTTCGCCGATATTCCTCTCTATCCACTTTGCATCCATCCAATCACCACGGGCTCCATCATACGGATGGCCACCATCGTCACCAACTTACCGGTAATCTTACGCCCGCCTCCTCCCGCCTCGTTCCTCCCACCACACCCCACTCCCGCTTACCCCCAGACATGGCTGCCACGGGGTTGCTACAGGAGGCGCCCAGCCATGCAGCAGACCTGGTGCAGTTCGGGCTGGGCATGATCCGCGCGGCGGCCGAGGTGCGCAACCCCGTGACCGGGGAGCCGCTGCGCATCCGCGTGGGCATCAACAGCGGCCCCGTCATGAGCGGCATCGTGGGGGCTTGCCGCGCGCGCTACTGCCTGTTTGGTGGGTGTGCGAGGGTGTAGGCGGGTGTAAGGGTGGGGTCGTGAGGGTGAAGGAACGGGGCGAGGGTGAAGGAGCGGTGGGACGGGACAGGAATAGTGCTCGTGTGTGATTGTGTTGGATGCCGTCCTGGGGACATGTTGGGTGTCATCTTGCCAGGGACGGGTACGGACGGGTACGGAGGGGTACGGAGGGGTACGCAGGGGTAAGGGACTGAGGCGGTGAAACCCATGCTGACACGCTGCTGCTGCTGCTCCCTTGTCCGTGTGCACTGCAACACGCTCCTGCCGCAGGTGACACCGTCAACACGGCCAGCCGCATGGAGAGCACGGGGGTGCCGGGCACCATTCAGGTGGGAGCGGCTGCCGGTCGGTGTTGCGGTCCTGTCTGGCGACCCCGGAGCAGCTGGGTTGCTGCTGCTGCTGCTGCTGGGTTTGGTACATAGTTGCCATCGTTGCATCGGCGAAGCATGCGGAGACCTGCACGGGGCAACCAACATGTGTTTTGCTTCCGGTGCAGTAAGCTGTTACCATGTCTTCTGAGGGAAGGCTTCCTTGACATGCACCCTGTCCTTCCCGCATGTTACCTGCTGGCCCTTTCTGATGGCCGCATCATTATACCACCACCATCATCATCCCCCCCTCAGATCACCCAAGACACCTACCTTGCCCTTCCTGAGGCCGCTCGGTCACAGTGGAGCTGTCGCGGGGAGGTGGAGGTGAAGGGCAAGGGCCGGCTGAAGACGTACCTCCTGAACACGGAGCCGCCGCTGCGGAACGAGGAATAACACACGTATACACACGTACGTTTCTCTTCGCGGCCAGTTAGTTTAACACACGTATACACACGTCAACTTGCAAGCGTACCTGCTGGTGTTGCAGCAGGCAGCAGTGCTGCCAGGGGCCTTGGTTGGTGGCTTCCTGCTCGGCTGCTGGTTACTGGTTAAGTCGGCGGGTCTTGTTGTGCGTGCGCACAGTTGGCTGCTGCTGTAGCACATTGCAACTTCTTGCAATGGCAAAGATTGAAGCACCGGTATTACCGTAGCAACTGATGTGACTCATGGGTGACAGGCATCAACATGTAGCCTCGCGTGAGGAGGCGCATGCAGCGTGAATAGCGTTTGGAAAGGTGAAGGTCGGTAACACAGCTGCACTTTTAGGATTTGCACGAGGCAGATGGCAAGGCGTTTTTCGCAAGGGCTTATCCCCATGGTTTGCCTGGGTCAGGGACACCGATACTGCACTGTCGCCCCAAGCATGCGCCTGTTCTTTTGGACTCCGTGAGGCATTAAGCCCGTGGTTGGGACGTGTGGGGTTGAGCCACAAGGGCGGTTTTGCTATGATGACCCATGGGTCACGGGCATGCTCGCTGCTACCTTGATTTGCATTCTCATTTCCGTTTGAACGTATTTGGAGGCGGTTTTGATCGCGCGTTCGTGTTTGCATCAAGCATGGTTGTTGTTACGTTGGGGGGGACGTGGCTAAGCATCCCAACTCCACGCCTGAAGTGCGGCTACAGCTTTTGCAGTGCTATGGTTGCCGTACCTCTATGGCAGTGCCGTAGCTGCTGTCACTGCCTTCTTTGCGTGATCCCCCAGAACCTTTGCTGTGAGTCCAACATGTGGTGATCTTGTGGCTTTATGGCTTGCGTTCTAGCTAGCAGTGTACCAGTATGTATATTGTTAAGAAGAAACGTTTTGCGACGCGTGCTAGCGTGTTTACGCGCGAAGTAGGCTTTGGAATCCGCACCCAATGATGAAGCCAGGTAAGAAAAATCTTCGAAGCAAAGCAGTACCGGAAACTATTTAAGTTGTAGAGGTGTTCACTAGGCTGAGCCCCGCGGGTTCACCTTACGTAAGTATGGGAGCCGCCGTAACCGTAGCAGCAGGTTTATGTGATCTGGTTTTCCGCCTAAGCGGTCATTGCGTCTCGTCTTGCAGGTGTCTTAACGCTTGTCCCGCTTTCCGCTATCCACTTTGCTTTTCCCAAGGTCGAAAAGCCCCACTATGCTTTACTGTTTTGTTATGGCGCGGCTTTGCAGAGCTGTTTCATACTGTGCCCATGTCCTAGCTAGGCAGGCGCTTGGCCCGCAATCTCGTTTCGCAAAGTGGTACTGTCACTCAAGAAGTTAGAAACATCTTCATTTGTGGCGTGTAAGGTGCTCCGCGCGTCTTAATGGTGCGGTCTGCAGCGGCCGCCGCGTGTCTTGGGGCAACAACAGCACGCTGCATGCGTGCACGCAGCTGCCTTCCTGCGTGCGTGTTGTTGTTGATTGGGGGTCATGCTGCTGGGTCGGTGATGAACGCGCGCGTGCGTGCATGCGCTTACAGAAGATGCGCGTGTATAGGGTGTTGTGGGTGCTTACATGCTGCTGCTACATCCGACTGCTGATATGCTGCTACATCCGACTGCTGATATGCTGCTACATCCGACTGCTGATATGCTGCTACATCCGACTGTTGTGTGCTTCGGCGCTGGCAAGGGGCGGCTCATGAGACTGCTCTTAAGGCCGCGGGCAGGTGTGCGCGTGTGTGTGTTTCCAGAAAGGTAGACGCGAAGGAGAAGATGCTGTGATTGTCGGAAGGTGAAATCCCCGCCGACAACGCCACGACCGAAGATGAGGATGAGGATGTATCGTTGGTAAGGTATATGCTGCTGCTGCTGGAAGTGAGTGGGCCGTATGAAGCAATCTCGTAAAGCGACCAGACCGATGGACCGTAGTGTGCGTGTGGGGGGGGTTCTGTCATTGACTCTTGGGCGCTGCTTGGATGTTGCTGAGGAATGGTTTGTTGCAGGGTTTCCATGTTGCTGGACTGTCCCTGTGACGTAGGGCTCATTACCTACATACATAACAAAAGGAACCCCTTTGCATGTCGGTTGCAACAGTGTACAAAGTGGCTTCCATCATGTGCCATTTGGGGGCTAGTTTAACATACCGGTACCCCCTGCTCGCAGCAGCAGCAGCAACAACATGAGTGCTGTACTGCCTCGGCTGTCGCCACCAAATGCCAGCTGCAATGCCCCATCACCCCGCGCAAGACAAGGTGCTGTCCGGCATCTCATGAAGCTGTTACAGACAGAGCTCATCATCATCAGCAGCAGAGTGGCGGTCCTCCTCTCTTCCTTGCTTGGCAGCAACATCAGCTGCAGAAAGCAAGGGCCACCACCCCATCCACCAGTGCACCAGCTCCCAGCAGTTCTGGTGACATCTCGCCACTGTTGCGGACATAAGCACCCACGCATTGTAACGGTCATTCATGCACCCACGCATATGGCCAGTTTTCTTAACCCACGCATATGCCGGGTGGCAAGGTCACTGTCAGTGCTGCGGATCAGCCACCTTAGTTGAACCAAACACACACACACACCCAACTAGCAGCCACCGGTGCGAAGTGGCTCTCATTCTCTTCGACAGCTATCGTCAAGCAGTGTTACACGGAGCATAGTTGACGCAACACGTACACTGCACATACCCTGTCACTTCCCGCAGTTCCCTGCATCCCCACGCGTGTTCCGTCTCTCTTGTAGCGGGTAGGGTTGGGTTCATCACCCGTTTACCCTTCTAGGGAATCGCTGCAACGGTCATTAATACACACACAGTATTAATACACACACAGTATTAATACACACACAGTATTAATACACACACAGTATTAATGCGAGTTATTTTAACACACAAACCCCACCCCCTTCCGACGTTCCGAGCTCCTGCCTAGCTAGCCTAAATCCGAAGAAGCCTCCACGGAACCCCACACCACAGCTTGCGCACATGCACGGAACTCCACAGCTGTCCATACATAGCAGTCCCCATCACGAGATCATCACGCCAGTTGCCCATCAATTAGCAATGCTTTACGAGCTATATAATGCATACCACGCATGTGCCGTACAACGGCACGTCGGTCATGTGTACTGCAACAGCATGAAAGAAAGGTGAGCACGACCACAAGCCACAAGTCACAAGCACCCCGGTTGCGGGGAGCCACAACACCGCCGCCACCCGTGTGTACTCTATCCGGTCAACAGCTACCGCTGCCTCCACAGAACACAGAATACCGTTACCATACAGTATATAGAACAACCGAAACAGTGAACGACTGAGCGCTGCCTACCTAGCAGCACAACATACACAATGCCTCATCCTCCACCTCCCAAAGAGCCTCCCGGGCACCGAAAACACACATGGGGGCTCCCACCGGTATGTTGATCAAGTGGAAAAACCAAACCTTCTGCCCCGCCGCTATCCCCACACCTATTGTACAGGCATGCAAGTTTGACACCAGAGTGTCACGGCAGACGCCGACCGGCCTCATCAATATGTCGACTTGAAGCTGACTACCAACTGGCAATTAAACATTCTTAGCAACACCTGAAGATGCCTCTGCTACCATCGTGGGCCATGCAACACCCATCAGCAGCTCCGACATAACAGCTTTTAACCTGGCTCCCTGCAATGAGCCATGTACCGTACAGACGACGTCTTCAAGTACAAGGGTAATTCGCAACCTGACATCAGCAGGCGCTTTCCGTACGCACCGAACTGCCAAACCAACCATGGCAACGTCGTGTGTGACACTCCATCCCGGTTGTAAGCCTGCACATGGCATGTATGGTAATCCTCTACCACCAACCATGCTTAAGGAGCGGCACATGCGTGCTAGCGATACTGCTACAGCCTATCAAGGCGGACAGGCTCACGTCCATCGCCTCCTCGCCATCATGCCCCGAACAAGCATCTCCGCCCACGTGTAGGGGCTCCTGTGGCCATACGTCCATCCCATGCGGTTTGCCAGCTGCGCCGCCTTCGGGGTTACTCCCAGTGTGATCATGTCCTCCACAGCATCCTCACCGAGTGTGTCCTCCTTGGCGCGCTTGGCCTGGGCACGAAAGTACACAGGTAGCACATCCTCCCAGTCATCGTCGAGGCCAGCGGCCTCCGCGTGGACCCGCCACTCCATAAACTTGCTAGAATCGATGCCGCAAGCTTCCAGGTATTCAACGGATGCGGAGTACGGTCCCATTTCTTGCGAAGCCTGTGGGAAAAGATCACGTACGGTCGGAACCAAGTTGATAGTAATCAACAAGTGTAAAGATCCTTGAGTTTATAACATAAAAACCTGATCCAGAAAAGACAGTAGTGAGCAGGATAATGTGTATATGTGTTGGCATGTGTAAGGGGCCCGCAAATGGGTGGTGGCACAACGCATACACCCTGCACGACAGCGCCTTACCGCAGTAGCCGGAGTCGATTCCTGTGGCGTCTGTGAGCGGCAACTCAGGGGGGGCGTTCCTGTAAAAAAGCAAGAAGTGCTGGTTTATAAAAGCTCAGCAAGTCCCCAGCAAGCGGACGACTTAGCTGAATGACCGTGCCCACCAGATAGTCCAGAACTGTCTTGGCAAAGCATGGCTGCTTTATGGCCAACTGTAATGGTCTGCGCTTCGTGTCCCCCGCCGGCACCGGCTCTTCACCGTTGGCTGCGCGGAAGGCGTTCAGGGATATCGGCCCGTAGATACTGTAGTAATCGTAGAATTTTACCGACCGGTATAGGTCCTGCTTAAAACTGCTAACTATGGCCTTCCAGGAGCTAAGCTTGCTCTCATGAGACAGGTCCAAGCACGACTTGCTGAAAACAATGTCTCGGGGAACGTCGAAAACTAGGACGGCCAGGTTCTCAAAGAGGTCTGGCTTCTTCCTTAAGAAATCGACCGCGTCGCCCAGGCTATCCGCCAAGTAGAACCCGCGGCCAAAGTCTGACTCGTCGAGTGAGGCTTCCAAGCTAATGCCGTGCTGAAGCAGGAAAAGGGCTGATTGCAGGCTTGTAGCGTGGAACAAGTAGATTGATGAATTTGGTCTTGGTGGTAGCGCCTCCAGAGCCTTCCCTAGATCCTCCTTTTTTTCCAGGCCTGGCGAAGTAAGCTTGCACCGACTCGTAACTCGAGGTCTTTGTAAGAAAGCTGTAGCCTTTGCCCTGTAGAAATGCAGGCCGTGCACCACACGCTCTGATATTGTTGCGAGCGAACTAGATTGGGCCTCGCCTATATCGCGCGGTGGCTGACATATATATAAGGCCCTCCACCCTCCACAGAATCATTGCAAAGCCTGGGTTCTACACCGTTGCTTTTATACCATTTAATAGATTTACTACAAAGAAGTGCTTTAGAACTTTAAAACAACAATTTCGTTTGTGCGACACATTGCTTAGGGTTCCAAGCTTCTTCTCGACTTGCACCGCAAAGTACTGCTCATAAGCTCTTTAGACATATCTGAAACTGCACCCGCCTACTTTAGCTCATCAGCTTCACGTAGAACCAACTCTCTAGGCGTGACGTACAGTGTGTACAAAGGCCCGTGATTGCCGTAAACGTAGTCACCGCGGCATGCTGATCCGCGATTATTAGCGATTCCAACTTCGTGCTCTCGATTTGTGAACGGATTTTTTATCTTTCCGCCCCGCCGACATTTATTTGAGTGCTGTCATGTCCTCCAGTGACGAGGATAAAGTGCATGGACGACTACGTACCTGTAGCTCTGTTACGTAGGGACCATCTCCTACATGCATGCATGCACGCAAAGCCGCTTCCGTCATGTGGCGTTTCGGGGCTGGCAAAGGGCCAAACATTACAGGTACCGGTAATGCTCATCATCATCATCATCATCATCATCATCATCATGTGCAGCTGCAGCAGCAGAGTGGCAGCCCCCCTCTCTTCCTTGCTTAGCATGTTGGCAGCAACATCAGCTGCAGAAAACAAGGGCCACCACCGCATCCACCAGTGCACCAGATCCCCGCTGGTGCCATCTCGCCACTGTTGCGGACATATGCACCCGCGCATTGTAAAGGCCATTCATGCACCCACGCATGCGCCCAGCAGGGTGGCAGGGTCGGTGTGTCAGTGCTGCGGATCAGCCACCTTAGTTGAACCAAACACACACAGCCAGTTTTCTTAACACACCCAACTAGCAGCCACCGGTGCGAAGTGGCTCTCGCCCTCGTCGACAGCTATTGTCAGTCGTGTTTACGCGCAGCATAGTTGACTCAAGACATACAATCCTGTCACTTTCTGCAACGCCCTGCATCCCTACGCGTGTTCCGTCTCTCTTGCAGCGGGTAGGGTTGGGTTCATCACCCGTGTACCCTTCTAGGGAATCGCTGCAACGGAAAGCAAACCACTGTAACGGTGTAATTCTTACACCTACGCAAAACCCACCCTCTTCCGACGTTCCGAGCTCCTGCCTAGCTAGCCTGAGTCCGAAGAAGCTTCGATGGAACCCCACATCTTGCCCACATGCACGGAACTCCACAGCTGTTCATACATAGCAGTCCCCATCACGAGATCATCACGCCAGTCGCCCAACAATTAGCAATGCTTTACGAGCTAGATAATGCTTACCAGGCATGTGCCGTACAACGGCACGTCGGTCATCTGTACTGCAACAGCATGAAAGAAAGGTGTTCACGACCACAAGCCGCAAGTCACAAGCACCCCGGTTGCGGGTTGCGGGGAGCCGCAACATGGCCGCCACCCGTGTATACTCTATCCGGTCAACAGCTGCCGCTGCCTCCACAGAACAAAAGATATCGGTACCATGCAGTGTATAGAGCAGCCGAAACAGTGAACGACTAAGCGCTGCCTATCTAGCAGCACAATATCTCATCCACCTCATAAAGAGTCTTCGGGGCACCGAACACACATGGGGGCCCCCAGCGGCATGTTAACCAAGTGAAAAAACCCAAACCTTCTGCCCCGCCGCTATCCCCATACCTATTGTACAGTTATGCAAGTTTGAACTGACTCGTTTTCACAAACTTTACTGCCGGTACCTAAGGCTCGCAGTCCCCAACCTCTCCCCCCCCACCTCTCCTCTCCCACTCCTCATGACGTCCTAACACCTCCCCCCCCTCCTGCTAGCAGCGGCGCCCGCTCCCCCTCCTCCATTCTCCCCTCCGCCGCAACCCACCGCCCCTCCTCCCGTCCGCACGCTTTCCCAACCCCACCGCTCCGTTGCTGCCACCCCCGCCTCCACCCCTCTCTCAACACCGCCCAACCACGCTCCTTCCCTCTCCCTCTCCCCACTCCCAACCCTAGAACTCCCTTCCCCGCCCCTACCCCCTCCACACCCTTCCCAAACCCCACCCCTACCCCTACCCCTACCCCTGCTCCCAACCCTGCCTCCGCATCCATCAACAGAGGCACCTCATGAAGCCCTCCTCCTGCTGCATCGCCGCCTCTGCCTCCGCCCCCACTCCCGCTGCCACCGCTGCTGCTGCCGCCCCCTCCTGTTGCCGTCACCAGCCAACCCAGCGGCGGCGGACTGCGCCAGCCCGCCGGGTTCCGCTCCACGAGCCAACTGTACGACAACACGCCGGCAGCCGTGACGCCGTACCCCAGCAGCCCCAGCGGGGTGACGGGGTTTTTGAAAACCAGGAGCGCAGCGCCCGCAGCAACCACCTGCAACAACCCCAAGAGAGAGAGAGAGCGCGAACGAGGGAGTGGGTGTGTGGCGCGTGATGCGTGATGATCAACAACCCTGGCAGATTGCCAGTTGCCAGCTACCGAGAAACTGCCACATGACACATCTCCTTTCTATCCATCCACACCCATGCATCCCGCAGCAACGCCTTCTCAACGCCTCTCCCGGGCGACCTCCTTACCTCAACCCCACAACCCCTGCCCCCCACCACACCCCACTCACAGCACCCGCATCTCCTCCCTCCTCCCCCCCTTCCCCGCGCACTCACATTCTTGAAGTTCCCAAGCACCTGCAGCGTCAGCGCCCCCAGCCGCCGCGTCACCAGGAAGTTCACCCAATTAGCTACAAACGCCGCCCCGCACGACAGCGCCAGCAGCGGCCCCAAGCTGCCGCGGTGGGCTGCATGCAGGTGCGCCACATGCGCCAGACAGCGCGGCTCCGTAACCGCGGTGAGGAGGGCCAACATGACGGAGGAGAGGGCGGAGGTGTGGGCAGAGGGCAGAGGGCAGAGGGCAGAGGGCAGAGGGCAGAGGGCAGAGGGCAGAGGGCAGAGGGCAGAGGGCAGAGGGCAGAGGGCAGAGGGCAGAGGGCAGAGGGCAGAGGGCAGAGGGCAGAGGGCAGAGGGCAGAGGGCAGAGGGCAGAGGGCAGAGGGCAGAGGGCAGAGGGCAGAGGGCAGAGGGCAGAGGGCAGAGGGCAGAGGGCAGAGGGCAGAGGGCAGAGGGCAGAGGGCAGAGGGCAGAGGGCAGAGGGCAGAGGGCAGAGGGCAGAGGGCAGAGGGCAGAGGGCAGAGGGCAGAGGGCAGAGGGCAGAGGGCAGAGGGCAGAGGGCAGAGGGCAGAGGGCAGAGGGCAGAGGGCAGAGGGCAGAGGGCAGAGGGCAGAGGGCAGAGGGCAGAGGGCAGAGGGCAGAGGGCAGAGGGCAGAGGGCAGAGGGCAGAGGGCAGAGGGCAGAGGGCAGAGGGCAGAGGGCAGAGGGCAGAGGGCAGAGGGCAGAGGGCAGAGGGCAGAGGGCAGAGGGCAGAGGGCAGAGGGCAGAGGGCAGAGGGCAGAGGGCAGAGGGCAGAGGGCAGAGGGCAGAGGGCAGAGGGCAGAGGGCAGAGGGCAGAGGGCAGAGGGCAGAGGGCAGAGGGCAGAGGGCAGAGGGCAGAGGGCAGAGGGCAGAGGGCAGAGGGCAGAGGGCAGAGGGCAGAGGGCAGAGGGCAGAGGGCAGAGGGCAGAGGGCAGAGGGCAGAGGGCAGAGGGCAGAGGGCAGAGGGCAGAGGGCAGAGGGCAGAGGGCAGAGGGCAGAGGGCAGAGGGCAGAGGGCAGAGGGCAGAGGGCAGAGGGCAGAGGGCAGAGGGCAGAGGGCAGAGGGCAGAGGGCAGAGGGCAGAGGGCAGAGGGGAGGGGAGGGACGAGGAGGCACGAGGGCATGAGGGTGAGTCAGGGTGTGGTTCTAGGGTTTCCCGAGGAGTGGGCTTGGTTACACAGGTTACACAGGTTACACAGCCGTGCGTCCGTTCCCAGCAGGGCAACCAGGAGAGGCATCATCCCTAATACCGGTAGCGCGTGCGTGTCACAGTCACTACCGCCCAACCGCCTTCCAAACCGCCTTCCTAACTGCCTTCCCAACCGCCTTCCCTAACCGCCGTACCTATCGCCTGCACGAAGCTGGCCGGCAGGTGTGCCAGTGAGGCCATGCAGGCGGCCACGGACACGGTGGTGGTGGCGGCCAGCAGCACCACACTGCGCAGCTGAGGTGGCGTGAGGCGGCGCTGCTCCCGAGGCACCACCCCGGCCGCCAGCAGCAGCCAGGAGCCGGCTGCGCTGCTGGCCATGTGGGTCAGGGTGAGCAGGGAGGTGCTGTGGAAGCCGGTTTCGGAGATGAGCCATTTATTGCAGATGATGAGCGCTGTTGGGAGGGTGAGAGGGGGGTGAGAGGGGGGGAGGGTGAACAGCCAAAGGCGAAGTCCACTCAAAGAGAGAGAGAGAGGAGGGGAGGAGAGTGAAGGTATAGGGGAGTGTGAACGTAGGTACGGGAGAGGAAGGGGGTGGGGGTACTGGAATGGGGACATGGGAGAAGCTGTGGTGAAGGAGTGAGTGCGAACTCGGCAGCCAGTGTCGGCGCTGGGGTGGCTGCGAGGCGGAGGTGTGAGGAAGCGGTTGCAGGTGTTGGGGAGAGGGAAGTTACTGGAATGGAAATAGTAGACTTGGGTGGCCAAATGGATGAGCCATGGTGCGCATTGAAGGGGCGGTGCGGCAAGGAGAACGAGGCCGTTTGGGAAGACTCACCAATGCTGATAGTATACCATGAGATGACAAGGAGAGCCGTTTGCGACAGCTGCCAGAAGGACGCAAGGGCACCCATGGGGTTCGGCTCAGTCGCCCTTGCTAGGCAACGCTTGTTCATTGAATCACTATGTAGGCATCCATGTCCAATAAGTTTTTAATTGATTGGGATGCTGTCAGGTCGCGATTTCGAGTCCTATGGCAACATGACAAATATCACTTACGAACCGTAAAAACTACGAATCCGCAACCAAGTGTCTAGAACGAGAATGCGTTTGTATTTTTTGTTAGTAAACGATGAGTTAGTACTGACTGTAGCGTGAGTGAGTTATCACAAGCTCTATGGCCTGAGGTTGTTAGTACGTGGCCTCGACAGGAGTTGGTGTTGCCTCGACCTAATTTGAGACCCAGAATCCGTCAACTTAGCGTACATTTTCTAGTTATATGGCATTGCTTCTATATCACCAACTCTCTTCTCGTTTAGGGCTAGAATCGGCCGGCGTCAACACGCCATTAAGTCGTATGCATGCCCCTGCAACTAGTCATTGTTTACAATGATACAGCTGGTTTGCTTCATACCAAAATGGGGGCCCCGGGCTAACATATCAACATATGTCTAGAAGTTAAACAGTCACGCCAAGGAATAAATCAAGCCTACATTCGTCTTCTGGAGCTGTGCTATTCCAGTTCTTGGTCGGCGTTATGCTTATGAAGCGCAGGAGTCCGGTCTGCAAGAAGGGACAAGTGCCTTAGCTCATGCCGGTGCATTTTACCTATTCTGTCCCCCTTTAGGCCGCAGCTTAAATAGCTGTACTGTGTTGCCTTGCCACATGTTGAGCCGGCTTACACCGTCTGGCGTTTGCAGCCCAGCTTGACCGCCCTTCGCTTGTGTCTCGCGCAACATTTGCGATACACCCAAGCGAGCATCGTCCAGGCCAGTTAGGCCAGGTCTTAAGAGAGGCTGCATTCGGCCTGCGAAAGCAGTGCTCTGACCGCGCAACCGTCTCTTGTAACAGTGTCAACAACACTAAACTGCTATCTACCCCCCTCCTCAACATAACACCCATCCTTCTTAACAGCAACGAATGCAACATGGTCATCAGCAGCTAGAAGAGAATTTTGCCATGTCATTTCCACCCAGGGCGCATCAGTCAGTCGCCTCCCCCTCTCCATCACAGCAGCCTGTTGTGACCCAGCACACAGCCCTACCCTACACACCTACCCCACTCCTGGGTACCTCCATGTACCCCCCTCCTCCTCCTCCTCCTCCCACAACCTTCCTCGCCTATCCCCAGGTACACAACCTTGCCTTTTGACGCCGCCGCCACCACCCCTACCTACATGGCTACCCCACACTCCTTTCCCACGACTCCGGCTCCCTACCTGCCACCTCTCCTTCATCCTCGCCCTATCATCTACAAGATCTCCTTCCCTTACAAGCCCTCCTCGCCTCCCCCCTTCTCGCCTCCTCATCTCCCCTCCTCCTCTCTCCTCCTCACCCCGCCAGCGGCCCCGCCCCGTCCCCTCCCCCTCCGTACTCCCCCACCAGCCGCTGGTCCACATGGAATACCCCGTGCCCCCGCCCCGCCCGCCGCACCTGGCTCACCAGCACCGCAGCGGCCTTGACGTCCTTGGACTGCGGCAGAAGGGTTGGGGGGGAGGGGGTGTTGGCGGGGTTGGAATCAAAGACCATACCGAACCATAGGAAACCACAGGCGGGGGAGCAGTGTTGGAAGAGCGCGGCAAGCAAGACGCCGCCACCCCTCGCTCCCCCAACTGCCCCCTCTTCTAAACCCCCCATCCCCTCCCCACCTGCCCCGTCTTTCAGTTCGTCAGTTTTCCTTATTTTTACCCCCCCCCCCCCCACCTGTTCATGCAGCAGGTTATCCTCGATGAAGTGCGTCACGTCCGCGTCCCCCGCCCGGTCCGCCATCGTGTGCAGGTCGCGCAGCTTGGAGAAGTTGAGCTTCTCAAGGCTGAGGGCCAGCTCCGTGGCGTGCAGCGCATCGCCCTTCTCTGTGTGTTTTTGGTGGGGAGCGGGTGGGGGGGGGAGGTAAGGGGTGAAAATGAGGGAACTGACGAGCCAACGAACGGGCTGTGGGACAAGGCTTCACTATGGGAGATGCAAACATGGAAACACAGACCGGCACGCCCGCCCCTCCCTCATCTAGCACGGAGCGCCTTACTTCCCTTCTCCCCCAAGCCCCCCCCCCCCCCCCCCCACCCTCCCCCCCCCACCCGGGTGCCAGTACTCGGTCTCCGGCGGGGCAATGCCCAGCAGCCGCACTCGCCCGCCACGCTGGGTCTGATTGGGGGGGGGGGGATTTAGAAATTGAAACAACGAGTCCCAATCCCATATCCCGACTCATGCAGTGAGCGCATTCGGAGACACTATCCTAGAAGCACGGTGAGCGCCACATGCGCAGCTGCAAGGTACACCCCTCCCTTGTGTTCCCCCCTCCGTGTCCCCCTCCCCACACATTGGGTATTCCTCTTCTCCCCCTCCCCCTTCCCTCCTCCCCCCTCCCCCCCTACCACACCTGGTAATCCATGAGCAGGTGTGCGTGCGTCCGCTCCTCGTCGCTGTTGTGTCGGAAGTAGGCGGCGAATCCCGGCAGACCCACGTCGTCGCGGCTGAAGAAGGCGTACATGGCGCTGTACACGTAGCTCATGTTGAGCTCGATGCTGGGGGGAGGAGGGGAAGGGGAGGGGACGCGAGGCGGATGTAAGCGAAGGCGTGGTGCGCGGTGGCTTTCAGGCGCTGGTAGTAGCTGCCCCCACCTCACCCCTTCCCTGCATGGCTTTTGCACTCCCCCCACCCCGCCCCATCCCACCTCTTCCTCTCCTCCCATTCTCATTCATGGTCTCTGACCCCCCACCTCACTTGATCTGCTCGTTGATGGCCGCCTCCACCTCCCCCGCGAACCCGCTCCGCGCCAGGGACGCCGTGCCCGCCTGCCCCGGCTGCTGCGCGGGGTCCAGCAGCTGCCGGTCCAGAGCCGCCACCAGCGGGGCGGCCTCGGACATTTGGAACACCAGGCCGGTCTCGGAGGAGGAGGAGGCGGACTTGGTCTGCAGGGGGAGTGGAGGGAGGGGGGGAAGGGAAAGGGTGGGGGGGTGAGGTGTGGCGGGGAAACGGGTCTCGGAAGCGGGGGAAGCGAGGGAGAGGGACTTGGTCTGGAAATGGCGAGTTGGGGCGGGGCGGGGTGGGGTGGCTTGGGTTGGGGTGATGTGTACTCGAACAGGACTGTTGTGGGTGGGATGGGGCGATGCGGGCGGTTTTCGTCTTCCGGGCTGCAACGCTGCAACCGCTCATGGGTAAGCATGCGGGGGGCTACTAGGAGGGCCGTGCGGTTGACAACTGCGTCCCCGGGTACCGGTAGACAACCCGGGGAAAAAAGGCTCTTAAAGAGCGCATCCTCCGCAGTCATCACAGAAAATGGCGCGAAAATGCACCGGTAGCGCGCGACGGGAACCAATTTTTTCTCCTCATTCCTTCCTAACCCCAATGCCTTCTCCTCACGCAAACCTCTGCTTACCTTTTCCATCAATCGATCTTGGCCGCCCTCCTGCGCGCTCCCACCACTGCCGTGAAGCAATCCAAAAGCCGGCGGAAGCAGCAGCCTTTGCTTCGGCGCGCCCAAACGGCCCAGGATCTGGCAGCAAGGGCATGAACCGTAACGTTCTTTCTTCAGCGCCGCCGAAGCAGGGCTGCGCAATGCAGCAAAGACCGTTTGCGGGCGTCCCGTTTGCGCGCGCAGTGGGCGCTTTGCGGCCATTGCAGCAGCGGAACCCTGCATGAAAGGGCCTCTGATGGCCACTGCAGGAGGCGACATTGCGGTTGGCTTGCGGGGCTGGTTCTTTGCTGTTAGGGATGTTTGGGTGGGTCTTGTGTCTTTCCTTGCTTTCGGAAGTTCCCCAGCGGCCCACGGGTCACAGCAGCCAAGGGGACTCTGATAGCTGAAGATACGCCCGTCTTAAGGACCGAGCGGTGGGACCCTAATTCCTGAAAATTGTTAAATTGAAGGATAGGTCAAATGGGCTGATAAAGTGTGTGCATCTGCGGCACCAAGGGAACGGCAAATCGCGATCTACGAGCATCAATTCCGCGCACAATCCTACCCTGCGCAACTTATTCCGGCCTGCCACGATACCAAGCCGTAAACAGCCACTTAATACCGGTATATACTGGAACACGTTATTCGGATCGAAACGTTAGCTTTACGAACAACTGCGGCTTTTTCCCGGTGGTGACCAAAGCAAAATGCTGCTAGATTGCGTCATCCGAAGGGGCCTCGGCGGCTTCTCTTCCTCCTTCTCCTCCTCCTCTCTCTCCTGCTCAGCTAGCCGCTTTGCATCCCTCTTGTCCTCTTATTCTTCACCATCATCTTCTTCTTCGCCACATTCCTGGGCAAAACAACAAGCTTTACCTCACCTGCCAACAGCTCCTGCACCAAGTTCTCCTCACAACTCAAGCATCAGCCCTTCCAAGCCCCAACCAAGCCACACTGCACCGCCTCGCTTCCTCACAGCCGCCGGCAGCCTACGGCACTTCAGCCAGCAGGGCTCGCACCCCACCCGCGGTGACAACTCCGTCCCAGGAACCCAGGAAGCTGTGGCAGGGGTGGGTGCTTGGTGCCTTGGGTGGATGGGGCCTTTGAGTTGGCGCCTTGAAGGGGTGCCGTACGGCTCCGCATCGCACCCTCGCTTCCACGCACTTCCCTGTCTTCAGGACCGCTTCAGCACCCCCACAATCCTTGCGCCTGACCTTGCACCGCCCGCCTCCTGCCACCCGCCCGCCCTTCTCTTCCTTTAGCCCAACCCCTGGCCCAACTCCCCAACCCCCTTACCCACCCTCCTCCCCCGCAGGAGCGCCTGAGCAGCCCCCAGCCGGACGACCCCTCCCAGCGGGGCGGGGATCCGCAGCAGGTGGACACGGCGGCACTGCGAGAGGAGCTGCTGCGGGCGGCGGAGCGGGGGGGCGGAGCGGGGGAGGTGCTGCGGGTGAGGGGGCGGGTGGGGATGGATGGGGTGAGGGGTTTGTGGGCTTGAGGGAGCATCCTGTGGAGAGGTGACCCATGGGTCGCGACCCCCCTACTGGTGGCCACTTACCCTACCTTGCCTACCGGTATCTCCCGCCCCCCATACCCCACCTCCCAGGTAGTTGAGCGCAGCGGTCATGCGTTCGACGAGTCGGCGCTGGTGGCGGCCCTGGAGGCGTTGGCGGGGGCGTGCGAGGAGGGTGGGGGGGGAGAGGGGGGAGAGGAGGGGCTGGGGGAGATGCGGTGGGGGGAAAATTATAAACAAGTGCAACAACACAGTCCCAATCCCGGATCCCGACTCATGCAGTGAGCGCATGCGGTGGGGGGAGGGTGGGGAGGGGGGGAGGCGGGTGTGGGTTAAGAGGGGCGCGCCACTCGGCGAGCTGGGAGGAGGAGGAGGAAGCCTGGAGGGGCCCAGCGCGGCTGCTCTGCATTGGCATGTCTTGGGTCTTCTTAACCCCTTCCCTTCCCCCGGCTGTAGCTGACCCATCCTACTGCTGACCCATCCTACGCCCCTACACCAGGTCGGCGAGGAGGCGGGGGCGGGGGCGAGGAGCTGACGCGCAACGCCACCTTCCAGACCCTGCTCAGTGAGGCATCAGGCGGGCTGTGGCGAGGGAAGGGAAGGGAAGGGAAGGGGCTTGGGGGGGCGCCCCGGTGCCAGCCCAGCAAGCAGGAGAGAGGAGGAGCTGCAGAGACTTATGTTGGGACGCACAGCTAGCAGCGCCGACAGCGACCCCCTCATGGCTCACTAGCCGCTTCGCCAGCCCCTGAACTGCACCTTCCCCTCCCTCCCTCCCCCGCCCTCCAGGCATGGTGGTCGCGGGTGCTGAGCGGCTCACCCCCGGCCAGTCCACCGCGGTGGTGCACTGCCTGGGGCGGATGAGGGTGGAGGACCAGGTGGGGAGGGGGGGTAAAAAAAATATATAATGAGACACTGACGAAGCAACTGGGGGGGGGGGGGAGATGCATGCATGTGGGGTATTAACCAGGACGCTTGCTGAGGGCAGTGGGGCTGTGAGGGAAGGCAGGAGGGGCTGTTGCAGGGGGTGACACGGGTGGTTGGGGAATGCGAGGGAGTGCTACGCCCTACGCTCCATGCTATCGGCCCCCGCCCCAGCCCGACCCGTCACTCCTCGCACCCTGACTCTCTTAACCCCGCCTCTCTAGCCTTGTCTCGCCTCTACCTTTGTCTCGCTTCACCTCGCCTCACCTACCTCCACCTACCTCCACCTACCTGCTACCCACTGCCCCCCCCCCTTCAGTTCGTCAGTTTTCCTTATTTTTGCCCCCCGGGCCTGGCCCCCCTCAGGGCGTGTTTGACTCCATCGGTCGCAACCTGGTGTCGGAGGTGCATCGCCTGCCGGGGGGGCAGCTGGCGGAGCTGGTAGGTGGAGGGCGGTGTACGGGGCAAGGATGCCCGCCCTCTCGTGCGCGGAATTGTGAACCCCGTCAATTCCGTCCAGATCTTGACCTGCGTCAGTCTTCGCCGACCCTTATAGCATCAGATTGCCTACCAACCCCCGTCCCGCCACTCCTACACTCTTCCACGCTTCCTATCCCCATGGCTTTGCCCCACCCTTTGGCGTCCCATGGTTTGGTAGGGTCTTTGACCGTCCCTTCCCTGCCCCCCCAAACCCCAGCTGGAGGGATACGCCGCCACCGGCTCCACTCCCGGACGAGTGCTGGCGGATGCGGCGTTCGAACGACTGCACGGCAGCAGCCGTACGACAAGGGCGGCGGCGGCGGGAGCAGCTGGAGGCAGCGGCGGCGGCGGCGGCGGCGAGGGCATTCCGCCGGGTCGCGCAACCGCCGACGGCGTGCCACTGGGAACTGGCGGCGGCGGCGGAGGAGGAGGTGAGGCGACGCCGCCGCTGGAGGGTTCTGACGCGGAGAGGGTACGACGGGCGTTGCGGGATCTGGGTTACGGGGAGGAGGGACACCGGCCGCCTACGTCACAGGGGCAGAGCGATCGCTCGCATGGAGCGGATTATGCTTAGGCCGCTTAGGAGGAGGGTATATGGTAGTAGAGGGCGGGTGCGGGGCGGGTGGTGGTGGGTGAGGGTGAGCACATGTGGAGGGAGAGGGCGTCTGTCAGCGTACCGGTGGTAGGTAGTTCGTACCGGATGAGCTGGGGTCGTTGTACTGCTTGGCACGTTGGCAAGGTCCCCGGAAGCTACAAGGGGCAGGCTGCTTTGTATCGTATGTGCGGTACTGCAGTGGCAGCGCTGAAGATGGGGTAGCGTGGAGAAAAGTTGGACTACAGTTGGGTTGGACTGGAGTTGGGAGCTATGGACTGCTACTACCGTGTGTCCTCTCCTCTTGACCCACCGACGATGTTGTTGCGAGGAGTGCGGAGTGGGGACCAGAAAGGGGTTTGCCGCATGTGAGAGGGGAGGTTTGAGGAGACGAGGCGCACCTCTGGTTGGAGAGGGGAGATTTGAGGAGACGAGGCGCACCTCTGGTTGGAGAGGGGAGATTTGAGCAGACGAGGCGCACCTCTGGTTGGCGAGGTGCATCTCTAGGTGATGAGGCACAGCACCGCACCTTGCCGTAGCCGGCAAGGCCCTGTTGTCAAGACGTGTGGTGGAACGTGTTCAGGGCAGCAGATCATTGCTGTCATTGCTTAGCAAAGCCGCTTGCTTCTGGTGTGTAAAAGACAGTAACAGACTGCACGCGAGCACATGACCGGGATCCTTCTCGCAGACAAACCGTCGTGACCCGGGGACTGTACGGTGCTTTCCAACGGTCTCCAGGAATAACATGTCTCTTGTGTCGCAGACGCCCGGCTGGAACGGCCGTGTATTGTTGAAGGTGATGATTGGTCCGGCACAACAGCCTCGCTCCGTCTGTCTGTCTGTCTGCCAAACCCGCTTCGCGACGGGACCCAAAAAAGTGTCATCATACCATATCTGGGTGCAGATCTACAGCGCATTATGTTGGTTCGTTACAATTATGTTCAGCTGCCATACCCATTCATGCAATTATGAAAGCGATGATTGTTGTGCTATGTGGCTCAACCGTAGTTACGGAGGATCGATGTCAGATAGCATTGACTTCCTTAGCTTAGTGTGAGCTGAATACTTCTTACCTCAGTTAGCTGCGCACTTTGTGCAATTCAGGGGCTGACACATATCTTTTCAAGCTGTCCTTGCGTACTGTGCATTGGGAGCAACTACATTTCAAGGCTGTTTCACTCTAATAATGTGAATTTTGAGAACAGTTTTGATGGATGTTCCAGCTGTTGTTGACCGTTGTAGTCATTCTGTGTAGCGTCAGCAGCAGCTCCGCGGCCAACAAGGTAGCTCGGCTAGCCAAAAGCCACTTCGCACAACATGGCGTGCGACTCCCAACGCGGAAGTTCATGGAGGCAATGCGTGCGGCGGCCGTTGACATTTCGGAGGCCAGCTGCCGCAAGAGCTTGGTCATAATAGGAATGGCCAACGAGGAGGCCTTAAACCATACTGTACCTCTCTTCCTAGAGAGCTTGAGGCGCGTGCAAATCACTAGCGGACAGCACGCTGGCCAAACCCTCGATGGACGACTGGTCCTGGTGGCATGGTCCCTAGAAGCGCTTGCGGCCTGCAGCGCGCTGCAAGCGACGTACAGCCACCAGTGCGTTCGGGACGCAGAGCACCCTTCGCCAAAAGGGTCCTTCGGCTTTCACAGCCACGGCTTCAACGTACTAGGGTAGGAGTTGCCGCCGGGATGTGCAGCCGAGCCGGGGGCGCCCGGGGGTGCCACGCGTATGGTGATTGCCGCACCGGTGTCGCTTGGGACATGCCTGGAGGATGGCACTTCCGGTATCGGTTTGGGCATCGCCGTTGTGTCATCAACGGTCCAGCCTCCCCAGCCTTTCTCTAACACCCGCCCAACCCCACTGCCCACTCCCACGCATCACTCCTTCCCCTCTCCCTCCTCCCTCTCCCCTTCCCAATCCCAAACCCACCCCCGCTCCACATCGCCCCCAACCCCGCCCCAACCAACCCCGCCCCCGCCCCCCACACCCTCCCCCCCAGCTTCGCCAAGATCAAGTACATCCTGAACGGCCTCTCCGCCGGCCACGACGTGGTGTTCCTGGACACCGACCTGCTGCTGCTGCGCGACCCGCTGCCGTACTTGCTGGGGCAGGGCGGCGACATGTACGGCGCCATGGAGAAGTGCATGGTGGTGAACGCCAGCCTGCACCTGCACGCGCGGGAGTACGTGGCGGGGGGGCGCAAGGCGCCGCCGCTCAACATCGGCGTGCTGTACTTCAAGGCGACTGCGGGAGTGACACGCTGTGTGTATAACTGGGCGTGGGACATGTTGAATGAAGCGCCCTTTCGGCCCATGATCTGGGACCAGGTGAGGCAGCGGGGGTTGGAGGGGAGCTGTCCTGGGGGAATTGCACCAGGATTGCACCGCGGAACGCAGCGGGAGTGCTCCTTATCGGTGCCCCCGCTGTGGCAGTGACATCCAGGATCCGACTCTCCCTTTTCCTCTCTCCTCCTTCCCCACGTCGATCCACCTCTCCCTCCTCCCACCTTCCCCTCCCACCCCTGTCTCATTATATATTATTTACACCCCTCCCTCCCTCCTTCCCCCAGGACATCTACGGCAAGATCATGGCCAAGTGCGCCCTCACACACAACCTGCGCTGGAAGGCCCTCGACCCACGGGTCTTCCAGTCGGCTTGCTTCCCCGCCTGCGGCTGCACCTTCACTGACGCCGAGATGGTTCCGGAGCGGTTCGGCAACTTCAGCCGCGGCATGCCATTCATTGGAGACCACGAGTGCGGTCCACAGCACTGGGGTGACTGGATTGTACGGCATTTCCCCTGCTCCGGAAGCACCAAGACCAAGGGCGAGTTCATGAGCAACATGCTGCAGGGGGTGTTGGAGGGCAAGCCGGTGCAGATTACTCGGAAGTGGTGAGGAGGAGAGGAAGGATGGGAGAAAGAGGGGGATAAAAGAAGGAAACTGAAGAAAGAGGGGGAGGAGGGGAGTCTGAGAGGATGGGATCAGGGTGAGTGGAGGTAGGGAGAGGAAGGGAGATGGTGTTGGCTGTGAGAGGAAGGGTGGTGTCCGTGGTGTATATGTGAAGTTGGCGTGGGTGGATTTGTAACCCTGCCCCGAGTTAGCGGTTGATTTTGCTGCAGTGATCGTAAGGTTTGTGTACGGCTCGTGGAAGGGTATTGACGACGTCGTGTTGTTGCAGAGGATTGCTCAGGTTGGGTTGCCCTGTTAGATGTAGCAGTGTCGGTCGGCATGTTTTACAGGGGCAGCGGGGGGACGCGCCCGGTGAGACACTATCACAGGGAACTATTCAATTCATTTTACCACGTACTCACGCTACGTAATGCTCGAATGCTTAGTCGGTAGTAACGGATTGGGTATTTGCCACCGCTCCTTATAACCCTAGGTAAACAAAATTAGTAATTTGCGGCAGCGCATGATGGTTTCGGTGCGGCTGCCGTACAGTTCCTATATATCCCTGGCTAAACATTGTAGGGCCCTCGCGAATTCCAATCGTCGCTGTGCTGCTGCGCCGCTAAAACAGCCAATCAAGGCTTTATATCTTATCAGTTTTACACCCTTTATTCACTTATGTAATTGGAATTGTCAAAGTCCGCTTTCGGCCATGGCCTCGGTCTGCGCCATTCCCACGCAAACCACCCCAAAGCTCCGCGCCCAACCGGGTCCTATTAAGCCACCATAACGTTTTCACTTTTGCTACAAGCAAAAGCCCGCCGCTTCAGCCTATTGGGTCACCGGACACATGGTCCGAGCGCCGTACACTTCTCAGCGAGGCATTTCCACCAGTATACATATTCTACTGGCCCACGTTTTTTCGCTTTAGTTACGTTGCTGTGCTTCATTCTCCTAGTCGTGGCCCTCACTGGCCTTCATTCAGTGGACCCCTTGCCGCGGTTAACAACGAGTTAACAATGACCAGGCCCGCGGCTCATTTAGTAGCCCATGGCGGCGTCCACGCCATGGACAGCCCCAGCTGGCCTCGCGTTTCTAATTCTGGTTGGCAAGTACAGCTTTACCGCTGCATTTTAGTAAACCGCGCAACCTTCGAGCTCATGCAAAGTGAACATTGACCGCAGGACTCTTCACATTCCAACCGTTTCAAAGGAGGCCGTCAATGCCACACATCCATCGCTTCACTCGGCGTTCAAGCTCCTCAATCAACATTCTGACAGTCGTGCTTGTAGCCTTCCTTCTCATTGGCGCAGGTGCGGAGACGCTATCTACGCGTACAGCGTTAGCCATCCACTATTCCTTATTTAACAACTTCTTTATGCTGTTTTTGCAGACGCCAAGGGCGGCACTCACAAGCCCGCCAAGCGTGTTGCCGATGCCGCAGCTGACTACGAACGTGATCCACAACGCCAAGCCTTGGCCCCTGTCAACCCCAACGCTAATAATGCTGCTGCTGCTCCCACACAGCTGCTGCCGCTACAAACGGTCCACCACCTGCTCCCAATGCTGCTCCTCCGCCCATTCCGCCTCCTCCTACTCCTCAACCTGACGTTCTTGCCGCTCAAGCTAGAATCCTCGGTTGTGTAGAACTTGTCCTTGGAGAGTCTCCCAACCAAAATGTTAAAAGCCATTCCTGATGCTTGCAGGTAGCCGGCATCCTTTCTCAGCAGCAATCAGGCACCTTTATGCCAAATGTGTCCACACACCTACTACCCTGCCCCTGATGCCGACCATTAAGTTGGACGTCATCGTTTTGTGTTACCTGATCACGAGAACAACTGCACTGACCCCACTTCCACCGCTGGCTATCACAATGCCCACTTGTGCATGAGCAGAAATCCCACGTCACGGCAATCATCATAGGATTTGTGGGTGGCACCCATCACTTTCCGATACTCACGACGACCCCGGCTTACGGCCGCACGGCACCCTTCCTAAGGAAGTAGGTGACTGGAGCCCCTCATCCCCCTCCCCCGCCATTGCCACAAATTCTGCACCTACAGGCATCGGCTCATCCTTTTTGCATTGCTCCTCGAGTGGCTGTTGCTGCAGTACCACGGAAATTACTCTTTAATGCTGCCAGTACAGTGTCATGAACTGAACAGGGAAGAAGGAACCGATGACTAACCACAACCACACATGCCTAACGTCTGTGCTTATGGTTGTTGTGGCTGGGTGTGAGGGGATCGTCTATCCTGTCACACCTGGTGCGCTCGGCCCCACCACCCTCTTTCATTCCTTTGTTGAATGAAACAGGGTGGTGGGGCCTAAGCCCCACATGAGCTGCAACGCACACGATCTTAGCCTATAACAATCCCGAGGCTTGCAAGTGTTAAATAGCATCCCATTTCCGGCATGGAGAAGGGATGGGGTTCAGCGGTGGGGAAGGGGCAGTGGGGCCCTTCCCCACCGCATGTCCCATTCCCATACTAAGGTTTCTTGGGTTAATTTGCGGAACGGAGCGGTGGCCGACCATCTCAAAGCATGATGCTGCAGCTTTCACAAAGATTTTAGCTGTACTTTCGGACTGGTTTCAATGGTTTCGGTGCCTTGCGACTTTTGCTACTAAGTCGTTTGTTGAAATCTGTCTCCTATGTGAGCTTATTTCCGTGTGGAGTCCGCAGTTTTCACAGGGGAAGGCATGACCCATGGCTGCGAGCAGAGATGCATCTGTCCGCGCTGCGCAAGTTTCGTTGAAAAGTCTCACTATATTTGCTTCTGCTCAAGACATTCTGAGAAGCAATGCGAATTCCTATGTTTGGTTGCGGCCCGTTCTCGTTGCCCAACAGAAGTCACTTCATGCCTACTCGCACTCTTACGACCATGACCAGCGTAGCCAAAAACAACCACAGTCAGCAGTTGGGTGCCGCCTAACGTCCTTGCCTTCACGGCAACACGGCAATGTGCTGTCCGCGTGCAAGCATGTCGCGAACGCGACGACGAGCCAGCACAGATGTCTTGCTGCTATGCATGGCTTCAATCGTCTTCCTGCCACCTCGACACCTTTCGGCGCTATTGTTGGGGGACTGTCGACTGCGCCGGTACGACAGTTGGCAAGCGCTGCGGGGCCAAGCAGCGCAGCCGACGTTAGCGATACCGTGGAATGCGTTGTAATCGGGGCAGGTAAAGGAGGGCAGGACCTGCATTGGAAAAAGATAGCGGCCATGACAGCGCGGACACAGACCCATGCCAATGGATGACGACGTTTCTCCGCTCCATCTCCTTTGCCACTGCGTAGTGCCCGCTCATCCTCCCAGCCGGACTGTCCTTTTCCCCTCTCCACATGTCCTTTCCCTCCCTCCCAGACTCCTTAGGGGTTCTCCTATCTCCACGGCTGCCATTACCGCTCCCATCTCCCTCTCCCTGCCAGCCCTGTCATGCCTGCTGCCTGTGTCACCACACCCCTTGACGGCCCCCACGTTTCCCCCTGCTCAATGCCACCTCTGCCCCCTCTCCCCACCTTCTCCTCAGGGGTGGTCGGGCTGGCTGTGGCTCGCGCGCTGGCCCTCCGCGGGCGCGAGGTGGTGGTTGTGGAGGCGGCGGGGGCGGTGGGGACCGAGACCAGCTCACGACACAGCGAGGGTGAGCTGCGGGAGCGCTTGCGTGCGTGCGGGTGTGAGGGGGGTAAGGCGAAGCCTAACCGTGTGTGAGGGGGGAGGGCGCGGGGCTCGCCTGGTGCTGGCAATGTCGCCTCCGCTGGGGAGGAGTCCGCTTCATAAAGTGTATGTCGAGCCGCCCCTGTCACGCCCGTTTAACCCTGTCTACTCACCATACACGCGCATGCCCCACGCACTCCCCACACACACGGCCGCAATCACCGTAACGTTCCGATACGCGACCAGTTTTCTCAACCCACGCCTACCCACGCCCATGCACTCCCGCACGAATGCCCGTACGAACGCCCACCGCCGTACAGTGATCCACGCGGGCATCTACTACCCGCCCGGCAGCCTCAAGGCGCGCATGTGCGTGGAGGGCAAGGCGCGGCTGTACGACTTCTGCCGTACACACAACGTGCCGTACAAGAACATCACCAAGCTCGTCGTCGCCAACAGCAAGGAGTGAGTGCCGGCATCCGCTGGTGCGCCTAGGTATGACCAGAACTCCACCAGATTCCACTACCCTGCCTTCGCACCCACCACCTCTTTAAGTTACCCTCCCACCACCATCACCACCACCACCACCACCCTTTCCGCGCCTCCTTATCTACTTTGGAATTCCTTTTCCCCCCTCCCCCCGGGCAGTCAGCTGCCCTCCCTCGCCTCCCTGCGTGCCACCGCCGCCGCCTCGGGTGTGACCGACCTGCAGCCGCTCAGCGGGGCGGAGGCGCGGGCGCTGGAGCCGGCCCTGGCGCCGGGGTGCGCGGGGGCGCTGCTGTCGCCCTCCACCGGCATCCTGGACAGCCACAGGCGAGGGGGGAGAAGGGGGCGGGGGCGAATGGGGGTTTGACAGGAGCTCGGGTGCTGGTTGGATGTGGCATTAAGGGGGGGGCGCTATGGGTAAAGGCGAACGGTTTTGTCCTTGTATGCCGTACTGAGCTGTGTCGTACTGCCGTACTGCCGTACAGCTACATGTCAGCGCTGCTGTCCGATGCGGAGGCGCACGGGGCGCTGCTGGCCCTGCACACCCGAGTGGTGGGAGGCTGGCTGGAGCCCGCACCCCTGACAGCAGCAGCAGCAGCAGCAGCAGCAGGAGGAGCAGCAGCAGGAGGTGCAGCCACTGGCGGAGCATGCAACAGCAGCACCAGCAGCACCAGCAGCTCACACTCGTCACCGCCGCCGCCGCCTCAACCCCCCACTGCTGCAACTGCGGGTGCTCCGACATCAACAACAGCTGGGGCATCATCGTCCTCCTCGCCCGCTGGCACAACTACGTCAGGCAACACAAGATACGCCGGGGAGGTGCCGTACAAGGTCTTGGAGCTGCATAGCCATCACATGCAACCACCACCTGACAGCGGCGGCGCCACCAGCGGCAGCAGCGGTGGGTTGCAGTCAGGGGGTGCGGTGGAGGTCAGCCGGCTGCGGGCGCGCTGGGTGGTTAACGCGGCGGGGTTGCATGCGGTGCGGGTGGCGGGTGGGGTGGCGGGGGGACCCGGCAGCGCGCTGCCCACCCTGCATCTGGCCAAGGTGGGTCGTACCTCGTACGGCAGGGGCGAGGAGGCGTGACCGGGGGCGCGTGCGAGTAGCGTCTGGATGAATTCCCGGGTTGTGGGGTCAGGTGAATATCAGGCCGCAAGCGAGGAAGGGAGAGGGGTCCTGACGGGTGTTTGAGGATGTGGAGGCAGGAAAGCTTAGCGCGCGTACTCGATGCGTGAGTGTGATAAAATAACTGGCCCCAATGCTCCGCTCCAAATCTCCTGCTGCTACCCCCTTTTCCTGCCCCCCCGCCCTGCCCGCCCCTCTCTCCCCCAGGGAAACTACTTCTCCCTGGCTGGCCGCTGCCCCTTCAGCCGCCTCATCTACCCGGTTCCCGAGCTCGGGCTTGCAGGGCTGGGCACCCACCTGACGCTGGACATGGGCGGGGGCGCCCGCTTCGGACCTGACGTGGAGTGGCTGCCGCAGCCGGGACTACAACCCGTGGCGCCGGACTATCGGGTGGGTGGACTCGTGTGGGAGCACACGGCGGTTTGGAGCACACAGCCCGTTGCCTGCCTTCTGGCTACATCCCCACCATTTCCCCCGTACGCACCGTCCAACAAGTGACGCAAGGATGCCCCACCCGACGTACATACCGGTGTATTCATCTCTCCACATCACATTCACCTCGTCCTTCACCCCTCCACACTCCACCACACCCACCCACACACTATACCCCTCCTTAGGTGGACCCCCGGCGTTGCGAGGCCTTCTACCCCGCCATCCGCCGCTTCTTCCCTGGCCTGCCTGACGGGGCGCTGCAGCCGGCGTACAGCGGGGTGCGACCCAAGCTGTCGGGACCCGGGGAGCCGGCAGCGGACTTTCTGGTGCAGGGGGCGGTGGGTGGGCATGGCGTGCGCGGCTGGGTGAACTTGTTTGGGATTGAGTCGCCGGGGCTCACGTCAAGTTTGGCACTGGCGGAGCATGTGTGTAAGGTGCTGGAGAGTGAGGCGTGAGGCGTGAGGAGCTGGGTGATGATGGGGGGGGTGAGGAGGGTTGCGGGAGAGGGGGGGGGGTGAGAGGGAGAAAGGCGACGTTAAAGAGGAGTGAAGGTCTGCCTGATTTCTAGTGTAGGTACGGATGCGTGTTGATGCAGAGAGACGCTTGACACCTTCACAAAGGACGTGCGTGAGGCGGTTCTACAAGGCGCAGTGAGTGCCATTACGATGTAGGCTGTCGCCGGCTGCCACCTACAGAACGGTCATGTAAGCAGATCTGTTACGTCCCCTCCAAACCGCCACATGACCCCTGGGTCCATGCAACCTCTAAACCCCGAAGACACATGTACCTGAATTAGTCGAGCATTACTCTGGTAAGTGCGAAGATGGGTCCTATGCGGGCCTCTCCTAACGGGCGGATACTTGCCTTTTAAGTCCTCTTACACGGCAGGATCCGCCCTTTTAAGCGATCGCAGACCAGTTCCAGCCAGAGGAAAGACAGTTAGTAATAAGCATGAATTCTCTGCACCCGATAGCTAACTCTGTTTAGGACCGAACACGGTCCTCCTCAGCGCATCAACCTGAGCCAACAGCACCGAAGGGCCTTACGCTTGCAGCACAACGTCCGCTTGGCTGTTGAGCGTGCACCTCTGTACTAGTAAGTCCTGATTCTCGGCATTGCTGGGATTCTGCGTCAAGGGACGGTAGCCCTACAGACGTTAGGGTTGGGCTGTAGGTGTGGTGGCGACTCTTTGACGCAATCCGTGGATCAGTACTGAAGACTATATAACGTTTTTTTACAAAACGCGTATATATTAAACTGCCTACGTTACGCGGCGGCATCAATTTAGGTGAGCGCCAGAGCCTGCTGCGCTGAAAGCTCTTTGTTCGACCATTGTCAGGATTTACGCAAATTACCATCAACTCTAACTAGCAATGCAATAGATAATGCATGCATTGTAGGGTAGGAATTGCTTTTTTCCCAACCTCTAAATGCCCCGATGGCCTTGCAGGCGTCCAGCGCTGAAGCCTAGTCCATTGAAAGCGATGGCGTACGCTAACAGTCTCTTACAGTAACACAGCGAACTCCTCTTGACGGCTATACGCACCCCAGCCTTCCGCATCGAGGACATCCCCACTCCCACAGCAGCCCCCCTGGCCCGCCGCCTCGCGTCCGCGCTGATGCTTCCACTCCCAGGCGCCTTTCACAGCCCCGCTATGGGCTGCAGCGGCGCCGTGGGCACCTCTGCTCGGCTTGCTTGCTCCGCATCCACCCCGCGCTGCCTCCATCACTCCGCAGCATCAGCAAGGCCGCTGGCGCAAGCCCCCTCCTTCTGCTCAGCCCCGCAGCCTCCCGCCATGCTACAAGGACTACTCCACTTCCGCCTCAGCTGCCCCGCCATCCGCCCCGCCACCGCAGCCGCGCGCCTGCACGCCGCCTCCTCAGTCCGCACCTGTGCCCTCGGCCGGGCCGCAGCCTGCCTGTCCCCCTCCACCCCCTCCCCACTCACCTCCCCCCTAGGAAGCGGCCCCTCCATGCCATGCGGGTTAGCGCCCGGCTCCCTGGCCCCGGTGGCCTACCTGGGCGCCAGCGGCCCCTGCGGACCTCCGCCCCTGCCCCTGCCGCTAGGACCCGTGCCTGTGCTGGCGGCTGCTGCTGCTGCATGTCCGCATGCGCTGGCGGGGCGCCCGCCGCAGCGGCACCTGGCCACGCACGCCAAGCGCTCCTCCGCATCTGACGGCGACGGCGCCTCGCCGCCGCCGCCGCCCACCTCCGCATCTCCATCTAAGAAGGACCAGGCGTCGCCCCAGGAGCTGCAGGGATCACCTGCGCCATCCTCATCGTCATCCTCGGCAGCAGCAGCAGGGGGAGCAGCGGCACCAGCAGCTGCAGCAGCGGGCTCCCTCTACTCGCCGCTGCACCACAACATCGAGGAGTTCTGTTCGCGGGTGGTGCTGACGGAGGGGGAGAAGCGGGCGCGCATGGAGGTCATCGAGGGGTGAGGGCAGCCCGCAGGCCGGGGGGGACGGAGGGCGAAGGCCCGAAGCTGGGAACGAGGCGGAGGAGGAGGACGTGGGCTATGCGGGGGTGGGAGGCCTTTCCTATCGACTTACGCACGCACTCTCCTCTTCCCCGTTTCTCCCTATCCGTCCCTCTCTCCTCCTCCCTATCCGTCCCTCTCTCCTGCCATCACACCCCTCCCCGCTCTCCCCTCTCCTTTCCCCTCCCCAGCATTCGTGCGGGTGTGCGCAAGGTATGGCCGGGCGCCCGGCGCGTGGAGCTGCAGGTGTTCGGCTCCTTCGCCAACGGGCTGTCCACTTGGGGCAGCGACGTGGACCTGGTGGTCACGGGCATCAGCGAGCCGGACAAGGTCACGGGGGGTGAGCAGGGGGGATAAAAATAAGGAGGGGCGGGGGGGGATTATATAATGAATGCAAACAACTGCGGGGGGGGAAGGGGAGGGGAAAAACGTGGAATACCCAAGCGGGAGTGGAGCAGAAGCTAGAGCGGGGGAGGGAGGAAGGGGAGCTGTGCTCGTGGCGTCCTTTGCCGTCCTCCGGGAGCTTCCCCTTCCCCTTTCCCTTCTACCACGCCCACCTTGCCAAGTCTCCTGCAAGCTCCTTCCCTTCCCCTCGTCCCTTCCCCCCTCCTGGTCTTTGACCCCCCGCAGGCTACGAGCCCAACGACCGCGCGCGCATCACCTCCCGGCTGCGCAAGCTGAGCGAGGCGCTGCACCGCGGCAAGCAGCTGGACATTACCCGGCAGCAGCTCATTCCGCGGGCCAGGATACCCATCCTCAAGGTAGCGCGCGGGAGGGGGCTGCGGGGGCGGGGGCGGGGGCGGGCAGCGCGGGGGCGAGTAACGCGGGAGGGGGCTGAGACCCGGTCACCTGAGCCGCGAGGGGACGAAAAGGACAGGGCAGGGAGCGAGGTCTGGGGGTCGTAGAGAAGAAGAAAGGTATTCCCTTCCTTAAGAGCGACCGCCACCAGGGAGGGGGGCTGCACAAGGTCATGAGGTGCTGAGCTGCTGACGTGTCAGGGATGTGCAGCAAGGGAAAGGGTCCTGGCCTCCGCGCCTCTCACCCGCCCCCGACGGGTGGGGGGGGGTTTCCGAATGCGCTCACTGCATGAGTCGGGATTCGGGATTGGGACTCCGTTGGTGCATTTATCTACATATTTTTTGCCCCCGACGCCCCTTATACCCCCCACCCCCCACCTCCCCAACCCCCATGCCGCAGCTGTGGACCCGCAACCACGTGTGTGTTGACATCAGTGTGAGTGACGACAGCGGCCCCCGTGCTGCCCGGTACATGGTGCAGCAGTGCCGGGCCTTCCCGCCGCTGAAACCGCTGGTGAGGGGGGAAGGGAGCGGAGGGGGGGGAGAGGAGGGAGGAGGAGGAGGGAGGAATAAGGGAAGAGGAGGGAGGGAGGAGGAGGAAGGGAAGAGGAGGGAGGGAGGAGGAGGAAGGGAAGAGGAGGGAGGGAGGAGGAGGAAGGGAAGAGGAGGGAGGGAGGAGGAGGGAGGAACTGTAACCCAGCCGTCCACCCCGAATTGGAAGGGAGGGAGAGGGGCGCGCTGGGGCCGACGCGGGGAGGCAGAGGTGGAGTGAGGGGGGGTGCTCTCCCTTCCTGCCTCGTGAAGCCGGCCGTGTGGTGCAGCCTGTTGGGCAGCCGGGCATATCTCCCATACCTGCCTCCCTTGCTGCCCCCCCTCCTGCCCCGCCCCTGCCTCCCCCGTCCCTGCAGGTTCTGGTTCTGAAGGCCTACCTGAAGGCGTGCAAGCTGAACGAGGTGAACACGGGCGGCCTGTCCAGCTACAGCCTCACAAACATGGTCATTGCGCACCTGCAGGAGGAGCTCAAGGTGGGGGGGGGAGAGAGGGAGGAGGGGCAGGAGGGGGGGGTAGGGGGGGGGCACTTGTAATGATGACTAGCGGTAGTGATCGCAGCTGGCCAGTGGAATGGACAGGGGAACGGAGGAGGAGGTTAAGGAGGAGAAGTCCCCCTTGTAGGGTTGGGGTTGGGGTTGGGTCCCACTTGCGTGCCTCCCACCTCCTTCCTTCCCGGTGTTTCCGAGGCTCAGTTGAGCGGTATCTAATCCCACACCTTCCCCTCCCCTCCCACACCTCCCCCCTCCCCACCAGTCCGGCCACGACATCAGCGACCTGGGCGAGACGCTGTACACCTTCCTGCTGAGATACGGGGAGGACCACGACTACAGCAGCATGGCGGTGAGGGGGGGGGGTGGAGGGGGCGGAGGGGAGGGAGAGCTGGGGACGGAGGGGATGAAGATTAAGAAACGAACTGAACGTATGACATGTAGGCTTCATCAGGGGGGGGCAGGAGGGGAGAAGTCCCCGTCCACCTTCTCGCCCCTCTGTCCCCATGGCTTTGCCCTAGCCTATGGTTTTGGTGGATCTCTTGGACCCACTCACCCCACCCGTCCACCACGCCCTCCCCTCTCACCCCCCTCCCCCCCCCCCACACACACATCCGCAGGTATCGGTGGCCAGCGGCGGTATCGTGCCCAAGAGCTCTCTGGGTTTCGCCATGGAGTCGGCGCGGCAGGCGGCGCTGGCCATGGGCGCATACGACGGGGCGGTCAGCTGGAACGAGCGACTGTGCGTGGACTGCCCGCTTACCGGTGCGGGCGGGGTGGGGGGATTAGGGGGTTAGGGGGTCAGAGGATTAGGGGAACAGGCAACAGGGGGGTAAAAATGAGGAAAGTGGAACAGGGGAAGGTAAGGAACAAGGGGAGGGAGGGACTGCAACAGCGCGGGAGGGCGCGGGAGGGAGGGGGCTCCTTGAGACGTTGGGTTGTGGGCTTGTAGCTTTTGCTTACCTGGATGTGTACCCCTCCTTTCCCGCCCAATCCCCTCCCCTCCCCTTTGGTGTATGCTTGTACCTTTTGCTAATCCCCTCCTTGGTGCCCCCCCCCCAGGTCGTGACGTCAGCACCGGCACCTTCCGCATCGACCTGGTGAGGGGCGCATTCGAGCAGGCGGCTCGCAAGCTGGAGGCGCTGGCGCGGGGGCGCAGGATAACCGACACCTCGCTCAACTACCTGCAGGTGCGGGAGGGGGGGACGCGGCAGCGACCCGTGGGTCGGTCGCCATGCGGGTTTACATTTGACATGCCGGTACACAACCATTTTTGTTACCACACAGCCACACATGTCACGTGTTCATTAGCCATGTACGGTATCGCCGCCCCCCCCCCCCCCCCACACACAAACCCCACCTCTGTCACCTCTGTTTTGCCTGTATACTCGCGGTTCACATGCGAACCTCTCCCAATTGCTTGCTCTTGTCCTACTCAACTACACAAACCCCATGTAAGGACTTCATCTTCCGGCAATCACAGATCGTTCCGACTAGTTTTCCTGACACCCCCCCCTGCAGGCGCTGTTCGACGTGAACCGCGTGCTCAAGCGCTCGCACCCTGACCCCAACGAGCCGTACGAGGATGACTACCTGCGGGTCATTGCAGGCCGGGGAAGAGCGGCGGACGCGGAGGAGGAGGTACGGCAGGCCGGGAGTGGGGCTGGGGGCTGGGGGGGGGGGTGCCATGGAGTGGGGTTGGGGGCTGTGGGGGGGTGCCATGGAGTGGGGTTGGGGGCTGTGGGGGGCGCACCGGAGAGTGCCGTTGAAGACCTCCCGAGTATTTGGGAGGGGTTCACGGGTTGGCGGCGGAATGCCGGTTCCCTGCTCTTGCTTGTCGCTTTGTCGCTTCTGCTGATACTTCAAGCAACCCACGGTTCCTTCCCCCCTCCCCCCTTCCTCCCGCGCCCATTGCCGCCACCCCAGGAGGGTGAGGAGCTGCTTCCGGGTTCCGACGACCTGCTGGATGGCGAGGGCGAGGGTGAGGACGACATCGCCGGGGATTACCTGGAGCGCAGCCCCACTGCCGCGGCTGCAACAGCAGCAGCGGCGGGGGGGAGCAGCAAAGGGCGGCAGCAGCGGGGGAGATGAGGGGGCGAGGGGGTCGGTGGTGGTGGTGAGGATAATAAGGAGGAGGAGGAGGAAGAAGAGGAGGAGGAGGAGGAGGAGGACGGACCGGGCACAGCAGTGGCGTGCGGTGCAGCAGTAGCGGCGTGCGGTGCAGACCGGTGGGTGGCGGAGATGGTGGCGAGGGAGATGATGACAGGGGCGCAGGAGGAGTGGCGTCAACAGGTGGTGAAGGGTGGTTTGCGGGGGCACAGGGAAGTAGGTGGTGCAGTGCGCTGTCTGTGCTGCAGGTGCGGTAGGTTTTATACGCACGGGCGAGGCGCGTTGCGCCTGGGTGTGTGTTATAGTTCCCGGCCCTTATTAGGAGCAGGAGGGGCTTCTGAGAAGAAAGAAGAAACACGTGGTATTTGCAGTCCGAATACGGTTTACGGTACTTGCTGTTGGTACTTGCTGCTGCGCCAGCTGCTTCCGGATCCCTTCACAGCAAGCAGGAAAGTGTGTCAGATGGCGATGATGTTGTGAAAGGGTATGGGAGGAGCATGGGACATGGTGAGAACGGTGTGCCTCGTGGCAACAAGGGTGCAGTTTCCCGGTAAGTCTGTCGTACTTTGGCAAGTCTCTTTACATGCGGGCACTCAACCTGGAGTCAGGAGGGGTACAGAGAACCCTAGCTATAACTGAGGGCAAACGAATAGGGACAGGGTGCGGCAGGGGACGTTGGTTGCGCGGCAGGGGACGTTGGTTGCGGCTGGGGACGTTACTCGCAGGCTGTAGCACGGTGGAGCGCCGTTTCGCTGAGGATTGCTTGGGTGCGTTGTGGCAGCTGTCCAGATATTGTTAGAAGCCGCAGTGTTATTGCGGCCCTCAGAGTGGATACTGTAGAACTGGATACTGGGCGTTGCGCTGGTTATCGTAGGTTTCCTTTGCTCGCCAACTTAAGGAGTTATGATAACTACCTGCATCTCCCGGAGACTAATGGGAAGCTGTTTAGCGGCAATTCAAGCTCTTCCACCGTCCCCTTGACCATGCTGGCGACCAGGTTACTAAGCGACCCGCAGGTTTTGGGCGACCAGATTCACTTTAGTGGCTTAAACGGTGATATGAGATAAGCGAAGCCTAAGCCAGACGACATCACTAGGCGCTGGCGCGGATACTGTGGGCAAACGGAAGGCCTGACGTGTGACGTCCTGTTACGTTACATGGTACGGTGTAGTACCCTAGCGCTCTACTGAGTAATATGACCCAGGCGCTCTACTGACTAACCTGACGAGTTGCTTTGGACAAAAAGCACAACAGAATGGAACAAACGCAGGGAGAATGAGGGCGTCAAAGCAGTTCCTGACGAAGTACAACTTGTACATAGTCACGTGGCTTTTCTAACTTTTACGTAGGGCTTCAACTCTGCTTCACAGCAACCAGCATCGATGCACATACCTTTGTAGATATGGTGGAGACCGTTCAAATAAAGCTTAGCGAGGAGGAACCTGTATCTGCCAGCGCAGTGCAGAAGCAAGTTGCGCAGGTTAACAGGGACTTGGCCCACACGCTGTTTAATAAGAACCCGGCATTGTAAGACGACTAACGTTTGGGCTGTGTTCCGAAGTCTTACGACCTTAGTGACTTGTGTCACGTCGCTTGCAGGGCAAGCGTCGTCCGTGACCTACAGGAGCGGAATAAGCGGGCACAGCAAGAGAAGGAAAAGGAGGCAGCAACTGGATGCCAGGTCGCTGCTGATGCAGTCGACCAGGACACCGGACCTACGACGGACATTGAGCTTGGAAATGGAAGAGGATTATGGGTAGTAGGTGGAGCTAGCACGGTCGCGGATTGCAAAACAGCGCTTGAGAAGGTTGGCGCGGACCCGAAAGGCGCTGCGGAGCAACACCAGCCTGCGGGCATCACCTCGGACATTCCAGAGGAGTTTACGGTTCAACCAAAGGATATTTCCACCGGAGTTCATTTGGCCCGGGAAGGTCGTTCAGCGGAGGCCTTGAAACGCTCCTTCAGGGTGTGTCCTGTATGAGGCAACCTGCACCGAAATTGTATAATAACACCCTTCGACGCTAGATTGATGTGGGCGCTTTCCCTCCACAGGACTTGGCTGACATTGTGCGCCTCTACCCGACCGCATGGATTGTTCCGCTCGCGGTTTTCTTCCTGCTCACGGGCTTAGGCGTTTGGGGTGTCATCTCGGGGGCGCATTCGCATGTCCAGCAGCGCAAGGACGATGCCCGCAGTCGGGCTGTGGATGCAGCAACGGGTTTCCAGGTGTGTCGGGGCCAACAACTAATGGGTTGGATGGGGGGTACGGCTGAGGGGGCAGTACTCAGGGCAACTTAAGGGAAATGCTCAAAGGCAGCTATGTCGGCCGGATGGGTGGTTGGGATCAACTAACGGGACTCGTTACTGGTTTGTTACCAGGGGTTTTCCGTCCTGCTGGTTTTTGGTATTGTTCTCCATCCTGCCTCTTGTAACATTCCAGCTGGGAAAGACATGTAGGTAACTCCCACAAACGACACCTAGATGGCAAGATGGAACACCTGCCAGTGCGACCTGTCCTGACACTGCTGCCCAGCTCGGTAGCGGGTATGCTGCAGCAGTTGCACCCGTCCATCCCATCGTCCATCCCATCCTCTACTCTGCACCTCCAGTCTCCAGTCCTCCTCTTTACTTACGATTACCGTGAATGCACCCCCATGCACCCCCGTGCTCTGAACCCCTGCCTCAACCCCACCTCCACACCTCCCACCTGCCATGGAACCGCAGATCCAGCTGCAGCAGTCCTTCACGCCGGGTGTTACCTTCCAGCTGCTGGTGAAGCAGCGGCCGGAGTGGGATTACTGGCTGGCCAACTTCAACCAGACAGCGGAGGAGCTCATGTCGCGGGCAAGTGTGGGGACGCTGGGGGATGAAGTGATGCTTGATGCGGCTATGCGAGTTTGGCAGCAGTCCTGGCGTCGACGTTTTTTTACAATGGTCGGACGTGCGTTATGGAGGAGATTGCCGCGAGCTGCTGGACGGCTAGCCCTGTGGGGTCCACATGCGCGCAGTGCATGGGAGAAACGGCTCACCTAAGCCCCTAGAGGAGCCCCTGAACTAGCAGGCGCGCGCTGGCGCGCTCCTACCTAGCTGCCATACATGCTCACAGCATGGCAGCATCGCAATGTTGCAATTCACCTCGTGGCGCTTCCGAAACGAGCGGCGTGCTATCCACGTGCACCGCTCCCAGCCGGTTCTCTCCTATGCATCCTCGACCTGCTGCCCGAATGCGCTATACGGGTCCGATCGCTGCCTGCCCTCTGTCCCCCTCCCGCCCCCCCTCTGCCCCTCCGCAGGTGCCCAACGGCTCCCTGTGGAACCTGCAGCTGCAGCCCTTTGCGCAGGTGATGATGATGCACCCCTTCCGACCCGAGGACCTCAGCCAGGTGGTCCCGCCGCGCGACCTGCTGGGAGGTAAGGCAGAGCAGCGCAGCGCACGCAGCGCACGGGGAACATACCGTTGGCGGGCAACGGAGGGCAAAGCGTTTCCTTACCTGACGCATTCCTCTGCCGTTCCCGCCCTGCCTGCCCCAGACCCCACACGGCGTGACGACATCCTGCGCATCATCCAGACCAAGGAGCAGCTGGTGGTGGGGCCGTTCTACCTGGTGCAGGGCTTCACGGGGGCATTCATCCGCTACCCCATCTACGTGCGTAAGTACCGGTTGGGGCGTCTCGAGGTCATGGGGCTGCTCCCAGGCTGTTTCAGCATGGGCCTGTCCGCTGTGGCCCGCTGCCCTTCTCGCGGTGGTGCAGCGAGCACGCAGCAGCCAGTTCTGGCGGCCAGTGTTTCTTAACACAGCGGCATGGTACTTGCTTGCGCAGCTACCGGTAACCGGTCGGCAAGGGTGTAGCGGGGCGCGGTTGTTTGAAGAGTAAGAACAAAAAGTAAAAGAGGCCCCGAAAGATCTTGGTTGGGAGGATGCGCTCAATTTGTCCTTTCGGAGCGGCACACAACTTAGTGAATTCCTGCGATTGCTTGTCTAAAGTTGAAAGCCGTTGTCTTTCCCGTTTCCTCGCAGAGGACGTTGGCGCCAACGAGACGTTTGGCTTCCGCTACCGCGATAACGCCACCGCCATCCCCTACTCGGACCTGCCTGCCAGCGTGCGCAGCTGCTCCGTGTGCTACAACGCAGCCACACGCGAGAAATGGTAGGCGGAGCGCCACTACGGCTGCTACCCTTGCCCCTGCATGGTCCTTCCTTCCGTCACCCCCTGTTTCCGCGGCTCAGTTTATCTAACCCCCTCTCCATAGCGCTACCGGTGCCGGTAGTAGCAATGCCCAGTGCCCCTGGTTGCCCACTTCATGTCTGACCTCCTCAGGACACAGCACGAGCTAAAGCCAATCGGCAACCGTGCTGCCTTTACTCTCCATACCAGTAGTAGTAGTGGTGGTAGTAATTTATGTGTGCGCGTGCTGAAGCAGCGTTGCGTTGTGTTGCTCTGAACACACGTGTTGCCTCCCGCGGTGTCCTGCATCAGGTGGGGCCTGCTGACGGTGCTGGTGAACTATGACGAGGTCACACGGGGCAAGGACTCGTACCTCGTCAATCTTCGAGACATGGTAAGTGAAGTCATTTTAATTTTATCGTCGATATTGTAGATGCGTCCTTACTCCCGCTAGCCATGCAACGATCTGGGGCCCCGCATGCTTCCAAGTGCCAGTACGTCTGGTCTTAGACGTCAAATGCCGGGTTTCGCCATTCATGTGCTGTAGTTCCGGCTGTCGTATGCCAGGACGGCAACTCCATTTCGCCGTGTATGCGGGTCGTTTTGGCGTTTCCTGAGTATTCGCGGCTTTCCTGAATGGACCAAAACGTGTCCTTCTACGCCCCCTCTTATCCCCTCTGCGCAGGGCTTCCATTACGCCCTCGTCCGGCCGATCAACGACACCTACGAGCAGGTCATTGCGCAGTTTGGCGACAGCACCCTCATTGGCGAAGACGCGGTGACGGTTGAGGTGAAAGTCGTCAATGCCGTTTGGTATCTCAGGGTAAGCAGGGGCAGGGGCATACCTTCTCTTAGCCTAGAGGCATACATTCTCATTGCCCGCTCTCATTCCGCCTACTCTCACTCTCTCAGCCTGCTCCTACGGATGTTCCCCCGCACACGTCAACACAGCAGCCACCCCAGCAACTTCCCACAGCCCCAGCATTTCCGCTTGCGTGACGCTTTGCGACGTGTTTGCCGTACGTGTCTATTGCCCTGTTGGGCCCGCCGCAGGTGGCACCGGCGAATGGGTTCAAGCCTTCTTGGCAGGCACCTCTGATTGCGGCTGTGGTCATCATAGCACTCATCATGTCGCTGCTGCTCTTCGTCTCGCTGGCTTCCTTCAAGCGGCAACGCGTACTGCTGCGCGAGACAGTGGTAGGTGTTCTGAGGCTCGTGCCTTGGTTTGACCACCGGTACCTAAGCTGGGTGCACTTGAAGATTGCTCTGCCTCGAATGGCTGCTGCTACGAGGCTGTGTCTGCTTGGCCACAGTTCGGGCAGAGCACGCAGGGCTGAGGGATGGGGTCCTCTGTGTATCGTCTTTGTGTTCACGTGCGAAGGTGCTTTGTTCGGCAACGCCTCCAGTAGCAGTATGCTCACTGCTAAAAGTCCCCCGACTGGGCGGTTTGCAGGCTGCTAACCTCAACCTGGCAGAAACGACGAAGCGGCTGGAGGAAGAGAAGGTGCGTTTGGCTCTCTGGATATCTGCCGGCGCCCTGGGGGGGGCGGGTTGGACCATCCTTGGCATCACTGCACGAACGGCACACCCGAACTCCAGCATGCCTTCCAAAAGATGCACTGCCGAACCGCCTGGGGCAGCGACAAGCAAAGCGCCCCTCATGCAGCCAGCTGCATCCCACCCCCCCTTGTCATGTATCAAGTGCCATGTATTATGCAAGGGCGCCCGCAGTAACTACAGTGCATGCGGCTTGCCCCCTTCCCGTCGCCTGAAACACAACTGTGACAAACTGCTTTCCTCTATCCCCATTGCTGTGCCCTGACCTGTGGTTTTGGTGCATCTCTGATTCCCCCCCCCCCCCCGTCGCCTCATCCCCACTCGCAGGAGCGCATGGACCTGCTGCTGCTGCGGCAGTACGACCTGCTGCGCTGCCTGGACGCCAACCGCTCGAACAAGAAGGACGGCTCCTCGGATGCCATCCACGGGGGATCCAAGCGGGCTATGATGGGTGAGCAGCAGGGAGGAGGGGAGCTCTCTTTGCACACGGTTGGGTTTGCGGTGCTCGTTCGGGCGGAGTGCCTGCGCCAACTGGCAGCGGCTTGGCGTTCATGCTACCTGTGACGTGTTGGGGTAGCATTGGGGTAGCTCTTGAGCTCCTTCTTTGCACACAGAGACTTACAAGCCTTTTCACAACACTTGCCACGCCCTGCCGCCCTGCCGTCTTCCTTACCTTACCTCCCGCTCCTCCCTGCCCCCCCCCTTCCCCAGCCCGCATCGAGGACGCCCGCCGCTCGCTCAACGTGGTGAAGACGTCCGTGGAGGACCCCATCCAGGTGTTCGAGGTGCTGGGGGCGGGAGCGGTGAGTGCGGGGGGGGGGAGGGGGGAGCAGGGGGGGTGGCGGAGTTGATCAGGGGTATATTATCAAGCGGAGGCGTACCCCTGACTGTGTGTTAAGAAAACTGGCCGCGAGTAGGAACGTACTGGGATGTGACTGTGTGTGCCCGCCTCGCGTTTTTTGACACCTGCTGGCCTAGCTTGGATATGCTTTGAGATGCGACCATTGTGCTCTGCACGCCTTCCTCTCATGCACTTCAGTTCGGCAAGGTGCAGCGAGGCCTGTGGAGAGGAACGGTAAGCTTGATAGGGTTGGTACGGCTTGGGCTGTGGGGGCTTAAGCTGCCTGGCTAAGCTGCGGATAGGGCATCGGAGCCTTGGAGACCGGAATCTCGCGCAGCGAACCAGCACTGCTGTGTTTCTGCCAATGCATGTTTGGGTCCTCCCGCCATCCATGCTCGCCACCTTCTCCGCCCCGTCGGGCTGTCTTGCCCGCACTCGGTCCCCGTCCCCCAGGTTGTTGCCGTGAAGACCATGATCCTTCCCGCCAACATGACTGGGCAGCAGAAGCGCGAGAAGATGGCGGTGATGGAGGCGGCCATCAGCAGCAGCCTGGTGCACCCGAACATTGGTGAGGGGGGGGCAGGGGGGAGCGGGGAGGGGAGGGAGGGGGAGCAGCAGGGGCAGCAAAGGGGTGCAAGGGAAAGGGGGCCCACATAGGCCACGACCCACGAGGCTTGGGACTTGGCCCATAGAAGCATACCGGCATACTTGTCCTGAGATTGAATGCTGGGCCCTTCCACGCCCCCATGCCTCTTCCTCCCACCCCCCCACCCCTGTCCCCTCCTGCCAGTGACCACCTACACGTACTTCATCCGGCCCTACCACGAGCCCACACACGAGGGGGTGCAGCAAATGGCGGTCACCAGTCAGGGCAGCGGCGGCGGCGGCAGTCAGAGCCGCGCTACGGACCCGCATGGCTCGATGGACGATAGCACCGCCTCTGAGGGCACCATCCACAGCTATGAGGTGCGTGCAGGGTCAGCGCTGCGTCGGCTGCAAATTGGGGTTAGTGGTACGGTGCTGATACGGTGCTCTGTTGTGTTGGGCGCGTGTGTAACGTGGGTACAAAACTGCGAATGCGTGAGCTGGGACCCTAACCGTTGCGGCAAAAATGATGGGCTGCTACCCGCTGTCATCCTGGCTTGTACCCGCAGGTTCGGCTGGTGTTGGAGTTTTGCGACAAGGGGTCGTTGAAGGACGCGTTGGACCAGCATGCCTTCATGCAAGGTGCGTGTCGGGCGCGCATTGATACGTTCGTATCTTCTCTACTAGCCGCTGGGCAGCCATGCTGGCATGCCTTATTTGCCGCGCGCCACATTGGCTGGCATGCATGTTGCTCATGTTGCAACATGTCGGCATGTTGCTCGCACGGCAGCCCCTCCACTGGTAACACCGCTACATTCTGTTTGCCGTACCTCCCTGCAGGTGGCAGCCTCAACCTGGCAGCCATGCTTGAGACCGCCGCCGACATCGCCAAGGCCATGGTGCACATGCACGCTGCGAACGTGCTGCACTCGGACCTGAAGGCGCGGAACATCATGCTCAAGAGCAGCGGCACGGAGGGGCGCGGCGTGACGGCCAAGGTCGCCGACTTTGGCCTCTCCACGCGCATGGAGCACCAGGAGACGCACCTGAGCGCGTGCTTCCAGGGCACGCTCACGCACATGGCGCCGGAGGTGATGCTGGAGGGGCGCATCAGCAAGGCAGCGGATGTGTACTCGTTCGGCATCCTGCTGTGGGAGTTGTTTTGCGCGGCCGACCCCTTCGCCGGCGTCCCCCGCGCGCACATGGGCCACGCCATCACCAAGGAGGCTCGGAGGCCGCGCTTCCCGCCCTTCGCGCCGCGCAGCTACGTGGATCTGGCCAGCCGCTGCTGGGACCCGGACGCCTCGGCGCGCCCCTCCTTCGAGCAGGTGCTCACGGAGCTGGTGCGCATCCGGGAGGAGATGGGAGGAGACACGCCGCCGCTGGTCATCGCACCGCCGAAGCCGGTGTCGATCTCGCAGCAGGGCGGCCACGGCTTTGCGGCTGGCGGACAGCACGGCGGCTCGAGTGCAGGTGGGGGTGCTGCCGGACGCTTGGATGACGGAGGCGCGGGCGGGAACGTTGACAACAACAACCCGCTGGTGCTGTACAACGCGGGTATCGTTGTAGGCGGTGCTTCCACGGTCACCGGTGGCAGCATGCCGGGGGGTGCGGCGGGCGGTGGCTGCGCTAGCGCCCATGGAGGCGGGAGCACGGGAGTGGCGGGGGCCACGCATTCCTCCATGGCGCAGCGCGCGATGATTAAGAGTTCTATGGCTATGAGGCACTGGACAAACATGGGCATACGGGTAGGGGGAGGCGGAAGCTCAGGCATGGGGCAGACGTTGCCGGCGCTTAGCGAGGAATCGGAACAATCACCCAAGTGAGGAGGCGAAGTGCGTTGGTTTCAATGCTTGCGTTGTCGATGCTTCACGCTATCAAGGAGGAATGTGAGGAGGTCTTAGGTTATTAATATTTGTCCCTATTGAGCTCTGTGTGGTGGTGGGAATGCTGCTTGAATTGTTTGTGTATGTGTGGTGGTGATGGCGTGTGGGAATGCTGGTGGTGGTGGGAGGGCTGTTGCATGCATATAATCACCTGGGGGGTGCATTTCATGCATGGATTGAGACTTGGCGGCTGCTTCGGTGGGAAGAGGCCTGCATGTATGGCAAGAACCGCATGCTTGCAGCAGCATGCTGGGGCAGCGACGGTACTCGCTGGCCGTACGTGTGGCAACTTGTGTTCGAGGTACCGGTCGTAACACGCACCGCGTCGTTGTAAGGCCCCCTTGTACCAACAACATAAGTCCGTGTTGCGCCCCCCCCCATTCGGGGGTTATTTGGCCATGACTGGTGCTGGTTGCTGCGGACTGTTGTGGGGTGTTTGTCGGCTCATCAGTTGTGAGAGCAGTGATTGCCACGCTTTGCATGTTGGGGATGCTACGGCCGTTCCCGGGCTCAGGGTAGGGCTGTGCATCATCGTAAACGCTGGCTTTTACAACGGTCTTTTGACATGCGTGCACGTGCACGTGCATTCATCGTGTGCAGGGAGTTCCGTGTGTTCTATAGGTTTCTGTAGCATTCGTGGAGTGGCGCAGGTCAGGAGACCGTTGGCTGCTGTGCTTAAGGACAAGAAAACGCTCCTCGGGCGGCGTCACTTTAGGCGTGGCACATGGAGGAGTGGGTTTAAAGGTTGCTGGACGGTTTCTGTTTATCGGTGTTGGTCTGAGCCCGACAAGGCGTTTGCCCTCACTAGTGCTCCATTTAGAAGCTTGCAGTGGCGTTTGTTGACGTGGAATTCCCGTCCTGTACCTGCGAGCGCCGTGGCTTGGCTTAAGGAAGGGTGGGTCCTGGATGTACGCGGAAGGATTGGGGGAAGTCGTTCCTTGTACGCTGCAAATGGCACCTGCACATTTAAGTACGGCTAAGTGTAGCCAGTTGGCGAGGGCGTGGCATTTGGAAAGAGCTGCAGAAACGGTTGAGAGGCCGCTTCAGAGCCGGTTGGAGTGACGCGCTGGCTTCCCCAACGCAGTCCCTCTTTTCCTGGGGATGTCGCTTGGGCCCAAGGGCGTTGTGATGGTATGACGTGTATTGTGTTATAAACTTATAATATATCAACTATAGCAACTGTTGACATGCTGAAGTAAGTACGTGTGCTAACGATGCTAGTGTGGCAAAGAGTCCTCCCTGCTTGCATGTCATGCCAAGGGGTTCACTCGTGCTGATGCCGATGGGGCTACTTCCACGATAATGCAGCCGAGTTGGGCCTGATCTGTTCTGATGTGAACATTGTATGGTATGCACCGCTTGTTACGAACACCTCTCCTATTGCAGGCTTCGGTAGTATGCTGGTGAAGTTGCTCATCGGCATGCTTAAGTAGTGTTCATGTTAAATGCACACGTATTTTTACCGTGTGCTTTCAAACGTCACCACGAAACGGAATGGCGTGTTGGGGTACACTAGGCTTCCCTGCGCCCGGGCGCTCCTTGGTCGCGGCGGTTATAGCTGCGGCGTGGTTATTCATGAGGATTGGCGCTGTTTTAACCTACCCTGTCGCACCTACCAGAGCTGTGCATGGCGCCCCTTGCTCCCTTCCTAGCTTCCTGTAACTGTCTTCTCAGGAAGGCGCACAGGAAGGGCGTCGAATGTGACGCCTGCACGTGCCTGCCTGCCTGCCTTCTGGGTTCAAAGCGCACAACCCCTTGCTGCAGTGACGCCCGCTGTGACGGTAGTAGCGATGGAACCACCGAACGCGGCACCTTAGCGGCTGGTCCAAGCGTCCGCCAGCATTCCTTCGTGCTTCTCAGGCATGAAAGTGGGTATGCGTCGACGGGGGCGGTCCGTCGGCTGCCATGCTACCGGTAGTTGTAACATGGTTTTGGAGCGCGGCACCCACGGATGGACTATGAAAGAAAAGAGTACGCTGCAGGGAGGTTCGAGGCAGGGCGGGGGGCCTGGCCAGCCAGCAGCACACCTGCACCCAGTCCTACACTGCTTCCTATGCTAGGACGGCGATAAAAGCATATAGCAGTTGGACCCGTGGGTCCACTCGGACAAGCTGGCGGGCAGCGAATGGGACGTTGTTTAGCACTTAGGCAGTATTATGCGGTGCCATGTGGTCACGACAGGCGTAGTTAGGTTTCTACGGCACACCTGCAGTAGCAGAACTCAGGTACAATCGCAGGCTTTGTTGATCCTTTCCGTGCATATACGAAGGCAGTGTACGGATTTGATGTTTAGTACAGAGGCATGAAGAGCGCGTCAACTTGCAGCCCATATAAAACTAGGCGCATATAGAAGCGGGTGATTCGGGGCCCTCGGTCTTTGAACTCTTCTTCCGCCATTTTTGTTGGTTCTGGTTCCTTCAGCCTGCTGGTAAATAGGTTTACTAGCACAAGCACGGGACTGAGGCACGGGACAAACACTGTGCCGTCCGGTACGGCCTGGGCGTTGAACGATTTCCCTTTTCCTGTTCTCCTGCACTACTGTACAGACATGATACCCACTACCCAACTGCATCTTCAGTAATAACGCATACTTTGGGACTGTTCGGTGAAAACTTACACATTGGAATAGATTCGGTATTAGCTGAATAGCAGGCTATCAAAAAGCAACTGATAGTGCAATGCTTAGACACGGTTGCTTTACTGTGCTTTATAATGCATAACCTTTAAAATGGATGCTGAACAGTGTCCCCGGACTGGGGAGCAACACGTGATTGGGTCCTCTGAGGACCTCGCAAGGGGTCTTTTCTCAAACGTGAATCATGCTCTGTAAGTTCGCTTGGCCCTTCCTTCCTTGTTGCCGCCAAGCTCTATCCGATGCTGACGAGGTACGGGAGAGCCTGCGCTAGTCCCAAATGGTTCCATACACGTTCTTGATGCAGAGCTGGCGTTGTTCGGGACTTGCAGTTGCGCAGCAAACGAGCGGTACAGGCCAAAACTCCTCAGCCCTTCCACGCGGATGGCAATGCAGTGTGCGAACCCGGAGCAGGGAGCGTTTGCGCGCTGGTCGCTGATAATGACGTGGAGAAGGGCGATCTGGCAGGGCTCTGGGTTGTGGGCGGGGGCACCACCGTTGGGGGCACCCTCTACCAGGAAGCAGCGGCCAAACCGAAGCCAGGAGTCACAGTTGTGGGTCCTAATACCGCAACGGAGCAATTAGCCGAAACGGCTCCCGCGGCTGGGAACTCTGACAAAGACGGAGAAGGGGACGGCGAGGAGCAGCGGCCTAGGGAGCAATCCTGCCCGGGAAGACTGCACTCTTGCTGCTCCAGCACCCTGGACGCATGCAAAGTGAGCCGGTGGGGGGGGGGGAATTAGAAAGTGAAACAACGAATCCGGTGGGGGGGGGTGCGTAGAGGGCACGACTGGATGTCCGGCCGGGTGGGGCTAGGCTTGACCGGGACGGAGCCGACTCGTATAACTGGCACTTGCACCCGTTTATCCAGTCGGGTTGAGGAGGCATTCTGGGTGCTTTTGTGCCTTTAGCGTGTGGTTCGTAAGCTAGGAACCAACCTCAGTATAACCTCCGAGGCATCAACTCCGTCTTACACTAAAGACCTACTGGAAGGGGTCCAAGAGGCCGAAGGGAAGCCCCCCTTTTTCAACGACGGCACTGCTGCAACCAAGCCCCCACTTCCCATCCCGGCACGCACCCTTTGCAGGATGCGCTATGTGTCGTGCGTGTGTACCGCACAACCGTGATCGTACCCGCCGCTGTCTTCATGCTTCTGGCGGCGCTGGGTGTGTGGGGCGTCATAGCCGGTGCACAATCGACCGTGCAACAACGCAAGGACGATGTGCGGAGCCGGGCAGTGGACGCAGCAACGGGCTTCCAGGTAAGGGGGAGGGGGGGTCAGAGATGTACCAAAACCACAGGTTAGGGCAAAGCAATGGGGATGGAGGGGTGTGACAGTCGCGGGAAGAACGTGATGGGGCTTCGTGAACGTTGTTGCCTTGCTGCGGTTTACCCTGGCAGTTAGGGAGCGGTTGCTTGTCCCCTGGGGTTGTATTTTCCACACCAGCAGCGGGGTGGACGTGATGTCCATGCAGGCTTAGTCGTGGTGGCGGAGGGGGCTGGCTAGCGATGGGGCCAAAGCGATTGGCGGGACAATACCCATGGTGCCTCTGCCGTATTGTCCCGACAATCGCTTTGGCGGGACAACAGGGCAGAGGCGCCCTGTTCAGGGTATCTGTTGAGTAACGAAGGCATGTGTATTACCAGTACGGCACGGCTGGTGGGCTGCCCTCATGGCGTCATGGGCCCTCCCCCTGCAGCTTGGGAATGCCGCGCCAGATCGCGAGAGAGCCCCAAGTTGCGCACATTCAAAAGAAAGCGTACGGTCATGGCTTGGGGACTTAATCCTGTCAAGCCCAGGGCATGTGTGACCATAGCAGCGTTTGCCTAGCACAACAGACCTCCGCCCATGATTTGCCCGCCCGCAGATACAACTTCAGCAATCATTTACGCCGGGGTTGACGTTCACGCTGCTTGTGAAACAGCAGCCGGACGTCGGATTTTGGTTTACAAACTTCGGTTCAACAGCCCAGGAGCTTATGTCAAGGGTGGGTTCGTCTGTGTTGAAATGCGCATGCATTTCGGAAACGGGAGCAGTGACCTTGTGACTGTACGGCTAGGAGTAGACGTCCTACCAACGTTCGCATGCCGGACATTCCTCGCAACAACGCTTTTGTGCAAAGCCCTGGCTCCAGTAAACTACGGTCAGGGTCAGTGTTTCCGCGGCTCAGTTCAGTTCATCTAAACCCTGGCTTGCAGGTTCCAAACGGCTCGCTATATAACTTCAATCTTCAGCCATTTGCACAGAACATGATGATCTACCCGATGCGTCCAGCGGACTATGCACAAATTAATCCTCCACGGGACTTACTGTCCGGTAAGCGCTGCCGCATGCCATGTTGGCTGGCCAGGGGCCAAGGCTGGGTTAACTCTTCCGGGCTTGCTGTCAAAGGGACCTTCCGTGCAGCGGCCGGGCTGAGCTGGCCCCTAAGAATGCAGCTGGGAAAGTGTCCATGCGTGGTAGCTTTCCAACGAGGGAGCTTCATGTTTGCTGTCCATCTGGGGTAGTTGCGAGGTTTTGCCTACCGGTACGGCACACAAGGAACCAGCCGAGCTGCTGCGCTCTGCAAGTGTGCTGTTGAGCAGTGTCCCCCCTGTAGCTGTTGCGGAGGGGAGGTGCACCCGGGGAGTTCCCCCCAGCGGTGTCTGCCGCAACAACTGTGTACCCGTAACGGTGTGCTTGGCGGTTGCACGTGGCATGCTGCAGACCCGACCCGCCGAGCAGACATCCTGAAAACCATTCAAACCAAGGAGCCGCTGGTGGTGGGCCCAATCACCCTCTCCACCGGCTCCATAGGCGCATTCGTGCGGTACCCCATCTACGTTGGTAAGCGTCACGAAGCCGGGAAGCAGCGTGGTTGCAGCCGGGATGGGCGCCCACTGCTTGTTCGGCCCACTGCTTTTGCCTCCAGCCAACATGACTTGCTGCTGAACTGCTGCTGACGCACGAAGTGATTGAAACGGGGTGCCGTTTTCCGATTGGCCTGCTCGATCCCAGGGGACGTGGGCGCCAACGAGACGTTTGGCTTCCGCTACCGCGATAACGCCACCGCCATCCCCTACTCGGACCTGCCTGCCAGCGTGCGCAGCTGCTCCGTATGCTACAACGCAGCCACACGCGAGAAATGGTAGGCGGAGCGCGCCTCTTCTGTCTCCTCTCTTGATTGGGATAGGGAAAGGGCAGGTGCCTGGGGAGTTCCCTCCCAGAAGGCCTGGCCGTGAGAAGTACGGGCTCTGGTACGCAGCTAGGTGGCCGGTTACATTTCTCCTTGTTACCCTTGACTGCCTTGCTTGTGCGTGTTCCCCCTTTATAAACTAGAGCAACCATTTGATTTCCTGAGCTTGCTCTCCTGCCTGCCTCCCGTTCATGTTCGCAGGTGGGGCCTCATGACGGTGCTCATAGACTACAACAGTGTGGCGCTGGGCACGGACGCATACCTGTCGGGCCTGAGGACGCTGGTGGGTGGGGGCAGGCAGCTTGCAGGCCACTCACACGCTTGTTAACTACGGTACCCTCGTCGTGCCGGCTCTCCCTTCCGAACATGATACAAAGCTGCGTTGGCTTGCTGGGTCAGCGGATGAGGCCCGAGCGTGCCCGGCGGGCGCATAGGGTCCAAAGCGGATGGGGGATGTGTAGCAGCGTAGCCATCGTCACGTTTGTAACCGCACCCCTCCGTCTTTGTATCCCACCTCCAGGCGCGCCGTAGGTGCCTTTAGGTACCGACCTTGCCTAACCGTCATCCTGGCTTTCCCCCTCTGCGCAGGGCTTCCATTACGCCCTTGTCCGGCCGGTCAATGACACCTACGAGCAAGTCATTGCGCAGGTCGGAGACAGCTCGCTAAAGCATGAAGATGTGGTGATGGTTGAGGTGAAGGTGCTCAACGGCGTTTGGTACCTACGGGTAAGAGCTGCGTGAGGGTCTGTGACCCATGGGTCGTGACCCAACTGGGTGCTTGCGACATCATGGCTAAAACCCTTAGCACAGTGCCTGCCTCTTTTTGGCAGCCTGGGCCTCTTCCCAGCCTGACAACAAGAACACGGCACTAAACCAGATGCGAAACTCTTTTGTGCGGGTTGGAATCTTGGGATTGCATATTTGCATTGCACTTCTTATGAGCCTGGTGTGGAGGCGGACCCTGAACATCCGTTGCTGTGTGTAGGTGGCCCCGGCGAATGGCTTCAAGGTCGCCTGGCAGGCACCTCTGATCGCGGCCGTGGTAGCCATCGCGTTCATCATGTCGCTGCTGCTGTTCGTGGCGATGGCGTTGTTCAAACGCCAGCGTCTGCTGCTGCAAGAGACGGTGGTGAGTGGCACGTACGGTCGAGTGTTAAGAAAGCTGGCCGTGAGTCGGTCGTGTGGTCGAATGTTGACCGAATGTATGCTTTCGGCACTTGGCCCGACACCTTACCGTACAACGACAAAGCGACAGCTAGGGTCGCGCGATGAAACATACGTGATTCACATGGCTGGGATCGCCGTTACCCATTCCGCCATGCAAAACTGATCTTTTGTTGTTATCTGGCTCCACAAGCACTGGGCTCCGGGAGCGCACGTAGGCCGGCATGCTTTCCGCCGGCCGGCCGGCTGGTATATGCCGTTCGCTTCGCCCCTCCTGGGTTGGGGCCTTGTCACATTGCTGGTTTCCGCTGTACGCCCCTCCCCACGGCACAGGCGGCAAACCGGGACCTAGCAGAGACCACGAGACGTCTGGAGGAGGAAAAGGTGGGCTGGATGGAGAAGGAAGGCATACGCTGCTTGGCGGGGACCGTCGTTGCCACTGTGCCTGCTGCGGACTGCGCACTCAGCCGGGCCGCCGCTTGTTGGGTCGGGCTTTTGCTGGGGGTGGTCTTCCTGGGGGTCCGCGGCATCCGCCAGCCGTCCATCCCCGTGTGTGTCGCTGTGTCGCTGTGTTACTACCCGTGTCGCAGGAGCGCATGGACGTGCTGCTGGTGCGGCAGTACGACCTGCTGCGGTGCCTGGACGCCAACCGGGGCGAGCGGCCGTCTGAGATGACGGACACCGTCAGCGTGTCCAAGAAGGCCATGATGGGTGGGTGGCGAGGGGGGGGGCGTAGGGGGGGCACATGAGCAGCAGGGACTTGAGGGCAAAGGGAAAAACTCCCTCCCCTGCCCCGCCCCGCACCTGCACCCTTTTCACAACACCTGCCACGCCCTGCCGCCCTGCCGTCTTCCTTTACCTCCCCCCCCCTCCCCCCCCCTCCCCCAGCCCGCATCGAGGACGCCCGCCGCTCGCTCAACGTGGTGAAGACGTCCGTGGAGGACCCCATCCAGGTGTTCGAGGTGCTGGGGGCGGGAGCGGTGAGTGCAGGGGGGGAGAGGGGGGGGTTGGATGACACGGAATGAGGGACGGAGTAAATAGGTGGCTCGTTGGACGAGGAAAAGGGAGCCTAGGGCGAGTGGAACAGGGGGGCGGTGGTGTGGGGGGAAAAAAAGAAATTCTAAAGTGTGGTATGATAATGATACAAGTGGTGTGGGGGGTGGAGGAGGAGGTCTGCTGTGTTGAGGCGCAGCCGGGCAGGTTGATGGCTGAGGGTTCGGGCACAACTGCCGCCGACGGGCAGGGGTCGACGCCGCACCTGCCATGCGTACCTACGCGTCAGCGCCTGCTGGTCCATGGATTGCCTCACTACCTACACCCGCCTGTGCTCCCTGTGTAACCCCATGCGCAGTTTGGGAAAGTGCAGAAGGGTCTCTGGCGGGGAACGGTGAGCTGCGCGTTGGGTGGGCTGCGTGGCTCATAGGGGATGCGGGTTGGGGCATGTGCTAGTAAAACTGGCCGCGAGTCAGAACGTGGGGCGTGTGTGTGTGCTCCGTTCGGCACTGCGGTGTGCGGTGTGCCGTGTCCTAACGCCCGCCACTTGCCTTCCATCACAGTTTTGTATTCTGGGGTTCCCTAAGCTTGACGTGTGTAAGATTGCCATTATGGCCCATCTGTGTTTGTTGAGCATTCACGCCTCATGCCTCCTAGCCCACCTGTCTGCCCTCACCTCGCCTCCTCCTCCTCCTCCTCCCCCCCCGTCCCCCAGGTTGTTGCCGTGAAGACCATGATCCTTCCCGCCAACATGACTGGGCAGCAGAAGCGCGAGAAGATGGCGGTGATGGAGGCGGCCATCAGCAGCAGCCTGGTGCACCCCAACATTGGTGAGGGGGGGGCAGGGGGGAGCGGGCAGGGGCAGGGGAGGAAGGGGGAGCAGCAGGGGCAGCAAAGGGGTGCAAGGGAAAGGGGGCCCACATAGGCCACGACCCACGAGGCTTGGGACTTGGCCCATAGAAGCATACCGGCATACTTGTCCTGAGATTGAATGCTGGGCCCTTCCACGCCCCCATGCCTCTTCCTCCCACCCCCCCACCCCTGTCCCCTCCTGCCAGTGACCACCTACACGTACTTCATCCGGCCCTACCACGAGCCCACACACGAGGGGGTGCAGCAAATGGCGGTCAGCAGTCGCACGTGAGTGGGGTGGGGGGTGTCCCTCTCCCTGGCTCTGTGCGCCCGGGGTTCCGTATCAGGCCATGCAGTCCAGCTCTACCACCTTTCCGATGCGCCCTGCCCTGCCCTGCCGGATGCGGGGCCGCTCACCACCGCGCGTCACAACTCCCTGGCCTCTGACTGCCCGGCCCCATGCCGTCGTACTTCTTCCCCCTTTTCCCCCCTTCCCTCCCCTCCTCCCCTCTACAGTGCGTGCGGCGGCCAGGACGGCAGCTCTCCCGGTGGCGAGCTGCAGGCGTCGTCCGCTGGGAGCTCAAACACGGAGAGCATCGTGCATAGCTTCGAGGTGTGAGGGGGGTGGGTGGGGGCGGGGAGATGCAGCCTTCTTGATGTGGGATGGTGGTGCGGCTGGGCACGGAACGGTTGCATCACAAGGGCTGCCACAAGGAGTGCGGTATGGTGGTATTGCTGCTGTCGTGGCAAGTGCTGCCGCAACCCCTGCGGGCCCCCTGCGTACCCGCAGGTTCGGCTGGTGTTGGAGTTTTGCGACAAGGGGTCGTTGAAGGACGCGTTGGACCAGGACGCGTTCATGCAAGGTACTGGGAGGGAGAGGGGATGCCGGCGGGACTGGGATGCTGCTGCTGCTGCTGCTGCTGGTGTGGGTGTGGGTGTGGGTGTGGGTGTGGGTGTGGGTGTGGGTGTGGGTGTGGCGGTGCATGGGGATGAGGAAACTGGGTGGCCCACATGGGTGGGCCGTACGAGGGTTGGTCGTGTGGATGGGTTGTGTGGGTGGGTTCGGCGTTTAGAACCGGGTGCGGGATGAGGGATGGGTGAGTTTGCAGTGGTGGCGCCTGCCATGCGAATGGCACGCCGGAAGGGAAGCACATGGTGGGTTCTGTTGACCTCATGGCCGTTCCTAACGGCGCAGGGGGGACGTTGAACTACGCGGCAATGCTTGAGACCGCCGCCGACATCGCCAAGGCCATGGTGCACATGCACGCTGCGAACGTGCTGCACTCGGACCTGAAGGCGCGGAACATCATGCTCAAGAGCAGCGGCACGGAGGGGCGCGGCGTGACGGCCAAGGTCGCCGACTTTGGCCTCTCCACGCGCATGGAGCACCAGGAGACGCACCTGAGCGCGTGCTTCCAGGGCACGCTCACGCACATGGCGCCGGAGGTGATGCTGGAGGGGCGCATCAGCAAGGCAGCGGATGTGTACTCGTTCGGCATCCTGCTGTGGGAGTTGTTTTGCGCGGCCGACCCCTTCGCCGGCGTCCCCCGCGCGCACATGGGCCACGCCATCACCAAGGAGGCTCGGCGGCCGCGCTTCCCGCCCTTCGCGCCGCGCAGCTACGTGGATCTGGCCAGCCGCTGCTGGGACCCGGACGCCTCGGCGCGCCCCTCCTTCGAGCAGGTGCTCACGGAGCTGGTGCGCATCCGGGAGGAGATGGGAGGAGACACGCCGCCGCTGGTCATCGCACCGCCGAAGCCCTCGCCGCCGCAAACCGCGGACGCGTTGTCCTGGATTGCCAAGGCCTCCGCTGCGAGCCACCACGGCAACGGCGGGGTCGTGGTGGGCAGCGGTAGTGTGGGCGCCAGCAGTGCGCCCATGACAGGGGGATCATGCACGGGGTCTGCGATCGTGATTGGCGGGTGTGACGGCTCCAGCGGTAGCAGCAGCGGCATGCCTGGTCTGGGCACCAGTCCGCAGGCACATGGCTCGTCCTCGCTGGGTCGGAGGCGGCGGAATAAGGCGCTGTTGGCGCAGCGATACCTGCGGAAGAACGGAATCCATGTTGGCGGCAGCGGCAGCTCACGACTGGCGCAAACCCTGCCGGCGCTTTGTGAGGAGGCGGAGCACAGGTGGGTGGAGATGAAGGGGCATTGGGTCAGGACCAGGGGGGCACATGGGCTGCAATGGAAGGTGTGCCCTAGGACATGCACGGGTTGATGTTGCGGTTCCCTGCAGCAAGCGGTCTCGCAGCTCCCTCCTTACCAATGAGTGCACAATGAGTGAGTGAGCACCGCTGTGTCGCGGCTTTTTCCAAGGTAGTAAGCCTCGCCGTTTCGCGGTGGTACCCCTGCTGGCTATGGTGCTATGCTTTGCAGGGATGGGTGAGGGTGAGCGCGCGCAGGCCAGCTGCGTCCAGGAAGGCCATTGCGTTGGCGAGACGAGGGTGGCGGAAGGTGGGCCGTCTCATCTTCTTCTGCAAAGCATTGGTGGGGCGGAGTCCATGCTCGGAACCTGCAAGGGACGGCCTTGTAGACTGCCCGTACCTACCAATCACATACTACGTTGCTTATATGTGACCTTGCCCGCATGTGCACACATCTAGCTGCTGTATTGCTACCGTGGCATCTCGCTGCTTGCGTGTTGTCCGTCTGCTTGCATGGTGCGTGTACTGGCTGACAATGTATGTACCGATGAAACTGCATACGCTGCGCGTTCGGTGGTGGGTTAGCGGGGTCGCTGTTGCTGTTGGTTGGTTGGTTGGCGGCTTCCGAGCGGTCCAGCATCGTTACTTGGTAGGGGTGCCGTACCGGTGAGAAAGGGGGCGCGCACTGTTTAGGAAACTTACAATTGTTGGCAAACGGAAACATGCTTTAGACGGCGCTCAAGGGTTCATTTCGTGGCATCATGAGAGTCCAGACCCCTGACGGTGTGCTGCTAACAACAAAGCAGGATATGCGGGCGCGCAACGCCAACCGGTGCACGCCCAGCAGCCTTAACCTGAGAGCCTGACTCAGCGGCGGCATAGCCCAATGAGAGAGCGTGTCATTCGAGATAACTAGGAGTGGCCTCGGCTCTAGCAAAAGCCGCAGCAGACCCTCCGGAGCAGGAGGAACAATGAACAAAGGGCAGCAACGGTGGGGCTGACGTACCGCTGGGCAGTGGAGGTCAGTCGAGACCCCCACACGTGGTTGACCCATGCCTGCCTTACTTGCCCGTCAATGAGTTTGTTCCGTTGGATACACTGGTCCTTTGGTCCCACTGATTGTGTTGATATTTTGTGTCCCTTGATATCTCCCGGGGTCAGTGTTTCCGCGGCTCAGTTATCTAGTCCGGGGGACTCTGGGGCCCGGAAGCCGTACTGTTGCCGCGCATTTGACGTTTTGAGCCGTCTGGTACCGCCCTCGCTGGGATTACTGTTCACCGCCGCGTAGTGGGTGGCTTCGCTTGTCGTGAGAGCCACCTAGCATACCCGCAGCGGTACTGTTGTACTGGGGATTGCCGTCCGAAATTGCTGCTTCACTGCTGGGCTGTGGGAGTATGAATACCGTATTCTCCTTTTTAGCTGCATGGGTTCTCTCCTGTTCATGCTGCAGAGCTGGTTGCATGGGGCATTGGCGGTTGATTGCGGCAGAACGATTTGGGTGGTGGCGGTGCTGATAGTGGTGGCGGGGGTGGGCGGGTATTTGTGTTGGTGGTGGTGGTGGCTGTTCATTACAACAAATGATGCTAGCTGGGGGAGACGTGCAACTTGTCGAGGACTGTCGCTGCGTGGCTGACCAAACCTTGATGGAGGGATGACTGCGGCCCCTTACACCCAGCTACTCGTGGTCTAATTCCCCAAAGAGCGCGCATTTTGGAGAGGCCGTCTCTTGGATGCGACATGATCGGCTTTGCGCTCGATTGCTGTATCTAGTGGGGTGTGTGGTTGGTTCCAAATCCAAGGATTTAATGGATCGCAGTATGAACGTCCTGATTCCAGGAACGTTTGCAGCATGTGCAGTGCGCGAGATGAAGCTTTTGAGCGTTTTACGGGTGAGTGATTGTGAGCTACAGGGCCACGTTGTATTAACAAATCAACTGGCCGCTGTGTGCATATGCCGGAGGTTTTTGGGAATTAGCTTCTCTCGTCTTTGCCTCTTTGGTATTGGTCTTCTTACGCTAGCAACATAGGTTGCCGCAGAGACCTTGTCGCACTGCTGCTGTTTTGTTAATACTTGGCGACGTGCTAGTAAGGGAACGCGCGACCGTGGCGCTCGTATAAATAAGCTTTCGTGCGTCTCAGCGTCGGGAAATTGTAGTTTACAAGGCTGGAAAGCGCGTTTCTCAGTTATTGATGGCTTGGTTTGGTTTGGTGTGTTCTTTCCCGACGGCTGTTGTTTGCATGTTGTACTGCGCGCGGATGTTGCATCGTTGCACTTAGTGCTTTCAAGTGACACGCGCCAACTGGCTCGTGCTGTCTGCTGATGGGGGGATTTACAGCTAGGGTCTTTTGCTTGTATGGCTAGGTAGCCACAAATTTGGGAGCACGTTTGGCACTTGTTTGTACCTGCGCTGGTATTGCGCTTTAGGCAACTGTCATTGTGTCCTTACCGTGCACGAAGGTACGCAACACCCTCCGAGCGAGGCGCGCACCTTGGTGAGCTATAGCATTTGCGGTGTAGCCCTCTCTCGGTTCCTACTTTCGCAGCCTTCCTACGTCACCACCAGCAACACCCTCCCAGCAGCCACCATTTCCTGCACAGCTCCCCAACCTTGGGTCACCACCGCAGCTTCCCGACGCCGACGTAAGCTTGCCGCTCTCAACGCTCCCACTTCAGGCACCCTATACCCGCCGGCACCCCTCACTACTGCCCATCCTGCCTCGCACTTTGCACACACCCATGCACTGTCCCTACCGCCCTTACAACAGAGTAACACCACCACAGAGCGTACCTCCCAGCATATTCCCGAAATGCCGCACCCCCGACCCCCACTTCATCCCTCCCCACCAACCAACAGCTCCACCATCAACAACAACACGAGCACCTTCCCTACCTACCACCCCGCCCCCTCCTCACGACCCGCGGGTCAGCAGCACCAGCGTCTCCAGGCTGTCAGTCCCCGGGAAGAACAGGTAGGCGGTGGCGCTGCTCAGCCGCCAGCCGCCCGCCAGCAGCGCCGCCAGGTCCCCCTGGAGCGCCCGGAAGCCGCATGACAGGTACACCAGTCGGGAGGGCTGCTGCTGCGGAGGGGGCTGCTGGGGTAGCTGCTGGGACTGGGCCTGCTGCTGGCCGGAGGTTGCAGTTAGTGCCGCCAGCAGACTGGCCCCCAGCCCCTTGCGCGGGGGGTCCACAACCAGCACATCGCAGCCGGACAGGAAGCGCTCGGGATCGCTGCCCGCCTCCGCGGTGACGTACTCCACGTGCATCCGCATGGGCGCTGCTCCCTCTCCTTCCGTACCCTCTTCCGCGCCGCTCCCTCTCTCCTGTCCCTGCAGTCCTTCCTGCGACTGTTCACCCCCCTGAACACCACCGAGTGTCAGCACCTCCCCTGACCGGGGGCCGTTGTTGTTATGCCCCCTGATGTCCCCCTCGGCGCCCCCTGCGACTGCGCCCCCCCGGCCGCTCAGAGGCGCCCGCTGCTCCCGCGGTCCCGGCAGCCGCTGCTGCAGGGCTGCTAGCGAGGCGCGGAAGGGCGCCGCGGCAGCCGGGTTCACCTCCACGCAGCGCAGCGCCGCCAGCCGCCGCCGCGCCGCCAGCGACAGCCCGATGACGCCGATGCCTGCATGCAGCTCCGTCACGCGGCTGCCCTCGGGGACCTGGCGGGAGGGGGAGCGGGAGGGGGTTGCGGAAGTGCACAGTTGTCCAATGGTCCAGAACACATACAATGGAACATGTGGGCATCGGAACCGTAGGTTGAGAGTGGTGGGGAAGCCGGGAAGCAAGCCAGCCGTCTCGGTCCTAGGCCTTCCCAAGCAGCGACCACATCCTCCCTGTTAGGGCTGTTGGGTCCCTCGGACCCTGAGCGACACCCCCACCCCATGCGCCCGACCCCTCTACTTCACCCACCCACTTCACCCACCCACCCACCATGTCCGCTATCTCCCGAAGCACCAGCTGCATGGCCCCGTAGTTGGCCTGCACGAAGGAACCCGGGCCCACGCACGCAGCCACACCGCCGAACTCCTGCCACGCAGCAGCCGGCCCCGCCACATGCCGCCAGTGCGGCCCCAGCACCGCGTTGCTGGTCGGGTCGGGCTGGAAGTTGAGCCAGATGGAGTGGATGAGGGGAGCCGGGCGGAGAGGGGAGGGACGGGACGTGGAGGCGGTGGTGGCGGTGAAGGGCGGTGGTTGCAGCCGTTTGTCGGAGTGGTGCGATTGAGCCTCAGCATGAGGAGTGGCGAGACGGCAGGAGGGGGGCTCCTCGTCGGTGTCTGCGTCTCGCGCCTTCATGGCGCCCCCCGGGCCGCCCAGGTCCCAAAGCAGCTCGCACAGCCGCATCACCGGCGACATGTCAGCAGCCGCACCCGCACCCGCACCAGCAGCAGCACCCGCACCAGCAGCAGCTGCAGCAGCACCGGAAGGAGGTGAGTGCGGTGGCGGTGGCCCGGCCGCTAGCACCAGCACCACCTGCACCCCCGCGCCCGGGTCCTCCTCCGCTCGGGCGCCCGGGCGGGAGGGTACCGCGGTGAGCTGCAGGTAGCGCAGCGCTGCGGGGGGCGGGGGTGGGGGCGGCTGGTGGCGGGGTGGGGGTGGGGCCAGTGCTGCTGCCTCGTTGTACGGCGGGATGCGGAGCTGGGTGACGAGCTGTGGGAGGGGGGGAGGGAAGGGGGAGTGGCGGCACATGGGACAGGAGGGCAGCTGACAGAGGAGGGCAGCTGAGAGAGGAGGGCAGCTGAGAGAGGAGGGCAGCTGAGAGAGGAGGGCAGCTGAGGGAGAGTGCTTGTTCGGACAGCTGTGAGGGCAGGGGTTGGTACAAGAAGGAAACAAGCGGAACTATGAAGCCGTGTGTAGTGCTTTGGGACACTGAGTGGCTGCCGGCCACCACCAGTCCAAGCAGGCCCCCCCCCCACACAGCAGCCATGCAGCCCCCCGTGCGGCCACTCGCACCCATCCACATGCACCCCGCATACGCCTGCACCCACCCTCCCCCTCCTCACCTCCTTGATGAGTTCGGCCGCCTGGTTTATCCGCGGGTGGTGCGCCAAACAGCCTTCACTGCCGCTGCTGCCGCCGCCGCTGCTACTGCCACCGCTGCCACTAGCACTCCTCCTGCCGCCGCTGCCCCGGCTATCGTTCTTGTTGACAGCACCACCCCCGGCAGCAGCACCCCCCCCTGCCGCTGACCCACCCGCCTGCAGGCCGGTACCGCCGCCCCGCCCCAGGATGTCCACCACCTCGTGACTGCCCTGCCGGAACAGCCCCACCTGCGGCCGACCCACGGGTCCGCGGACCGCCAGCTTGGCCCTGCAGCGCCAGCTGTGCGCGGACTGCATATGGGGTGGGGTGAGGTGGGACATGAGGGGTCCATCCGGCTTGTTAATGCCAATACACGGCAGAGCGTCAGGTGCCCCATGTGCCCAAGTGCATGACACGGTACCTTGCGTCCAACAGTCTTCATTCCTCATGCCCATCACTCATTACACTGCTCGCCTACCTCAGTCCCTGGGCCTCTTCCCAAGCCCCAAACCCCACCCGGCTCCCCCCTCGGCCCCCCTCCCCGTCCCTTCCCCCCAGTCACCTTCATCACCGCGGGCAGGTGCGGCAGCCCCAGCCCCCGGAAGTACTCCGCCGCCTCCTGGTACAGCGGGGGCGCCGCCAGCTGCTGCTGCAGGCTGCAACCGGAGCAGCCGCCGAAGTGCGGGCAACCCAGCTGCTGCTGCTCCTGCTGCTGGTGCCTCCGCTGGTGCTGTGAGGGTGGAGCCGGCTGCGGGGCTGCAGGAGCAGCAGTTGCAGGTGCGGAGGAGGAGGAGCGGGTCGCTGTTAATCCTGGGACTGCTTTCCGCCCGGCACCAGCCGCTTTTCCTGCTGCCCTGGCTGCTCCTCTTCTAGACGGCGACATGACGTTTTCCGTTGATGATGTTGAACTTGATAATGGTGATGGCGGCGGCGGCTGTGGTGCGGGTGGGGGTTGAGGCGGTCTGGCGGATCGCGTGTGCTGTCGACTGGAGGTGCCCGCGGAGGAAGGCGCAGGGGTGCGGGGCGCCGGAGATTGCCGCCTCCATCGCTCTGCGGGCCGCTGCTGTCCCTGAGCTTCTTCCTCTGCCGCTGTGGAGGCTACGGTGGCGTGCTTGGAGCCAACGCAACCGGGCTGTTTCGACGGGGTGGGTTCCCTTGCTCGGCGGTCCCGTCGCCGTGGCTCGTCATCCGTAGCTTGGCGTACGGGCGAGGAAGGTGTTCTTGCCGCCTCGTGCGCTGTTTGGCGACTGACGAAGGCAGCTAGTCTGTTGCAGGACTGGGAGAGTAATCTTTGTGATGCGGGCGAACCCAGTGAAGGCGCAAGGCGATGTGTGGAGGCATGTGGGACATGTGTGACAGGCGGTGGGCCGATGAGAAACGTCGGACTGGGGTGAAGCGGTCGGTTAGGTGCCGTTGCTGTTTTCATCTCCTGCTGCAAGGTCCCTGCGGGATTGACGTGTCTGGCCGCTTTCACGGTTGGATGGCCGAGCTCCCCAGGTGCCCCACTGCAGTCATTGACCGGATGTCAGGACTGGACGTCGCCAATTGTGCGAACGAGCGACAATTGCGTATTGTATTTGTATCAAACCAAATTATAGGCGAATTGGGTTAAGGATATCGAGCTTGTGCTCCTTCGGCAGCGGTCGGCTTGCACACTGCGAAACGATCGGAAACTTCTGTAACTCCAGCAAAGCTGTTCCTCAGCTAGTGAACTATATTAAGCAACGAATTTCGGCAGCTTTGCAAATTGCTTGAACTTGACGACGTCGCCGCGTCAAAAGTCGCCGGCGTGGATTTTGCTGATTCTATTGATACCGGTAGTATGCAGCTGCGCTTCCTTTGCAATTAGTGCAAACGCTTTTCTTAGTCGAAGGGCGAAGAAGGGGCGAGCGACCCACGGGCAGTACGGCGCTTCAATCCACGGCAGCTGCCGCCTCACACCCTTATGGCAGGGCGTTACGGCCCCTGGCTCGATTCGATACTCTTTCGTGTTTACAATTGTCCTTACGCTTTGTTATGGAGGGGTTGGATGAAAGGCCTTGTCGTGCAACAGTCGCCGGCGTGTACGAACATACATGGCCCTCCTGGCAATCCTTAGCTTGGCCAGGTAACATGTGCCGCTCTTACCCCACTGAGCGAGGGAAGTAGGAAAGCCCTTCCTTTTGCAAGTCCTTGCACGGCACTTTATCAGCGCAACCTCGCATCGCCTCAGTACGGCTCTGGTGCTGTGGCTCCAGTGCTTAGCACCCCACCCCACCCCCCCACCCGCTCTGCCCCACACAACCCACCTGCCACCCCAAGCACCACAGCTTCCAAGCGGACACCAGCGGGGGCCCACCTCCCTGTTAGCGCTGTACCGCCCCCACTGCACGGCTGGCTGCCGGTCTCACCCTCAGCTCCCCACACTGCTACTGCATGTAAAAACACACACGCTCTACAAGGCGGTGTATAAAAAGGGTCCAGCGGCACTCCCATGCCCCCTCCTCCTCCCTCCTCCCTCCGCCTAGCACATCCCCTCCAAGCACAGCTCCACCGCTCGGTCGCAGTTGCCGTGCGCCATCCACAGCGCCTTGCGAGCCTGCTCCGCGCCGAAACCCATTCCCTGCAGCCGAGCCAACTTGGCGGGGTCAACGGAGCCGGCGGATGCGGAGGAAGAGGAAACGCCGCGACCCACGACACCCCTGCCACCGTAAGCCCCGCTGCCGCCGCCCCTGCCATTGCCGCGCTGGCCCCTCCCCCGGCCGCCACCGCCTCCGCCGTTTCGGCCGCCCCTGCCACCGGTCGCAGCTGCCGCTGCTGTCGTGCCCCTGCTGCTGCGTTTCACGCCTCTGTCCCCCCGCCGCAACTCCCTCGCCTCTAGCTCCAACTCCTCATCTTCTTCTAGTACGAAGTCCTCATCCTCACTCATCTCATCACCGTCCTCCTGCTCCTCCTCCTCCTCCTCCTCCTGCTCCTGCGCCCCACCAACAACCGCCTCTTCCGCCCCCGCCTCCACATCCCCATGAGCTCTGCCTACCACATCACTCACGCCGTCCCCTGCCTCCTCCTCCTCCTCCTCCCCTCCCTCCGCCGCAACGCCCGCTCTATCGGCACCTCCACCGCCCTCCTCCCCTCCACCGTCCCCCTCCCGCACCCCTGCCTCCCTCAAGCCATCAAGCGCAACCATTCCTCCGCCGCCTCCGCTCCTTAGCCGGTACGGCGGCAAAGGTAACCGTCCGCCGCCGCCGCTGCTGCCCCCTCTTCCTCCTCCCCTGCACCTCTCCGCCTCCTCCTTGCCCTCTTCCTCCTCCTCTCCCTCACTGCTGCTCCCCACCAGGATGACGTCACCCACCTCCTCCCGTGACGTCATCGGTGCAGCAGCCACACCGGCGGGGAGGGTAAAGGTAGCAGCGGCGGCGGCTGAGGCGGTGTGCACCTCAGCCTCCCCCTCCCTCACCGTCATCTCGCTGCAGTCGATTGAGATGACGTCATCATGTGAGGAGGCAACGGCTGCTGCTGCTCCTGCTGCTGCTCCTGCTGCTGCTCCTGCTGCTGCTCCTAGCGCCCGAGCGGAGGGCGGCTGCTGTGACCAGCGTGCAAAGGCCGCCGCAATGCCACCTCCACCCCCTCCACCCCCTCCTCCTCCTCCGCTGCTGCCACCTCGCCCTCCTGCAGCAGAACCCCCCGCACCTCCCCTGGCGCCCCCGCCGGCAACAACCCCTGCAGCAGCAGCAGGAGGTGGAGTTGATGCTGCTGCTGACCCACGGGTCGGACTCACTCTCTGCCGCTTGGCAGGCGGAGCTTGTACGGCTGCGGACCCCGCTGCTGCTGCTGCTGCTGCGGCGGTGGTGTTACCGCTCCCTGACAGCCTGCGCTGCCCCTGCAGGGGCTGCTGCGACTGCTGCAGGGGCTGCGGCTGCCTCTGGCTCCCGGGCTGTGACGAGCGCCGCATCAGGGCCATTATGCCACCCGGCTCACTCTTCACTGCTGCCCCTGCAGCTGCCCCTGCTGCTGGCAGTCCCTCACCCCCATACGCACCTCCACCCCCACCCCCACCCCTGGTCCCAGGCAGTCCCGCCCCTGCTGCTGCCGCTGCTGCTGGCGACTCCCCTCCCCCCCCGGTGGTGCTTGCGGGTGCTGCTGCGGCCAGCCCGGACTCCGTCCTGCGGAAGAAGTCCATCAGGGTCTTCACGGGCCTGCAGGAGGGGAGGAGGGGAGGAGGGAGGCGTGGTGGGAGGCATGGGGTGTGTGCGTGTACGGCAGGCTGAAAGAGGAACCTTTGCAGTACCTTGGAACAGTACGCACAGAGGCAACCCTGAGAGCAGCGGGGCGTTGCTCGCAGGAAGACCCTGCCAGCCTGCTAGCCAGCCCCCACCCCTGCCAGCCTGCCAGACAAGGCCAAGTCCCCAACCGCTGTCGTACAAAAGGCATGACGGCATAGCTTTTTAGCAGCACCCCCTTTCACGCCCGCAATGGTATCTACGGATAACCCATACAAAAGGCTAGCCAGCGACAGCCTGATCCCCAAGGTCGGCCAAGTCTTGGGCATGTAGCGTGCGATTCCGTCCAGCGGCGCCCTCGAGCTCACAGACCAAGTCTCTCCAGTTCTCTCCAGGTAAGGTTCCCGTAACGCGTCTCGATTATTCCTATGCTTGTATGCCCAATTTTCATGTTGCCTTAGGATTAGTGACCGGCGGCGCGGCACATGTCTTACTAGTGTTACTAGGCAAGGCGGCTTTTTCCTCAAGTCGTCTCGGCTTCTGGTAAGCAAAGATTTGGTAAGTATCTGAGATGCGTGTTTTCTAGGATAGAGTCTCCGAATGCGCTCACTGCATGAGTCGGGATATGGGATTGGGACTCGTTGCTGCACATATCATTAATTTTCCCACCCAAAACCCCCCCGACACCCCCCACCCCAACCCCAGCCCGCCCCGCACCTGAAGGCTGCTGCTAGCGACCTGGGGTCCACCGGAGTGGGTGCCTCGCGGACCGTCCTGCCCGCTCCCGCTCCCGCTCCTGGCGCCCCGGCCGCAGCAGCAGCAGCAGCCCCAGCCTGCGTGAGGGGCGTCTGGGAGGCGGAGGAGCACAAGGCCAGGACCTGGGGGGAGGAGGTAGCAGGAGAGGGTGAGGTGGGGAAAGGAGGGTCACAGAGGAGGAAAAAGGATCTAGTATGTCCAACGTGCAAAGTGTACTGGAGCGGCCCTAGTGGGCTCGCTCTCAGCGGCCCCATGCCCCCTCCCGCCCAGCCCATCCGTATCCCTGTTCTTGACGTCTTGTCCTTACATCCTTACGCGGCTTCCTACCCCTCCCCACTCACCGCCCCATCCCTCCCTCCCCCACACTTACCACCTCCCCCAGCAGTGAAGCCGGGTAGCGCACCCCCACCAGGTGCTGCGAGGGACCGCCTCCGCCACCTCCTTCACCTCCACCTGCCCCTCCTTCACTCGCCCCGCTCGTCCTCCCTCTCCTCAGCCCCGCCTGCACCTGCTCCCCCTCCCCTGCTGCTGGAGCCACTGGGTGGCTGCTGGCGCCCTCGTCAGCAGCGGTGGTGGCGGCAGCGGTGGTGGCAGTGGCGGCGGTGGAGGTGGCGGCGGCGGTGGAGGTGGCGACAGCGGTGGGGTCCGCAGTCGCCCTGGCAATGCTGTCCGCGGCGCCACCGCTGCCGGCGGTGCTGCCGCTGAGCAGGGTGATCTGAGGCGAGGAGGGCGAGGGCGGCGACTGCGGTGCAGCAGCCTCACCCTTGCCCTCGCTCCCTCGCTGCCCCTCCTCCTCCTCCTTGTCCTCCTCCTCGCCCCACTCCACTCGCACCTGCAGGGTCAGGGCCCGGAAGGGGAAGGGGGAGGCGGCTGCACCACTCCCGGACACACCGGGCCACCGAGCCAACTACGTCGCCCTCCGTAAGCCTCCCTCCATGCACCTCGCCCTCTTCACCCACCCACACTTCTTCCTCCCCCCCAAGCCCCCCTTGGTTTCCATCCCCCTCCCGCCTCCTATCCCCACTGCTTTGCCCTAACTTGTGGTTTCCTATGGTATGGTATGGTCTTTGACCCCCCTCCTCCCCCCACTTCCCAACCCACCACCCGCATGCTCCGCTCCATACGCGGCAGCTCCGCCTCCCTCCTCGCCAGCACCGCCTCCAGCACCCCCCACAGCCGCACCACACTGCCGCTCAGCACGGTGACGGTGGTGATGCGACGACCCACCTGGGGGGGACAAAGGCCATACCAAACCATAGGAAACCACAAGTTAGGGCAAAGCAGGGGGGGTAGGAGGCGACAGAGCCCTGGGGGGGGACGGCGGGGTGGGTGGGGGGGGGTTAATGAATATACCAAAACACAACAGGGAGGCGGGTTGGGGTGCAGCAGAGGTTGGTGTGAGCTGGCGACAAGAGGAAGCAAGGAGGCGGGGTTAGCTTCCCAACCGCCCCTCCCATGCCCCCTCATCCCCCTTACCACCCCGCCCCCCCTCCCCCCCTCCTCACCCCTCCCGCCCCTCCCTCCCACCCTCCTCACCCCGCACTCCGGTCCCAGCCTGCACCCCGGTCCGTGGCTGCACTGCGTGAGTGCGGCTGCATGTGCGGCGCGCCAGAGCTCCTCCAGCTGCGCCTCCTCGGGTGACCCGTGGGTCGGCGGGGGCAGGTACTTGGCGTCCAGGTCGGCAGCGTCCATGTCGAAGAAGGAGGCGCCTGACAGGAGGGTGGGGGGTGGGGTGGGGGTGGGGTGGAGGGAAAACAGAGCCCTTAAGCCAACTTCAGGAGCTCGACACCCCTCGCCTCCCAGCGCTCCTCACCCCATGCTTCCCCGGTGCTCCCCGCCTCCCCTCCCCCCCTACCCGTGTTGGGTCGTGCAATGCTGAACAGGCTCCTGCTGCCCGGCTTGCGCAGCGCCAGCAGCACCAGCTGCACCGCCCCCAGCGGCCGCCGACTCAGTCGGAAGCCGCTGCTGGGGTCGCCGGGCAGCCGCTCGCGATCTAGGCGCCGCTTGGCGGCCTGGAGGAGGGGGGGAGGGGGAGAGAGGGGTGTACATGACCATAACGTAAACATGGGAAACCACAGGTCAGGGCAGAGCAAGGGGGGGGTGGGATTGGGATTGGGGTTAGCGGTAGCTACCCTAGCAGGATAAGTGGAAGGAGGAGACTGTGCAGGTAACAGGTTGTGACAGGCAAGGCAGGGCAAAAGGCTTGCTCCGTTCACAAGAGGACAGCAGTAGCTCCCGCTCTGGGGAGATCCGGCCTACCCGCGCCCCCCCTCCCACCGTCTCCCCCCCACCTCCCCCCCACCTCCCAGCTGAGCCCCCTGTCCACATTAAATGCGGTGATGCGGGTGGTCAGGCGGCTTAGCGGGTCCACCCACAGGTCCCGCTGGTACTGCGGGGGGGAGGGGGGGAGGGGGGGAGAGGGTAGTTGAGGAGGGGAAGGAGGGGAAGGGACACAGGGATAGGGATAAACATGTTAAGCAACGGGGTCCAGAAGGATTGCCACGTTCGCCCAACCCCAACCACACCCACCTCCTCCTCCCACCACTCTCCTTTCTCCCTCCCTCAGTCCGTTTCCTTACTTCCACCTTCCTATGGTTTGTTATGGTTTTTTAACCCCCCCCTCCCCCCCTCCTCACCTGCACCCGTATCCCGCTCCCCGCCACGTCCGCCAGCCCCTCCGAGTAGCGCCCCTCCTGCCGCGCCCGCCCGATCTCCGCCCCCAGCACCGCAGCAAAGTAGGCGAACAGCAGCCCCTGCACCTCCACACGCAAACCCAGCAGCCGGTTCAGGAAGCGGCGCACGTCGCCGGAGCTGCCTGAGGGGTGCGAGGGTAGGGGGTGGGAGGAGGGGACAGGAAGGGGCGAGTTGGGGGCAGGAGGAGGCAGGAGGTGGTAGGGAGTTGAGGAGGCAGGAGGTGGTAGGGAGTTGAGGAGGCAGGAGGTGGTAGGGAGTTGAGGAGGCAGGAGGTGGTAGGGAGTTGAGGAGGCAGGAGGTGGTAGGGAGTTGAGGAGGCAGGAGGTGGTAGGGAGTTGAGGAGGCAGGAGGTGGTAGGGAGTTGAGGAGGCAGGAGGTGGTAGGGAGTTGAGGAGGCAGGAGGTTCCCAAGGAAAGCGATGCACCCGCCCCTCCGACCCCTTACCTCCGTCCTTGCCTCCCTCCGCATCCGCAGCTGCCGTACTGCTCGCCTCACCCCTGCTTCCCCCCGAGCGGGGCGGGGGGAGATCAATACCCATGGTTTGACACGCCTTGCGGCACGTGTCGTGCAGGGCCGCCACATGCAGGGACACCACAGCGGGGTCGTCGAAGTCAAACAGGGCGGCGGCGGCGGAGGAGGAGGAGGAGGGGGAGGAGGAGCGGGGTGCTTTGGCGGCGGGGAGGATGGCCTGCGGTGAGGGCGAGCGGGGAGGAAGGGACGTGAGAGAGGAAGAGCGGGAAGAGGACGAAGAGGAGGTTCCCTCTTCTAGGCAGCACCCCGTCCCACTACTAGTTATCCGCCTCTCCCCGCCTCCCTCCCACCCCTACCCGCGCCAGAGTGGGGTGTTCCTTGAACACATCCGCCAGGCCCACCCCCGCGGGCAGCACCGGGGGGAGAGACACCAGGTGCTCGTACATGCGCCGGAGGGATCTGGGGGGGGAGGGGGGTGCGTGTGTGTGTATAGGTGGGGAGAGGTAGGGGGAGGAGGGGAGCAGCTGGCCGACAAGTAACCCTTCCCATCGCCCTCCCCGCCTAACTTGTGTATTCCTAATGTTTTTACCCCCAGGCCCCCCCTTCCCGCCCCCCCACCTCCTTCCCAGCACGCTGTCAAAGTTCTGCTCGCTGAGATCCACCCCCGAGGCGGCCCGCCGGTCCCCCCGCGTGAGGGCGCCCAGCGACTGCAGCCGCCGGGCCACTGCTGCGGAGAAGCGCCGCTCGCCGCCGATACGGGTGGAGATGAGCCTGAGGGGGGGCGGGGAAGGGGGGGAGGCGTTGAGGCCCTCTTACCTCGGTGTAGTTGCAACAGGCCCGCCACTATGAAAGTTATTATTGCCTTAATCCAGGCCGTCGCCATCCCCGTTGCTTCGGTATGACAGGTCCCCCTTCCGCTCTCCCTACTCCACTGTACCACCTCCCCTCCACCTTGCTTCACATTCCCCTCCCCTACCACCCTCCTTCCTACCCCCATTGCTTTGCCCTAACTTGTGGTCTCCTATGGTTTGGTATGGTCTTTGACCCCCCCACCCCCTCACTTGTACACGGGTGCCGACACCTGGTTGCTCCGGTGCGACCTGCCCAGCTGCTGAATGGCCTTGTCCGCACTCCAGGGCAGCTCAATGGTGAGGTGGCGGCGGCGGCGGGTGTTGGGCGCGGTGGCGGCGGCGTGCAGCGAGATGCCGGTGGAGGCGGCGTCGGAGATGATGGCCACCAGCTTGCAGCCGCGCAGGAAGGAGTCCTTCTCAGAGACTGGGAAGGGGGGGAGGGGAGGGGGGTAAGGGGGGAGGAGGTAAGAGAACCGTTCAAAGGAATCCACGATTGGTTAGGTGGGAGAGGGGTGGAAGGGGGTTGGGGGCGCATATGGTAGTTTGCTTCGGATCGCTGGATGTTTGCCGTGCCAGCCTTCCGTAATCGTCACTACACTCACAGCCCGCTGCGGTGAACCTGCGGTACACCTTACCCCGCCCTCACCCCACCCTGCAAACCCTGTCCGCATGCTGCCCAATACCCCATCCCATGTCCCCCTCCCTCCCTCCCTCCCCCCCCTCACTGTTCAGCGAGTCCATCTCCCCGCTGTCGGGTTTGGCCCTCAGCTCGTACACCAGCCGGGTGCGGCCCCCGCCCCCGCCGCCCCCCGCCCCCCCGCCTGCCGGCACCCGCACCACTCGCCCCTTGCGACCCGTCATCTCGGCAACCTGGCGGGAAGGGGGAGGGGGAGGGGTGGGGGTGCGGAGGTGGAGAGGGGTACGGGGAGGGTAGGCAGAAGAGGGCAATGCGGGGTATGAAAAGCTTGCGGAGTTGGGGGAGGGGGCGGTCAGCATGGGCGTCAAGAACATCCACGCCTCCGCTTCTGGTGCTGACCCTCTGTTCGCCTCCCCCCTCCCTTCCGCCCCTCCCCCTCCCCTCCCCCTTTTCCCACCTTGCCCGGCCCCCCCAGCAGGTCTATGATCTCGTCCAGCGGGTTGGGCGGCAGCTGCAGCGCCTCTACCGCCGCCAGCAGCTCGCCGCGCATGGACACGCAGGCGGGGACCAGATCCTCCCCGGCAGCAGGGGAAGGGGGGGCGGGGGCAGCACCGGCAGCAGCACCGGCAGCAGCTTGGGTGAGGGGCGGAGACACGAGGTCAAAGTGGGAGCCTGCAGGGGAGGAGGGGACGAGGGGGTGGGGTTGGGGGAGAGAGGGAGGGAGCAGGCCAAACTCACCCACACATGCAATCCCCCTCCAGACTTCACCTCCTACGACTGTGTCCCATGGGTCGGCAAAACCATGTTGCATCCCCTCCCCCCTAGTTAAGCCGTTCCTTCCTTCCCCTTCCTACCCACCCGCCTCCCCACCACCTCCCCAACCCACCGTAAGCTCCATACCCGCCCTCCTCCCCCTCCTCCTCCTCCTCTCCACCCGCCGCTCCCGCCGTCCCCCGCTGCTTCTCCCCCGCCGGCGGCACCTTCCGTACGGGAAAGTGCTGTCGTACAAACCGCAGCAGCAGCTCCTTCGTCGGCGACACGAACCCCGCCACCGGCCCCGGCTCCAGTCCCACCGCCTCCGCCGCCGCCTCCCCGGTTGACTGCAGCCCGATCACCACACAGTCGCCCGCGGCTAGGGCCGCCTGCGCCTCCGCCACCACTGTGGATACCTGGGGAGGGGTGGCGGCGAGAAATGGGAGAGGGGAGGATAGCAGAAGAAGAACCATGCGTCAGTGTGTGGGGAGGGGGTTGGTTGAATTTGGTTAAACTGGGCCGCGAGGCTGCGCGAGGAGAAACTGAGGTGCGTGGGTGGAGGCGGTTGGTGGGGTTACGATGGGAGGGAAGAGTGAGTGCCCTGTGGTGTGGTGGTGGTGATTGTGCATGCGGAGAAGAGAGTCCAAACCCCTCTCCCAGCCCCACAGCTGGCCCCTCCCATCCTCCCTCCAATCCCCCCCGCCGCTCCCCCCTCCCCACCTTCAGGCTGACGCACAGCAGCTTGAAGAAGCGCTGCTGCGCCGCCCAGAAGGCCTTCCACACCTCCCGCCCGCCCCCCGTCACCGCCAGGGCAGCATCCAGCTGGGCGCGCAGCCGGGACCAAACCTGGGGGGGGGAGGGGAGGGGAGGGGGAATGGGAGGAAGTGGATGTTAAAAGGAGATGAGGCGGGGTACTAGGAGGGACATGGGAAACGTTCGTGCCGTCCCACACCATTCAGCCGGCCTGCCCAGACGCCCTCGCCTATGCGCGTCCCCTCCTCCCTCCCGCCCCCTCCCCCCCACCTGCACCGCGCTGTCGTACATCCTGACCTGTCCCGCCCCCATCTCCGCCTCCACCTCCCCGAACTCCGCCTCCCTGAAGCTCAGCCCCCTCGCCACGTACTTGCCCTCCGCCTTCATCTCCATGGCCAGCAGCTCCAGGAAGGACACACCCCGGCGCCGCATGCTGGGGGGGGGAGGAGGGGGGGGAGGGGGAGGGGCAAGAGAGGATGGATATGTCGCACTGGGTTGGACCTTTGGATTGTGGAAATATTCTCGACAGGGTTAGTACCGGTACTACCGGAGTACCTGCATTCGCCCCTCCGGACCCCTCCCCCCGCCCCCATCTGCAAACCATGATGACGCCTCATCACACGGTCAGTTCGATGTTTCCTGTTTACCTCCCCGCCCCCTGCCCCCACTCCCGCCCCCTGTCACCCCCCCTCCCCCCCCCCTCCCCACCTGTCCAGGAAGGTCTGGAAGCTATCAAAGGGGGTGCCCGGGCCCCACAGCCCCATGCGCACCATGTAGGCCATGTTGCCAACCTGGTGGGGGGGGGGGAGGGGGAGGGGAGGAAGGCGGGGGAGGAGGCGACGGGGAAGGGGGAGGTCGAGGAGGCGCAGTGGAGGGATGGAGAAAGAAGCCTCCTACCTCTCCGCCTCTCTCCTGCTCGTACATGCTGCTCTTTGCGTCCCCTGTGCTGTCCCTGCCACCTGCCCTGCCACACAGACTCCCCCCTCTTTCCTAGCCGCCGCCCCCCCACACACCCAGTGTGTGCACGGCCAGTTTTCTTAACACACCCACCTCGCTGACCCCCGTTGCCGAGCAGTACAGCACCCGGGCCCGGGGCAGCCGCTCCTGCAGCGCCAACACAGCGGCGGCAACCTGGGGGGCGGGGGGGGGTGATGGTGGGCGGGTTAGGTGAAGTGAGCCACAAGGGAACACTGACCGTGATCCGTGTGCGGGCGGGTTGGGGGCAGGTAGGGGGTGTGGACGTTACCGCACAAGCTGGCAACACGGATTGCATGCAGTCAGGTTGGGTACGGGAAGGGGGGGTTGTGGACGAGGGAGGAACCAGGCGGGCAGGGCGCGAATGTCCTCCCTCCCTACCCTCCTACCTACCTACCTACCCGTCTGCTGTCTCGGGATTGGGACTCCGTTGATGCATTTCTCTATATCTCCCCCCCCCCACTCTCCCCCTTACCTTGGTGCTCCCCGCCTCCTTCCCCGGCACGAAGTTCTTGGCCTTGTGGCACTCGTCCAGCACAATCAGCCCCTCCCACCGCGCGGCAGCAGCAGCAGCCTCCCCCGCGCTCATCAGCGGCGGCCCGCCCCCCGTGCCCGCCCCCGCCACCAGCCAGTCGATCACCTGCTGCAGGCGGGGGCGGCCGCGCAGCTGCGAGATGAGGCTGGAGTAGGTCCTGGGGGGGGGGAGGAGGGGAGAGAGAGGGGGAGGGGGAGGGGGAAGTGTGTTTTTGTGTTAAGTGTCCCCTTCCGAAGCTCTCAATGAGTCTTTCTGGGTGCGCCCTTGCTGTCTTCTGCAGCCTCCTCGCTTGCTCCTTGCATGCGAGATACCGGTACGCTGGATGCCGGTACCCTGTTCGTCCCGAATCCCCCCTGCTCCCCTTGGTAAGGTCCCTGACTTCCTCTCTCCCCCCTCACATGAACAGCACCCCCCTCCCCCCCCCTCACATGAACAGCACCCCCCCTCCCTCTCCCTCCCTCCCTCCCTCCCCCCCTCACATGAACAGCACCCCCTCCCTGCACTCGCTGCTCAGCCCCAGCGCCCGGCTGCCCCTGTCCAGTGCCCCCAGGTTGGCCAGCAGCGGCAGGCTGGCTCCCAGGTCGCGCAGGTCCCGCTGCGCGTCGGCGTGCAGGTCGGAGGAGGTGGACAGCCACAGGGCGCGTCTGGGGGGGAGCGGGGGGAGCGGGGGGGGGGGCGGGGGGGGCGGGGGAGGGGTGCAGGGTGTGTAGGGGGAGGACACGAGGGATGCAAATCACAGGGATGGTGGTAGCTCTGGTTGCTGCAGGGATGTCTTGGTGTTATGAACCTCTCCATCGTTCGAAACCCACATGTCTCAGCAGCACCCCCCCGACATGCAACCCCTCCCTCCCTACCTGGCCAAGCAGCAGCGCACCGCAACCCACCCTCACACCCCACCTGCGCCCGCGGGCAAAGTTGTCCAGTACCACCCCCGCTATCTGCCGTCCCTTGCCCACACCCGCTCCGTCGCCGATGAAGAAACCCGCACCTGCACCCGCATGCACACCGGGGGGGGGGGTGCCGTACACGCGCGTGTCTCAAACGGCATCACATGCAGCCCCGAGAGAGAATGAGAGTGAACGGAGTGGGAACAGACAGAGACAGCGGCACACGTGTGTATGAGATGCATCTGTACGATTTCCCTGCCCCCATCCCTCCCCTCCCTGCTCCCTCCCGATGCAGCATAACCCCATGCCTGTTCCTCCTTCGCGGCTCACTTTACCTAAACCCCTCCATCCCCCCCCTCCTCCCAGCTTCCCTCCACCCCCCCCGCCCCTCCTCACGTTCCCCGCTGGGCAGTATCTCGCAGTGCTTGCTGCACGCGTACAGCACCCCCTCCAGCTGCAGCCGCGACAGCTTGCCGCTGCGGACCAGCTCGGAAGGCAGGCTGTCCCACAGCGGGTAGGAGGTGGGGGGCAGCGGGACAGCGCTGCGGAGGGGGGGGGAGGGAGGGGGAGGGGGAGGGAGGGGGAGAGAGGGGGTCAAAGATCGCATCCATAACCATGGGAATCGGGAAAGCACAAGCAAGTTGGGGCAAAGCAGTGGGCATGGGAGGCGGCCTAAAGGTGCAGGCATGCACTCGTGATCGGGATCTGCAGCTGTCCGCTGCTAGCAGCAGCAGCAGCAGCAGCAGCAAGCGGGCATTAGCCCTACGATATCTCGCAGAAGCATGCAGCAGCAGCAGCAAGCAGCAGCAGACACGGTGTCTCACGCGAGGGAGGATGCCTCCGCAACATCGCCTGGGTGGGGCAGGCCGCGATCCGTGATGGTACGGCAAACGTACGACGAGAAGACCTGGGGCCCAGGTGGGGAAAGGAGAGGGGAGGAGGTGGAGTAAAGGTTGAAGGGAGGAGGAGGAGGGGGGGCATTGGGGTTGGTGGACGCGTTAAGAGCGCAACTAAGTCCAGGTTTGTAAAGAAAGGGTTGTGAATAATGAACAGGGCGACTATGAAGGGCAAGAAGCCAGCGAGGCGTCGTAATTGAGGCGGAAGGTGTGGGGCTCGCGCCTGGGCATGCGTACGCATGGCGGAGGTGCGATGGATGTCGGGCGAGGAGCGAGGAGCGTTGCCCCAGCGCGCACCTGCTTCGTTGCACTTTCTGCTAGGCCCTCGTCTCCAACCTCTACGGCAGCTGCCATGTTTGCTGTTCGTGAAGTGAGGTGTGAAGATGCCGACTAGCCCTCTACATCCTTTGGCCTGAAACGGTGTGTCGCAGTTTCAGTTGGTCCAACGTGTAGTAAGCTGCAGATGAATACAGTGAAGAGTCGACTGAAAGGCGGATAGGCCCGGGATGGCTTTACGGTATCTGCATCGCACCCCGCCAAAACGAGCAGCGGTTTCGCTCCATGAACCCTTACGACGAGCATACGTCTCGTCACTTTTCAACACTATAGTTACGATAGAGTTACTATAAGCATTTGGGTTGGCCTGAAAGCGTGGGACGTCTATACCTGGTTCGCGTCGGCGATAGCCACATAGTTGTCTTAGCTTGCAGCGCATCTCTAAAATGTCAACCCGGCTCATAGCTGAAACCTCTAACGCGACGTCTTCAACATGTCCGCGTCGGCTTGGACCGGCAGCGTCAATATTACTTCGGCCTTGCTCGCTTCCATGCAAGCCATTTTCTGGTCGCTCGCCACTCCGCTCAAATATCCAGCTGCCAGGCGCTCCTGCTTCTCGACAACTTGTAAAATCTTTAACCGCCGTTGAAACGGTCGCGCCTGTGTCACCACCGGCTGCCTCCCCCGCAACCGGTGGCAAGCCCACGCCATCCCAGGCATATCCTTTTGCCGAAATCGAGGCCAAGTGGCAGGCCTACTGGGAGGAGCACCAGACCTTCCGCACTCCGGACCAGGTGGACACCAGCAAACCCAAGTACTACGTCCTCGACATGTTCCCCTACCCCAGGTACAATCCATGGACACCATGCCTACCTCCTCGTCTCCCTCCCTTGTCCCTACCATCCCACTGCTGCTGCGCTTCCACAGCTCTTGTGGCGGGACACCGCTCGTCTCTCCCTGTGTCCTTAACCTCCTGTGGTCCTACTCCCTCCCTCTTTCCCTCCTCACCTCCTCCCTCCCGCCCTCCCTCTCCCTCCCCGCTCCCCCCCGCTCCCCCCCAAAGCGGCGCCGGCCTGCACGTGGGTCACCCCGAGGGCTACACCGCCACCGACATCCTGGCCCGCTACAAGCGCATGTGCGGCTGCAACGTGCTGCACCCCATGGGCTGGGACGCATTCGGACTGCCCGCGGAGCAGTACGCGCTGCAGACAGGAACACACCCCGCGGACACCACCGCACGCAACGTGGCGAGGTTCCGGCAGCAGCTCAAGGCGCTGGGGTTTTCGTACGACTGGGGGCGGGAGGTGGCCACCACGGACCCGGAGTACTACCGGTGGGTGGGGCGGGGAGGGGGGAAACGTGAAGCAACGGAGTCCCAATCCGAAATCCTGGAGGGAATGGGGGTGGGGAAAGGGGGGGAGGGGAGGAAGGAGAGGAGGGCTCTAGAGGGGAGGAGAGGGGAAGTGGCTTTTGCTGCAGTCATGACGCACGCATGGCGGTCTATTACACCGGCTGTGCTGTCGGACAGAGAGTGTCCCTTGTTTCCGGCTTGAGAACAGCCCCGGCCCCACCCACAAGCCCCACGACACCTGTTTCCTTCCCCGCCCTCAATTTAGGTTACCTAACCCCCTCCCTCCGGCCCCCCAGTTGGACCCAGTGGATCTTCCTGCAGCTGCTGCAGCGCGGGCTGGCGTACCGGGCGGAGGTGCCGGTGAACTGGTGCCCCGCGCTGGGGACGGTGCTGGCCAACGAGGAGGTCATTGACGGGGTGAGGGGGGCTGCAGGGGGGGGACTGGAGGAGTTGAGGTGGAACAGGGTGGGTGGGCGGGGCAGGGTTGGTTGGGAGTGTGTTTGGGAGCGGTCCCGGGTTGAGGGCTTCGTCCCCGCCTAACACCTCTCCTTCCGTTACCTCTCCTTCCCCATCCATTACCTCCCCTCCATCTGGTATATCTTTAACCCCCCCCAGCTCTCCGAGCGCGGCGGGCACCCGGTGGTGCGGCTGCCCATGCGGCAGTGGATGCTGCGCATCACCGCCTACGCGGACCGCCTGCTGGGGGACCTGGAGGGGCTGGACTGGCCGGACAGCGTCAAGGACATGCAGCGCAACTGGATTGGCAGGAGCGAGGTGGGGGGGGAGGGGGGGGGGGGAGGGAGGGAGGGGTGGAAGGGGGCTGTCGGATGTGTATAACCCGTCCTCAGTTTGGCGTCCCTCAGCGTGGCGCCTTCCCTCCTGAAGTTATGCTTCCTGATACTGCAGGGCGCGGAGGTGCAGTTCGCGCTGCAGGGCGGCCCGGGCAGCTCCCTCTCCTCCCCCTCCTCCTCCTCCTCCTCCTCCTCCTCCACTACCTCCGTCTCCGTGTTCACCACCCGCCCCGACACGCTGCTGGGGGTGACCTACCTGGTGCTGGCGCCCGAGCACCCGCTGGTGGGGCAGCTGGCGGCGGGGGGGCGGAGGGAGGAGGTGCAGGTGAGGGGGGCGGGGCTGGCGGGGTGGGTGGGTGGGTGGGGTGGAGGGTGGTAGTAGGGAATGCGAAGCATGTAGTGAGCGTGGGAGAGGTAGGGACTGCTTCTAGCGCACTTGTTCACGCACCTTCCCGTTGCATGCTGCATCGCCTCTCATGCCCCTCATGCCTCCCCGTGCTCCCCATGCATGTTGTCACTGCTGCTGCCGTACACGCATGTTGTCACTGCTGCTGCCGTACACGCATGTTGTCACTGCTGCTGCCGTACACGCATGTTGTCACTGCTGCTGCCGTACACGCATGTTGTCACTGCTGCTGCCGTACACGCATGTTGTCACTGCTGCTGCCGTACACGCATGTTGTCACTGCTGCTGCCGTACACGCATGTTGTCACTGCTGCTGCCGTACACGCAGGCCTACGTGGACGCCGCAGCTCGCAAGTCGGATCTGGAGCGAACGGAGCTGCAGAAGGACAAGACGGGGGCGGACACGGGTGGGGTGGGGGAGGAGGAAGGGGGAGGGGAAGGGGGAGGGGAGACTTGGATACACGGAGGGGGAGGGAAGAGGCATGCAGGGCTTTCGCTAGGCATGTCTATACGGTTATTGCACCTTCAGTTCCTTCTCTCTGCGCCCCTCAACCACACCCCATTACATGCGTTACCCAACCTCCCGTACCTCCCCGCCCTCTCGCCCCTCCCCCCCTCCAGGCAGTTTCGCGCTCCACCCGGTCACGGGCGAGCTGCTGCCGGTGTGGGTGGCGGACTACGTGTTGGGCTCGTACGGCAGCGGGGCGGTGATGGCGGTGCCGGCACATGACCCACGGGACCATGAGTTCGCGGTGCGTTTCGGACTGCCAGTAAAGCAGGTACGGGGGCGGATGGGGTGTGGCTGGGGTTGAGGGATGGGAGGTGGGATCAGGCGGGTCGTCTTTTAGGGGTTGGAAATGGCCGTGATAGGGAGAATGGGCTTGAGGACAGGACACAAGGTGGCTCCTTGGCAAGGAATCCCTCATCATCAACTTCAAATCCATCATCACCCTCCCCGCCCCACGATGACCCACGGGTCACAGGTGGTCGCTCCCCCCTCGGACGCCGTCGCCAACAACAGCGACGCTGCACCCGTCACCCTGCCGTACACTGAGCCCGGCATTGCCGTACACTCCTCCTGCGGCTCCCTCTCCCTGGACGGCTTGCCCACCGCTGACGCCGGCGCTGCGGTGGTTGCATGGCTCGAGGAGCGGGGGCTGGGGCGGCGGCAGGTGCAGTACAAGCTGCGGGACTGGTTGTTCGCGAGGCAGCGGTACTGGGGGGAGCCCTTCCCGCTGGTGTACCCGGAGGGTGAGGAAGAGCAGGAGAGGGGAGGGCAAGGGGGGAGGGAGGGGAAAAGGGCAAGGCGGAAAAGCTCATCCTGTACAGCCCAGCCCAGTCCACGCCAACTCCCGGGCCCCACAACCCAGCCCCACATTAACCCCCCACACCCACACCCACCACCCCATGCAGGCAGTGACGAGGCTGTCCCCCTGCCCGAGTCGCAGCTGCCCCTCACCCTGCCCGACACCGACCAGTTCCGCCCCTCCGGCACCCCCGAGTCGCCGCTCGCCGCCATCACCGAGTGGGTCAACACGGTGGACCCACGGGACGGTGTGACGCCGGCGCGGAGGGAGACGTCAACCATGCCGCAGTGGGCGGGGTCGTGCTGGTGAGGGGGGGAGGGGTTACGGGGAGGGGAAGGGCACGGGAAGCACGTATTCGCAATAGCTTTGCCTTCTACCTACCTCCATCCTTCCCACCTCCCCTCACCCTCACCACCTACCTCCTCCCCCCCCAGGTACTACCTGCGCTACATCTCCCCCCGCTGCCCCACCTCCCTGGTTGACCCCGCCGCTGAGCGCTACTGGATGCCGGTGGACCTGTACGTGGGGGGCGCAGAGCACGCGGTGTTGCACCTGCTGTATGCGCGCTTCTGGCACAAGGTGGGGGAGGTGGAGGGAGGTGGAGGGAATGAGGGTATGGGGGGTAAAGGGGGTTAAACAGCGCAGGAGGCGATGCGGACAGGGTGTGTTTCCTTGCTCTTCTCCTTACTCCCCCAGTATCTCTCCCCCTCCTTCCCCCCTCCTTCCCCCCCCTTCCCCCCTCCCCCCCCTGCAGGTGTTGTACGACCTGGGTGTGGTGTCCACCCCCGAGCCCTTCCGGCGGCTGGTGAGCCAGGGAATGATCCTGGGCGAGGTGGAGTACACGGGCTTCCGACAGCCGGGCAGCGGGGAGTGGGTGGAGGAGGGGGCGCAGGGGGCGGAGCAGGTCAAGGTGAGGAGCGGGGAGGGGAGGGGAAGGGGAAGGGCGGGGTAGGAATCTAGGGGCTGGTAAACGGGATGATGGGGAGGTGCTAGGTGCTATAGAGTCGGTAAGCCGTACGTATGGCTCTACCCTTGCCGTCAAGCTGTAGGAAGGAGGGCATGTTCCCACCTGCCCCACCCCCCCTCCCTCCCGATCCCTTCCCGCCCCATGCATGCCCCGCCTCCCAACAGCTCTCCGAGGCCGAGGTGGAGCGGCGCGGGGACGGCTACGTGCTGCGCGCCGACCCGCGGGTCCGTGTGTCCGCCCGCGCGCACAAGATGAGCAAGAGCCGCGGCAACGTGGTGAACCCGGACGACGTGGTGGCGGCCTTCGGGGCGGACTCGCTGCGGCTGTACGAGATGTTCATGGGGCCGCTGAGGGATACAAAGGTGGGAAAATATAGATAAATGCATCAACGGAGTCCCAATCCCGAATCCCAACTCATGCAGTGAGCCCAGCCGCCCCTTCCGGGTTTCATGTCCGGGTTGCGTGCCATGGGAAACCAAGGTGGGGGTGGAGGTAACGAGAAACGGGGGGAGGTGGTTGCGGGCCATGGGGCTGGGAACCCAGTGCTCATAGCCTTCACACCAATACGGTGCTTTGCCCCGTCCACCTGCTGCTGCTGACAGGTGTGGAGCACTCGGGGTGTGGAGGGCGTGCATCGCTTCCTGGCGCGTGTGTGGCGGCTGTTCGAGGGCGGCGTGAGCGAGGAGGAGCCCTGCAGGGAGCAGTTGAGGCTGCTGCATGCGACCATCAAGAAGGTGAGGAGCAGGCGGGAGGAGGGGGAAGGAGGGGAGGGAACTGACGGTGTGTTAAGATCTCTGGCCTCTACAAGATGCATGTGCGTGTTGGGCGTATGTGGACTGAGTGGCGTAGAGGAGAGCACACTGGCTGGCATCGCGGGGAGTGTGCAAGGAACTAGGGAAGATGTGCGCAGTCGCAGGGCTCACCTCCTCCCTGCCTGTTTGTGTCACTCTCAATCCCCCGTTCTCATTTTACCCCCCAATCGTATTGCTTCCTCCTTTCTTCCCTCCCCCGCTCAGGTGGGTGTTGAGACGGAGGAGATGCGGTTCAACACCGCCATCGCCGCCATGATGGAGTTCGTGAACGGGGCCACCAAGACATGGAGCAACCGGCCCAGGAAGGCGCTGGAGGTGAGGGGGGCGGGTCAAAGAGGTGCGGGAGCAGGAGGAACTGAAGTGGGGGTGCTTGGGAGATGTTGTGGTGGAACCGTATCGATCACCCTGTAACCCGCTCCCTATCTCTCTCCCCACCCCAACCCCTCGCAGCCGTTCCTGCTGCTGCTGTCCCCCTACGCGCCGCACCTAGCGGAGGAGCTGTGGAGCCGCTGCGGCCACCCCGCCACACTGGCCTACGAGCCCTGGCCCACTGCGGACGAGTCGCTGCTGGCGGTGGAGGAGGTCAACCTGCCCGTGCAGGTGTGTGTAGTTGAGCGGGAACAAGAGCAAACAGTTGGGATAGGTCCGCATGTGAACCGCAAGTACAAACAAACCATGGCAAAACAGGTTTTTTTTACGATGTGGGGTGTTGTAGTCGCTTGCAACGGGCTGCAGGTGGGTGGGGAAGGAAGCGGAAGATGCGGGGTTGCACGTGTTTTGCAAGCATTGCAAACACTTCCCCCCACCCAATGCTGCAGGTGAACGGCAAGACCCGCGGGACAGTGGTGGTGGCAGCCGCGGCGCCGCAGGAGGAGGCGCTCGCGGCCGCACTGGCTGCCCCCAACGTGTCCAAGCACGTGGGAGGCGGGTCGATCAAGAAGGTGATCTACGTGCCAGGCAAGATCCTGAATGTCATCGTTGCGCCTGCAAAGTAGAGAGCCCCGAGGGGGGTACATGAGCTTGGGAGGAGGAGGGCAAAGGAGAGGCGCAGGTCCCGGAGAATGGATAGCTTGGGCGTTGGGAGGTTTTCATGAGTGAGAAGGGAAAGTGGTGATGGTGGTGAATGCAGTTTGGAGGGTTCGGGGCACTTTACTTGCGGAGAAAGGGCCAGGTGTAATTTAGGGCGCAGGAGGAGAAGAGAGAGACGGTTTAACGAGGAGTGTGGAAGAGGGGGCAGTGAATGGTAACTGGGTACAGCCCATTCCGTATAAGGCGTCAGAGTATGGGCATGAGTGTCTGTGTGACGGTCTTGACAGTGTGGTTAGTGAGGTACCTAAGTAATAGGTTCTCTGTGCACAGCGGTTCTGTGCACAGCGGTAAAACAAGCCAACCTGACATGAATGCACCCGGGGAGCTAGGAGAAGAAAAGGCGCAATTAGTGTTGGCGAAGCACATGCGCAGGGATTGTAATAGTCATTTGTTCTCAATGTCTAGGATAAGGTGGTGTTGAAAAACACCGGTTTGTTGTTATGTACTCCCGAGTAGATGGTGCTGCGCACTTAACCGCCGAAGCCGTAGAGGGTGCGGCCCTGGCGCTTCAGAGCGTAGACAACGTCCATCGCCGTCACAGTCTTGCGGCGAGCGTGCTCGGTGTAGGTAACCGAGTCCCTGATGACATTCTCCAGGAAGGTCTTCAGGACGGTGCGGGTCTCCTCGTAGATGAGACCGCTGATACGCTTCACACCGCCACGGCGAGCGAGACGGCGAATAGCGGGCTTGGTAATGCCCTGGATGTTATCGCGAAGTACCTTGCGATGACGCTTGGCTCCACCCTTGCCCAGGCCCTTGCCACCTTTACCACGACCAGACATGTTGTTAAGTTAAAAGTGGATGGAAAATGATTAAGATTACTCTCCATTCAGCGCAAAAAGCTTTTAAAGCTTGGCAGGCAGGTTCCGTACGGCTACAGTGGACGAGCACGCAAGCTTGTCCCGGTGACCCGACCCTGTTTTTGGGTCGCGGCATTTGGCGTTCCTCATGTTTGTGATCCGCTATTCCGCGTAATGGGTCTTATTGGGCGTTCCAAGGGACTTATTTTCCATGGATTCCCTCTCCATTTGAATGAACGAGCTGACAGCCCGCTTGAGCGACGTTGGCTGCGGAAGACGATCACTTACAAACTTGTTATTTTTTATGCGAACACTTGTCACATCATTGCCAACCCAATTGCAAGAACGGCTGAGGACACATACCCCGCGACATGTTGAGCTTACAGGCCTCGGTCATGCATGCGTCGAAGCCCTTTACGTTTAGTGAATGGATGAGCTGGAGTGAGCAGCTGATTTCCATGTTACATGCACAATTGTCACATGGTTGCCAATCCATTTCCAAGAGCGGCTGAGAACAAATACCCTGAACACGTTAAGCTGTACATGCCGAGGCCATGCATGCGTTGAAGCCATTTTCATCACACGGCAGCTGATTTGCCTGTAACTTGCGTCTAGGGCCCGCTCAGTGCTTAAAATGTCCGTTTTCATGTCCTCATTCCCTTCCTCGGCACTTGCAGGTAGGTCAGCAGACACCCAGAATCTTATTCACCAGCTTTGAGAAGGTCCTGCATCGAATAGCGTCTTCAATGCCATGTACCGTTGCAGGTAAATGCAGCACAGCAATCGAAAACAGACAAAGAAGAGAGGGAAGAACAAAGTTATACAGACTTCCTCGGGGTTCCGTTAGCTTTCTTGGAATTCCAGGCTGAACAGAACAGACGCTTCACATCAGTCACATTGCGATTGGTGGTGTTGAAAAACACCGATAAGTTAAGTCGAAAGCGCCGAAGCTCGTCTCTTAGGCCGAGGTGAACTTTGTCACGGCCTTGGTGCCCTCCGACACAGCGTGCTTGGCCAGCTCGCCAGGCAAGACAAGGCGCACAGCCGTCTGGATTTCGCGCGAAGTGATGGTAGGCTTCTTGTTGTACTTGCTGAGCTTGCTGGCCTCGTTTGCGATGCGGTCAAAGAGATCATTTACGAGCGAGGTCATAATGGACATGGCCTTGCTGCTGATGCCGGTGTCGGGGTGGACCTGCTTCAGCACCTTGTAGATGTACAGCTTGTAGGTCTCCGCCTTCGACACCTTCACCTTCTTCTTGGCAGCCTTCTCGCCGCCCTCAGCAGTGGGCTCCTTAGCGGCCTTCTTGGCAGGCGCCTTCTTCTCCTTCTTGGGAGCCTTCTCGGCCTTGGGCTTAGCCTCAGCCTTCGGCTCAGCAGCCTCGGGCTGTGAAGCCTTCTCGTCCTTCTTGGGGGCCATTGTTATTTATATGTTGTAGAGCAACGAGTAAATTTGTCTTTTGTCTGGTACTCTTGATTGATAGGCGGCAGGATTAAATGATCTTGCCAATATTCCCGCCGAGTAAGGCGCTCGTCCTTCTTGTACGGTAACCGTTACCCCGGTGACCCAACTGCTGAAAGTTTTTATCATAAATGCACTAAGCCAGCTGCAGTTTCCATCAAATCGTTGACCTCAAATTTAGATACTTTCTACCTTCTCTTTTCTTAATATCTAACCTTCAACTGAAAATGTCTGGTCGTGGCAAGGGCAAGACCGCTGGCAAGAAGGCTGTTAGCCGCAGCGCCAAGGCCGGCCTGCAGTTCCCCGTTGGCCGTATTGCTCGCTACCTGAAGAAGGGCCGCTACGCTGACCGTATCGGTGCCGGTGCTCCCGTCTACCTTGCCAGCGTCCTTGAGTACATTACTGCTGAAGTTCTTGAGCTGGCTGGCAACGCTGCTCGCGACAACAAGAAGAACCGCATCGTTCCTCGTCACATCCAGCTTGCCATCCGCAACGATGAGGAGCTGAGCAAGCTGCTGGGCGACGTGACCATCGCTGCCGGTGGTGTGCTGCCCAACATCCACGCTGTGCTGCTGCCCAAGAAGGCTAAGGGCGGCAAGGAGGCCTCCGCTGAGGACGCTTAAGCGGTCAAACCAGCGAGTTTGATGTCAATATTCATTTCACGGTGTTTTTCAACACCACCATTGTACAGGACGAACCCGCGTGTCTGCATACTTACTCCTGGCTGGGTTTGGTACATGGACTCCTATGTTCGTATCCTGTTACCTTAGGTAGAGCGAGTTTATCACTACCACTGCATGCCGCGCTCACAGGCCTGTGCCCCAAGTGCCAAAATCTTCACAACCTGCCGCGCCAATGCACCATTCCTCAGCCTTTGCAACCATGTGACACATCGCACAAGACCTTCACTACATTTCCCTAAGCAATGACAGCTGGCTATCTCATTAAACTCATAGCCTCTCCAAGTCCCGCTGCCTAACTGCCCAAGCTAGTCCTCTTCCGCTTCACTTGCTGCCCAGCACCTAATACACTTCGTTATCGTCATCTCCCCGCGCGCAGTGTCCCGATACTTCGAACAGCACGAGCAGAAGAGCAGCAGCCCCAGCAGCAAGATTCCCTCACAAGACTTCCCCACACCGCATGTCCGCGCCCCGTACATCCCAACCTGGTTCTTGTCAATGTCTTCTTACCCAATGTCTTTGTTATTCACCAAGTGTGTCTGTAGTAGTAAGAGTATCATTCTGTAGTACCATCTCTACAGTATTAGTACTTTGCGCATATAGTATTCAGTAGCTGTCATCCTCATAGCTGACGGAACGCCCAGCCGGTCTGTCCGACCGTCCCCGCCGCAACGCACTCCGCGGCTGCAACGGCACCTGCGGGCGCGGAACCAAGGGAGCGATTGGGACCCCAAAATTACGTGGCTGAAGGGAAGCGGCTCAGGGAGAGCATCCATCCTTCGGGTAGTAACGGTTGCCGCTCCCTTTGCACATCGAAACACGCCCCCCACGTGACAGTCAAAAAGCTTCTTACCCGGCCCTCGCCGCCGTACAAGTAGTCCTTGGCATCGCCGTACGGGTCCGTGCCTGCTACGCCGTACCCCCTGCGGGAGCGCAGCCCCACCCTGCCCGCCAGCGATCCGGCCCTGGCTCGGTGGTTGCGTCCCTTGGACATCTTCCAGAACTGGTACAGCCCCACCAGGATCATGGCGACTGTACGGGCGGGCCGGCGAGGAGGAAGAGGAGGAGGGGAAAGAGGGGGAGGAGGAGGATAACAGTTATGGGGTTACTCGCAATGGGCTGTGAATGTTGGAAAAACGGCAACCGCTATGGCACCATCCATCCGCGCTATCCTTCATGGGTACCGCTCGCACGACACGCATCTCCTAGCCCGACGTCATAGCAGTCCCCACCACCGCCCCCACCCCCTCCCAATCCCGGATGTGCCTCCTCCCCGCGCCACCCCCCGCACCCCCTCCGCACCCACCGATGAAGATGGGTTGCGACCACATCTTGCTACCATTAGCCCCGCCCGCCATCCGCGGCAGCCGCGACTCCAACAGCAGCACCACACTGCCGCTGCTGCTGCTGCTGACTGCGCCGCCGGCAGCCCCCTCCACTGCCGCCCCTTCCACAGTCCCCCCTACCGAGGTGCTCCGGTTTGCTTCGCTGCCGCTGTCTTTTTCCTGTTGTGCGCCTCCTGAGGACGGCTGAGCTTCGCCCGCTGCTTGCGTCACTACCACTACCACCTGGCTGAGAGGAGCCACGGAGATAATCAGGGGTGGGGGAGGCGGAGGCGCTGGTGTGGTGGCGGCAGGAGCCAGCGCTGCTGCTGGGGCGGCTGCTGGGGGGGCGGAGCCGCTGTCGGTGGTGGCGGGAGGCGGAGGAGGTACGGCGAGGAGGGTTTGGACCTGGGCCGTGTTGACTGCGGCGGAGGTGGTGGGGCAGGTGGGGTGGGCAGAGGGTCAGGCGGGCAGGACTTAACAACCAACTTACTACGCTACATTGTCGGATCCCTTCACACGCTCCTTCCAAGCGCACCTGCCCAGACCGACCTGGATCCCTCTTCAGCCCCACCACCCTCCGTGCAAGCCATCCCCACTTGTGGGCTCCCTATGGTTCGGTATGCTCTTTGACGCGCCTAGTGGTGTTGCCGCCCCCACACGCACTATCCAGCCTAATGCGGTATACGTTTCCATGTTTATCCCCCCCTCCCACACACACACACGCACCCAGCTCCTGGCCGGACGAGGTCGCCAGCGCGGGCAGTCCCGCGGCGCGGATGTTGCCGGTGCTGTTGAGCAGCGTGAGGGACGACCCGTGGGTCACCAGCAGGTAGCCGCGCAGGGGAGTCAAGGACAGCAGCGGGCCGCGGGGAGCGGGTGACGAGGGTGCTGCTGCGGAGGGGGGCTGGGTGGTGCTGTTGCTGGTGCTGTCAAAGGGCTGCTGCTGCTGCAGGGGTGCTAGCGCTTGCATCAGGTGCCAGGGCAGTGGGCTGATGGGGTGGGCCTGCGGGCGGGACAGCGGAGGGGTGCGGACAGCATGAGGAGGAGCAGGAGATGAGGGGCCCTGAGGGATACGGAACATGCGGAAGAACGGCCACAGTGCTAACACGATCCAGCCAGCCACACATACCAGCCAGCTATGCCCCGTCCAACCCCCACCTTGCACAGGTGCATCCTGCTCTCGTGCGGTGTGATGAGCGACAGCACCTCCCCGCGGTCCGTCAGCCCGTAGCCGCGGAACAGGCGGTGGCCGTCGAAGGAGGCGGCAAGCAGGCGGGAGCCGTTCAGGTGCTGGCACTGGGGGGAGGGAAGGGGAGGAGAGGGCGGGGGAGGGGGGAGGTGGTGGTGATGAGCGGAAAAGGCAAGGGCTGGTCGTGCGGCCACGTGTGCACCTCCCAGTTCGTGTGTAGCCTTTTGTGCCTTTTGTGACAGCTCCCTCCCGTGCGCCTGCCCCTCTCCTGCCCCCCTCCTGCTGCCCTGCTGCCTCGTCTTTACCCCCCCCTTCACTCCCCCCACCCTCTCCCTCACCCCCCCACACTCACGGTGTACCTCCGGGGCGCCCGCGGCTGCAGCGTGTTGATGACGGTGGCGGCGGTGGCGGACAGCATGACCGCGTAGGTGCCGGCTGGGGAGAGGGGGAGAGGAGGGGAGGGGTGGGGGGTGGGAGTGGGAGCGGGAGTGGGAAGAAGGCAGCAGGGGAGGGATGGTCGAGCAGTCCTACAAGCGAGCACGAAGGCCGCAAAGAGTGCACCGCCACTCCGCCCCCTCACTTGCTTGGCCGCCATAGCTGCATCCCCTCCTCCCACCGGCCGCCCACTCCCCTTACCTGACTTCCCAGCTGTCTCCTGCACCCCCCCCCCCCCGGGGCCTCGTAGCAACCCATGGTGCAGCCTCGTCATACACTTCGCCAGTTCTCCTTTTCCTTATCCCCACCGGGCCTCCCAGCCTGCCTCCCCCGCCCCCCCCCCCGCACTCACCGAACCGCACCGCCAGCTGCGTGTCATTGGTGGGCGCCCAGAAGCGCACCGTGCCGTTGTCCCGGTCCAACCGCAGGTTGCCCGAGCCGTCCAGCACCAGCACGTGCCGCCGCCCGCCCGGCTTGTTACCCAGCCTGGGGTGGGGGGGGGTAAGGGAGGAGGAGGTGGATGGAGGGTAAGGGAGGAGAAGGGTGAGAGGGTAATGGGGGGTGATTAGCGGCCTCACCCCGGCCAAACCCCCTGCATGGGTCAAGTACGGCGCCGGTAACACACATCCGCCGCCCTGCACCAGCAGCTACCGGCACCGCCCGCCAGTCACACCCACCTGTACGGCAAGATGTGTGTAATGGGCGCCGGGCCGCTGCCTACTGTCGTCGCCACTGCTGCAGGTGCTTTTGCTTCCTTGACCGCTTCCTCCGCCGCCGCTGCATCCTCCTGTGCTGCTACTGCTGCTGCCGCCACCTCACCGCTTGCACCCTCCTCCGCTGCTGCAGCCGACACCGCTGCGCCCTCTTCCTTCACCAGGGGCCAGCCCACCGCCCCCGCCGGCATGGACTCCACCACATGCCTCAACACCACCACCGCGGAGGCATACGCCCCCGCTGGAGCAATCGGCCCGCCACCACCACCACCCGTCATCCCGGCACCCCCACCACGCCGCTTCTGCTGCTTCCCTTGAACCGGATGCTCACCCGACTCCTGCTGCTGCTGCTGCGCCGCCGCCGCCGGTTGCAGATGTACGGCAAAGCTGCGCGTTTGACCGTTAGCGTGTCCGGTAACGACCGTTGACTCGGTCTTACGCACTGGGAAGGCTGCGCAGGCGGTGACGGCGGAGGGGGTGCCGCTGGGGGCGGCGGCAAGCAGGGAGCCGTCGGCGGGGCGTAGCAGGTACACCATGCCGCCGGCGTCGCCTGCGAGGATGTACTGCACTTGGCCGCTGCTGCTGCCGTCGGCGCCCTGGGCGGGCGTTTCGAAGGGAAACACGCAGGTGACCCTGGTTGGCAGAATGGCCGCTGCTGCTGCCGGGGATGGTGCGGGTGTTGGTGTTGGTGTTGCGGTTTCAGCTGGAAAGTTGGCATCAGAGGCAGGTGCTGAGGAGTCGGAGGTGGTTGATGATGACGAGGGAAGGGCGAGTTGCAGCGCCCAGCGGCGTGTAAAGTGCCGGAACCATTCGCCAGCTAGCCCGGCTGTAGTAGTTAGTCCGGATGTTGCCATGGAGGTGAAATCAGCGCCGGAGATGAATCCGCCAGTGCCGACGAATCCGGCCCCTCCTCCGGGTGTAAGCGCGGCGATGCGGCGCTCTATGCGGGCAAGCTCCTGGTTGAGCAGCTCCACCGCCTGACGCGCCTGCAGGTGCAGCGCCTGCAGCCGGGATAACTCCTCCGTGGTTATGGTGGCTGGAGTTGCAGGTGCGGGTGAGGATGGAGGCGCGGGTGCCAGCGATGCTGAGGCGGCATCGGAGGAGGAATTGGTTTCGTGAGCCGCCGCGTTACCCGGAACTGGAGAGGTGGTGGAGATGGGTTGTTCGATAAGGTTGTCATCGCCCGTCGCGCTGTTCGCTGTGTCTTGGCCTGGTCCTGGAGCTGAGCATGAGCTGGCGCCGGATGAAGTTTCACAGGAGGCTAGTACTTCTGGTAAGATCGCTGCTTTTACATCACTTAGAACACTTGATTCCGTAGGTGGAGGCTGTTCCTCCAGTACTGTACAGGATCCGCTGCCTTCGCTTTGGTCAGGCTTGGATGCCCAAGTGCAAGTACCTTCATCGCCACTGGCCTCTCCTAAGTCATTGGATACATCTACTGATTGCACCGCGATAAATATTGTTGCGAAAAACAATACTTGCAGCACGACTGGCAGCACGTAGGCTGAACTTAGCCGCGCTGGTTTCATAGTCAGCAAGCAGTGAACTTCAAGAAGGTCCCCAGTAAAGTTATGAGTTACAGCAGGCGGTGAAAGGAGTGAAGGCGGTTAGTAAGGGCGTACGAGCAAAGGTACAGCGTCGTTGTTTGGGCGCCATTCGCACCAATGCGCACCCAACATAGCTGTATCAGTCATAGTTTCAAAGCATCTCACATATCGTCAAGTTAGTGGCCCTTGCAAAACAAAAATTACAAATAACCTTGGCAGCCGGCTAAGCTGCGTAGGCAGCTTGATAGACGTATCCCAGTAACCACCACCTCAACGTAATCAATGAAACACGGCACCAAAAGCAGCATACGCCGCCAAAACGGTCACTGTACGTCGTCGGGCCCGTGGGGCCAGCCAAAGCCATGTCCGGGATGCGATTCTGAGAGGGGTGACGCACCATCAGCGGTTTTAACAAACGATGCAGGGCCCCCAAACATTTGCTTTCTGCTTCCCTCGCATGCCCATACCCGCTAAATGTCACAAGAAATGCAAGTAAACCCAATAAGGAAATTGGTCACGGGAAAGGGGAGATACAGTACGATGTCATGGTAATGCCACGCCACGCATGCTGTGACCGATCCTGCCACTCCAACCCAACGCTCAACACGTAGCCTGTCAAGCTGTGATGCAACACAGGGTGCCAGTACCAGTAATAAGCCAAGGATGCGTATCGCTGAGAGCAGCTAGAGCGGATGCAAGCATAGACGGTGTGAGAGGAGTCCCAAAGCCGCTCCCACGCCGCCGCTTGTAAGTAAAGTCCTCGAGAGATATCCCTTGCAACAGTCCCCTAGTCAACACGCCCCTTAACCCCGATAGACCATTACGTAACCTTCAGCTACCGCCGCGGTTTAAGTCCAGCAAAAAATGTTCAACGCAGGGGTCACCAACCCACCAGTACGGTACCAGACCAACCACATCACTAAGCCTACCGGTATTGCACCTTGCATTGACGACTCTCATGCTGAGATCATGCACTCCGCGCCAACCCCGTCTTCCTTTGTCTCATTTCCCCTTGTACTGGGTGAATATCACACCTGCAAAGCACAGCCGGGCGCGTGGGGAGCAAATCAAATGAGGGCCGCGGATTCCGGCCCCATCCCCAGTCCCCCTCTCCCGCGCATTGCACCGTTCCCTGCCAACGTAAAGCCCCGCTGGCCCCTCTGCTATCGCTCTCCCGTGCTCCCCTCCTCCGCCCCCACGCATCGGGATATGGAATTGGGACTCGGTTGCTGCACTCCCTATTTTATTTTCCCCCATCCTCCCCCGCGCGCCCCACCTGCCGACAGCCCGATGAGGATGCTGGCGAGGTTCTGCGCGTTGGTGTGCTCCCGGAAGGCCAGGATGCCGACTGCCGCGATGGGGAACTTGTTGAGCGAGCCCACCAGGCTGTAGATGGTGGCGGTGGTCTGGGACAGGAACCACAGACTGGAGAAGCTGCGGGCGGGGGGACAAGAAGAATACCCAATGTGTTGCGGGGCGCGGGGGGGGGCCGGGGAGGGGGTTACCGGTACGGAGAAGCGGCAGGGGAGACGCGGCAGGGCAGGGTTACCTTGGGAGAAGTCATGAATGTGGGGGCCTAACGAGAAAGGTCCCCGAGGAGCATTGAGCCCTCCTTCAAATGCTGCCAACCAACACCTCAGCCCCATGCCGGCGTGTCTGCCCGCTGCTCCTTGCCTCCTGCCCAGCCTTCTGCCCCCTGCCCTCCCAGCACCACCACCACCACCCACCTGATCGCAAAGCCAATCAGCCCCCCCAGCAGCGCCACCGCCTGGAAGCGCGGGTCGCGCAGCGCGGGCTGCGCCGCCAGTCCGCCCCACTCACCGAAGCAGTACATGAGCACCAGGATGGGCGGGATGGACAGCAGGTTGTTGTAGTAAACCTGGGGAAGGGGGGGTAAACATTAAGGAAGGGGGAGCAGCAGGGGCAGGGACAGGGGGCCGGAGGGATGGGAGGTAATGTGAAGGGTGAGATGGGGTGGTTGGGAGCTAGTGCGGTGGCTGCTGCAACTGCTGCTGTCGTGCTGTGGCTATTGCCCTGGGTTCGGTAGCCTACACTGGGCACATGGGGCGCAAGGACCCGTGCCGCCCGGCTGCCCGCCACCTCGCCCACCCACCCACCCCACCCAGCAGCCCCCCCACCCACCATGCTGAACTCGTCCATCTGCGGGTGGGTGCAGGGGCGGTTGGGGGCCACACAGGGTGGGTGGTCGAGTCAACATGCATGGGGCCTTCCGGATCTTGGATGGGAAGATGGCTGCTAGGTCTGAAGTCCTATGCAGTACTTCAACTCCATACACGCTACCGCTTTGGGCCCCAAGCCACCCCTGCCTGGCTGCCTCCCTCCTCCCCGTCTCCCTCCCCCCGCTCCCTACACGTACACTACACGTACTGGCTGAGCTATTTCGGGCTGGGCGGGTCGGGCTGGCTCACATGTTGCAACCCGTGTTGACGCCTTATCCCTCAGTCAGTTAGTTGTTTCCTCTTTAAACCCCGCTCCCTCCCTCCTCACCTTCCCCCCGTCCCGCGTGTATTTGGGCACCTTGTCCATCACGTGCCGCAGACACAGCGCGTAAGCCGACGTGAGCACGCAGTTCACAACCTGCCACACGTACCTACAACGGCATGGCAGAGGCATGACAGCGGCAGCAGCAGCAGCATTACGACAGCCGCATTAGCAGCGGCAGTAGCAGCGGCAGCGCCACCGAACATGTACGGTGAGTGTCCTAGTGCATAACCTCACAACACCTCACGTCATCAGTACGGCATTCAGCGCGGTGGCAGCCTCTTCAACGGGCATGCACGCGCGGTACGCATGTACCATGTGTCAACCCGCCAGCCAGCCAGCCAGTGCAGGCTCAGCTGGCACCCTGATCAGCTGGAGCCGCGCAACGGCCCGTACCCTCCCCCCACACATACACACTGCCATGCGCACCCACCCCTCCCCATCCCCCCCGGGATATGGGATTGAGACTCCAGTTGCTGCACTCCCCATCCCTCCCTCATGCAGGTGCTGCACCTACCCCTCCCAGCTGAACGCCTCGTCCGTGGACGCGCCCACCGCCGCACTGCCCACCATGAGGGCCATGCAGGCCCACACAGACCAGGGGTAGGAGCGCCGGAAGATGAGAACGTCGCCCAGGGCAGCTGGGGAAGCGGCGGGAGGGGGTGGGGGTAGGGGGCGGGGGAGGTTGAAGGAGGGCAGGGGAGGGGCCCGCGGTGGCCTGTGGAGGCCCGGTGAGGCCCACTTACTGGTGAGGTTGGCTAGCTGCTTCCAGATGGAAAACATGCCGATACCCATTAACCGCAGAGCGTAGAAGCCGCTGCCGAGCATCATGACGAAGATGCAGGTCACGGGGAACCAGAGCTTGACAAGGTCCCTTGTGAGCGGCTGCAGGGGCCGCACGAGTCCAACCGCCTCGCACATTTTGACCAGCAGGACGGCCACGGCGCATTGAAAGCACAACAACGCATTTGGAGCTGTGAAGCTAAAGGATGCTAGGGCGTGTTTATTGAGCAGCACCATTGAAGCTGATGCGCAACAGTAAAGCAACCCAGCGACCAGAACTCCAAAGCGTTTGCGAGGTACATGTTCATTCGTGTTAAGCGTCGTAGCATGGTCGCCTGATGTTTGTGAATGAATTCCGCCTGGATTGACAGTTACAGCGACCATTTTCTATTTGCAATGACACAGGTTACCGGTAGTTTGTATGTGCGACAACATATGTAAAGATTACAGTGTAACAGCAGTAGTGTGAAACAATGAAGCTATAGGGCGAAGACGTCGGAGAGTTTGTGAAATTTCGGAGCGAGCCGATAGTTTGCACACGGAACATAGGCATGGGATGGAGCGACACCAAGAATTCCATGTAGCATAGACGCATCCAGCATTTAAAACTTGTTAAATTAGCTAGAAAGGAGAGTGCTTCTCTGAAACCAGATTAGGCCTTTAGACATCCACATCGTAGGCACTTCTTGTCGTCTGGACCGCGCTATCCCCAACTAGTAGCAGCTCCGTATGGTCATAAATAATAGTGCCCATGAAGCTTTACATTGCGTGTGCGAGCGTGTGCAGTTGTGAAGGACTGGCTGGCTCGTTTTTGCACTGGATGCCGGTTTGCGGCAGCTCTTAGCCCCGTCCTGTGGTAAATGCCATGCGATTCATGTGCAGGAACTGCGTCCTGTATCGGTATTTCCTGTAAAACCGAAACCAGGTTGCCAATGCATTGGGTGTCTCTCCAATGGCACATTACCGTACACGGTGTGCGTTCACCTGCAGATCACGGCTGAGAACTGACATCCGTGATACGTCAACAATCGCACACAGAGGCCATTGACCGCTTCTCATAGCAACTTGCCATTGTCGTAGGCATATCCTAAGGGCCTTACGGTGTTACGTCAGGAGCAACTATGGTGGTAAGGATGCTGACTTTAAGGGAAGCGGCTTCAGGCATGTTGGAATATGACTGTGAGCCTGCCATACACACGCTACGATTTGCATACACCCCTGCCACTACATGCTTTGGACTGATGTCGGCCTAGGCATGCCGTGGCATGCAAGGTGGCTGAGGACTGTCTCTGGCCTGCAAATGCTGTCGCTGCGCTTAGGCAATGTTAACTTCCTCTAAAAGGATGTCTGTCTACTCACTCTGCCCAAATGCCTTCCCTGGGAGTGTGGTCGTCGTGTCACTTGTCCGTAATGAACAAGGAAAACGCGACACGCCCGAGAGTTAGTCGCTACGGGGGCAATACAACGCACATAATGCCCAAGTCATTGTCAAGTAATGCCAATGCGACAAACAGATAGAAACCATGACAATGATGGTCGTTGACTTGAAGTGGCGATACCTCCAACCAAACCGGTATTAACAACACTCCAAAGCACCAGTACAGCTGTGATACCTTTGCGAATTTGATGTGCCTTGCGCGCCTTTATGTGTTGGGAGGTCGTCGTCCGTACGCTTTCTGTGACCAACATTGCATGCACCATCACCACAGCAGCTTCGTGTAACATACAGTTAGGCCCCTGATGGGGCATATAGCTAGTATTACTGTCTTATAAAACCTTATCCGCTTGCACCCTTAGCGTGTGGGGCGAGCGCAGCGCGCTTCCACACGACTGGCCACTGAAGCTCCTTAATAGAAATACCTGAACGGCATGAATACGCAACTGCCAGCGCGCTGCTGTGGCGGTCGTTCACCCGCCAGTCGCTCGCACCACACATCTCGGCGACCCGCTCCTTTTAGCGCACCTTTAGTACGCCTCGCGCCTCCGCGCTCATCTGGGAACGATGACCCTGAACCTCAAAACATGGAAGCGCTGCGGGAAAAGTTCTTCCGAGCAAACAGCGGCGAGGATGCAAGCACCTCTCAGGAACCAGCCAGGGAATTGACGTCGCAGGATCTCAGCTTGAACATGATCAACCCCTACGAGCTTGGCCGACAAGCTCGGCAAGCCTTTAATGACGTTTGGGAGCAGCTATCTCGCGTCACGTCGCCCACCCGCAGCTTCATCATCGATGATGTGCTGGAGGTTGAAGCCGAGACAGATTTCAAAGCTCCGCAAGCAGCCTACACCACAGTCCTCGTCGTGGGTGCCACGGGTCGTGTTGGACGCATTCTGGTTCGCAAGCTGCTGCTGCGCGGCTACAAAGTGAAGGCGCTGTTCCGCAATCGGAAGGACAACACCGGCAAGGATGCCATCCCCGACTCTGTGGAGGTGGTGGAGGGCGATGTGGGCGACATGGCCACGTGCCAGAAGGCCGTGCAGGGGGTCAGCAAGGTGGGGAGTAGGGTTGGGTTGGGGGGTTGGGAAGGAGGTTGGGAGGTTAGGGGAGCACGCCGCTGGGGTGGGGTCCCTGGGGCGCCTCTCAGCTTGTCGCCAAGCGGGTGTGGGGTGTGTGTTAAAATAACTGGCGGCAGCAGGGTCATGATCAACCCCCTTGGCCCCCGGAGCTGGGTGGTGGGGTGGCCTGGGACGGAGGGTGGTGCCAGGCTGTTGCATGGTGGGCATGTTGCATGGATGGTGGGGCCGTACGGCAGCAGACTGCATGCACGGGGAGTCGCTTTCGCTGGACGTCTCGGTGGCTCCAGCAGCTTACGGGTGTGTCGAGCGGCGACCTCTCCTCTTGCTTCCTCCTCCAATCTCCCTTCTCCCTGTCTCCGGCCCCCCTTCGATTGGGACCCCGTTGCTGCACTTATCAATTATCCCCCCCCCCACCCGCAGGTAATTTTCTGCGCGGGCGCCCGCAGCACCTTCACCGCCGACCTGACCCGAGTGGACGACCGGGGCGTCATGAACATGGTTAAGGCGCTGCAGGTGGGGGTCAAAGACCATACCGAACCATACGGAACCCACAAGTTGGGGTGGGGGGGTGGCGGGGAGTGCGGGAAGGAGAGGCGCATGGCGGTGGCGACAGGATTGGACGCAGGAATCGAAGGGGTGTGGGGAGCCGCTGGCCATTGCCCTCTGTGTGCGTGTTTGTGGCTCCTCTGCCGCCCCGTCCCTACCGCAATGCACCCACTTAAAGGCCTCAAACCCCTCCCAAACCACGTCCCCTCGCCCCCCCTCCCGTCAGGACGAGCTGTACCGCCGCTCCCGGCGCTCCGGCTCGCGCTTCAGCCCCGCCGCCAAGAAGGAGGTGGCGGACTTCAACAGCACCTTCCACCAGGCCAGGTGGGGGGGGGATGAATAGGAATACATACTTTCCAAAGGTGGGGTTAAGCATGGGGCCTTCTCAGAAGGGAGAGGTGTGGAGCAGAGCGGGCGGGGGAGGGTTCCCTTGATCCCTTCCTCAGCCCCTTCCCCGCTCACCCGCCCCATCGCCTTGTCGCACGGTTTTGGTCACTTTCTCCCTTTCTTGCCCTCATGGCCCTTTCCCTTCCCTTTTGACCAACCCGCCTCCGGCCCTCCGCTCACCCGCCCCATGCCCCCAGGTGGGACGTCACCTTCGTGGGCACCCCCGAGGAGGCCGCAGCGGTGGCGGCGGGGCAGCCCCCGCCGGCCGCCGCCCCGGAGGATGCGTACGGCAACCGCCTCAACAGCGCGGAGGCGGTCATCACGGAGGACAATAACCTGCTGTTTGAAGGTGGGGAAGTGGGGGTGGAAACAGGGAATTCCCATTGACTGGGGATGGGGAGGTAAGGAGACGCAAACTGGCATGGTCGAAGGTTGGGGCTGGGGGTTGCAGCGGTGGATGGGTAGCATACGAGGGGGTGGGTAGCATGCGAATGGATGGTGGATTGGTGGTTGGGCTGGGATGAGGCGCAGGAGGCGGGCAGCTGCAAGCTGGCAAGGGTCTCGACAAACAACAGATGCAGCCTCCATTGCGGGTTGCCGCTGCGTCCGGGTACTGCCAGGTACAAACCAGCGCCCGCTCACCCTACCCCACGCCGCCACCCCACCCCACGCCCTCACCTCGCCCTCACCCCACCCCACGCCCTCACGCCCACGCCCTCACCCCACCCCACCCACTACTCCAGGCAAGCTCACGCAGCGGGGTGCTTTCGCGGAGGTTGGCGCCGCCCTGCACGCCCTCCTGCCGGGCGGCGAGCACCGCACCGCCGGCACCGAGGGACTCGTGCTCCGCATCCGGGGCGACGCGCACACCTACCTCTTCATCCTGCAAACCCAGGAGGGGCACCGCTATGGAGCTCGCTTCCCAACCCGCGAGGGCTACCTCACTGTGCGGCTGCCGTACGCAGCCTTCCGAGCCGAGTTCCAAGGCCAACCGCCGCTGGATCCAAGTCGGTTGGCGTTCGTTAGCATCCGGTACGAGAACCGTCGTACAAGCGGGCCGGCGGCGGCGGTGGCTGCCGTACGTGCTGCCAAGGGGCTGTCACCGGCGGGCATGCGACAGCTTGCGGCTGCGACGGCGCGGGAGCAGCAGTTTAGTTTGGAGGTGGATTGGATAAAGGCGCTGCCGGGAGGGGAGGAGCCGGATTTCGTGTTGGTGTCATGCGCGGGGAAATCGCGGCCGGGGATTGAGCCGGCGGATTTGAAGAGGGTGGTGGAGGCGAAGCGGCGCGGGGAGGAGAACCTGAGGCTGAGCGGACTGGGGTACACCATTATTCGACCAGGTGAGGGTGTGAGGGTGGGGTGAGGGTTGGGGTGGGTGAGGGGTGCGGTGTGGTTGTCTTGTGGGTTGGTCGTGCGGGTTGATCATGCGGGTTGGTCTTGCGGGTTGGTCATGCGGGTTGGTCGTGTGGGTTTGCATGGCAGTACCCCTGCATGTACCCTTGCACGCTAACATGTACCCAGAACCCCTGTACCGGTATGTGCTTTGGTGCTTTGTTGCGGAGATGCGGTAGGTTGGGTAAAAAACGCGCGATTAGGCCAGCTGCAAGTACGCAACCTCCTCTCCTCTCCCTCCCCCCTCCGCCCCCCTTCCCTCCCCAGGTACGCTGCTGGACGAGCCGGGCGGCTACCGCGCGCTGGTGTTCGACCAGGGCGACCGCATCACGGAGGCCATCGCAGCAGCAGACGTGGCGGACATCTGCCTGCGCGCGCTGCACGAGCCGGAGGGGCGCAACAAGACCTTCGACGTGTGCTACGAATACCAGGTGAGGGGGGCGCGAGCATGCGAGTATGAGATGGGAGGGGTGGGACGGGAAGAGGGGAAGGTTTGCGGGTGTGTCGGGTGCTGGTGAGTGAGACACAGCTCGAGGCGACGCATGCGTCATCTTTAGCCGCGAATGACCCTGCCCCATGTCTGCGCTCCCTTCTTTCCTTCTTTCCTGCCACCACGCAACCCTCACGTGGGACCTCACTCGCCCCCCCTACTTCTCCTCCCCCCCGGCCCCCCTGCCGCCTCCCTTCCCCCGTTGTTTTGCCCTTCTTCCTGCCATTTTCCCTATGGTTTGGTCTTCCCTGACCCTTCTGCCCCCCTCTTCCTCAGGCCGCGGAGGGCAATGCGCTGTACGAGTTGGTGGCGCACGTGCCCGATAAGAAGAACAACTACCTGCGGGCGGCGGTGGCGGCACTGGCGAAGAACACGTAAAGGGATGGTGGGGAGGAAACCGGCTAACGAACCATGTGATAAGGCGCAGTGGTTGGGAGGTGGAGGAGGAGGTGTAGAGAGTGGGAGGGCGGATTGGGGGCGAGCAGGCGGGGTAGCAGGCGGAATGTCACCAGAAGGACGTCCGATGAGTGGGGCGAGGTGTGTGGGGGATCTTGGGGCTAGTGGGTTCTGTGTTCGGGGGATGGGAAGGGGGTTGAGGAGTGCTTAGGCAGAGGAAGAGCGCGAGAGGGCTGCGAGCGGCGTTGTCGTTGTATGAGCAGGAGAGGAAAGCGCAGGGCAAGGGTGTATGTGTGGATAAGAAAACTGGCCGCGGGTGGATGGGTGTCTTCAGCAGTTGTGCCCGGTTGCGTGTGCAGTTTTGCAGCTAATGAGACGAGAAAGGCGTGACTATCGGTGCGTGGGCATTAAGGTGCTGTATGTATATTACGGAGTTTCATTTCTGTGAGGCATTGGCTACTTAGCTTACTTCAAGCCGTAGAAGTGTATGTGTGTCCTGCGCCTGGGGGTGTACGGTATCGGCAGGTGAAGAACCGCTTCTGAACTTCCCTGCTGGGCACTTGAGGGGCCGAGGGGCGGGTTGAGTAGGGGTTGACGTTCATCTTAATTAGTCTCCGAGACACGCGGTTTTGACAGCTGTTCTGTCGATGAATTTTGTTGCCGATTCCGCACGGGGGTTCCGCGGCATTCGTGATATGAGAAGATAAAATTATCATCGTAGGCTAGGGGCCTTGCAGGGCGTCGTTGCTCGGTCGCTGGCGGGCTGGTGCTTGGAAGTACGGTGAACCTCTTCCTCCTCTTGCGGAAAGACCTCCCGGATGGACGAGGGCGGCGGACCGGTGCAGATGGGATTGGGAGCAGCATTGGTGGCAAGACAGCGTTAACGCCCTGCATCATGTGTGCCTGGAGCATCACCTGCTGGTAACGAAAAGGGAGGGCTGTTGTTGCGTTCTGCATCCCCTGCTGCCATCCCCTGCTGCCATCCGCAACCAGGCAGCCCAGCTGCTGCTGCCCCCGCACTTGCCCTCCGGCTGTATCATACCGGTATAAGCTGCATGGCTTGCTAGCCGAAGGATGCTGGGATGCCGTACAGCTGCTGCTGCTGCTGCTGCTGCACCTCACACGCGCACATCATTGCCCATCACACCCGCCGACCTGGCACCCGCGGACCTGGCACCCGCCGACCTAGCACCCGCCGACCTGGCACCCGCCGACCTGGCACCCGCCGACCTAGCACCCGCCGACCAAGCACCCGCCGACCTGGCACCCGCCGACCTGGCTCCCGCCGACCTGGCACCCGCCGACCTGGCACCCGCCGACCTAGCACCCGCCGACCTAGCGCCCGCCGACCTAGCGCCCGCCTACCTAGCACCCGCCGACCTAGCACCCGCCGACCTAGCGCCCGCCGACCTGGCACCCGCCGACCTAGCATTCCCCGCCGACCTAGCACCCGCCGACCTGGCACCCGCCGACCTAGCACCCGCCGACCTAGCGCCCGCCGACCTAGCGCCCGCCGACCTAGCACCCGCCGACCTAGCGCCCGCCGACCTAGCACCCGCCGACCTAGCACCCGCCAAACTAGCACCCGCCAAACTAGCACCCGCCGACCTAGCACCCGCCGACCTAGCATTCCCCGCCGACCCAGCTTTCCCCGCCGACCTAGCATTCCCCGCCGACCTGGCGACCGCCGACCTGGCACCCGCCGACCTGGCACCCGCCGACCTGGCACCCGCCGACCTGGCACCCGCCGACCTGGCACCCGCCGACCTGGCACCCGCCGACCTGGCACCCACCGACCTGGCACCCACCGACCTAGCACCCACCGACCTAGCGCCCGCCGACCTAGCGCCCGCCGACCTAGCATTCCCCGACGACCTAGCACCTACCGACCTGGCACCCGCCGACCTAGCGCCCGCCGACCTGGCACCCGCCGACCTAGCATTCCCCGCCGACCTAGCATTCCCCGCCGACCTAGCACCCGCCGACCTAGCACCCGCCGACCTAGCACCCGCCGACCTAGCACCCGCCGACCTAGCACCCGCCGACCTAGCACCCGCCGACCTAGCACCCGCCGACCTAGCATCCGCCGACCAAGCACCCGCCGACCTAGCACCCGCCGACGTAGCACCCACCGGCCTAGCACCCGCCGACCTAGCACCCGCCGACCTAGCACCCGCCGACCTAGCACCAACCGACCTGGCACCCGCCGACCTAGCGCCCGCCGACCTGGCACCCGCCGACCTAGCATTCCCCGCCGACCTAGCACCCGCCGACCTAGCACCCGCCGACCTAGCACCCGCCGACCTAGGACCCGCCGACCTAGCACCCGCCGACCTAGCACCCGCCGACCTAGCACTTGCCGACCTAGCACCCGCCGACCTAGCATCCGCCGACCTAGCACCCGCCGACCTAGCACCCGCCGACCTAGCACCCGCCGACCTAGCACCCGCCGACCTAGGACCCGCCGACCTAGCACCCGCCGACCTAGCGACCGCCGACCTAGCACTTGCCGACCTAGCACCCGCCGACCTAGCATCCGCCGACCTAGCACCCGCCGACCTAGCACCCGCCGACCTGGCACCCGCCGACCTAGCACCCGCCGACCTGGCACCCGCCGACCTAGCGCCTCCGACCTGGCACCCGCCGACCTGGCACCCGCCGACCTAGCACCCGCCGACCTAGCATTCGCCGACCTAGCGCCCGCCGACCTAGCGCCCGCCGACCTAGCGCCCGCCGACCTAGCGCCCGCCGACCTAGCACCCGCCGACCTAGCACCCGCCGACCTAGCACCCGCCGACCTAGCATTACCCGCCGACCTAGCATTACCCGCCGACCTAGCACCCGCCAACCTAGCACCCGTCGACCTAGCACCCGCCGACCTAGCACCCGCCGACCTAGAACCCGCCGACCTAGCACCCGCCGACCTAGCACCCGCCGACCTAGCACCCGCCGACCTAGCACTTGCCGACCTAGCACCCGCCGACCTAGCATCCGCCGACCTAGCACCCGCCAACCTAGCACCCGCCGACCTAGCATTAGCCGACCTAGCATTCCCAGCCGACCTAGCACCCGCCGACCTAGCACCCGCCGACCTGGCACCCGCCGACCTAGCACCCGCCGACCTAGCATCCGCCGACCTAGCGCCCGCCGACCTAGCGCCCGCCGACCTAGCGCCCGCCGACCTAGCACCCGCCGACCTAGCACCCGCCGACCTAGCACCCGCCGACCTAGCACCCGCCGACCTAGCATTACCCGCCGACCTAGCATTCCCCGCCGACCTAGCACCCGCCGACCTAGCACCCGTCGACCTAGCACCCGTCGACCTAGCACCCGCCGACCTAGCACCCGCCGACCTAGCACCCGCCGACCTAGCACCCGCCGACCTAGCACCCGCCGACCTGGCACCCGCCGACCTGGCACCCGCCGACCTAGCGCCCGCCGACCTGGCACCCGCCGACCTAGCATTCCCCGCCGACCTAGCACCCGCCGACCTAGCACCCGCCGACCTAGCACCCGCCGACCTAGGACCCGCCGACCTAGCACCCGCCGACCTAGCACCCGCCGACCTAGCACTTGCCGACCTAGCACCCGCCGACCTAGCACCCGCCGACCTAGCGCCCGCCGACCTAGCACCCGCCGACCTAGCACCCGCCGACCTAGCACCCGCCGACCTAGGACCCGCCGACCTAGCACCCGCCGACCTAGCGACCGCCGACCTAGCACTTGCCGACCTAGCACCCGCCGACCTAGCATCCGCCGACCTAGCACCCGCCGACCTAGCACCCGCCGACCTGGCACCCGCCGACCTAGCACCCGCCGACCTGGCACCCGCCGACCTAGCGCCCGCCGACCTGGCACCCGCCGACCTGGCACCCGCCGACCTAGCACCCGCCGACCTAGCATTCGCCGACCTAGCGCCCGCCGACCTAGCGCCCGCCGACCTAGCGCCCGCCGACCTAGCGCCCGCCGACCTAGCACCCGCCGACCTAGCACCCGCCGACCTAGCATTACCCGCCGACCTAGCATTCCCCGCCGACCTAGCACCCGCCAACCTAGCACCCGTCGACCTAGCACCCGTCGACCTAGCACCCGCCGACCTAGCACCCGCCGACCTAGCACCCGCCGACCTAGCACCCGCCGACCTAGCGACCGCCGACCTAGCACTTGCCGACCTAGCACCCGCCGACCTAGCATCCGCCGACCTAGCACCCGCCAACCTAGCACCCGCCGACCTAGCATTAGCCGACCTAGCATTCCCAGCCGACCTAGCACCCGCCGACCTAGCACCCGCCGACCTGGCACCCGCCGACCTAGCACCCGCCGACCTAGCACCCGCCGACCTAGCGCCCGCCGACCTAGCGCCCGCCGACCTAGCGCCCGCCGACCTAGCGCCCGCCGACCTAGCACCCGCCGACCTAGCACCCGCCGACCTAGCACCCGCCGACCTAGCACCCGCCGACCTAGCACCCGCCGACCTAGCATTACCCGCCGACCTAGCATTCCCCGCCGACCTAGCACCCGCCGACCTAGCACCCGTCGACCTAGCACCCGTCGACCTAGCACCCGCCGACCTAGCACCCGCCGACCTAGCACCCGCCGACCTAGCACCCGCCGACCTAGCACCCGCCGACCTGGCACCCGCCGACCTGGCACCCGCCGACCTGGCACCCGCCGACCGGGCACCCGCCGACCTAGCACCCGCCGACCAAGCACCCGCCGACCTGGCACCCGCCGACCTGGCTCCCGCCGACCTAGCACCCGCCGACCTAGCAACCGCCGACCTAGCACCCGCCGACCTAGCGCCCGCCGACCTAGCGCCCGCCGACCTAGCGCCCGCCGACCTAGCACCCGCCGACCTAGCACCCGCCGACCTAGCACCCGCCGACCTAGCACCCGCCGACCTAGCACCCGCCGACCTAGCGCCCGCCGACCTAGCGACCGCCGACCTAGCGACCGCCGACCTAGCACCCGCCGACCTAGCACCCGCCGACCTAGCACCCGCCGACCTAGCGCCCGCCGACCTAGCACCCGCCGACCTAG